CTCGGTTATTAAGACATCGGATGATCTCTTAAGTCATGTCAGGGTCTAACTTAACCAAAAATGGGTATTATGGATGCTGACCTGAGCTAACTAAAAAGCATATGCACATGAGCATTTTGAGAGCATTGTGTGAGCGCTTTTGAACCAAGTCACATTTGCTGATGTACCTACAAACCTATCTTGTTACCTTCTCAAGATTCTTCAATTTTTAAAAAACAACAGACTCAAATTGGGACTTCCCATGCCACCAGCACTGCCACTTTCCTTATTTGGTAGCCACTCCTGGTACCCATTGCTTTGCAGCAAAGAAAACACGTGTTTGCGGCTTCCGCTGGACCATCACGAGTGAATGAAATACATGTACTTATTTGGGGTTCTTCAAACTCTTTAATACCTTCCTCCTCCTCATCAGAAACTTCACAACTCTGCATGTCACCAGCCTTTTGTTTTCCACTATGATGACCATGCTCTTCTCTTTCAGCCTCAGAGTCAGAGATGGCACCAAGGTCCATGTTGCCATACTCTGGCAGGCTGACAGTCCAACCTTCACTGTCCAAGACTGAACATGAATCTTCTTCATCAATATAGTCTGGGTTATCCAGGTCCTCAACACTGTTAATATAATATTTACTGGAGAATTTGCTGCCAGGAGCTCAGTGAGCCTCAGCCCATCGAGCCTTCTTGTTTTTGTGGGGCATGTTATGATAGGAGACTGGCACACCAGCCAGTAGAAAATTTGAAATTTCACACCCGAAATTGGGACTGCTTACATAATCACCACCAAAAATTTTTATTGCAGATTCATGATCTTTCGACCTAGTTGTAGGCTAAAAATGCAAAAAAATTCCCTTATCGCACTAAGATTGAGTCCATAATAGAGAGGCCTATTTTATCTGTTTTACACTGTACTAAAGTCGGGATATCTGGAAAAATACATGATTAGCTAATGTAAGTTCTGTAAAGGGGATTGGTCAAAGATTCGTCGAGAAAAAAAAAATGGAATCCAAAGTCACGTGACCCACGGTTGGAATTCTGCATTGTGCTGACGCGTGCACCTAACTTAGGGTTCGGGATGCAAGTTGGCTGCGTTTTTTGGTGTTTCCACCAATCACGACCCAGGATGGAATTAGCTACAAGTACTACTAGCGTAATTGTAAAATAAATCCTCAAGTTTTGACAGCTATCAACCTGCTGCAACTTGAAATGTCAATTAATAATATTGGCAGACTCCTCAGGTGTTGACAGCGATCAACCTGCTGCAACTAATTTGAATTAAAATAATATCATTATCTACCAGGTACCTAGTAATCTGTGTGTCATGCTTTGTACAAGGCAGTGGAAGTGCCAAAAAAATAACAATGGTTGCAGGTGCATCCGAGCCCAGGGAGGGAGCCTGCCCGGAAGTTTGAAATTTACAAAATTTACAAAATTTACTGTGTATTTCTCCTTCTTCCGCACTTTACTCACTTTACCCTGCCAAAAACACACTTTACAGCACTTTACATTGACTTGACACGTCATACATTTACACTTCTACCTTACCCTCTTCTCTTTCTCTTGTCTCCCTCCCGCTCATCCTGCACAGTTACCATAAATGGGTGGCTTAGGTACGTCGATCACGTGACTCTACTTCTTCACTCCATGCGCAGTGCTGCAGGCTGTGGACAACAACAACACTTCCCTTGGATAAGAGGTATTTTAGTCATACTTTTTTTTGTGATTCTTACTCATATTTTGCAGGGCTTCAGAATGTGATGTGGCACCAACAATGCTGCACTCACACTCACACCATTCACCCCACCCACCCAGTAGCGGCTCTGCTGTACTCGCATCTCATCATCTTCTACACTTCCCTCACTTGCGCCCATTTCAAGGAGCTGTGCATGGACGTGTTCCGCAGCACGCTCAAGCCTGTTGGTGGTTCCATGTGTATCCCCCACATTGTCAAACTCGTATCTGACTTCTTCAACGGCAAGGAGCCCAACAAGAGCATCAACCCTGACGAGGCTGTTGCATATGGTGCTGCCGTTCAGGCTGCCATTCTTTCCGGCAACACCTCTGAGAAGACCCAGGACCTCCTGCTTCTTGATGTTGCTCCTCTATCGCTCAGTATTGAGACTGCCAGTGGTGTCATGACTGCCCTCATCAAATGCAACACCACTGTCCCCACCAAGAAGTCAGAGACATTCTCGACATACTCAGACAACCAGCCTGGTGTCTTGATCCAGGCGTATGAGGGTGAACATGCATGCACAAAGGACAACAACTTGCTCGGCAAGTTCGAGCTGTCTGGTATTCCTCCTGCACCTTGTGGTGTTCCTCAGATCGAGGTCACCTTCGACATCGACGCTAATGGTATCCTGAACGTCTCCACATCTAACAAAACTACCGGCAAGTCAAATCACACCACTATTACCAATGACAAGGGTCGTTTGTCTGCAGAGGAGATCGAGCGCATGGTTAGCGAGGCTGAGAAATACAAAGGTATGTTTCAACTCTTCTATATCGCCATTAATAGACTAACCTTCCTTATAGCTGATGAGACCGCCACCCCCTACAGCAGTCAGGTGACACCTGCACCCAGCCCCTTTCTTATTGCCCCCCTTTCGAATAATCTTTGTCCTTTCATACTATCATCATGGATCAGCATGGGAATCCCTGGACTGTGGGAGGTGAGCTGAGAACTTTGGCTTTGGGTGAGGTGCTGATGCTCTTCGTAGTGGGTCGCTTTATCTGCGGACAATAGAACCCTCAACAAGCTTGCATTGTCAGAGCTGAAGACTGAAGGCATTGACGGCAACCGCAGTGTCAAATTGTTCACGATTGGGATTGATGCTAGGTATGTTACTTCTCTTCTTGTGTCCATCAGTTGAACTGACTTGTGTTGTTAGTGCATGGATGCACAGTGTGTGCGCCGTCTTTCACACCAATCATGCAGGCGCTGGAAAGTCACCAGAGCTGCGCACACTTTTTTTCCGACTAGTCACGCTGCTCAAGCTACCCTTGCATGCTGTGTTTGTCTTTGATGGCCTGCAGCGCCTACCAGACAAAGGTTGAAAGGCCAGAAGCAGCCCCCACTGGCTTACGCATGACTTCCAGCGCATGCTGGAGCTGTTTGGCTTTCACTGGACACAGGTATGTTCTTTCCCTTAGCTTCCCTCATGGTGTTGTTGTCTCATCAGTCCACATCCAGGCTCCAAGTGAAGGTGAAGCCAAGCTCGCGGCCATGAATGCCCATGGTGTCATTGATGCTGTGATGACCGAGGATAGCGATATTTTGATATTTGGCGCTCTGTGTGTTATCCGAAGGTATGCCATCGTTTTCCTATCAATTCGTTACCATTAATTCTTGCTAGTGCGAAAAAAGACAAGGATTTTCTCAATGTTCAAGTCTACACTGAGGACAGCCTTGAACACGGCTGCTCCTTAACTCGAGGCGACAGACTTCTTATTGCACTGCTTGCAGGTGGCGACTATGATGGAGGTGTGCCTGGTTGTGGTATCGGAATCGCTTACAAGGTGGCGCAGCATAGCAAAATCGGCCAGATGATGCTCAACTCCTTCCTATCACTGACGCCAGATGAATTCTTGGAGTGTGCCAAGGACCTTGTTGAGGACCTGCGTCTTCTGCTCACTCATGACCCTCACAATCTCCTCGAGCGCAAGTACAAGGTAGTCGCGGATCATATTCCACGTGATTTCCCACAGCATTCGTTAATCAGCAATTATGTCCATGCCCTCACGTCTTTTTCAGCAACTGGAAGTGGTACCATGATGCTGCGAGAGGATGTGTTATGCTGCCAGCCAGATCTTGCAGGCCTTGCCGATTTCTGCAGTCAGAATTTCGGCTGGGATGAAGACGCCATTATTGAGAGAATGTACAGGGGTGTGTGGGAGGGCACATATCTGCGCACATTATGCAAAGTAAGTCACTCTGTGTTTTGTTGGTCAGTGTTGACCAGTGTTTCAGTTGCTAAAACACTCAGCAGACCAGCCAAGCCTTTGGCCAACATCCCAAATCATTTCTCGCTTGACATTTATGGCATTGAGATGAGATATCGAAATTTATGTTGTTAAAGTTGATTGTTGGCACTTGGGACACAACACCTTGGGCAACACTACTCCCAGGCAATTCTCTTCAATGTATGTGCGCGTCCTGACAGTCATACTTGGCCACATGGCACCAGAAGTAGCACAGCAGTATATTAGCCTATAATCCATGTCTACATAGCACCGCATCTCATTAACATCGAAGCTTGGTATGAAAAAACACAAGACTAGTCACAGGCCCCTAAGTAAAATTTGAACTAGCTGTGACATACTACTATCTAGCGGGTTTGCTTTCACAAACATGGTGCGCCTGAAGAAAAGCTCACCAAAAGCCCCCCAGCCACCAGACACCGCACAAAAAACTAGGCAAAAGAAGACAATGGTGCACACAAAGACAGCCCTATCAGATGTTCAAAAGTGTAAGCAAAATGGAATAGAGACTCACCTGCAGGTAACCAACACACGAAATAATTATGCCAGACATGTTCGTCGTGGATGGGAGTGGCTGGAAAGCCATTTTGATCACTTGGAGTCCGAGTTCACTGTTGGTGAAGATGTGAATGACTCAGACGTGTACAATGATCCGGCTGTTCAAGGATGCATTCAGTCACATACCGAATAGGTGCTTGGACAAGGCATTGGTGCTCTTCATGTCATTGAAAGGGTTCCATCAGAACCTCAGCAAAACAACTGTGGAGAGCATTCGATCAGTGTTTAAGAAAATGTGGGAGCTGTTGTGAGTCTTATTATATCAATGAAGTGTACGAGGACTGACTTACTGTGTCCCAGCGATGGTGACAGATATCGTGGAAAGTGGCACCTCAATGAGGCAAGACAATGTTGGGAAGGCAACCCTGCTGATTCAGCAGAGGTTTTTGACATGTTGTCATCTGTCAAGCACAAGGCCAGCGCCGAAGGTGGAGATCGGACTCATTCGATGGCCATGACAAAGGATTACATGGAGCGCACACTCTGGTGGCATTACACAGTGTGTCCACTGGATATAGCACTGGGGATCATTCAGAAGGTGATGAGCGGTGCTCACCCTTTGGATGTGAATCTGGACTTGGAAACAAGGAAAGTACTCACTCGTCATCTTGAACAAATTACATTCGAAGCTGGTGTATGGACGTTATGGACACGGTATGATTTAATTTGTGACTCGTGCTAATATCTGACTGACTATATTTGCAGATGTTTTGAGCTCATCAAATTACAGCGAAAGGATATCTCACTGGATACTACCATGCTGGATGGTGTCCTCAAAGCATACCTTGCAAACAATACATCAACGCTGCAGAGCAGCTCTCAGTTATACTTCGAGATTTTCCTCTCAAACCGGAAAGGATGGCAGAAGAAGGTTGACAAAGGTCAGTGGGAAGCAGACTTGAGATGTAAGTCCAAAACCCATCATGTTAATGATGTGCGACTACTAATTACAACAACCTCACCAGCAAACCACTACAAAATATATCCACATCCCAGCATTCCAGCCTGTGATTGCTTTGTTTGGATGTTAGTCTGGATTAAATGGCTCAAGCTCTTTCATTATGGATGCACACTTCAGCCCAACGACTTTATCTTTCCCGCAATGGGCGCCAATGGTGTTGTTCAGCCCAGCCAGCCAATCTCGCATGATACAGTGCAAAAGTGGATAAATGAGTCGACAGCAGGCGCCGGCATTCTTGGTAATTTTTCAACTCATTGCTTTTGTCGTGGGGGCGCACAATACTGGTTCATGTTTGCTCCAGTGGGCCAGCGGTGGACGCTTGCGAAAGTTTGCTGGTGGGGTGGATGGGCAGAGGGTGAGCATGTGCGTGTTTTGTTTTATTCACACTAATAACACTGATTTGTCTCATTTTCAGCGTGATACACTTGTTCGCTATCTACTCAATGAATTGCATGCCTATGAAACTGACTATAGCGATGCCCTTGCACCCATCTCCCATGGTGTAAATGACTCACTTGCTGGGGAAAACGTCCTTGTGAGTCTGGCGTCGACAGAAGAGTTGTGCTTGGTCCATGCATCTGTCACAGCAGACGTCGACCACCTGCGCAATGACATTGGATCCATCAACAACTCACTCCACTCACTAATGAATGTGGTGGTGCAGGCTGCCTGCACCACAGCAACTGCTTTTCAACATCTTGACTCCTCTCAGCGCTTTGCTGTCATTCCCGGCTCCGAGTCACGCACCTCCCACACACCATCTTTAAGTCCAAGTCCAACATACTATGTTCCACCTCAGAGTCTTCAAGTTGGAGGACTTGGAGGACATCCTGTAGCTGCAACACACTCACCTTCATCTAGTTCCACTGGCATCACTGGTGCCAGCAAGAACCATGGTGCCATTGCATCCAAACAACTTGGACTTGGACATCCGGGATCTACTAGTACTCTCCCATCCACCCGCACTACTTCACAGCATCTCCCCACCCATGGCCTTGTGATCCCACGGGTGCCATTTGCGCATGCAAATGGCACAACCAGCCCAAAGAACAGGTCCTGGAAGGACATTGTTGAACACTGGCTCGTTGGCGATCCCAACAGGGGACTGAAGACTGCCACTGAAGGACTGGCCAAAGGAGTGGTACCAGGGCGTCAATCGACAGTTCGCATCAAAATACCATCAAAGGTCGACCATAGCGCTGGAATTCATCAACGAGTGAGTTCACACTGATATCCACTCCATTCGCACTGCTCACCATCCTTTTTTTCAGCTCCAGGTATGATTCGAATGAAACACGCTTCCTCGCAGCTTATCCAGAGGCTGAGCTGGGGCACATGCAGCTGCTCAAGGCTATCGACAAGGCACACACTGCACGAGGGGAGCACATTTTGCGCAGAAAGTAATGGCAGCCCTTCCATTTTTAATATTCAACAGTTGCTACTACTAGATCTACTGGTACCATACTCTCTACCATACTATAGCTACCCATCTCACATGTCGTCGTCGTTCTAATTCAGTGTGCCTCGTTTTTTTCAGTCAGAACTCATGCCGTGACGCTAACCCTGGTCATGTGCCAGCGAGGTTGCAGAACCTCGTCCAAAAAAGGTAAGCGATCGGTCTCACGTGACTTCGCTTGGCCCTTTGGCTGAGCGCCACCGTAAATTTCTCGACATAAGTTTGATTAACACCGGTATTATCCTACCATGTATTCTCATTGAGATCTAGAAAATTCACATTTACGATGTAATAGGAAGCTTGAAATCGCAGAAAGTGACCCAACTGCGAAAAGAGTGAGAGGTATATACCGGACAATCAGAAAAGAGCGTTCGTTCTGTCCATTCTGCCCGTACCGTACAATCCAGATGGCAACACAACATAAATGGTATGTCCTTGGGGCCTGTTGTCAAGGAAAACATGGACATAATCTGTAGAGCTCTGGCATTATGTCATGAATACCTTTGAGACGATCAGCAGCACATTTCAGTGTGATCATGGTTGTCGAATAATATGATGGGGACAGAAAACGGATAACACAAAACGTACAGGACCTACAGAACGACCAGTCTTCGACTGATACAATCCCTTCCACCGTCCAATAGCTATCTAAGTAGACAGATAGAGTACACGAGTCACTGCATGCACCGAAATTTCGAGAGGAAGCGGATCTAAACCGGTAGGTAGTAGTAGATGCAAGAAAATGAATAGGAATAGTACGTGCCATCGCGCAATAACTTGTTGAAACAACAAGGGGATAAAGAGACCAAACACTCTGGCATCTTGACGAATACAATGTGGCGTAATTTCCTTGGTTCACAGTTCGGAAGTTAAATATATGTAACTTGTTTTCAGTGCCAGTGAATGTCGAAATATCCCATGCGTATCGTGCGCTCTTGTGATAGAGAAGATAACCAGCAGAGTGCTAGTACTGAGTGCTGGCACACAGTGGCATAGACATAAAGTACACAGCCTGAGCCTACAATGCCCTACATACGGCGGACAATGTAGTAGCATCACGTGACCATTGACACGAACTTCAATCTTCGATTCCAGTTCTGAATCAGTACATCAACCATGGAAATATCACTAGCTACTTTCGACCTCCCAGAATGCTTGCCTAATCTCATGCCATTCCACATCTCTCACTCAGGGCCGGCACCAATATCTACGTACTTTCGTGTCAAGCCCTCGCTTTCTAGCCCGCACCTTTCGCTTACACAAAACACGTCCAATGACACACACCTGTCCACAGACGACAGCCAGAACACCCTCGTTGCTGAAGAGTCGCAATGTTCCCTGGCCACAATCGCCGAATCACAGTCTGCTTCATTAGAGGAGGATTCACAAGGATGTACTGCAAGAGTGGGCGCTATGGTAGTCGACGCGGATTCTGGGACTCAGGCTAGCTCATCGAGCGAAGTAGCTCGCGCGCCACCTCCTGTAGAAGGTAGTCTCAGTAATAGTTTTATCGCAGCATTCAGAGGAAGGCAGGTACACGGTCGTACCGTGGACCTGCCGCAAGGATACGGTGGCATAGTCCTTAGTGCACCGAGCGGCGATGCAAAGAGTCAAGGCGATGAAACTGGGACGGTTAAAACAATGGCTCAAACAAAAGGCAAGCGTCGAACAACACGAACATGCAGCCGACAGATGGAGACAGATGAAGACGATGCGGTGGACGCAAATCATGACGGCTCACGTGTTGAAATTCGGAGACTGACCCCGGTCTCGAGGTTTTCTTCCTTTACTGTTTGGTCCCCAGATATACCGGTGGATGAGGGCAAGGATGAGTACCTTAGATCCCTGACGGAGTGGACAAAGTTAGCGGCAGAGGTACGCTTTCCTATATATTCAGTTAGCGTGTTGTCATTCATCTTCAAAGATTCACGCCTATGACGCATAATATGGAACCGAATGCTTGAACGATATGTTACTATACGAGTCAGCTGTCGGTCTTGGTTTGGCTAATCTTGACACTCCATCATGCACAGCAATTGACTTGATCTATGTCTTTTTGCCTTCAAGTCTTTAAGGCTAGATCTTGCCGCTAGTTTCAAGATTTACTCTCGAAGCTCGGTATGACACACTGAAGCGGCTCCACTAAATTTGCTAGGTTGTGTTGTCCAATGTTCATTCCATCACATATTCAATCAGGTGTGAAACTTTACCTGTCTTGATGGGAATGGCGGTGGCAGTAGAACTTCGTGTCCCTGAGCCTGATAAATCAACCATGGTCCCCATCGTTACCTACTTTGGTGTCGATCATGATCCGTGATGATGGTGCTGAGTCGCTCTGTTGTTTGCTCGTTGTTAGCGAGCGGTCGAGGAGAACTTGAAGACAGTGGACTCCAGAGTGCCTAGTGCCTGCATGATGCCCTAGCTGAATCTACCTAGCATCGCTAATATTGCTGTAGTATGACAGGTTTTGCGCCTCGCTTGTGTCAGTATTTTCTGTGTAAACCACCGGCAGCAATCAGTCACATATGACTTTGGCAGGGGGCTAACAACTGAACACAGCCGCCGGTCTGACGTACGTGGAAAAACTTGGTTCCGCGAATTTCTTCCTCACCCGCTAGTACCCATTATAAGTTTCTATATCAAATTCCTCACACTTTGCCAGTCGCTCTTTTACTACTTGCTGAGTCTTCCGAATCGTCCTGACTATAATCTTTCAGTAAGTCGCAACGTGTTCATCATTGCTGTACCTTTAATGATGGGCGCACCACCTTGCATTTTTATCAACCTCAGTTTAAAGCACACTCCTTTCATACAAAAATAACCATGTTGGCTGCCCTCGCGTTGATCATTTTGGCCTCGTCTACTGCTCTGTTCGTACATGCTGATCCAGACCCAACCAATCCTGGACCTGGAGATGTCTTCATCGAGGGCCAGACTTGCTCTATAAACTGGAACCCGGATACCACTGGCGCATGGAAGAATATGATCATTCAGTTGAAGACGGGAGACAACTTCAACATGGTCAACTTGACCAGTCTGTTCATATACTCGGTCATGAGATACTAACGTCAACTGTTCATAGCGGTGGGCACCGTTGACGGAACGGACGCGACGAAGACCTCATTCTCCTATCCTTGTCCTAAGGTTGGTGGTGTCTCATTCCAGTCTGAGACACATTGTAATCGTACTTATCCTTCCAGGTCACACCCCACTCGCCTATCTACTTTTACCAGTTCTCTTCTACGGCTTCCGCCAACAGTGTCTGGACTGGACGGTTCACGATCACTGACAGCGTAACTGACATCGTCACTGCGGCTGAGAGCACTCAACCTGACGGCTCGGCCATTCCTTGGGGTACCGGTTCACTCGTCAATTCGACTTCAACCACCACCGTTGGTACCACAAGCTCCATGCCGGCTACAGTCAGTGCAATTGAAACACCGAGTGCCGTTTCTTCCGTAAGTAATTAATGCCAGTCTCTCCGGTAGCAGAACAGACTCACCCAGCAGCGTTTTTAGAGCGCTAGCGATAGTACCTCGACTGTATCTACAACTCCGACACCATCCTCTGGTTCGCAAGCAACTGGCGGTGGACTCGACTTGGCGGCGCAAAGCATCGGCTGGAAGACTGCTTTAACACTGGGCGTCTCGGCACTGGGCTTCTCTTTGATGCTTTAGATTCATGACCTCACGATTAGTACAGACCCCCACTTCATGTTACCACAGCATGCCGGATACCCGTCTCTACTCGCAATCTCCAAGTCATCTATCTCACTGTATCTGTTTTAAACCTTGGGTCTGCGGCGTGTATGCTCGATAGGGCACATATTGTTCATTTATCTGGGTCGTTTCTCTGTCGGTATTCTATCTTCGTCTTTATACCACAGACAATACTACCTTATTGCTAAATTATAGTGATGCTCTAGATGCTTTTGCTGTAATCTTCAAACCAGTGGTGATCCAGTTCGATTGCTTCACCCCTGAACCAATGGGCTGCATCAAATGAGTCTTAGACTGGTGACCAGCCTGGTAAACCGTCGATGAGACTGGTAAAACTGGGTTCGAATTTGAATACTGAGCGGATTCCCAGGATAACGTGACGGATAAACCTTTTTGGGCATATAATAATCAGAGACCACGTGAACCTTTACTAAGGTATTGCTAAGTCTTAACACAGTGAGGAAACTAACATTTTAACACCTTTTGCCGCCAGTGAAATTACTTTCGAAAGGTATTCTAGAGTGCTTTTGAACGCTAGGCATGCTCTAGCCAGTCCAGATCTGCTTTTAATTGAAATCTTGCAAGAGGTAAAATGTTGAAACCCCCGATGCTGTAAGTCTTTGTCGCACCGACGTCACGGTCGACAGTCGAGCGCGCTAACCGCTCAGTATCCAAATTCAAGCCCAGCTTTACCAGTCTGTCTATCGACTGTAACGGTTTACCTCATAAACAGGCTGGTCACCAGTCTATGAGTCTCTCCCCGCGAACGTGCCGCACACCACGGTTCAGGTGCAGGGCGAAAGTTGGCAGGGCCGAACACGATATCATATTACATCACTGTTGCCGGTGATGGTAACGCACAGGTCTTATCTTGTGTCCGAACTAGGCTCCGAGTCGGAACCATACTCTGATGGATAAATAAATATATAAACCAAGGGCTCTTCTGAACTCGTTCGAGTGGAACTTGCTGTTAGAATCGACGTCTGTACTGTATTTGACGCGACATAACGAATCTTCTACGACCACCATGTCAGACCCCGTTGCTTCGAATTCTAGCTCCCTGTGCAAGTATATGAAGGACTATCCTCGTACACTGGTTGCATATGTCAAATATTTTGGGAAAGTCAAGGACAATGTGGTCACCGCCGAGATGTCTGGCATTGACTCAAAGGTCAGTCTAGAACAATGTACTTTCAGCGCTTAAGTGGTACTAACAAATATTCCAGGGCATGACACTTATATACAAGCTCCAGTCTGGGCTTCCAACTTCAATTCGGGTGCCATTTAAGCCAGCGCTCTCGGGATACGATGATGCCAAACCCCGCCTTTTGACCATGAAGGCAGAGGCGCTCGAAGGCCTTGGTATGGTACGTGTTCGCAAGCAACACTGCTTTCAATTCGTCGTGTTTCTGATGGCGTATGCATCCATTTTAGCTTAAAGTCCCTCAATTGACTACGTTCCGGTTTCCTCCCAAAGCTATCATGACACCATTCGTCTTCCTCGCGTACTTTTATCTACTTGCAGCACCACCCCCTGGCACAACATTGTTCTCCATCCCTGCCACCACCTTGGACACGGTCTTCACCCCAGCAAACGCGTTTAGAAACCTCACCGGTATCGGTTTTTCTGTTCAAACTCTCGCCACGATACTCGGTGTTATTCACACCGCTGAAGGGCTGTATACCTTGACACTTTGTAGGCGTTATGTAAAAGGCGCTCTAGTAACGGTGAGTGTGTCTATCAAGTCTTCGAGTCTTGTGCTTGAACTCTATGTCCAGGCTCTTTATGTAGGCTGTTCTGTATTGTTCGGAGTTCATATATGGAAGGACCTCAAGAAACGCGCTCAGGACAAACGCACTGAAGCCGCTGCAAAGTTCGAATAATTGACATGCATGCTCTTTGCCGAAATGTGTTGAAACATTTGGTCCGCGGAGTATCGCGCTGTAGGCTACAAAAATCAGTTAGGCCCTTGAGTATTTGAAGCTTACTAGTTTCTTGGTGGTTCAAGGTGGAGACCTTTTTTTTGTTATGATGTTCAGCTACCGAATTGTCAATTTAATCTCAGTAGCGGTATCACTCGACGTTGTGGTGAGCCGTTCAAAGTCAAACAACGTGACTACAGTTCCTAAATGTGTAGGTCACAGAACACGTGACTTAAGCCTCGAGTGTCTTCCAAGTTCTCTTTTACAATTATTATTGTGACCATCATGATCATGTTTTTTGGATCTGTGCAGGATTTCAGGTGAACATTCGCACCAGATCACAACAGACATCGAAAGGTTTAATGATTATCTTTTTCATATCTGGTCTGTTTGACATTGCCTTCTAACATGTCGCTGGTAGACTGGAGGGAAGCTGAGGCACCAATCGTTGTGTCGAGGTCTGGATAAGACTTATCTTGAAACACCTGTGAGCCTGGAGCCAGCCTTCCGCCATACGTTCCGTTGCCTTTCCTCGGCAATAATAGCCTAGGGTCATGTGGTTTGTTGTACGTTCTTCATATATATAGCGTTGCGTTTTGGTTCTCACCATGATTCGGACTTGAAGACTCCCCTGTCGATACTGTCTGACCTCTAAGCGATAACGCGCACCTACTATGACTAGAAAAATTTTCGTTGGATTCGGCGTAGATGTTGACGCTGTGGCTGGTTGGTGTGTTGTTTTCTGTCCGTAGGTGATAAGAGTTAGTGATGGAGATTACGATGCAGGCTTGGGTCCTATGGAGGAGAAGATTCGCCATTGGACGTCTCTCGAGTATGCTCGCATTGATGCTACATTATTGTGAGCTTAAATCAGCGCAGGGCATGTATGCGGGAGAAGTTGGAGTGCCTCGTCTTCTGAAGTTGTTTGATAAGTATAACATCAAAACAACCTGGTTCATTCCCGGTTGGTCTCAAGTTCGATGCTTCCAAGACACAATGAACTGACGGACGGTATGTGTAGGTCATAGCTTGGAGACATTTCCGAAGCAAATGGAAGCAGTTCGAGATGCTGGTCATGAAATGTGAGCTTCCTTGGATGAGGAGATCCATATCTTTATCATGTCATGTGCAGAGGACTTCATGGATACTCCCATGAGGTAAGTGGTGATGATATTAATATATTGAGCAAAGAACTGACTGTTCACGAAGAACCCTGTCTCTATGACTCTGGAACAACAGCGAGACATTTTGGACCATACCTTTGAGCTTCTTACGAAATTCAATCACGGTATCCCTCCGAAGGGCAGTGTCGCCCCTTGGTGGGAAACCAGTAAGGAGGGGTCGGTGTTGTTACTAGAAAAGGGCATTGAATATGGTCACCATGTCACTATTCATTTCAAGCGAGGTATTGACACCTTTTTAAACAGACCACTCCAATATGTGCCACGAGTTAGTCAGTGTACCAGTCGTGAAATGCTCAGCCTGACCTCCTTCCAGTTCGCAAATGTATTATCTTCGTGATGAAGATACGTGGACAAAAATAGATTATCAGGCGAAAGCTCAAACGTGGATGAAGCCGCTGCAAAGGGGCAAAGAGACTGGGCTCGTTGAGATCCCAGCTAACTGGTCCGTCGGATTCATTGTCAATGTGTTCCCCACTGATTTGATACTGATTATGCGTGTGATAAGGTACCTTGACGATCTTCCCCCTATGATGTAAGACGCAAGTCGTGCACCAAAGCAACATGCTCACACTAGTCAAGGTTCATCAAATCAAACTCAAACTCTCATGGTTGGGTATGTCAACACGTTTAAAAACCTTCTCGTGTCTATTCATGCATCCGTCAGGTCAGCACTCAAGCTGTTGAGCAGCTTTGGAAAGATACATTCACTTACCTATATAGGTAAGGTCAGATTAGTAGGTTTCGGCCCCTCGTTGATTTATAGCGAACAGAGAAGAGAAGGATTTTGTATTTCCCATCAGCATCCACCCGGACGTTAGCGGGTTAGTCCACTTTTTTTGTCATCTGTGCGTTCTGACCTCGGTCTTTGACACAGTCGTCCACACGTACTTTTGATGCTGGTATATCTCACTCGACGTCCTCCTTGTTCTCGAACTCATTAGTGGTCACAGGAGAGTTTTATCGAATGGGTCAATACTCACGATGACGTCCAGTGGCTAACTTTTTATGAAATGGCTCAAGATTTCAGGGCCACGCACGAGCCAGCACCGGGCGCCGTCATGCCTAAGGGCTTTAAGAAGGCCTAAGCTTGTCTGTACAATGCAATACGTTTTTCGCGTTGAGATGTCTTCAGGCACTGTTGAATGTTTACTAGTGATTTGTATCAACTTGTTCTTGCGACTTCTACGTTTCGAAATCCATTGCGATGACTTGCGATGGCCCATATCGATTGCATCATGATGCATGATGGCTTACAGGACTGCAATAAACTCTTTTGACCAAAAGCACCGACTAATTTGTATTTCGTTTTTAAAACAAATTCACCAGATATTTATCATGCAGCTCGGGGATCATCATTCTTAGATTACAAGAGTGCGAAAATTCAACAATATTTAGGATTCACCAGGCAATATCTTTGCAATGTTCATCAACTCGGCCCATCTCCCGTCTTTCGCCCATACGATGCTTTGGTCCTCTTGCATAGTCAGAGCTTCATCAAGCCCATGCATTGGCTTGCCCTGTTGCTCGAGTGCGGCAATCTCCTTGTCGAATGCGTCAAGCCATTCAATCGCCTTCTTCATCTGTGGATAATTCATGCTCGGAATACGAAGAGCCCAGAAGCAGCGGTCAGTTGCATGCGTGACCCAACCTGTTGCACGAGTCTCAGTAATCATCTCATAACCCTACAGATCCTGATATACCTTTTGGACGGAGTTGTTCTGGAGTCCAGCGGATCGCATATCTGAGAATTGGGAACCCTGCCTGTTGGAAATCTCTTGCAAACATCCTCACGGGGATGTGCACTTGTCCGTCACTCAGAATTTCTCCCATGTGCCTCATCGATTCTTCAACAGTTGCTGTACTCGGGAGCGTCCGGTACATGTTCACGAGCCTCTCAACAACAGGTCGCGGGAAGTACCGCAAGATATTAGGGAATACATCCTGTGGACCTTGAACCGGGTGCGCGATCGCATAAAGGTACCATTCCTCGCTCAGATCGCCAATAGAAATGCTCTTGACTCCTTTCTCGCGCAGAGCACGAGCAAGGCCTCCAGACCGTTGCCAGGTCATTGGATCGGGTGTGGTAGGGATCCAATTGCCATCAAGACATCCTCGGTACGTGCCGTGCTCCACACCAACTTCGTCTGTCTCTATTACCTTCATCATGGCTTTGATAGGGACCTTGACAGGGTCTCTCAGAGTCTCCAAAACGTCAGGGGCATTAGGATCGAGATTGAGAGCGCGGCAAAGGGCTTGGAAGGACTGCCTCAGCTCCAACGGGGTTTTAGGGACAGTCCTGCGGGCAATGAGTAAGTTAACAATAAGTGATAAAAGTAACTCACATCATCGCGTTTGATTGTAAATGAGCGGAACGGAACGGAGAATTCTGCCCTGGTGGCAGGTGTGAAAGGTGGTGCAAAATTTGGTGTACGGCATGGGCACCTGTTGTTTGTTGGCAATGATGTGAATTCAAACAAAATCCTCACTTACCAGCAGACAGCCCAGAAAGTTGGACATTACTTGGGTCACCTGCACACGTTGTCAGGATATCGACGAAATCTGACACGATGTGCGTTCAAGCATACCTCCAAATGATGCAATGTTCTCCGAAATCCACAGAAGCGCTAGCCATTGATCTTTGAAGCCAAAGTTTCCGTCTATCTTGGGCTCGTCGCATGCAAGGAAACCAAGCACCGAGAGCCTATAGCCGATGTTGATATGAATTTCCTTTCTTGACTCGGCCACGTATTGTGACTGGGAACTCAAGCCATGAGGTGAACCAAACTGAAGAAATCTGCGAAAATGGGTCACCGAGAGTTATACGTCTAGTATGTACAACGAACCCTCCGTGAATGTAAACTTTGACAGGAAGATTTGCTCCAGGTTTCGATGATGAATGGCACACAATATTGACAAAGAGGCTGAAGAATAAAGGTCCATTAGGTTTACAGCCGGAAACGATATCTTGAATCACTTACGGGTCCTCTGACGGCTCGCCATAGCCCTTACGATCAGCTGGTGCTGTCGCTGCACCCTGTCCATCATTTGAAGGCTGAACGCAGTCTGAGGCAGTTCCGTCTCGGGGCAATGATTTACAAGAGTTTGATGATTTCACATACGCTTAGTCTCATAGATGTAATCCTTATCTTCATATCGATAGTTAGAAGGTAGTGGCTTAGGGTCCTGAAAGCGAACGGGTGGCAATGCGTAGGGAACCTCTAGATACTTGGTTCAGTATAGAAACGCAAAGGATCTGATCGACAATCTCACCTAAGAACACTGAAGCGCCGTTCGTAGTTCTGCCACCCTTGATGGGACCGTACTTCGTCTCAACGACAACACTGACACCCTTCTGCAGTTCATCAGGGATGTGTGGGATAGGTGGGACAGCCATATCTGCTCGGGGTGTAAGTGACAAAACGACTTGAGAGGTTCGAGTTAAACTTGGCGGTGGGCCAGGGTGGACAATCTCAAGTTCTTATAGGATCCAAGATATGGACATACATGTGGAACCAAGGCATTATTGATCACAAGGTAGGAGCTATATATTCGAGCTACATGAATGGATAAGTGAAGCGGGATGTTCGGAACGCCTTCAATGCTTGTACTTGGGCGTGGTAAATGGTGGCGCATCCTATTTTGGCAAACCCCTCTGCGTTGCTTATCACCATATATGATTTTCGACCAGATACAGCTTTAGAGTCCATTCTACTATAGCCGTGCTTTATGTTTTACATATCCCTTTGGCATCATAGCACCCGGAGGAGGATCATTCTTCACCCTAAACCTTTCTGCCATCTCATGGAACGTAACCCACTTCACGTCGTCATGAGTATTAATCCATTCGATAAACCGTTCCTAAACGCAAAAATTCGTGTCAGCTATGTACGTTTGCAGGTCGTTATAGCTACTCACCAGCATGAGTAATACTTGGGGACGTCTAAATCAAACAAGAAATTAATTATTTTAAATGGGAAAGCAATGCATAAGGCGTACCCGCCCACATCCGGATGGATACTTAGCGGGAAAATAAAATCTTTTTCTTCCCTGTAGAGATACGTAAAGGTATCTTTCCAAAGCTGCTCGACAGTTTTGGGGGCCACCTAAGCGTGGTCAAATCAGTAATCAGTCAGAATAATTGTATCATGTTTTGCTTGCCCATCCATGAGAATTACTGCTAGCCTTCATGAACCTGTGTTTTGCGTCAACGAATCACGCTTTTCTACGAAGCATAAAATGCACATCATCGGTGTCATGTCTTCGAGGTACCTTTGATAGAAACTGAGTCATGATTTATCACTCCGGAAAGGGACAGTTTTACCAGCTAGCAGGTATTTCAACGAGACCTGTTTCTTTTCCCCTCACAAGAGGCTTCATCCACGTGCGCGCCTTCGCCTTGTAGTCGATTTTGGTCCACGTATCTTGGTCACGAAGGTAGTGTGCCTGAGAGCTGCGAACACTGTAATCAATATCCAAGCGGGGTATACATATCCTAGATCCTCACTCGCGAGACATGTTCGAATGATCTACATGGAAGTATCAGTACGACCCAGCATTGTGACACGACCTGTGAGCATACCATATTCGATTCCTTTCTCTAGAAGGAGGGCAACGCCTTCCTTGCTTGTCTGCCACCACGGTGCCACACTGCCCTTTGGAGGCACGCCATGGTTGAAGTCTGTGAGCAATTTGTATGTGTAATCAAGAATGTCACGTTGTTGCTCTGGCGTCAACGAATCTGGATTCTGTGTAAAATTGGCTGAGCCATCTGTCATAGTCCAGTTTGGTTAAGTGTGCTCAAGCACCTCGTGCGAATAACCATGGAGTCCGCTTGATAACTATCAGTTAATGGTGATCGTGACATGACACAGCAGTACTAACATTTCATGACCTGCGTCCCTGACAGCTGCCATCTCATTTGGGAACGTTTCCAAGCTATGACCTACACAATTAATGATGAGTCCTAGTAAGAAAATTAACTGAAACTCACCTGGGATAAACCAAGTAGCTTTGATGTTGTATTTATCAAGCAACTTCAATACTCGCCAAACGCCAACTTCACCCGCATACATGCCCTAAAAGATCATAGGAAAAATGACTTCCAAATCAAAAGTAATTTGATCATACGCGAGATATATCCAGGGGCGAGTCCTCGCCACCGTACGAGCCTAGCCTGAAGTGGCCGCATAGAATGCCAGTCATTTCGCAGCTCACAGATAATAAAACTTACCATCCAGCCACAGCATCTACATCAACACCGAAACCTATGAGGATCTCGCGGGGCATCTTATTAGGTTAGTGCTTCTGGTAAAAGAGACTAGAACAGTCTCTTTATATATCTTTAGAAAGACAACGGTGACAGAAGTGACTGTTGTGGCTCGCTCTAGCCACGATCATTGTAATATCTCTTGGGACTTTCTACACGTGTAGGTTATCAAACCAAGTTGATAGAACATTAATTCACGTCATTCAATATTCATCCACGTGAAGAAGTCTTCGACAACACGATGTACAACATTTCACAGACGCTGTGTAAAACCTTTAGGCATTACGGCACCTGGTGCTGGTTCTTTCGTGGCTCGAAATTCTTGAGCCATACCGTGTAAGGTTACCCAGTGTACGTTATCGTGGGTATTGACCCATTCAATAAAACGCTCCTATCACCAAATATTTAGAGAACAAGGAGCATGATGGATGGAACACACCAGCATAAGAAGCACGTGTGGACGACTGTACCCAAAAAAACTCAGAGATGTTCAAGTATGGAAGAGAGAAGACTGACCCGCTGACATCTGGGTGAATCGTGAGAGGGAACACGAAATCTTCCTCTTCTCTGAGTGGTGTGGTTAGACAGTAGATTGCAACACAGTTAGTATCATTACCTATACAGGTAAGTGAAAGTGTCTTTCCAAAGCTGTTCGACATCTCGAGTATTGACCTGTTGGATACATGAATGAAACACTTCAGGAGTGCTTCAAGCGTGATGACACACCCAACCATGGGAATTTGAGCTCGACTTGATGAACCTAGATTGATGTCAGTAAGTGGAACTTGTACGCGAGTCGCAGGATCTAACATCATTGGAGGAAGATCATCAAGGTACCTTTCCAAACGTGTAAGACGCATGGAAGGAAAGACACCAGTGATACGATCAACGAACCAGTTAGCAGGAATCTCGACGAGCCCCGTTTCCTTGCCCCTTTGCAGCGGCTTCATCCACGTGTGAGCTTTCGCCTGGTAGTCAATCTTCGTCCACGTATCTTCATCACGAAGATAATACATCTGCGAACTAAAAAGAAATGGAAGTATTACTATGAGCAATATGGCAGGACTGGTATACCGCCTTACTCGTGGGACATGTTGGAGTGATCTGTTAAAACGTTGTCAACACTTTACTTGAATCGAGCAGCAATATATTGTGACCGTATTCAATTCCCTTTTCTAACAACAGCGTCGTCCCCTCCTTGCTGGTTTCCCACCAAGGGGCGACACTGCCCTTCGGAGGAACGCCATGATTAAAATCAGTAAGGAGCTTGTATGTATGATCCAAAATATCTCGCTGTTGTTCTAGGGTCATAGAGACAGGGTTCTTTGGAAATATTCAATTATATGCCTAATGTTAATACCATCACCACTTACCTCATGGGAATATCCATGGAGACCTCTGCGCATGACATGAGAAAGATAAGGACCTCCGCGCTCAAGGAAGCTCACATCTCATGACCGGCATCTCGAACTGTTTCCATTTGCGTTGGAAATGTCTCCAAGCTATGTCCTATATATGCGTTCGATTAATTACACGTGTCTTGAGAACGTTGAACTTATGACCGACCGGGGATGAACCAGGTTGTTTTGATCTTGTACTTATCAAACAGCTTCAGAAGGCGAGGCACTCCGACTTCTCCCGCGTACATTCCCTGCTCTATTTGAGCTCCCAGTCATATAAAGACTTTACGGTGACCATACTCGTGAGATATCCAATGGAGAATCTTCTCCTCCATAGGACCCAAGCCTGCATGATAGTCCTCAGCGCTGATTCTTTTGATAATCAAACGGAGGACAGCATACCAGCCAGCCACTGCATCAACGTCTACGCCAAATCCAATGAGAACTTTTCTAGGCATTGGGTGTTCGTGGGCTGAGTCGCAAGAAGAATCAGGTGGTGTTGGTAGGGAATCTTTCAAGTCCTGGTCATGGTGAGAATGATAACACAACGATATATATATGAGGGAACGTACGGTAGAGTCCCATGACCCTCGTCAAGGACCGGGAACGGGACTCGGAGGTGCAGTGAACGCTGGCCGATAGATAGAGCCACTATAGAGGTTTGGCCTTGGCAGAGCCACGGCCGTTTGTGGCTTACATAAGCACTTAATTGAGGTAGTCCCCGCCGTTTCAATCATTTCTGATCTATCATGGTTGAGGGAGTCGTGTTGACTCGTGCGCGTGAGGCGTCGTTACTCATCTTGTTATCATGAACAGTCATCCGCGCCAAGGACTACCAAGAGATAAGTGATATTTTTACTTGACGCGTATCATTCTGGCAGATGACAGAATCAGGACACGACCAAGCGCCCATCATGCGTGGCCTTATCTCCAACTGGACTGTTATATAATGTGCCGTAAAAGAAGTGTGCTTGAAGAACCCAGCAGTGTCGTGTCCGAGATTCATCGATAAAATCGATAAAAATGTCGATCAGCGAGAAGCAGGTAGAGGTCAGCGTCAAGAGCTACTCCGCTCCACCACGTAATGCAGATGATACACTACTCGCTGAACTTGGCTACAGAGCCGAGTTTAAGCGCGAGTTCTCGGTCAGTGTTACTCAACTTGCCCTCCGTATGGAAGCGAATACAATTCCGTCCAGATGATCGAGACAATCGCTTTTGCCTTCTCAATCATGGGTGTGGTGGCTTCGGTATCATCGACATTCTCATTTCCATTGGTCTCAGGTGTGTCTGTACTCTTCAGTGGAAGTCGCGAGTCAACCATCCGTACTAGGTGGGCACGTTGGAATGGTCTGGGGATGGTTCATTCCCTGTTTCTTTGTGATGGCGGTGGCATCTTCAATGGCGGAGCTGGTATCATCAATGCCGTAAATGTGTTTATCACCTTTCAGAATACCTCACATACGCGTTTTCACCTAGGACTTCTGCTGGCCTCTATTACTTTTCCGCTAAACTCGCACCGCCGAAATACTCTGCATTAGCGAGCTGGATCACAGGTTGGAAAAATATTTCATTAAATAATATAAACCCTTATCTCATCATGGGGTTTCCACTTCCCAGGATGGGCCAATATCACGGGTCAAGTTACTCTCGTGTGTTCCATTGACTTTACATGGTTCGTTAAGCGGTACTACACTTCCTGTCACTTACTTTGTGCAGTGCACAGATGATCACTACCGCGATTGCCGTAAGCTCTGATGGAGCAACGATAGTGAGCTCTGGTGCCACATACGGCATCTTACTTATCATTCTATTTGCCCATGGCCTGGTATGCTCTGCTGCCACGAACGTATTGGCCCGCTTGAATTTGTTTTACGTGATCGTCAACGGCAAGTATTGATTTACAAGGAGTAGATGAACGTCCAGATCCCATCTTCTTTCTACAGTTGGTACCACTATAGCTGCCATCATTGCTTTACTTGTCTGTTCTGGCGATAACAAAGTATCCACGCAAGATGCCTTCACTATGTTCGAGAACAACACAGGATGGAGCAACAGTGAGCACTGGCCTGTAATCTGATGGCGCTGACCAATCGCGTGTCCAGGTGGATGGGCTTTCCTTCTTGCTTTCACAGCTCCAATGTGGACGCTCACGGGCTGTGCGTAGGCAGATGTTATCTGCGGATGTACTACTGACTTCATAGACTCCAGATGACTCCGCTGCGCACATTGCTGAAGAGGTCGCCGGTGCTCAGCGTACGGCACCCATTGCAATACTCGTAGGTGTATTCGGGACGCAAGTACTAGGCTGGCTTCTTTTTATTGCGTGCTCCTTTGCAACGACTTCAGTGAGCGGCTTGTTGGCTGGTGCCTTACCACTTCCCATGGGCCAGCTCTTTTTTGATGTACTTGGGAAAAAAGGGATGCTGGCAATATGGAGTTGTATCATCGTTGTCCAGGTACGCTGATCATTGTCGTTATCTGTTTTCACATGAATAATCAGTCGATTAGTTCGTGACGGGAGCTGCACAAGGAGTCGATGCATCTCGTGTTATCTTTGCTTTTGCGAGAGATAACGCTCTTCCTGGCTCTCGTTGGTGGAAGCAGATTAATCGGCACACTCAAACTCCTGTAAATGCTGTCTGGTTGGTAATGATTGCTGCCGCCGTCTGCGGCTTGTTAGGCTTCTCTGCTGCCGCACTTTCGTCTCTTGCAGGGTACGTCGGATTTCACTTCGTAAAGTTCATATCCTCAGAATTTATCCATGTTCCAGGGCCTCCGTCATCGGCTTGTACGTGTCTTATGCAACACCTATCTTCCTTCGTATCACATCGGGCCGTGACAAGCTGGTTCCTGGCACATTCAGCCTGGGAAGGTGGTATATGCCTATTGGGATCATAGCGGTTGCATGGGTATCATTCATTGTTGTATTATTACTCTTCCCCCCAACACAAACAGCCACACCGGCAGGGATGAGTGCGTATATCGACTGATTCTGATGGCCTTGATCAGGTTGCTGACAGGATGGTACAGACTACGCTGTTGTGATTATCATGGGCGTTTTCGTCTTTGCGTCTATCTCTTGGATCGTTTCAGCACACAAGTGGTTCCATGGTCCGATCAAGAATATTAATGACCCCAGATCGTCTTTAGAGGGGAAAGAGCTTTGAAAGGTGATAGTTGGTCCATTTTTGTCATAGCACATTCGTAGATGGCTAGTGGCGTAGGTACAATCAAATATCGTGCTCTAAATATCATGCTCCACGCCTGCAGAAGACGGTTCAGTTAAAACAAAGAAGCATTAATGTCTTCTTGTCCATGTGGTATTCAAATCCAGTAAGATCGGTAAGTATGTGATATGCAAGTAGTGCAATTATGCTGTCACAAATCAAGAATATAAGGTTACCAGCGAATGAACAGCCAGACCACCAATAGGCTCTCCGTATACACACGTGCACTAGTGACTAGGGTTAACCTTCTGTTTCAAGTATATATTACACGTGCGGCATGCATGTGTACCCTGTAAATGTGATGTACCCTCCATTTTTTCTTAACGTAGACCCCTAAAGGCTAAGTACGACAAAGCCATAGTGACGTTTTTAAGCCCGTGGTCAGTATGTAATCCGATACGTATCGATTCGCGAATCGCCACGTTTCGTGTGTCATGATGTATGCGAAGTGTCGGGTGAGGATGTCATCCTGTGGTGCCAAAATTCTATTATGAATCGAGTACGTTAGCATACGACGTAAAAGAACAGCCCGAGTGATCAGTAGTACGTAGGATTGAGAATTTTGGTCTATACTTGTATAATGGAACGAGGCTGGCAGCTACAGCTGTGCATTGCGTATACTTATTGAGTCATGACTTGTCTGCCTTCTGTGATTTTGAAAGGGTCCGGCCTGCCTTTACTTAGCCTGATCAAATATCAGAGTTGAATTTCCCAACCGCGGTGCTGGATCGTGATCTTTATGACGGACCGTCCTGTTCGGCGTAGCGAACCGCTGACCTTTCAAAAACCACGATAGGAACAATTGCTCAACGGCGCAAGTACCATATGCTAGATATTGTACATGACCGTGATTGGATATCTATCCGATGATGTCGTACACTAGGCGAACGCAAATAGTGACTACTCTGCGGCCAAACGGCATTTGAAGCTGGACTAAACTAATAATGCATAGATGGAATCTCGAATGAAACAGGAAATGAAAACCAAGAAATTTATTTTGTCGAGAGGAAAACAGCTAACTTGATCTGAGGTAAAGCGAATCTTCCCGCTTAATTCGCGACTTTACCCAAGGGGGTTTTTGCCATGACACTAATGACCTCGAAAAGTACCTGTGAAGCTAGGGTTAAAAATGGCTCGAAATTTTGACATACATAACGTACGTCGGCTGCAGCCATGGTCGTAAGCTCTGCATTGGTATCATATGCAGGAGCAACTTCAACAATATCGGCCGAAACAATGTGGAGACCATCCAGGCCTCTGATGATGGTGCGTAACTCGCGTGTAGACCAGCCTTCCGATAACTGAGCTTATCATCTAGATAATGATGTACGAACTCACCGCCGGTTTCCGGGGTGCCCGTGGCAGGAGCGAATGCGGGATCAATGGAATCGATCTATAATAAGTTGATTGAACGCCCGACAGCGAGATGAAATGCAAACACACATCGATGGATAGATAAACGGGTCGATCGCCGACGGTCTCCCGAATCCTTGCAATAATTCCGTCAGTGCCTACGAGATGTTCAGATAATGAGTAATGATAAATGATCGGTCGTCTTTTTCACCTATGGTGTCGATTTCACGGGCTTCGATTCGTCGGAAACCCGACGCGTCGTCATTAGCATAATCGGCTGGTCCTGATAGCGTGGTCCTAATAGCGCCGTGCTAGATATCCAATAAAAAAAACTAGGATCAAAGTATTCGGTGATAGATGTTGGGAGGTAAGAAGATAAGATACTTGCAATGGAGCTTCCGTTCTTAATCAGACCCTCCTGACTGGCCCAGTAAAAGTATGTGCCGTGGTTAATAGCGGCTTGGTCGGAAGGTGCGCCTCCAAACACAGATGGTTTCCAAGTATCTAAGTGGGAGTCAAAGTGGATGACAGAAATTGGTCCGTATGCGGAGTGAATAGACCTGGGTGCATGACATTGAGCAACAGTTACAAATCACCCGCTAAAAGCGAGACGAACCTGAGCAAAGGCAGAACAATCGTGTGGTCACCACCAAGTGTGACTACCCGTGGATGATTCTTTCCGTCGACCGAAATCGGTACGAGAGGTTTGCCGGTGAGAGCGTCGTTACCAAGTGGAGAAAAAGCAGGTCGGTGAAGGAGCTCCTTGTGCCCGCCTTCAATTTGCTGGATGGCGAACTTGTTGTCGTAGGGCGTGACTGGGATGTCACCGCAATCTACAATCTTGAGTCCAGCAAGAAATGGGTTGATTTCAAGGGGAACATTGTATCCTCCATACAAGGTCAACCGTCGGGATCCGGCACGAATACCAGCAGGCCCGAACCGGGCACCAGGGCGGTAGGATGTCCCTGTATCCTATGAATAATACTGGAATAAACCTTTTGAATAAATAGAGATATAATGACGTACAAAAGGGGCGCCGATAAACGCGATGTCAAAGGTAGTATCCCGGTCCTTGCCAAGACATTGTACCCATGGTAGCTTGGCGAATGTGGTAATTCCAGAAAAAATGGAGTCCGCGGTCACTGCATTACCAGTGAGCGGCAGCTACAAATGAGAAATTTTTACTGTATACCTTCATTATCGCCTGGGTACATGGCCTGGTAGGGGTATTTGACATAATTCAAAGGAATTTGGTCTTCGTGGTGATGGTCGTGGGCGAGGCCTACGGCAGCGAACACCAAAGCGAACAGAGTAATAGCTTGTGATTTCATCTCGGGGAAAAATTCTAGAGGGTATGTCCTGATGAGTTTCAATGATCGTTAGGTCACTTAAAAAGCTTTTCTTGCGGGAAAATTCTTGTATCTCATGACTCACCACTACGCCACGAGTATCACAAAAATTGGTGGTTCTGTTTTGATAACATCACAGGTGCAAGACGCTTTCTGCCATGAGGCAGAAAACGCAGTCACAATCTGCCAGATGAAGCTTATCAGGGATTGTGAAATGGCAATGCGTCGGAAAAATCGGCTCACAAAAATACTCTACTGGAGATGAGATCAAACACGATGCATGCCTCATTTTGAGAAGGAGACATGCTGTCCCAGAGGATTTCGAAAGGGAATCGGCATGAGACACTCCGAGGTTCCGTTATATAGTCCGTTGTCTCGGATTTTGCTATAAAACTGTGGAATTGGTCAGGGCTATTCCCCAAGTCTCGCATCATGTCACGTACTAGATCCATGGATGAAACGGCAACGCTCCTCCCCAACGCTCAGCGCACGCAGCAACAACTAAACGACCATGCCCTTCAGAATTTTCCCGAAGTGGCAAGAGAGAACCGAACAATCGGGCCCCGCCTTCTGGCCTCTCTTGTCATCGATTCAATCCCTGGTAGGCTGAACTTCATGAACTTCAAGAAGCATGCACTAACAACCGACGTCAATCAGTTATTTTGTCATATATTCTACAGAATTCTATCCAGACAGTGTCGATCGTGATCACAGGCCGCCTGGGCCCAGAAGAACTTTCTGCAGCGGCATTTGCGATGATGCTGGCCCACGTTACTGGCGAGTAGCCCTGTTGATTCTCTTCTGTGAGGATGATCCCACGTCTTGCAGGCTGGTGCATTGCACTGGGAGGGGGATCAGCCCTTGATACCTTAGGCTCTCAGGCATTTACTGGAGGAAGTCGAGCCACCGATCTGGCTGTGCATTTCCAGCGTTGCGTAGTGTTACTCTGGATCATTTTAATTCCCGTCGGCGTACTCTGGGCATTCATTGAACCTGTCTTGTTAGCTCTTAAAGAGCCCCCTCGTCTTTGCAGTAACGTGCAAGATATTCTGAGGGTCTTGATATTCGGCGCGCCTGGGTACATTGCTTTCGAGTCCCTCAAGAAATATCTGCAATGCCAAGGTCAGTCGTATGCCGAGCATTCGTCCGCTGACTTACAAGATATGCAGGTATTATGAAGGCCGCTACTTGGGTGCTGGTCATGGTATCGCCGATCAATATCGCCCTCAACGTTTTCCTAGTCCATTACACTCCATTGGGCATGCTCGGCTGCCCTGTTGCGCTTTCAATAACATACTGGTGTGCATTCTTCCTCTTGTGCGCAATGACATCGATTTCTTCCGTGCACAAACAAAACGCTACGTGGGGTGGCTTTCAACCCAAGGCCGTCTTCAACATCGAAAGCTGCGTTGAGTTCCTTAAGTTGGCGCTCCCAGGTATCTTAATGGTAGGCACAGAATGGTGAGTTGCGACTACCCCTAACTCAGATATCCCACTTACTGTGAGCAGGGCTGCATTCGAAATAGTAGCTCTTGCAGCAGGCCGGCTCGGAGAGCTTCCGCTGGCGGCGCAGTCTGTTATCATGACCACCGACCAAAGTATGGCGATTCCTTACACACCTCACAATGTATTGACCACATCCATAGTCATAAGCACGCTGCCTTTTGGATTCGGTTAGTGTCCAATGCGATAGACGATTCGTGCATCTGACATCTCGCCAGGGGTCGTCGCCTCAAACCGCATAGGAAACCTGATCGGGGCACGAACGGCCATCGGCGCAAGGAATGCAGCCCATGCTATTGCCTTCATCAGTGTCATCGTTGGCTTCGTAGTGATGGTCATCATGTTAGCAGCAAGAAACGTACGTCAACGATCGTCCCACGCTACGCTTTTTACTAAATGGCAGATAGAAATTTGGCTACATCTTTAGCGACGATGAGGACGTTGTCCGGCTTGTCAGCCAAGTAATGCCTCTAGTCGCTTCATTTCAAGTGAGTACATTTTTAGGCAAGATGTCTACAAACTGAAAGAGTACCGTAAGATTGCCGATGCTCTGGCAAATTCCTGCGGTGGTGTCCTTCGCGGTCAAGGTGAGCAAGCATTTGGTGTGAAATGGGAAGTTCACTTATCAATGTTTTCAGGCCGGCAACACCTTGGCGCCGTGTTTAACCTTGTTGCATACTACATTCTTGCATTGCCGATTGGAATCACCCTCGCATTCAAGACTGGCCTTGGCCTGCAGGGACTCTGGATCGGTGCGCATCCCATGCCTTTTGCGAAACTACTGCTCATCCTCATTCAGGTCAAGTCATCGGCCTCTTCACAGTAGGCCTATCTGAATATGGTGTGGTATGGCTCGGGACAAACTGGGACCGAGAAATACAGAAAGGAATCAAGAGGAACGCCGAAGAAGCAAAGCGAAGGGTGTTGGCTGAACGGATACGCCAGGAAGGCGGTCTAACGAATTAACCTGAGAGACTTCACAGGAGGCGAAGGACTGATAAAGAACGCGTGTTGGGATACAAACTTCGAATTCAATCGTCAATGGAAGTGACGAACGCTCGTCCTATATCTGCAGGAAATGGGTGTTATGCAGAATATAGAACACAAATAGTAATCAAATATCTTTTTATCCGTTAGCACGCGCGTGGCTTGCCTCCCATCAAGAAACTGGCCATAATATGAGAATATCGACCTCTGAGCGAACATCGTGTGAGATTGGTGACAAGTCCGCGGGTGACTCCAAACACGTTGGAGTAGAAGATGCCCATTACTTTACGTTGATCCAAGTAAATTACAGTTCATCCCTGGCAGGTTGTTCTGGTGATGTTTGGAGGATGTCTGCTGACCCGTCCAATATGGACCTAAAAAACTTGGTTAATGGCTCATACTTGGTCATCCCTGAGTAATTATATTTGTCAAGTAATCAAAGCCGTATACGCAAAGCACGCACCTTCATACAAAATTGGCACGCTGGATCCTGGTGGATACACAATGACTTTTGATGTCTTTCCCTCGACAGTCGCTGGGAATCCCAACGATACTGCAAATGCACCATCTGGGTCTGTATGATGGCCAAATGCAATCTTCTTCCAGTAATTATTCGCAAGGATCTGCCAAAGCAGCGGAAACTTCTTGTCCTTGTTCAAGAGAATAACACGTGGGAGATCGCTCGTCTGTGGGGGATGGGCGAGTCACATGAAGCCAAGAGGCAGGACATTTGAGAGTCAAACCTTGTCCAACCACGCTGGCATGTCATGGATATGCGGGAGAGATTTCACGTTGTTGGGCACGGAGCGCGAGGCCCAGCGGATAAACTTGCCAGAAGTACGTTCGTTGGAGTCGTATGGCTGAGGCTCGGCCAGGCCACCACGAGGGAAAACTTTGAGGGTTGGAAACCCTTGAACACCCTGAACGAGTGTCAGAAACAACCGCGCCGAAGCACCATTGCGATACGCACCTGTTCTGCGCACAACCGCTTGTTTGTCTCAACATCGCAGTCTACTGCATAAAATGGAACGAGTGGACTCAAATTCTGAGCGGCCTTGCTGTACTCGGGAGCCATTCGTTGGCAGTGCTGATGTGCTTGTTCGTCAGTTGAAACGAAACCATAATTCTGGAACCCACCCCACACCATGGGGCGACAAACGCAACTACGCTCGTCCTCTAGAGTAATTGAATGAGAATATTGGAGGGTAGATTCGATGCCGCCTACGTTACTCTTCATAGCCCTACGAAAACCTTTTGGGTCCAGCATCTTGACCTTGGTGTCAGGAGGAAATATGGCTGCAGACACCATCGTGGGCAATAACATCAGGAGCGGGGCGAGAGAAAATATAAGCATTGTGAAACAGGCCGATACTAGTAAACAAGCAGACGAGCCCGCCAGAGGGTGTAACGAGTCGAAGTAGATTTAGTGTGCACGTTACTAAATATATCATAATGGCCTGCGTCGGAGACTCGAGAACAAGACGCGCTGACGTGGCGTTCGGAATTGTCAACATCCCTGAATCGCATCAACACTAACTTCAAGTTGAAATTATGATGCTACTGTATGCAATAATCGTATGTATGTCTATGTTACTAGACGTATGTCCTGTGAGTGATCCTGGTGGCAAAATGCATGACTCGGATATAATACATCCTGCCACCGCCCAATGCTGAATCACTCTAAATCTTGACATCTTCGGCATTCAGCTCGATAGGTCCAGATACGTATCCATAAGCGACGAGAGCACACAGGCGACTAGGCCATACCATGATCATTGGCACCAGACATGCCATCACCGTCCTCGCCAAAAAAAGCTGACAAGGACCACACGGGGTGATATGCACGTCCTTCGGTGTACGGAAAAATTATCACCACATCTACCGCAAAGAGGAACATCAGCTCGAAGTAGATGATATTTGTTGACAGGGATATGCCTGCGTGCATATCAGCATCTGGGTTGAAATGGAGGCTTGTGCGGGAATTCGAGCCAAGCAGAGCTCGAGATGGCCACCGTGGACCATAACATCCGGGCTAATAAGGTTGTGCAAAAATACCAACGATAGGCTGTCACGGTCCTAACACACCTCGATGATCGGCAGCCCAGCCGATAGTAACGAGATTGGCATATTTGATGTCATGAAGACTCGGAAGCACTTCTATACTAGTTCCGACAAGTGATTGGAGTTGAATGTCGGATATGCCAAGACGAAGACCGTCATCGCAGATATTAGAGCAGCTAGCAGCCAGGCTAGTGGACCACCTTGTCCTCCACCATTTTTGACGAAGGAGGAGTTGGAGCACAGACACTGCGAGTGTACATGGTCGAGAGGATGTGATTGTCACCTTCCAGGCGGAAAATGGTGAAGAACGGCTACTTTGATATACTCATCAAAGACGTTGAAAAAATAGAGCAGTATACAAATCGTTATTAGGGTTTTCGCTAGGAGCAGTTTCTTTAAGTCAGCGTTACCGGTGACATAGTCACACTACTTTCATAATCACACATGTACATGTCTAGTACGAGGAGACGACAAAGACGGTGAACGAAGGTTGCAGCTCCAGATAAGGTCTATAAGGTCTACAATACTACAAGGCGCAGAGGTACGATCTCTATGTCAGACAGGTCGTTCTGAGGCCTCGAGGCTTTTCCACTGCCTCACTCAAGCATTGATAGCCTTCCTTCTTGACACAGGTTTCGTCCTCTTGCGTTTCTTCCCCTGATTGAACGCATTCGCAATTTTCAAGTCACGTCCGAGCACATCATCCTTCTTCACTTCATAAATGCGGACCTAAAACGCAGTCAGCTAAACACCGCAATTCAATCAATCACATCGAGACGCACAATCCAGTTTTCTGATGTATATGCCTCCTCGAGGTAATCCAACGTTGGGCCCTGGATAGGCACATGCTGTCCCCGCACACGATCCACGGGCTGTTGACCACCGAACAGCTCTGCAAAGCGATAGTAGCTCATTTTGTACATCAGACTGTCGCGCATCGCCGGGGCTGCCTCGCTGTCTACGCGGTACTCTCCGCGATTGAAGTAATTTGGCTCTTGGATCTCATCGGGCCAGACACCCTGTGCGATGCGTACCATCCAGAGGAACTTGTTGATGTCGTCGCCGCTGTACCCGATTAACCCACCGAAAATAACGAGCACGTAGCTGACATCGTGTTTGCGCAGGATAGGGTAGGCAATGTCCTCAGGCGACGCCATGGCTTTGCCCACTGTCGCAATGTGTGCTGTTGCACGAGTCAGTGTCAATTAGGGTTGTTACGTCATGGGAGAAACTCACTATTGTTCCAGGTGTTGTTGTCCACCAACGTCGGGCGATCTGCCATTCCTGCAATCTGGTAGCCATAGTCCCACCAACTCATGACAACTGCATCCTCCGCAGTGTTCTGCCTCAGCCAGTGGTACGCCTCTCTGAAATCATCAATAAGGTTCTTGTTTCCATCGGAGCTTGTCGAACTCAGCACAACGGATGGCGAAGAGTATGCGTTCGAAGTCACCCATGTGCAATGCACGACGAAGAAGAGAAGCAGTCCAAGCGAGTTCAAAAGAACGACTAGACGCGTGTCCATACCAAAGACGCCTTTTTCGGCACTAGTGGCGGATTTGGCAGAGGAGGCAACATTGGAGACAAGTTCGCCTAAGACACCGGCTGCGGATGCAGACACTTCCTTTTCCTTTTCTTTGTTCTTTTTCGTCTTCTTGGTAGTAGTGGGTGTAGCGGGTTTCGTAGTAGGTGTTACTTCAACGGAGTGAGTAGTCGAGGACTCACTCTTGTCGTCTTCAACATTGGGTTGAGTAGGGTCCAGATATGTATCCATGAGAGACGAGAGTGCTACGGCGGCAGACACACAGACGACTGGGGTGAGGGTAAGCATCAAACGCACCATCACACCTGCGAAGTAGCTGGCAACGACTGCGTAGATGATCACGAAGATGTGCTCGTCCCTCAGTGTACGGAAGCACATCACGACGCCGGCGGGGAAAAGGAAAATCAGGAAATGCAAGTCCATGAAGAACGAAGGCCATGCGGTAGGCTGGTGCTCGGATACTGAAGCAATGATGGGGATGTACCTGAGTGCCTAGTCAGTAATGGAGGGTTGTGCACAGGTATCTTCACATACTTCTTGGCATAGCCAGTGTCCCACAGGGAGTAGAATCGACCAGTCCAAGGGGCGATCCAGCCCTTATAAGTCAGACCAACAATCCCAAAGAAGCCGATCAGGCCAAGAGAAATGACCGCAGCAAGTAGTAATTCCTGGAACTGCTTTGAAGACACGTGTGCACGAACAAGTTGCGCGAAAGCAACGATCTGCAATAGCCCAAATACACCTGTAAAGGTGTTCAAAATAATGCGAGAAACGAGAATGATGAACGTACCGAGCGCAGCCATGTGTTCGCTAGTGCGGACAGGCTGGAAGCCAACGAAGGGGACCTGCATACTGGACAAGGTGCCGATTGCATACCAGGACGAATACGCAACATAAAGCCGGCCGGTGAAACGACCCATCAACAATAAGACGAGAGCGTGCAGAGGAATCATATTTGTGATGAACGCATACCCGCCTAGTGCACTGTTTGTCAGAATCTAAACTTAAAAAAATCATGTAGATGACAGCATACCCCATGCAGCCACCATGTAGAAGTAAAATACAGCAGCAATAGTGCCCCAAAATGCGCTTCCCTGCTTAAGTGCCTTGATCCACGCGAAAAAGGTAAACATGAGCAAGAATATGGCGATAGCCTCATTGTCATACGAGCCGGCGACGGAGCGCGAGATGTAACCCGGCACGATGCCGATGAACGCAGCTGCAAGAAGACCAGCACTTTCATCTTTCATTTCTTTCGTAAACCTGCGAGTGATAATAAATTGACTGTCATAATGGAATGCAGGGCGCGCGCACATGTACGTGGCCCAAGCGGTTAAGGCGCTAAATCCTGGAGCCAGAAGGACACAAACGTTGCGAATATCGACCGGGAGATTTAGTGCATGAAGTAAGTTGTATATTACACCGCTAGTTGCCATAAGACCGGGATAGATGGTTCCACCGACTACACGTCCAAGGGGGTACCATGCTGTTGGGTCAAACCAGTTCCAAAATTCCTGGAAAACACGACGTGTGAGGTACTAGTTGGAGAGCCTGGATGTGGTACTTACATAGAAACCTTGCGAGGCGAGAACCTTTGTTGCTCGACTGTAAAGGAGGCGCTGAGCACGCGAATAGGTACACAGAATCTACATACTAGTTAAACCATGGGTCACTGTTGAGAGTTCATTGTGTCAGTAGCTACACGTTCATGTATGGTTGCACGTACAATTCATGAATAATACTCTCGAAGTTGATAACAGCAAATAGACGAGAAGCAATAGCAGCGCCTGATATGAGGGCAAGCGCAATGATACGGAGGAGGGACGCGGTATTGGTAACGGTTGTAGGAGACAAATCAGAAGGGAGTGGGTAGGCAGCCGGCATGGCCGCTAGTGATATGATTGTCGACTGTCGTGGACTGTCTTTTTAGCAACGTTGAATGAAGAGACCGAAATATGAGCTGCAACCCTGTAGGTAATATGAAACTTGGCGTTAACCGAAAGTCGACGTGTCCAATGAATGTAGACTTTGACCCCTCTGTGGAGGGTCACACGCATCTGGCAGCAGCACTATTATTAGCTCTATAGTATGCTACTAGTGACTCATGACTTATGCGCTGTTCATAGTTGCTACAAGGTATCTTCGGTAGAAGTCTAACATGGATATGAGGGTAGGACGAGTTGGTGCAGCAGGCTTTTGGTACCAGTACTGCTTTTTCAATAACCCCCGCGGTCCAGGAATTCCGAGTCATCGTGGTTATCCATCATGTTATCCATCTGCAAGATCGGATACGCTGGAATATGGGCCCTAAATCTATTGGCAGTGAAGTGGTGCCTGCAGTGACCGGTGCCGCCGACCTAATATTAGTGCACAGAGACACTCACCTTCGAGATACGGCATACTCATTGAGTCAGGCTGGATCATGCCTGCTGGATCAAACGCTGGGGCAACGCACCCGGATCCAGCATTCGCACCCGGGTCAAACATCCTGGCATTTTGCTCTCGCCGGAGTTTAATAGTCCAGTATCACAAACCTACCCTCCACCTCGATAACGAACCACTGCCCTAATCAGCTTCAGTGCGTCATAAGGCAGTGACAATACCATTAGAACGCGCCATGTAAGTATTGATGGAATTTCTACAACAGTGTTAGTTCAACACGTGTCTCTCATCAACCTTCCATCTAGGGCAGGCGTGCGGAAGCCTCGAGGCGCAGCATGCAGCCCTCATAAGCGGTTCTAGATGCAACGGCATTCTACACTTTTCTTCCAGCTCTCTTCATCTTGTAACTCTTCAATAGCAGAACCACTATATTCACGTCCTGGCGACTGAATACATACCGAGCAATAACCACAGTTGTCTTGCCTTTCGGGTATATCTGTACCCTAATCCATCATTTCACGTTATTCGCAGGTTTATCAAATCATGCTCCCCATTACCGAATTCCAGTTTGCGTTCTGCGGGATCGCAACCTTTGCGGCCACCTTCGGTTACGCATGTGCTCGTAGAGCCTCCTCCCTGAGCGCTCAACCAAGCCGCGTCGATGTCGAACCGTGAGTCACGCAACCCAGCCGAGTAGTAGTAATCCATAACGCGGACTCAGCGAGGAGAAGTCTCTCAAACGTAAGCTCGATGAATCAGATGCCGAATCCGAGGAAGAGCAGGAGAGACCCGTCAAAAGGAGCAGAACGCCTCCCAACGACCACGAGGAGGAAGTAAGTTTTAATCGAAGACGATGCTATTGTCTTCATTTGTTGAGCAACTTCTGCTAGGAGTGGGAAGTTGTCATCCCACCTCCTTCATATCAAGAGGCCCAGAACGCGGCACCCCATCCTGAACCACTTGTTCGACAAGAAGTGTCCACAATTTCTCAAGTTGGGATCGCGCAAGTCGAAGAAGTTGCTCCAAGCGTTGATGAGGTAAAGTTAAGATTCAATTTGATCGTGCACCAGATTACTCAAATTAATCTTCTGCAGCCGGCTCCAGAAGCACATATTCCATCGGCTATCGTTGTTAACGAAAATGTTCAGCCAGTCGAACCACAGGAGGCTGAGTCACAAACCAAGCATCCCGAGTATCAGTCACAATCATTGAGGACCAATGAGCCCAGTGAGCCTCGCCCCGTTACGCCGCTGCCGCCGGCTTCCAAATCAGTCACACTTGGGCCGAACATCACTGCATTCTCATCTTTCGCAAACACCAAATCTCCTTTCACCAAGTATTCCAACACTCCCTTCCCGTCATCTACATCAGCGTTCGCACCTGCTTGGAGATGCGGCGAATCTCGTACTCCAAACTTTCCTGTTGATAATGCACATGTGCCGTGCCCGAATGATAATGCGCTCTCGCCCTCTCCAAACGAAGTTGCTGAGACATCTTCAGCTGGTGCTCTAGGTGACCGTGCACAGGCATCCACATCATCAAAAGTATCATCACGTGCGTCACCGCCTACGGCGACGTGGCCACTTCATTAATGTATAGTATCCCTAGTTGTAACCGGCGAGGAAGATGAATCCGTCTCCTCCGAGCTCAAAGGTGTCAAAATTTTCATAAAGCGCGGACGCAAAGAGTTTACGAATGGTAACTTTGGGCATATCAAAGTCCTGACGCAGAACGAACGCACACGCTTGCGTAAGTCATCTTCCTTGCAAAATATCGGTATTGATCATGGTGCGGTGTATCAGTATTCAGACGGGACCCCCTGGGCCAGGTGTCGATGAATGTAGCCTTGCGGTCTGCGGTGCGGTGCCATTATGATACAGGGGAAAATATTCTCCGAGTCGTACTGATGGAGCAGGTCGCTGTTGAGGGAAAGGAACCGAAAGATGAGGTTGTGATTTATGCCCTCAAGGTAGGTAACAGAACTAAAAGCCAAGAACAATTTGGTTAATCGGTCAACATGCAGCCGGGGCGTGCATCGAAGGCCGACTTTAAGGTTTTTGCTGAAACGCTCTGCGCAAACGAGTCTCTCAAGGCGGCGATATAATCCCCCTTTCCCCTTGGAGGTCAATGGCAGATGTCACGTGTCATGTCGCAAGATGCTGGGCATCTTCTTTAGGACGCAATATGCGTTCGGGCAGTAAGTTGCATGACAGTATGTCAACAACTTTGCCACACGTGTAAAATTGGCGCAGTCGGTGAAAGGCCTCAGCACGTCCAGACCACTGAACAGTTATGGATATCCCGACATTGTATATTGAATACCCACTAAAGATTGTACGAATTTTCGCTTCGCAACACATATTCTAGGCAAGTCTGTATGTTTACTCTATAGAATCATGATTCCGGTGCGAGGTTGTCGGAGACTCGAGAAGATCGCGGCTACGGCATGGTCAGAATAGCGACAGATCACAGCGCTCTCAGGAAGGGTGTAATGTGAATCTCTGATACTCCACCACAGTTTACTTGTTAACAAATGAAACTTATCGTTCGAATGCTTAGCACGGTAAAACTGTGGTGCATTGTGGAGTGACGACTACCTGAGATGTGACGAATGTCATTTCACAATAATCTGAGCTTCGTAACCATGCTGTGTTTGTGAGAGCTTAAACCGTCATGAAAGACCGCTTCAGAAGTGTGGAAACTGAGTTTGTAGGGCACAACTGAACGTCCATTTCCGCAGCTACGTTTTCGAGAATAGGTGATCGAGGCCATTTAAGGCAGGTTCTTATCCTATTTAACTCATCAGACCTTTCAGATATTACCTAGAACGTCGGAGAAAATAACGCTTGCTTTTGTTCAAGGGTTGCCTGTATGGGGTGTGTCGTCAGTTCCAGTAGCGGCTTGATATCACCTTCCGCCATCCATCATATTTCCTTTGGAGTCGTTCGTTGGTTACGGCCTGTCAGGTTCACCTGGCAATTCTAATGAGATGCTGAGCAAGATAAAGGGATAGGGTGAAATAAATGGCTGAATTGACACAGCGTCTGAAATCACATCACAATTCCAGATGCTGTAATTCGTTAGCTCTGCAATTAAGAGCGGTGTTAATAGTTGGTTACCGCAAATGTGAGAGAAGACATGTATGAACGTGTCGAAGTAGAAGTCTCACAAGTTAATCGTCATGGGAGGGGGGGCGACCAACCTTGAAATGTATGCACTGAGCAGCTAAGTAAGTGTTAGTGCCCATCTGTTGTTGGAAAGCTTGAATGGAAAAACAATAACCACATCAGTCTTGCAAGGGGTGCTCCAACAACAACCTACCTGAGTTTGAGCGGGAAAGAAAAGTTGCGGTCGAGGGCGTCGTGCGCAGAAGTTTTTCTAGGAACTTGATCGGGAGGGAAATCAAACTGCGAGGAACTGAGAGACCACGTAAGACCCTCGACACAACCGCATAGTGCGTATTTGGTCAATTCCAGACACCGTATCTCCGAATTGTAGCCTCAATTGACACATACCTGTGCAGCATCTTAGGACTCCAAAATCACAAACATGACGTCTCTACCAGTTCACCTTGCAGGGGACAGGATACGGAATCCCAACCAGCAGCCCCAATCATACGTGTTCGACCATCTTCGGTGAAAGTGCGAACTATTGAGACCTTTTGCAGACCAGGAAGTTGTGTATTCTTTTTTTTTTATCGAATCCACTCGCGTTTGGGGCGCTGTGCAGGAAGCGTGAAAAGCTGATCGTCACAAATGATGATTATATCTCTTCGATTTCCTAGGTCAAATATATTGGACGAGGCACAGGAAAATAGTTTCGCATGTAGCTGAAGAATAGTACCAGGAACAACTTGTCAAGTTGGAAGCTCACTATACGGACTCGGAGGTCACATGATGTAGATGTGTCAGGTCACGGTGGTAGCTCGGGTAGCACTAGGCTAACTTGAAGACTGCCGCATCAGCATTTGAATGTGTTTTCTGTTGTTTCTCCTCAGCTTGCCTAGTGAGCGACTCGCAACCAGTACGCAAGTTTTGAGCGGTAGTTCAGAAGTTTCTCCATTCTCTTCATCTTGCTTTCTTCGCTCGCCACACCATGGCCCGCGGCTTCAAATCCCCCGCTGCTCAAGTACCACTACCTAAAGTGTCATTCATTGTTGTCCAGGATGATGATATCAACCAACCAGCTGGAGTGCACGACCTCCAAGCTAGATCTTACGGATGTATGCAATGTATATGCTTTGTCAAATCACTCGAGCTAACTCCTTCGCAGACAACGACTTCACCGAATTCCTAAGACCGGATCATTACATTCGATACATCGGTGAGCATGTTCACGTGTAATATATGTATTTTTATTTGACGCAAAATAGAGCCCCTCGAGAAAGACCTTGCCATTCAGGTTGAATATGACATGGACGACCAAGGTGGGCACACTCTTACCCCTCTTTCATTCCATTAATATGTTAGAGCAGATCAGGAATGGCTTGACGCAGTGAACCTTGAAAGGAAAAAGGACCAACTGAATGCGGTCACGTACGAGACGTTTGAGATTATCATGGATCGCCTGGAGAAAGAGTACTTCGACTTGGTATGCCCTTCCGTACCACATATAGGCTCCTTTCATTTTACCACTATGCAGACCAAGAATATACCCAAATCTGATTATGCCATGCCTTCGGAGGATTCGACTTGTGCCATCTGTGACGATTCCGAGGGGGAAAACAGCAATGCTATTGTATTTTGTGATGGTTGCAACCTCGCCGTTCATCAGGGTATTTCCCTCGAACCTTTGAACATATTAACTTCACTTATGTACCAACAGACTGCTATGGAGTCCCGTATATACCTGAAGGCCAGTGGTTATGTCGCAAGTGTACCGTCTCCCCAGAGAATCCAGTGGTGAGGGGGATGTTGAAAGGGCATGCATCTTTCACTAACGGATCTCCAGTCATGCATACTTTGCCCCAACGAGGGGGGAGCGTTCAAACAAACAGTATTCGGTGACTGGGCTCATCTTCTGTGTGCTATTTGGATACCTGAGACGCGGGTGGCAAATGAGGTATTCATGGAACCTATCACTGGATCTGACAGAATTCCAAAGCAACGCTGGAAATTGGTACATTTCTTCGCTTCATGTTCCTTTCGTTCATTGACACTATTCAGAAATGCTCAATATGTGGCATTCGCGAGGGCGCATGCATCCAATGTACAAAGAATTCATGTTTCCTGGCCTTCCACACAACCTGCGCTCGAAAGGAAAGGTTGCTCATGCCAATGAAGAGCTCGCAGGGGTCTGAGCCTGGTACGTTGGCATGCTATTGTGAGAAGCACCTTCCTGTATGCAATGTCTTCCCCTTTACACGGAAACGATCTATCTTACATTTCATTCCAGAAAGAGCAGCAAGATGCTCGCCTCAAAGCTCTTGCACAAGATGGACAGATGACTAGCCCCAATTCTAAGCTGTCCAAATCTGCTCGTGCATACGCCAAAACTTACAAGACTGGCCCACCGCTTGTGCCACACATCATTGTTGAACGCATCTTGAATTATATTACCAAGGTAAATGTGCGCAAGAAAAACGAATTTGTATACATGGTTTGTAAATACTGGAGTTTGAAGCGAGAAGCGAGGCGGGGGGCGCCACTGTTGAAGAGACTGCATCTCGAACCATGGACAGCGTCAAACGCAGGGAAAGTACAGACGGAAGAAGAAAAGACTATAAAACTAGAGGTTCGCTTTCCTTTATATTCCTTCTGCAATAGCTGATGTTCGTGCAGCACTTGAAAAAATTACGCGAAGATCTGGAGTCTGTTCGCGAATTGACGCTACAGACTCGCAGACGGGAGAGCCGGAAGCTCGCACAGACTGAAAGCATCCAGAAAGTGCTCGAGATCGCACTCTTCCCTCACGAGGCACTACTACGGCTTGCGTTTGAGAAAGTTCTTGCGTATGTAGTGCTCCAAGTCTTTACATTAAAACACTCTGACATTTCACAAGTCTTGACCGTCACAATCTCTTCAAGCATCCGGTGTCGAGGACGGAGGTCCCCGACTACTATGATGTCGTGAAAAGGCCTATGACCTGGGATGCGATCGATGCTAAGCTTGACCGTCATGAATACTGGGACCTAGAAGGTTTCAAGGTGAGCCATAATTGGGCTAGTTTCACGCTTCCGTTCACCATCTCGCAGAGTGACATCGAGTTGGTACTCTCTAATGCAATCCTGTACAACAAGCCTGGCACATCGTTCTACAAGACCGCACAAAGGATACAAATAAGCAGTCAACCCATCCTTCAGGAACTCACTTCTCTTGCCCACAATCACCCACCCCTTACTCCCCCTGACCCTTCTGACTCTTCCGTTCTTTCCCAGATGTCCATCGGAGACCTAGAACCTTTGATGGAAACACTCCAGCTACTAACGTCAACCCACGATATTCAAGATAACACCAATCTTCTTCTTCATGCCGATCCCATCTCATCACTATTCAACTTTGAACTTCCGCTCATGAAACCTCCACCGCCTCCTGCTCCTGTTCCATCTCCTGCGCCGCCTCCGAAACCCAAGGCGCCCAAAAAGAAGCGTCTTCTCAAAACCGTCGAACCTGGTCCTCTGGACACTTCCCCAGGTTTCCGTGCCCCGCGAACCCGCCGAGCTCTTGCAGCAGCTGCAGCTTTCGAGGCCGAGGCTGGCTTTGAACCCGAAGTTCAATCCACTGTCGAACCTGAATTAGGAGTAACTGAGGGCGATCAGAAAGCAGCTTTTGAACCACCGAAGAAACGACGCCGGCAGAGTGCATTGCCTGGGCAAGCAGAAACACCACCTATGGTTACAGATGTAGACAGCCAGGGATTATTCAAAATGTTCGATGCCGGATGGATTTTACCGACAGGACAGCGGAGGGGCGGACGCCAGCCCGTGGAGAGGGCTCCACTTCCACCGAAGAAAAAGAAGATGGGTGAGTTGATCTCCTCTGCTATTTTCTTAACTGATCGTCGTAATGAAGATCGTGGGACGTCGAGGTTGTCTGTATTCAGCACAAACGCATCGGATAATCAGACTCTAGACGAGATTTCTGGGCCTTCTGGTTTGTCTGTAGAAGAGAAAGTGGAGATGGATCTCAAATCTGCAGTAATGTCCGAGGCGAGTGCTACTGCCCTTGAGATGGTTGCGCAGGCAGAGTTAGGCCATGTCACCAATGAGGAGATAGAGGCATCCATGGCTCTTGATATTCCAGAGAATCATCAGGAGGAAGAAACGGAGAGGCGGCTACACCCAGAACTCGAACCTCAACCAGAAGTTCAACCGCAGGTAATAATCCAGCCGGAGGTAATAATCCAGCCGGAGCCAATAATCCAGCCGAAGCCAGTAATCCAGCCGGAGGTAATCATCCAGCCGAAGGTCACAGTGTCAGAAGAGGACAGGGAAGAAACACGATCAGAGTTAGGAAGCGCGGATAGCCAAGATCCCCAAACGACCAAACACGAAGATTAATGTCGAAAATGGGAAAATTGTCGTGGAGGAGTTAGATACGCCCAAACTTCGGCGGGAAAAAGCAAGGCAACGGAAAGCAGAAAAGGCAGCGGCCGCGGCCGCTGCTGCTGCTGCTGCTCAAGGCCTTCCGCAAGCCAAGGATGAGATCCCGAAAACCAACGTTGGGCCCACTCAAGATGATGTATCTGATTTATCTTCTCTGAGCGAGCTGGACAGTGATGCTGATGAGAAGCCTGCGACACGGGACGAGGCGACTACATCCAACTCCATACCCGAAGCAAGGCTCGTCGGAACGCGTCAACTGCAACGCGCGCCAGCCACTCTCGTAACCGCAGGAAAAGCGCTTGTTGTACTTGAACCGGGAAAACAGTTAGAGTGTGGAACTCTTGGTAGGTTGGCCGATAATTTCAAAGATACATCTCATCTGACGACGGTTCCTTATCAGTTTGGGCTAAAGCAGGTCAGATCTTGATAAATGGAATCCGGCAGTCTACAAACTCTTACTGGTGTTGATTCATATTAGATACGTATCCATGGTGGCCTGCAGTCGTTTGGGAACCAGATGACCCAGCGATTCCTGAGGACGTCAAGAAGAAGAGGCCTCAAGATAATTCTCATCACATCGTACAATTTTACGACCCCACAATGTCATGGTACACCTTCGAAACAGAGCAGTTGGATTTTTACTGATTATTAGAACAGGACATGGGTCACCATTGGCCATATGTTATTGTTGGGTGAGGATAATAGTAAGTGTCAATGAAGTTTTGTGTCTGTCGCCCCTGACTCTCTCATTAGCGGTGGATGCTTCTCTACTTTCGCCAACTTCGACGGTCCAAAAGTGGAAAACACCCAGGATTAAGAAACAATGCCGGGAAGCTTTCCAGTAAGTCTTCTCCTCATCCTTCATCTATCTCACAAGAACACGTTGCTTCCAGGCGTGCCTTAGCAGAGATGGAAACGGATGCAGATATACTTGCTCATGAAACGGGAGATATTGCGACGGAGGTCACAAGCTCTGATTCTATCAAGGAGCAGGGTTCTACTGAAGTTCATATGGTTATGCCAGTCGAGCAATCAGCTTCATGACCGGGGGCTTCTCTCTGTGCTTATCCGCGGATGAGTGAAGTTCAAAAGACTCAGACATGAATATGCTACAGAGGTATCTCGATTGTACCAAGTCCCAACCCGTAATCCAAGTTTTACATGTTTCTCAAAAGACTGCTGGGAAACACGTCGCCTTATGGAATGGCCAAGATTTCTTCTGATGATCACGGTCGCACTGTTGGTAAAACACGATGAGACATACAGAAGAAATAGATGTGCAGGTACTTGCATAAACAGCTATTTTGCAACTGTGGCGTAGTGAGATCCAGGTGTACTAAAGAATGAGAGCTTGATCATACCGAGAGCATTGCAAAAGCTTTGAGGTTCCGGACTTTCCACAGCCGTCAAAGCCACATTCATTGAGAGGCTTTTCACAGTGTTGTTTCAAGACATCTGCCATGATTCTTGTCTCCCTTGATTGAAATTTGTCACTACTTTTCTCGGCGATGAAATGAACAACTCACGGATCATCCTCCAGCTGCTTGAGGCAACGCGTGATCTGTAGCCTTTGGTACTTCCTATTCCATTCACGTAGTTTTGGGAGAAGGGCTTGTTTATCTTCCTCGCTGACGGAATTCGTGCCCTGCAGGGCTAAGAGGGTCGAGAGAAACTGGCACATTTCTACGATGTGCGCAGGATTTTCTGGAGCTGAATATGCAGTGGCCATGCGATGGGCTTGAGTCTTACACATCGATGTTTCAGCCGTGGTCAATAGAAACCTAGCAAAGTAAGGCCTGGAAACTATATAGTGAATATGAGACCAGTAGTCGAAGAGAATTTACAAGTATGCAACAACATTGAGCATTCTCATGGGTATGCTGAATGCTGCATCTTGCCCATTGTAGGCGTCCACGAGGGTTGGAAGATACTTGGCGCAAAATTCCCTGAAAAAGCCAGTTGGGTCAGCCAAGAAACTTGGCAGTGGCTGCTAAACGCACGAATTGATCACGCTTTGGGATGGATTCCTTTGGAGCAAACCAAGCTAATGTGCAGATGAGAAACGGCGAGAATGTTAGTAGTATACAAACCTGCTGATCGCCCGTCAATCCGCAGTACTCAGCCAGTGAATCTGCCGTGACGTTCAATAGTCCTTGCAAACCAGCTTGCATGCCAGACATCGTTAATACCACTGCAAAGACTAGAGTGACTCGAGGGAGATGGAGCAGTTCACAACCAGAAACAACGTGTAAGATGAGGGCATAGTAAGCAGGTCGCCGCACAGTCGATAGTCATTAATTTACGTAGTTCATCAGTACTTCAAGTTAGCGCACCTTTTGCCTTTCCCCTTGAAGTTCGGCTCGGAAATGACCGAAAGGGGTAACTCGTTACTTGGGTTTAGGATCTGGACTTTGGTCTAATTCAGAAGGTTCCCCCCCTCTCCCACTATGATACTAGGCCCTCCCAAAACCCCCAAACTACGCTACTGGTCCGGGCCATGGTCACCGTATACATCTGACTGGTCATCGGATGCGCTTGCAGTCATGTCCTGTACTCCCACTAGGTACATGGGCTCAGTAGTACTATTTCTAAACAGAACGAGAAGGTAGGGGTAGCTGTAGCCCCTTGACGAGAACTTTGCGGGTTCGAAGCCGCTGCCATCCCCGGTTCCTCCTGCCCTAGCTAACAGACTCTTATCCTAGGAGACAGGGTGACTGTAGCAGGTGTTAAGAACGTGGCCTGCTTCGCGATGTCTGATATGTACGTTGTAATTATGTTGATATCCACCACATTCGATTTTCGATGACAAAACTTTGATAGACATGTGCGAATCATCTTATCCCCCCACGCAACGTTCCTCACGGCCGTTACTCGTACCTTTTGCCACTGATCTTCCCTTTGATTCCTATGTAACTTGTAGTAGTTGAGCCATCGAGGCGTACCTGAGCGCAGATGTGACCAAATGTCAAGTGCGTTTTTCAAACTCCGTTTGACCTGGGACAGACCTTTTGCGTAAACTTCCAATTCGTTCACATTCTGATGAGCTTAAGTTGAAAGTACTCATCACATTCCGCTAGGAATTTGACAACCCAACCCAGAATCTTCTTGCAAGTGGGCTACATGTCAGAACGACGTTCGACGTTCGTGCATGTTGGGCTCACTGGATTTCGCTACCTCTGTGACAGCATGAGACCTCGCGCATATGACTTTGGCATGCTGGTTCCAAAATTAGGTTCAGGGTAGTACGGTTTGGAAGAGTTCACTAACTTCGAGTAAGTAAATCTGGGGTCAATTTTGTATATGCGTGCTCTTCTGATAATGCCGCAGCATAACAGTATTATTCCAGAGGTCCACATACGCTCATAGCTCATGGCCCTACCCTGCCTTCCAGATACTAGTGTACATCCCAAATAGCGGTTGTCTTCTTCAAGGCATCGTAACCATGTCTATCCAAGAGATCACTTTGCCGTACGGACTTCACCTGTTAAGGGCCTGCAAACGCTTCGCTTATTTTGAGGTTCGATCTTAGATCAAGTACTTGCTTGTCAAGGTTATATGAATGGTGTAACGCTTTGCAGCAGGGTAGATAAGCACCGCCCTTGCTACCCAAACAAAAGGGTCCGACAGGCCCAAGAAGCAGTTACACCCACCCGTGACGCAGGGTGACACATGAGTTGTCAGCCGTGTGATCATCGATATACTTTGACCTTTCCTTTGGACCTTGCTGTTGGTAGCGAACTATCGAGAACTGCAGCGCCGCAAGCTCCGCGCGATGTCATACAATTGTCATTAGGACATCGTAAGTTCACAACCCTTTCAAATTAACGGAATTCCGAAGGCCTGCCCTATAACTATTGTACGTTAGTGATAAGAACCCCATCCCTTACTCTTTGAATTTACCATTCGATCTGCACAGTTTCATGTCGGAACTAGAACAATATCTTTATGCTCTTGACTGGAATAACAACACGTCAGGTTCGTTGGTCTTGTCGGAGATGAATCACTGTGCTGAACTTCTGAGTCACCGTTTTTCAGTTGTAGTCATTACCCTGATATCCTATGAGTACAGTCAGTGGCTTTCATGAACCTTGCGGTGCGGCTGAGCGTAGTGTTAATGTTATCCTTCCTAGTGCTTCAATTCGAGAAAGAGGTACCGAGGAGTCCGTTTTGTCTTCGTCGATTACTCATGATCATATTATCGTAGGTCACGTTTGTTTGGGTTAGAGCTCAACCTCAACGAAATCAAGATCCGGAGCTGATTGTATATGCAGGAAAGACCATGGTCGATGATGACGTATCTATACCTTGCTGTGAGCTCCACCCTGCCAAAATACTTCGTGGTTTCCCATTTTTGTTGTGATGTCAGGTTCGATATCTGGGTATCTTGGTTGCAATGTACGTCACGGTGGTTATATCCTTTACATGGTACATTGTATCTTAATGTTGATGTCTAGGATTTCTGCCCTCTGTACGTGACATATGCCACCTGAGCTGTCATTTACTGACCAGCGCCAGGGGGAGGTCTATTATATATGCCTGAAGCAGTGAGTCTACCGATTCTTTCTTTAGAGAATTCTAGGTTGACCCTCGTTTAGCCGTACGTCAGAATTTCGTTTTACAGCTAGGCCTGATCTGCTGTTGACCTCCTGTTTAGTTGCGAGTACATCGTATTCAATCGAAATTAACTTTGCTTATCATGAAACTGAAATAGGTTATGCTATGTTTCTGTTGATGCAATGGGGTTTCTCTGTGTATTTTTGCGTGGCGGAAGGTAAGTCGTGGTCATATGCATACATCCTCACACTTTTGCGCGTACCCATTTCCCATTTGCAGTCATTCTCATCTGGCGTCTATACGCCCTATACAACCAATCCAAGGTCTTGCTTTATGTTCTCCTGGGATTTTTCCTACCTATCGTCGCACTCTATATAGCAGTGGATGTATTTTTATGGAGTCGACCCTCAGCGATCTCAAGTGAATTTCTACTTCGATCGAATTCTGTGCGAGCTGATGCCTTGGTGCGTAGTGCAAGAAATAATAACTCCAAACATCAAGTACTGCACGGCTTTTTTCCACATCGGGCCTATGCCAGCAGTATATACTGCCATCCCCGTCATATGCTATGATATCTTCCTCGCTGTTCTCGCCATTTTCGCCCTCGGGAAACACCTAAAGGAGCGGAAGGAACTTCAAATGAAGCCTAACGCCTATGTAGTCGTGATCGTCCGATATCATGTGATATACTTTGTCCTGTATGTTCTTCTTCGTTTGTCGTGTTCTCTTGAAGTATTTATTGAGTTTCACGCTAGGAATTTGGCAAATCGAATCTTCATAGCGATATTGTGGGCCCACCTTCCGGTATGATATCACTTGATTCTAGAGAGATGCGCTCTAATGCAGACATGCACAGACGGTAGTGACGAATCTCATACTCATGTTCAACGATATCGCACCGTTTATTATCGTCCCACGTCTTATCATCAGCATTTGGGAAACGCATGCTAACGACAACTGTGTACGTTTCAGTACGACATTTCTGGATTGCGTCTGTTGGACTTCGCCACAGCCATTGCAGCAGCACGAGGCGGACTCGTGCGTATGATGTTGCAACTTTCGGAAGGAGATATCCTCCTGTCAGACTCGGACTCACGTACAAGAAAAATTCTCCAATGCTAGATACTACATCTAGTACATTGTTGCTACGGCGACCAAGAAAAACAAGATACATCAATAGGGTGGTTCACCCGTAGTTGTGGGTTATCATGTAGATATATCAATCGCGTTTCTCTGCATCGGAAAAATCCTTGTACAGTGTAATATATGGCAATGTACATCACTATCCAACCACCACAGCATGGCCACGGTGTGGACGAGAATCAAGAACCGGACCATAGAGAATCTCTGTGGTCTAGTTCGTTCTGAACCCGGACCAAACCCCAAAGTTTTCAGTAGAGGTTCCCTTCATCTAACGAGTTTTGGATGGTATAGGAGACAGTTGACAAGGAAGAGGAACTTGGAAGAGCATTAATATTGATTTGAATATGAGGTACATATGAGGAGCATTCTTTGATCTCATGCACGTATCTATGCTCCTAATAGCCATAGCTTTCAGCATCGTGATGTCCGGTCCGTTAAACACTGATGGCTAGCATTTCGTCTTTATCCGTCCCACTCCACTGAATATTGATGGTCTTTGTCTTGAACAGAGATCCAAAATTCCCAAGATGCAGGATGGAAAAGTCGATTCATGACCTGGAGCCGGGCCAGCACTATCCTTCGTATTCAAGTTCGCCTTCACTGCTCTTGAGTTTAACGAGGATTCCTAGTTTGGATAAGCATTTGTATACTAGGTAGTCGTCGAGATGGAAGGGGTCTGCGTATCTTACGGTAGAGCCTGTTATGCTTTGGAGGGAAAGTTTCGTGGTGTGGTGGGGTATTCCATATACGTGAGCGTTGAAGAAGGTTATGTTTAAGGGCTTGTGGGTGTTGTCGCGTTGATGGTGAGTGTGGGACGTACCTCTCGGTGTGCAAGCTGGTTGCAAATTGCAATTGAGCCAGAAGTGGCCATCACGATGGCGAATTATGCTTCTACTTTCGTTTCGTTCCCTAGGCTTGAGTTCGAGAGGCTGCCAAAACGAGGAATCATCACCTCATAATCTCTGCGCAGCAGTTGCAACATCACAGGCCTATTGATGGCATGGACGAATTGCAGGTACCACATGTAAGGGAACAACAAGTAAGTGAGAAAAACGACATGAGATATCGAACGCGTCCGATGATTGTGCCAGCTGTGTCCAGGAACCATGACCCACCACGGCAGTTACACAACACCTCAGAAAATATGCTGCCCGTATACGATCAGTCGACAGGGTAGATATGGGACCTTCCCATGATGTCAGAGTAGCTGCCGTTCATTTTCCAGCCTCAGGGACTGGAACAGAACAATCATCATGATCTTATGTGCGAATTTACTGAATGAGGAATGCTCACGGGCAGCGCCGGCGGAGTTGTGGACGTATCCTGTCCACATCGTGGTCACTCAGGCTTGTCTTCCTCGAAAGCATCGTAATCATGTCTATCCAAGAGATCAATCTGCCGTACGGACGTCAAGATGTAAAATGCCTCGATCCCAGGTCATGCATTTGCTTGTCAAATTATATGGATGGTGGTGGGACGTTAGCTTCATCCAGCACAATATTAATGCCGGGGCAGATAAGCACCGCCCTTACCACCTAAGCAAGAGGGTCGAACAGCCCATCAAGCACTTACTTATAGGCTGATAACCACCCGTGATGTAGGGTGACCCTTCAAGTTGTCAGCGTGTGATCATCGATGTGCTTATGATCTTTCCATTGAACTTTTCGTCGGTGTGAATTATCGAGGACAGTGATTCACTACATCAAATGGAAAGTGCGCCACCACAAGCTGGATACGATGTCGTACACTTTTCATTTGGACACCACAAGTTCACAGCCCTTACAAGTTAACGAGATGTAGGCTGCCCTTTAAGTATTGTGCGTTGGTGAGAGTCAGCAGCCCATCCCTCACTCGTTGAATTCGCCATTTGATCTGCACAATTTCATGTCCGAACTAGAAGAATTTATCTATGATCTTGATTGGAATAACAGCATGTCAAGTTCGTCGTTCAACCTTGTTAAAAGTGAATCGTTGTGCTGAACTTTGTCGTTTTCTAGTTGCAGCCATTACTATAATATCTTATGAGTACAGTCAGTAGCTTTCATGAACCTTGCGATGCAGCTGAGCGTAATGTTACCTAGTACTTCAGTTCGAGAAAGAGGTACCGAGGAGCTCGTTTTGCCTTCGTCAATTACTCATGATCATATCATCACAGGTCACGTTTGTTTGGGTTAGAGCTCAACTTCAATGGAATCACGATCCAGAACTGACCGTATATGCAGGCCAGAGAGTGGTCAGTGATGAAGTATCTATACCTTGCTGTGAGCTCCGTCCTGCCAAAGTGCTGCATGGTTTCCCATTTTGACTGCTATGTCAGGTTCGATATTTCGGTATTTTGGTTGCAATGTACGTCGCGGTGGTTGTATACTCCAGATGGTGCATTGTTTGTTGACGTTGACGTCTAGAATTTCCGCCCTCTGTGCGTGATGTATGTCAACTGAGCCGTCATTTACTGATTAGCGCCAGGGGGAGGTCTATTTTATATGCCTGAAGCAGTAAGTATATTAATTCTTTCTTTAGAGAATTAGAGGTTGACTAAGATCCAGCCGTACGTCGGAAGTTCGTTTCACAGTTAAACGTGATCTGCTGACCTCCTTTAGTTGTGAGTGCGTCGTATTCAACTAAAACTAGCTTTGCTCATCATGAAATTGAAATAGGTTATGCTACGTTCCTGTTTATCCAATGGGGCACTTCTCTATATTCTTGCTTGACGAAAGGTAAGTCATCGTCATCTAGCAACATTCTCGCACCTTTGCTCGTACCTATCTGATATTTATAGTCATTCTCATCTGGCGTCTATACGCCCTATACAACCAATCCAAGGCCTTGCTTTATGTTCTCCTGGGGTTTTTCATACCTATCGTCGCGCTCTATATAGCGATGGATGTATTTCTGTGGAGTCGTCCCTCAGCGGTTTCAAGTGAGTTTCTACTTTGATCGAATTCTTTGCAAGCTGATGCCTTGGTGCGTAGTGCAAGAAATAATAATAAGTCCAAAAATCAAGTACTGCGTGCCTTCCTACCACATCGGACCTATGGCCGCGGTATATACTTCCATCCCCGCCATATGCTATGATATTTTGCTGGTTGTTCTCGCCATTGCCGTCCTCGTAAATCACATAAAAGAACGCAAGGAGCTTGAAATGAAGCCTAACGCCTATGTAGTCTTGATCGTCCGATATCATGTGATATACTTTGTCCTGTAAGTCATCCTCCATCTGTTGTTCTCTGAAAGCACTCATTGAGTCACGCTAGGAACTTGACAATTCAAATATTCACGGCGATATTGTGGGCCGACCTTCCGGTATGATCTCTCCTGACTCTAAAGAGATTTGCTCAAATGCAGGCATGTGCAGACAGTGGTGATGAATTTTATATTGTTGTTCTACGATACCGCACCATATATTATCGTGCCGCGTTTCATCATGAACATTTGGGAAACGCATGCCAACGACAACTGTGTGCATGTCAGTACGACATTCGAGGATTGCGTCTGTTGGACTTCGCCACCGCAATTGGAGCAGCACGAGATGGATAGGGGCGTATGATGTTCGCTCAGGCTCTCATCCTAACAATATCCGCTGATCTCTCGTGGGACAAGTAGTCTAGGACCCAATGTTTTTGTGTAACTATGTAACATCACGTCCACGAAGTATCAGTGTATATTTAACTTGTGTTCCATAGCTAGTGTAAATCGCGGCCTAATATGACTTACTTTTTAGAGGACTCGATATGCTCTTGACTCCAGCTTTAAGAATGCTGTGAATATCATGTTATAGTTACACAGCGCCGTAGGCCACCGTCCCCGAAGATAAGGCGCTGCCAGGTAGTACACGAAACTTGTGCCCACACCCTTGAGATCCCAGTTAAATGACATACACTAGCAGGCGGGTGGCCTCACACTTCCAGGTATCCATATACAGCCGCAGTCATGCCAAAGTCCATACTTAGCGCCTCGTCGTTTAGCGTCAAGTGTATGCAGTGCAATTGTTACAGTTGCTGCAAAGAGTTGGCTAGTTGAGTGCAACACAGGCGGAGTCGGGGACTGGCAGGTCACCAGTCACCGCCAATCAGAGTCGCAGCAGAATGGAAATTCCCCGACTTAGTACAGTATGAGTGGTTCGGCCGGAAACTCCACTACGGCAGACGTGATTTTTGGCTCTGTCACACCTCAACATAGGCTCGTGACCAGCCTGGCATATACTACCACGGATGCATCGATGAACGAGTGGTGTTGGTCGATCTCGGAGTGGCGTGGCAGGGCGGAGCGAGGAGTTTGAAGTTTGATAGGTGCCGGTTGTGCTGAAGGTAGTTCCGATCGTACAAGTTATGCGTCTGCTCTCGCTCAGATTGAATGATTTCTGTACGACCTTTATCGCTCGCTGCTTGAGAAAAAATTGAGAATCTCCAACGGACTTTACGAGTGCCCTCTCAATGACACAACATCAGCAAGTTCTCGAGGCTTTCTCGTGACTCGATCTTCTTTCCCAAGGATCACAGCGTCCAAAATTGTTCCAGCTCAGATGCCTCATGTCATTACTTTCTCGAGACATGTTGCCCTAATCATTTATTAGTGCTCTGGCGCGATGTACTGTTGTATTTGAGAGGATACTGTACTTTTCACGGTACAGACGAAAGTTGACAAGTAATGATACCCAAAGCGGCATACCGGCATCTGCCAAATTCAAACTCCTCGCTTCGCCTGCCAAATCACTCCGAGATCGACCAGTCTGACTACCGAAGTTGTGGTAGCCAATAGTACCTAAGAGGATTGTCATTTACTTACACTCATGACTCACGACTCACCCCTCTCGAGCTCCCTCCCTATTGCCGCTCTCCTGCTCCCCCGGCCGCTCCCACCTTGAGGGTCAGGCCGTCATTTCTGTTCAGGTTACTCATATCAGATGTCAGATAGGGTACTACTTCCCCACTCGCGGTTGTCTTCCTCAAAAGCATTCAAGTAACCATGTCTGATCACTTTTCCATGCGGACATTTGACAACATATATATAAAGGGTCTGCAAATGCTTCGCTTATTTGTCAAAGTTATATGGATGTACTTAGGACCTTATTTGATGTTCCCCAGCACATATCGGGGTAGACAAAGTAGTACCCCTTTGTCACCTAAGCAAGAAGGTTCGACAGTTCAACTTGAAGCAGTTATATGCTTATAGCCACCGGTAACAAGTTGTCAGCCATGTAATCATCGATATAATCTCCACCATCCCATTGGACCTTTTCGTTCAGGACATCAAATGGAAAGGGCGGTGGCGGCGGCGGAAGCTCGACGCGATGTTGTACGATTTTCATTAGGACACCACAAGTTCACAGCCCTTACATTTTAACAAGATTGGGCCTGTCCTATAAGTATTGTACGTTGATGACCATCAGCCCATCCCTCACTCTTTGAATTCGCCATTTGATCTGCACAGTTTCATGTCGGGACTAGAAGAATCTCTCTATGCTCTTGACTGGAATAACAAGATGTCAAGTATGTCAGCCTTGTTGGAAATAAATCATTGTGCTGACCTTCGTCGTTTCCAGTTGCAGTCATTACCATGGTATCTTATGAGTGCAGTCAGTAGCTTTCATGAATCTTGCAGCACAGTTGAGCGTAATGTTATCTAGTACTTCAGTTCGATAAAGAGGTAACGAGCTTGTTTTTTCTTCGTCGATTGCTCATGATCATACCATCGTAGGTCACGTTTGTTTGGGTTAGAGCTCAACCCCGACGTAATCAAGATCCGGAACTGACTGTATATGCAGGGAAGACCGTGGTCAATGATGTCGTGTCTGTACCTTGCTGTGAGCTCCAACCTCCCAAAGTGCTTCATGGTTTCCCATCTGTGTTGTTATGTCAGGTTCGATATTTCGGCCTTTTGGTTGCAATGTACGTCACAGTGGTTGTATCCTTTACATATGTTGACGCTGACGGTCTAGAATTTCCGGCCTCTGTATGTGATGTATACCAACTGAGCCATCATTTACTAATTAGCGCCAGGGGGAGGTTTATTCTATATGTCTGAAGCAGTGAGTCTATCGATTCTTTCTTTAATTCTAGGTTGACCCTCATTCAGTCGTACGTCACAAGTTCATTTCACAGTAAACGTGCTCTGCTGACCTCCTGTTTAGTTGTGAGTGCATCGTATTCAACTGAAACTAGCTTTGCCCATCGTAAAATTTGAAATAGGCTATGGTACGTTCCTGTTTATGCAATGGGGTATTTCCGTATATTCTTGCTTGACGAAAGGTAAGTCACAATCACTGTATACCTACATTCTCACACCTTTGCGCGTACCCATTTCCCATTTGCAGTCATTCTCATTTGGCGTCTATACGCCCTATACAACCAATCCAAGCCCATACTTTATGTTCTACTGGGGTTGTTGCTACCTATCGTCGCGCTCTATATAGCGATGGATGTATATCTATGGAGTCGACCCTCAGCGATCTCAAGTGAGTTTCTACTTTGATCGAATTCTGTGCAAGCTGATCCTTTAGTGCGCAGTGCAAGAAATAATAATAACCCCGAACATCAAGTACTGCACGGCTTTCTTCCACATCAGGCCTATGTTCGCGATATATACTTCCATCCCCGCCATATGCTATGATATTTTGCTGGTTTTTCTCGCCATTGCCGTCCTCGTAAAGCACCTGAAGGAACGGAAGGAAATTAGAATGAAGCCTAACATCTATATAGTCTTGATCGTCCGATATCATGTGATATACTTTATCCTGTAAGTCATCCTTCGTCTGTTGTGTTCTCTGAAAGTATTCATCGAGTCACACTAGGAATTTGACAATTCAGATCTTCACGGCGATATTGTGGGCCAACATTCCGGTATGATCTTCCGTGATTCTAAAGAGATGTGCTTTAATGCAGGCATGCGCAGATGGTGGTGATGAATTTCATACTGTTGTTCTACGACACGGCACCATATATCATCGTCCCACGTCTTATCATTAACATTTGGGAAACGCATGCCAACGACAACTGTGTGCGTGTCAGTACGACATTCGAGGATTGCGTCTGTTGGACTTCGCCACCGCAATTGGAGCAGCACGAGATGGATAGAAGGGTATGATGTTCCAAATTGAGACAGGGGTCAAGTGAAGTTCTTCGCTCAGACTCTTGTCTCAACAATCTTCCTTGATATCTCATGGGAGCAAGTAGTCCAGGGCCCAATGGTTTTGTGTAACTATGTACCATCATGTCCACAAATTATTAGTACATATTTAGCTTGTATTTCATAGCTAGGTGTAAATTGCGGCCTAATATGATTTATTTTTTAGAGGACTCGAGAGTCGATACCTACTACTGCTCGTTCACGTGTTGTGCCCTTTCGTTTTCCCAGTGAGGCAGTGACCGGTGACCGGCAAGCAGTTTGAATTCGGCGCCGGTAGCCTGTGCAACTTCAGCGCTTTTAGTCAGCTTGAGCAGGCTGGTCCCGTCGGCCTGATTGCAGCTTGACCAACAACTATCACCAGATAACCGAATGAAACTATGTCCCATGAAGATATCACGATGACCATTACCTTTCGTGGGACATCACACACTGTTTCCCTCCCCAATGACGCCCCCCTTTCTGTTCTCCACTCCCGTCTCGAGCTCCTCACTTCTGTTCCACCATCATTACAGAAACTCATTTATAGAGGAAAGAAATTTCAGCATCGACAGGAGGACTCAGATCCAGAACCCACGATCGTCCAAGCAGGTCTTCGCAATGGCATCAAAGTGCAGATGCTTGGCTCGACAGCAGAAGAACTCGGGCAGCTGAATGCAGCTGACTCGGCACATCAGAAGAAAGAGCGAATCCTTAGAGAGAGGATGCTGAAGCCACAGGTCAAGGTATGTCCTGATATTCGTTCTTATCATCAAGGCCATCAATCACGACGAGAGGCAATTAGCTTCGTTCGACAGGATCATCGTCTACTTCTTCACACCAGTACCGCTTTCACCGTATAGAACCGCTCAGTCATTTGCCGCGACCTGAAACAGCGACGGAGTGTCTCACGACGCTTTCAAAGGACCCTGCAGTCCTACATGTCATGCAGAAGCATCATTTTTCTGTGGGCTTGCTTACCGAGCTTGCACCACATGAGCATCCGGGACTTCTGGGTCTTAATGTCGGGAGTGGAGCTACCATCAAGCTGCGAATACGGCTTGATACATATGATGGGTTTCGTCCGTACTTGGAGGTCAGGCGCGTGTTGTGCCATGAGCTGGCTCACAATGTGTGGGGCGAACATAACAATGATGTGAGTCGCAACCTCTAGTTTCTAATACCCTATTCACATCACGGTCTTGTAATGCTAGTTTAAAGAGCTGAATTCTCAGCTCAACCGCGAGGTTGCAGAATTTGAGGCTGCAGCAAGAATAGGAACACATGAACTTTCTGATTTACGAGATACCTATCAGCCGTCGTCGGATGAAGAAGTAGAGGCACTTATTCATGTTCTGGGAGGAACAGGCCTTCGAGGTAACGATACCATGGAAGACCGTCGGATAAGGGCTGTGGAAGCTGCCACATTGCGCCTTAGGAATGAAGAACTAGAACGGAGTTGTGGGACTTCTGGACCGCAGAAGCAATCTGGATGATAGCTGAGTCAATGTTGATCAGGCTAGGGATAGTGGTTTAAATCTGATGACGGTTCACTTCTGGGCTAGTATGCTTGCATGTGCTCTCGAACCCTGTGGTCCGAGAATGACAGTCTCGCATTTTCACCCAATGAATTAGAAGGTTGTCAAGCATTCCTTATAATAAATATTCGCTCGTGTAACGTAATTGGCTGACGGGTTTGCACGTATGAATATGCGCTCCTTCAGGAGCGGCTGGTATTTCATTGCTCGTATACTGCAAGTGTCTCCAAGATGCTCTAAACTTCCGGTGTGTCTGGACTCCCTGCTACAGTGAAATTCCGATTGGCTTAAATGAAGAGTAGGGGCAGGCTGACTGTGCATCTCTGCAGACTCTACCCGTCAACAATCTTCATCAACTGTCCTCCTTTCGTATCCATGCCCCAATTATCAGGCCATTGCTCAGTATGTGTGATGCCATGAACTCGTACGTGTATTTTCGATTTGTTGTTGTCCCGCTGCTCATCCTTGCCTTCCGTAGTTGATCAAGGTCGGGACGAATTGATAGATGTGTGACGGTTGCCTTGATGCCGTGATGGAGCAGTGATATTCAGAGCGATTGATGTATTGAAACACTACCACAGGCTTGAAATGCCACGAGGAACCAAATTCGAAGCTTGGTTGGGGACGCTTTTTGAGCATCCTGCGTTCAAGAAGATTTGAGAGTTGTATCTAGTCAGTTACGAGCGGTGAGTGCATGTTTCTGATGGGGACGGGGTGACGTACATGTCTTGTAGATACGCATTCAATCGCCCGAACATGAGTTGGATGGCTAATGCGATTGATAGCGCAAGTAGGTTACCTTGAGCGAGATACGCAGTAATCTGATGACTCTGTACGAACTCGAACATGAATGCATTTGCAAAGTTAATAATACAGCGCTATGAGGTCTCGACTGTTTGTGCTGCGGGAGATGAAAGTTGGTCGAAGGGAAATTCTGTATGTATACTAAATTCTCAGTATAGGAAAGCATGATAAAGTGCATAATCGTTTGGAGCTACAATGTTGCTAATCGGAGCGCTGTTATTCACGAAGGAGTGAGGGTAGGATAACTCATCGACGGAAATCCTTCGCCTTTCCAGCGAACGTCAAGTTCCCCTGCGCAGAAGCAGAAGACCATTGCACCACCAAGAACTGCATTCTAGAAAACGACTCAGCCAACTTCCTTAGCGGTGTTGTCAGCAAGTGGCGCACATCCGGGAAGAGCGGCGCAAGGGAAGGAGGTGCACAAAGCGAGATCCAAGTGCGTAGGTGACAGTAACAGCGACGAATATTGGACATGAGACGGGTGAGACATGGATGTGCGGAAAAAGAGAGCCGAATTGAGGGTGCGCGTGCCACACATCTTCCATCCTTCATGACTGATGCGAAGGAGGACGACGAAGACCAATGAAAAATCCGCAGCAGTTCACTCCACACACAATGTCCTCCGCTCCATCAGTTGGGCCTTGTGCTTGTGTTTGGATTGATTGTGTTTGAGATGCTTGTGCCCCTGGTGGCTGACCTGATTGCATTGAATTGCCAGCCTCGTTGCCGTTCGTGCGTTGCATAGCTGCGGCTGCTTCGGCTTCGGTTTCAGGGACAATGCCATATCTCTGTGTTATGTTTTAATGGGATAAAAAGAGAGCAAAGGCAAGCCACCCACATTTTCATCTTGAGCCAGAGGCACATCGACGGTGCGGCTTGACTTTCTTATGGGAAGTAAGTTGAAATTCCGATGTCTGGATTGGCGAGGGGATGGTGGGAGCGTATCTCTAGGTTTTGCACTGGACTGGAGGGAACCAAACCAACTGCGCCAATGAGGAAAAGATGGACTCGGAGGCGAAGCTGCGCGATTTGAACCATTGCCGAAGAAATCATTGCCCTGTATCAAAGCCAAATTAGCAGAAGTTGAGGAATGAAAAAATCTGAAAAAATTCTACTAACATATTTCGCCGAGCCTCTGGTATTGGGCTGTTGTTTGAAATAGAGAATGGACGTTAAGAATGTAGCGAAACATATGAGAAAATACGAGTTCCTCACGATTGGTTGCCGCACAACTCTCGGTTGGACTGGATGTCCCTAGCAAAAAGTGAGATGTAGTGCGAAAGAGCCGCCGAGATGACTTGCCTTGAGCTCTGTATCCACACCCTAAATCGCCAAAAACCATTAACTAGGCAGGAAAATCAAGCAAGAAAACACATACATACCACAACTTTGAGTGCCGCCTCTAGGTTCCATACATAGATTTTTTTGTCTACTCCAGCACTGGCAATGTATTTTCCATCTGGAGACACGGCAACAGCGAGGACTTTGTCATCGTGCAAGAGTGGATCTTTGACTGCTTGATTGGTCTTGAGATCCCAGATGCGAATGGAGTAGTCATACGATGCGCTAACAATGTAGCTTTCGTCGGGAGTAAGACAGAGGGATACGACGGCAATGGTGTGACCACGAAAAACAGCGAGTTCCTGTCCATCGATCGCCCGCCATTTTCGGATGGTACAATCGGCTGACCCGGAGAATATATGTGCGCCGTCCTTGGACCAATACAATGACATCACCCAGTTGTCAAGTCCCTTGATCTCGATAAGCAGCTTGCCGTCCTTTGACCACACCCGGATCACCATATCCGAGCCGCCACTTGCAAATTTGTCGCCTTGTGGAGCATATTTGACGGCTTCAACCCATCCATGACTGGTCTCCATAGGTGATGCTATTTGTCGACCAGTATCCGGGTTCCAGCGTCGTATGGTGCCATCTTTCAGATCCACTTGCTATCTCCAGCGCATTGCGAGACCAATCAAGGCACCTCACTGCAGCATCATGCCCCTCCCATGGATCCCCAATCATCCTTGCCCTCCTTTATATCCCACAACCGCAGTCTGCCATCTGAACTTCCGCATACGATCATCGTTTCGTCCGGGGAGACTGCCATTGAGGCTATCACTCTCCCATCGCTATTCAACGGCTTTCCTACTGGCTCTCCATCTCTTTTCCACTGACGAATCGAACTATCATCAGACGCGCTCACTATATCGCCACTGGTACACAAGTAGGCAAGGCTCCATATGCATTTAGAGTGACCCTCGATGACGCACTCCGGCTTCAAGCTTCCTGCTGGACGTTCTGGCTTGGGTTTCTTCCACGATGTGGTCCGAGTATTGTGGTTGACGAAGTAGGACCGACCCAGTGGTGAGATGTGCCTATTCGCATCCGGGAACAACGAGATATCCAGGATAATCTATGTTCAACAGTGAGTTCGTCGCTCCTTGTTGCAATCTCATCCCTTCACCTAGTCGCACTCCCGGTAAAGGTCGGTTCCATGAGGACCATCGGAGCGTGTGCTCTTGATATTGTGTTTCACCATCCGACGTAATCTTAAACTGATTGCCAGTTAGGAGGAAGCGCCTTCATTCCCGCCTGCTTCTAATTGAGTAAGCTAGTGGGCATCACGACGGAGCTGCTCACCTTCCCAAAGTGCATCCTGACGGTGCTGTGCACCATATGGTGGTGGATTCTTCACGCTCGTCCCATATATCGGTGAGTGCATGAGCGCTTCTCCCCTTCTCGTCGACGTGCTTGACTCGGCCTCTTCGTGTGGCATGACCTTGATCGATAAAGGATGTCGGGTTGTACGAACGCACTGGACAGTGAAACACTGCGCAAAGTCAAGAATGGAGAAGCAAAGATACGAGGTGAAGGTGAGAAAGAGACCTGTTATTTGGGTCAGTTTTGCATGCTGTGGTTGCAGGCGCCTTGCTACACTGCATGTTAGGGCTGTGTCACCATGGGATCAAGTACTTTCCACGGTCTGGTTCTCAGGCACTTCAATGTACATTGGTCTGTTATGTACGTCTCGTCAGCGACTGGACTAATATTGCTGTGACCAACATCCCTGGGCGTTGATACAGTCAGTATCTGGAGTCTAGTTCTGTACCGTCCTGTCACGACACCACAAACCAGGCTGCCCATATGTACACAGTCTAGACACTGATGTATGGGAGAGGTCTGATTGAGTGTTTGTCATGCATTTCCATCTCGCGATCTAAAAGACTTAATTGAGATTACCTCAGTACTTATTGACGCGGTGCACAGAATCATAAGCTTTTTAGAGAGTCGAGACGTGGTTCTGCTTACATGTTAAGTCTGTTTAGTATGCAATCACAGTAGTGCCCAAACCAAAATCTTCGCGTCTTAGTGAGCATATCATTGTTTGGACGTTCTGGCACTCACCGTTCAACATTCAACATTGAAGTCGAAGTCACATTCAGGTGGACACAACCGAGTGTTACGATCGGACCGACCATCGCACCTGATATGGGGAAGTCAGCAGGATAGTCTCGACTCGCGAACACTAGTCAATTATAGTCTGACGCGTATACCCAGAAGATGACATACCGCCTAGTAGTACGTAACTTCATATTGCATGGCTGATTCCATACCGATAACGCAAACGAAAAAAATCAATAGGAAAAGAAAGAATCTGTTAACATCAAGGACATAAATTTTTGTCCATGACACATTTAATACGGTTATCCATGAGTGACACCACAGCTTAGGTGGACTCTCCAACTATTGCTGAGGAGAGCGTGTTGACAAAACAGTCGACGCATATCGAGCGCTAGGCGAGTAGGGAGTTTCGAAAGAAATGTCACACTATCAAAAACATGCCTGATCTGCCGCAAGGACATTAAAAAACAGTGATCAATCTCCACAGCTTAGACGATGTACCTGTGATGGTGCTGAACGTGCGAGATGCAGATAAGAGCCTCGTCCATCCATCAGAGTCCTCAACGCGATTGGACAAGACCACTTCGGTAGCGGTGGAAGTCCTGTTGCCTTGTTGAGTATTTGGCTGGCACACACGTAGCTGGACTTTTGGCCCTGAGAACAATTGTCCTACTGATGATGTCTGTTTATTTTGCCTGTGTAATTGACTGAGTAAGTATTCTATGGAACGTTGGACCACTGATGATAAAAGTGAGAGAGAACTGGCCAGAGACAGCCTTTGTTTGGCAAGCCGTCCGAGGTCACGACGCCCGAAAGTCTGCGTAGCTTAAAGCAGGCGAGAGAAAACAACATTCTATATAATGAATTGTAAATTGAAGGTGGTGTTGAAACTGGCGCGGGGTGTATGTATCAGGATTTGGTTCCATGTCACGTATTTGTGACTGTTTGTCATGTGCCACGTAAGGAGTTTCGGTTTGCATTAAGTCCCGCAAAATCACAAACTTCTTCTTCACTTGTCCGCTCCTGGACTTCAAGCTACGATGAGCGGTTGTAAGCCTCAAACAGAAAGTCTATTATTCGACTGGTACTGACTATAGGTGCATACAGTTCGGTTTTTGAACCTCGTCCGACCATTCCTTCCACTCCTGCCAGAGGTTTCTTCGCCTGATCGCAAAGTACGTGCTGTGCATGCATTTGTAGGTTATGATACGCAAAACTCACCAGCTTCTTTCGTTTTCAAGGTTCCTTTCAACCAAAAGCTGCTATGGACCGCCGTTACACTCCTCATTTTCTTGGTCTGCTCTCAAGTACCATTATATGGCATCATGTCTTCAGATTCGTCTGATCCTCTTTATTGGATGCGTGTCATCCTCGCTTCCAACCGTGGAACACTCATGGAGCTCGGTATAAGCCCTATTGTCACATCCGGAATGATCATGCAACTATTGGCTGGCGCAAATTTAATTGAGGTCGACTTCAGCTTGAAGGAAGACCGGGCACTGTTTAGCGGTGCACAAAAATGTACGTGTCACTCGGTCGCTTTCCGAACCTTACTGACAGATGCTTGTTTCAGTATTTGCTTTGATCATTTCACTCGGTCATGCTACCGTATACGTCTTGACAGGTCTTTACGGGCAACCACGTGATCTTGGTGCTGGTGTTTGCCTTCTGCTCATCATTCAGCTTGTCGCTGCTGCCCTCATCGTTATTCTCCTTGACGAGCTCCTCCAGAAGGGTTACGGTCTCGGGTCCGGTATCTCCCTTTTCATTGCGACCAACATCTGCGAATCCATCATCTGGAAGGCCTTCTCACCTACAACTGTTAACACCGGTCGTGGCCCTGAGTTTGAAGGTGCAATCGTCGCACTTTTCCACTTGCTCTTCACGTGGAATGACAAGGGACGTGCTCTCCGCGAGGCGTTCTGGCGTGATAGACTCCCAAACATTATGAACCTCCTTGCGACTGTCATCGTGTTTGCCGCTGTCATCTATATGCAAGGCTTCCGCATTGAGATCCCCGTCAAGAGCAACAGATTCCGTGGTCAGCGCGGCAGTTATCCCGTCAAGTTGTTCTATACTAGCAACATGCCCATCATGCTCCAGAGCGCACTTGTATCAAACGTGTTCATTGTGTCGCAAATGCTCGCAACGCGCTTTCCCTCCAATATCTTGGTCAAGATTCTCGGCGTCTGGGAGGTTGGTTATCCATGATTTATGGTTTTAATAGGCACTAAAAGTATATCGCAGCCTCTAGAAGACTCTCCCCAACTTCGCGCCATAGGTGGGCTCGCATACTACATGTCACCCCCACACACCATCAAAGAAGTTTTCCTGGACCCCATACACACATTCCTTTACATCACATTCGTAGTTTCTGCTTGTGCACTCTTCTCAAAAACTTGGATCGAGGTGTCTGGTAGTGGTCCACGCGAAATCGCAAAACAGCTCAAGGACCAACAAATGGTCATGGCTGGTCATCGTGAGGGTTCGATGTACAAGGAACTGAAGCGCGTTATCCCTACCGCTGCTGCATTCGGAGGCGCTATTCTTGGCTTGCTTTCTGTTGCCGCTGATCTCATGGGCGCTATCGGAAGTGGAACGGGAATTCTGATGGCTGTCACAATCATCTACAGCTGTGAGTACTTCTGTCCTCCCCAAAAAAGAACATTTGCACTGACTGACGTATGCCTTGCGTTTTAGACTGGGAGATTGGTATCAAGGAGAGTGGGGGATCTGAAATGGCAGCGCTGAGCGACCTCATGTAAATACTGGAAGTGTAGCCGTTGTTGAGTCTCTATTGGAATACATGGACCTGATTCAAAACCTCGCTCATGATGTTCATTGTCGCGACGACAAAAGTGAGCCCTCGACTGCTTACTCCATCACTGGAACAAGCTGTACATCCAACACAACCTGCTGCTGGCAAGAAGTTTGGGAAGACCAACTGAAACAAAGGAAAAGGTGATCGCGAATGCGAATAGGGAAGTGACAGATATATTTTGATTGCGGCTTCACAAGCTTGATACAAAATGCTCCAGCCTTTCTCAAGCCAGCACGTGACACCAGTGTGAGTTCAAATCCATCGTGGTGCAAATTTGCTAGGGGAAGCCCCTTCGCCTTAGTAGTAGTGTGTGAGTTCGTGCGCTTGACAGCAAACGCCAAAGTGCCTTGTTTGAAGGCCGGAGCACTATTATTTCGTGAGCTTGTTCTCTTCGTGGAGGACATTGTTGGATTTGGTTCGAATTTAAGAATAGTTCACAGGGGGGGGAGTTGACGTTTTAGGATTCAAAATCCTGACTCGACATATACGTTGGGCCTACCGGTTTACCAACGGCCGACTAGCTCAGTTGGTTAGAGCGTCGTGCTAATAACGCGAAGGTCTTGGGTTCGATCCCCACGTTGGCCATAACTTTTTGGTCGTCGACCAAACTAAAACCAAAACTGAAACCAATATTATAATTAATTCCTAGTGGTAATGATCCACACAATTACACCATCGTACATCATTTCTACATCGAATAATAAATCATCGTTCCTTCGGCTTAAAAGTCCAAATCTCCATAACAGTCTTCCCTGCCCTCTTACACATAACCGCACACACTCCCTTCTTATAAAGCACCTTCCACACGCTCTCACACCGCTCACTCAGATCGCGCACCCAAACCCCGGTCTGCGTCTCAAACACCCGTATGCGGCCGTCGTTTCCGCCCGTGATGAGGAAGTTGGCATCGAATTGGAGAGAGGTGACGCTGCTGTCATGTGCAGCGAGACGTTGCAGGGCAGTGAATGAGCGAAGAGAAAAGGTGATGACTCGGCCATCGGAGCCGCCTGTGGCGAGGAGGTTGGTGGAGGTGCTGAGTTGAAGTTGGCAGACTAGGGCAGTGTGGCCTGTGAGTTGGGCAATACAGTTTCTGTTGTGGATGAATGGGTGAATATGAGAGTGTTAAGAAGGGAGGGGACATACCCTGTGGTTGCATCCCATACTCTGACGACGGTGTCCATGCCCCCTGAAGCGACGAAGTTGCCATCGATTGCAATGGAGTATATTTGATGGCTGTGGCCTCGGAGGACTCGTATGCATTCACCTGTGTCGACGTCCCATATCTATAAATTATCAAAATTGAATCATGTCCACAACGCTCTGGAAATAAGACTGACTCGACACGTAGTGTCGTAACTACCACTGACGACCTTGTTCCCACATACATCGAGACATCTCACGCTCGCGCTGTGGCCGTGAAGTACACGGAGCATGACCCCCTTTTGGATGTTCCATACACGGAGAGTAGAGTCTCGAGAACCTGTCACTGCGATCGGACGGTTGTGTAGTACCCGGGCGCACCTGACAGTGGCAGTATGCCCGCGAAGAACGTAAATGCAGTGTCTAAGCGCCCATAAGCACATAGCCAGAACCAGACGAACGCAGGAACATACCCAGATGTGGCATCCCAAACGCGAAGCGTCTTGTCGCAGCTAGCACTGACAATGATAGAGTTTGGCTGGCCCCATCCTTCGCTTATACAGCAAATATCGCTCGGCTTAGCAGAGTCGTCTCCGATGCTCGCTGGGGATCGCATTCGCCTGCGCCTGTCAATGCCGAGTGCTGTTTTCAGGGCTGCGGGTACCACTGGATCATCTGCGTCGTCTGGGTATCCATCTTCATCCATGTCTCCGCGACCCCAATGGCCCCCGCGGCAGACGAGATGGACTGCCCATACGCCTAGTTCATGACCCATGAGTGTTCGGCTGAGTACGCCTGTAATTGCGCTGAATAGATGGATCTTTGAGTTTGCTAGGCCGACGACTACCCATTCTGTGTCAAGGGCTACGGATGTGACTACACCACTATCTGGTGTTGGGATTGGCATGCGGTGAGCGCGGAGAATATTACCGCCCTTTCTCAGATTGAGCACTTGGTAATTTAATTAGTAAGGACACGCGTGTGGTATGGAGCGACGTACTTGTACCATAAGCACGCCTAAAATATTGCTGATGAGAAAATTGAGTTCTAGGATGTAAAAGATTGTCTGAGAAGTATGGACCCCAGTGGGACACGGAAGTAAGTTCTTGGCGTTTGAGTCGATCTCGTGCTGTTAGCCACGAGTCTATTGAGCTTGAAGCGAATTTGTCGATCTCGTCCAAAGATTCGTCATCTTGGAATAGACTGGTAGCAGATTTGTCTTCTGTATCTGCTCTGAAGCTATATGTATCGCATAAGACCTTCCAGAGCCAGTCATCCGCGACCAGGTCGTGCCAGCGTTTAGAGACTTGACTTGCGCGTGCGAGAGTGCATGGGTCGTCAACATAAGATAGGATATGGAGTGCGAGTTCTGCTGGTAGTTCTGTCAGGACATCACGTTTGAGCATGGGCGTGATTGTTTGGGAGAGGAAGCGTAGTTCTGCTGGGGAACATTCATGGAGTATTGATATGAGGTATTGTTTACGTGAGGCGGGACCTAACAGAGTTGAGAATTCGGATGAAGGATTGTACTGGGGTATCGGACGAGGTGAAGGAGCTGGCGTTGGTGGTGATACTATTGGCATGTTAGTGATCATGGTCAAGACATGGACTTGACACGTGACTTAATACTCTCTCGACCTTATTCAAATTTTCCTTGTAACAAGTCAAGACAACTATGACCAAGAAGAAGACTCAAGCGAAGAAAAAGCAGGCTCAGGCTGCTGCTGCTAATGCAAATGGCGCAAAGTATGATCAATGAATTCAATTCATTCATTTGCAGTTGACCATCCTTGATTAGCAACAATCCACCTCCTACCGAGCCTAGGCCTCCTTCACCCTCCGTCCCCAAGGGCCCTTCTGCAGATGACGTAAAAGAGCAAGGTAATGTAGCCTTCAAAGCAAAACAATATACAGAAGCTATCGAACTATATACCAAAGCTATCGGTAAAATAATAACATCTCCTTCTTTCGCAACTCATAGAAATATCCTCTCCCAGATATCAAGCCAACAGAACCATCATATCTCACTAATCGTGCAGCCTCTTACATGGCCTTAAAGCGTTTTCGTCCCGCACTATCAGACTGCCAACAAGCAGCCACACTTCAATCCTTAGAACCATCATCAAAGACTCTCATCCGTCTCGCACGATGTCAATTCGCACTCGGTTTATCGGAGCCTGCATTGACAACACTACGCTCTGTCCTCGATCTCGAACCTACAAATATTGCTGCTGCACAACTGAAAGACAAAGTCCTCGAACTAGAAGCTCACTTGCGTACCTTTGAGTCTTCCCGTACACGCAAGGAATTGGGCATGGCACGCCTCGCATTAGATAAATGTCTACAAAGCATCGAAGCTGAGGGCGGCGAGATACCAACTCAGTGGCGGCTATGGAAAGTCGAACTCGAACTCTCTAGAGGGAACTGGGATGCTGCCAACATTGCTGCAAAGTGAGTCTGACCCTACCACCATAGATCTCTTGACATTGACAGTCTTTCAGCGATGCTCTTCGATTAGAACCCAACTCCCCAGAAGTACTCACACTCCGTGGTCTCGTGCTCTTTCTCAGTGGTAAGCTATCCCAAGCACTACAACACGTGGCTTCGGCGCTTCGCCTCGATCCTGGACACGAGCCTGCCCACCGCCTGCGCAAGCGCGTAAAAGATGTAGAACGTCTCAAGGAAGAAGGAAACACTGCCTTCAAGGGTAGCAGACTTCAAGACGCAATCGCACGATATACAGAAGCGCTCGATGTATGTCCCTCCTCACTCCGATAACTCATGCTCATACTCATACTCCATTTCAGCGAATAGGCGAAATCGAAGAAGAGGGCAAAGGCGGACAGATCCGCGCTACCCTTCTCTCAAATCGCGCTACGACGCTCGTAAAGGTACATCCTGTGCAACGCCTCACTCGTATCACATTCTCACATCATTCTCAGCTTGATAAATACGAAGAAGCACTCCTAGACACAGAAGCCTCTCTTGCACTCTACTCCACCTCCTTCAAAGCCCTCCGCACACGCGCACGCATTAATCTCCATCTCGAGAGATACGATGCTGCAATCGCTGATTTCAGAGCGTCGATGGAACAAGCAGAGTTTGAGGGTGTAGACGCTGATGTTAGGGCGTTGAGGAGCGAACTTAAGAAAGCGGAGGCTGCACTTAAGAGGAGTAAGACGAAGGATTATTATAATATTCTCGGTACGTCCCCTCTTTTCAAGAAGGAGAAATAGGTGTTGATGTGACCGTGCACCTCTCAGGCATCGCGAGAGACTGCACCGAACTCGAGATCAAAAAAGCATATAGACGCGAAAGCCTCAAACACCACCCAGACAAAGGAGGCGACGAAGAGAAATTCAAACTGGTAGTAGAAGCGCACGCAGTCCTCAGCGACCCTCAACGTCGGGAACGCTATGACATGGGCGAAGACGAGGATGGACAAACGGAGGGTGGGATGGGCGGTGCTGGAGCGTTCAATACGGCTGATCTGGCCGAGATATTTAGTCAGTTTCAGGGTGGATTCAGTGGAGGGCCGTTTGGCGGCGCAGGAGGGGGAGGGTTTAGTGGAGGGCAAGGGACCAGCTTCCATTTTCATTCGGGGAGGCAGCATGACTTTCATTGAGTGGCTCAATCATATGAAAATTATTTTCGTGCTTGTGTTGGATTTGGTCGGATCTAAATTTGAGATATATCGCACTAGCAGAGTTCCGCGGGGACCAGCTTGAACTTCGGATTTCTGAGGCAAAAACATCGTTTGAGCTGTGACACTTCAATTTGGTCAAGGGTACTAGGCCTCTCGTACCCAAACAGATCATTTATTATGATAAACCGGGCTTGAGCTTGAGGACTCCATTGAATCTGCGTTGCTGACCTGGCGGTGTTCAAATGAGGGACAAAAATTATGGCCAACGTGGGGATCGAACCCAAGACCTTCGCGTTATTAGCACGACGCTCTAACCAACTGAGCTAGTCGGCCGTTGGTGAACCGGTAGGCCCAACGTATATGTCGAGTCAGGATTTTGAATCCTAAAACGTCAACTGCGGCCCCCCCTGTGAACTATTCTTAAATTCGAACCAAATCCAACAATGTCATCCACGAAGAGAACAAGCTCACGAAATAATAGTGCTCCGGCTCTCAAACAAGGCACTTTGGCGTTTGCTGTCAAGCGCACGAACTCACACACTACTACTAAGGCGAAGGGGCTTCCCCTAGCACAACGGTCATCGCCTTTGATTGAAAAGCATGCAGCTGAAGATGCAACAGACTTGGAGGTAAACAACGAACAGTACAGTGACGCCGTCGTGCTGGAAATATCTTCGGAAGAGGAGTATTCACCAGCTACTGTGAAACTAAGTGGAGCTCCTAAACCCACGAGAGCATCGATATCCGGTTCCGCCAAGAGGCTAAAGGATGACCGGGACCCTCCTGCTGTCAAACCCGTGAACGAACAGCCAACATTAGATGTTTCGGCGAAGGTCTACCGCAAACATTATGGGTACGTGCGAGAAAAGATGGGCCACCTTGAACCGAGTGAGCCATATGCGTTTCTTGATCTTTCACAAGGTTAAAGCGGCAGCATATGTTTAGTTCATGCCGAAGGACAGAATAAAATCCATCAGATACTCCGCGTATTTGACATGTATGCAAATTTCTGACATCTGATAAGGAATTTGATCGATGTTTGAGCTTCTTCTAGGTCCTACGAGTACGGTCCGTGTGTTGGCATGTCACGTCTTGAGCGTTGGGAGAGAGCCGCTTCGTTCGGTCTCAACCCACCTGATGAGGTATGTACACGCGCACCATGACGCTGCAACACGAACCCACTCGTGATCAGGTCCAGCATATTCTCCTGACTGAAGAAGGAGTCGAAAAAGATGAATATTCCCAATGTATTCTCTATGGAGAAGTGTAGTTGGGACCCTTGTTCCACTTCGATGTAGGTACCTACGTGTTTACCCCATCGGGCTCATCCGATGACTGGCTCATGGCTTTCCCCGTATAGCCTAGACTTTCCTACCGCGTTATCTCCGATGGAGTTTTGGGGGTTTTGTCGGATTATCTATGCGCGCCGCGACAAGCCTGTCACACCGACAATTTTCACTGCTCTGTCACTCTCGAAGAAGGTTGTTGTGTGTGCTAAAGCACTTGTACTGATCACTTGTTATGTTGTCATTCCTTATGCCATCTGGATGATTGATCTCACGGAAGGATCTCGAACTCGAACATCATTTGATGTCAAGTCCAATCTCTCATCAAATGTGTTGTACTTATAAAAGGAACGGTCTGGAGCCTGGGCGGTCTTAGCTGCCTATAAGAATGATGTTTCTATTCGCAGGATGATATGTAATCCAAAATCTGATAATGAAATCAGAAAGTTTATCCGGAAAGTATTCCTGAAGTTATGCAAACCAGCATGATGATGATCGTGAGAGCCCTCGCAAGAGCGTAGGCTGTGGCGATGAGCCAGCAAAGGGATCTTCCAAACGGGAGTTCAGGCAATAGTACTGCCAGTGCGTTTAAGCGTTTAGTCATCACGAGAGTGATGTCGTGTGGTCACATGAAGATCACATGTCTCGAGAAAATCTATATTTCGATTCTTGGCACTTAGTGTCAACTTCAAATTTGTGTCGTACAACAACTTGAGGCTTTTATCTCAATGTGGCAAGAATTGCACATGCACTCCTACTGGACGTTGGTCAAGCTCTCTCACCCGCTCGAAAGTCGAAAACTATCAATGCTTCCCTTTCGCTAAATTAGCTCGAATACTAAATTGTCAAGGAGACTTCTGCACACATGTACTCATCTAGGTGAGTTCTCAGAGAACTTTCAATATCTCTAGAATTTGACGCGGCTGCCGGCAATCGCAGCTAGTCCTTGTGACTCAATCTACCAGTAGGCGGCTGGAAGTGCTCGGGCCCTTCGAGTTGCAGTGGCATCTTTATCAAGAAAGAGATAATGCACCAGCAGAAGACTATTGATGTGCCAAAAAAAACCTATTGCATGCGGCTAAACTCACCACATGCATTCTACGTTCAATCTTGTGCACATGGACCATACACTTCTGTGAGAATATCACATAGTCTCGCTGAAGCCAGGTCTCGCTATTTTCTAATCCCTCGGTTTGTTCATGGCCTGTCACTAGGTCGGCCGGGTGGGTAATTGACTAGCATGTTGGTGAGGACTTGGTCGTGAAAAACCGGAGCAGCGAGGGCATCACCCAAAATTCAGTTGAAGATTTTTTTGCCAGATCGACCAGCTCCTTTACTCGTTCCTAGTAAAAGCTCAGCGACTGACTACATCGCAGCTACCTGCCTCTGCGGGACGCAAGCTCCGCTCTCAAGTGCCCGTCTAAATCATTATGAACGACTACACGTTTAGGGAACCCTTCAATAGACCTGTCTCCGAGTTACGGGTGCATTGCCATGTGCAGGAGACAGAAATTTGATCGCTAACGTACTCTTATCAGACAATTCGCAAACCGAGATTCCAGTATGAACGGGAAGATAGGCTCATATATATATCCTGCTTCCCGCCATTTGCAATTATCTGCTCTCACAAACTCTGGACATTTGAGGCTATGGTGACCTACAGTTGCATTTTAATTTCCGGGCCTTCGGTATCTCGTTCAGATAACTTCGGTGGGTGTGGGTGGAGTCTCAATTTACGCAAATAGCTGACTTGGCACTATTAGCTAGTGACACTACAATCATGCTCAATTATTGTGCACTTTCCCGTGGGCCATGGAGGTCCGGGCGCCAGCATTCTTCTGTTAAGGACATGAATTCCCGCACTTGCACTCCCCGTATAAAGACGCTCTACATTTCAATATTTCCTCCGTTGTAGATTCACTTTCAATGCCTGTCCCCGTCGTACCCCGCTCTGAAGTCGATGTTCTCGTTATTGGGGCTGGCCCTGCTGGCCTCATGTGTGCGAACGCTCTGGCAAATGCAAAAGTAAATGTTCGGATCGTTGAAAAAAGGTACGGGTGTTGTCTGCTAGCCTTCTTGCTTACCTGAACTTCTGCTAGGGCTGTTGGAGTAACTGCCGGTCAGGCTGATGGAGTTGCACCTCGTACTATTGAAGTTTTCCAGGTGAGATCACTTCTTTACTCGATGCCGACTGACTAAGGCTCCATAACAGAGCTATGGCATTGCAGAGCGCCTCATGAAGGAATCTGTCCAAGTCCACCAAGCGGTATGTCCTTCAACAGGGGCTGGCAGTCCTTCAACAAGGACTTGCCGACTGAATTAATTTTTTCCCAGGCCTTCTATGACCCTTCCTCGTCCGGCGGTATCAAAGTTCGTAAATTTTCATGATTAACGATGAATATTCAGTGAATGTTGTCCATCAGCTTACCAGCCGAACACCGGATGTAATAGCTCCGTCTGCAAGATACCCATTCGAGGTGTGCTCATTATTTGTGAAAAATCACATAACTTGAAGCTGAACGAAATGAAGTGTGCACTTCATCAAGGAGCCATTCAAGCCATTTTTATGGATTCCATGAGAGCGCTCGGTGTCGAGGTTGAGTGGTCAACGATACCAACTTCGATAGAGATCTCCAAGGACGAAAATGAGTTGATGGATCCTGCATCGCATCCTGTTCGCGTCGTGCTCCAAAGACTAGACGTTCCTGAGGGTCAACCACAAGAAGAGATCGTCCATGCTAAATATGTTGTTGGAACTGATGGTGCGTTCCGGGCTCCGAAGATGTCCATCATTCATCTGGGCAACCTGATCATTACCCCTATAGGCGCTCACTCATGGGTCCGCAAACAATTCGATATTTCCATGGATGGCGAACAATCTGGTGAGTTTCTATATCGGTCAGAGCTCCCAGTCAGCTCAATCTCGATTGATAGAGTTCATCTGGGGTGTCATGGACATGGTGCCTGATACCGACTTCCCGGATGTTAGGAATAAGTGCCTTGTGCATTCCAACAATGGCTCGGTTCTTCTCGTACCTCGAGAACAAGATCGCCTGCGCGTATACGTGCAACTAGAGAACAAAGATATTATCAATCCAGCAACAGGTAGAGTAGATAAGGAGAGAATGGGTCCAGATGAGATGCTTGAAGTAAGCTATTTCCGTTTAATGGACCAACGATCATCAATATCCTCTTTAGGTTGCCCGAAAATCGCTTAGCCCTTACAAACTTAGCCCGACGACTGGGTTCTTGTGGTGGACACTATATATCAGTACGTATCTGACCCACCTGCCTTGAAATGTTTGTTTGACACTTCCCTTAAGTTGGGCAACGAGTGGCCTCAAGATTTTCCATTGAAAACAGAGTTCTTATCGCCGGCGATGCTTGCCATACACACTCTCCGAAAGCAGGCAAGTGTCATAAATCTAGCCCTTCCCCATCGGTCTGCTTACAATGTAATTCAGGTCAAGGAATGAACGCAAGTATTAACGATGCACACAATCTAGGTGTGTTTTCTGTTTCCTGCAGCATCTGTCGAAGCTAAAGGGCTTTCATAGCTTGGAAAATTGCCTTAGTGGTTCGTGGTTGGGCAGATCCGTCACTTTTGTCAACAGTAGGTTCTTGCACCATCATATGACTACGGGCTTACCGATCGCCATTAGTACGAATCGGAGCGCCGTAAGTTCGCGTTGGACCTCATCGCATTTGATAAAATGTACTCCACCCTTTTTTCTGGGAAGCCCTTGACCGAGGAGAACAGTCATGGGGTTGCGCCCGAACAGTTCATGGAGTGAGATCATACTACCAAAAGTGTTGCCTTGTTACTGATTCGGTGGGTTGTAGGATATTCAAACAGTTTGGAGCCTTCACCAGTGGCATTGGGGTGCATTATGGCCCTTCGGTTGCAATACTCGACAGAAACCAAGGGCTGGCTAGTGGTCTAGCGATCGGCGAACGTTTCCCTCCATATAAATTCATCCGCGCTGCAGACGCAGGGCCCGTTGAGATCCAGGACCTTCTTCCGGCGGACTTCCGCTTCAAATTGCTCGTTTTTACTGGTGACTTCAGTGACCCACTTCAACAAGCGAGGGTCAAGTCGATGGTTGCTATCATGCAGAAACCCGAGAGCTTCCTAAACCGTTACTTGACTCCTAGCAAGGGCTCTGAGAACCCACGATTTGACATCATCACAATCAGCAAGGGTCGGAAAGAAGGATTTAATTTCTTGCAGTTCCCAACGCTTCTTCGCTCTCATTGGTCCAAGTGAGTATCTAATTTATGATATGTGTGGGGGTATTGATAAGGGCCTTCTTAGGGTGTTTATCGATGACATTGATGTCACAGGTAGCTTCGGGGGGAAGGGTTACTCATATTATGGAGTAGGTCACGAGGGTGCACTGATTGCTGTTCGCCCCGATGGCTATGTTGGAGCTATCGCGCCCCTGGATGGTGTTGAAGAGCTTGACGCATATTTCGCGTCTTTCATGAAGACTGCTGCTTAGTTTCCACGACGAGTTTGCTTCGGATGTTGCCCCAAAAATAAAATGTTCTCTATTTTTTTTTTAACTTATCACAGGTCCTCTGTACTATCATACAGTCAATATCAGATGCATTTACAAACATGGTACTTTTAGTTTGGAATCTACACGTCACCTCAATGATGCAAATATCGTTGCGAGGACGCTTGAACCTGTTACCCCAAGTGTAAGCTTCCGACGCTCATGTGAGCGAGCTTGTAGGGAAGGAACTTTTTTGTCTTGCGAAATTTGATTTTCACAAATATCATCATCTTCTTCCTCATGGTCATGAACTTAGTTGTCCATTATTTTTTATTTATTTGGTTTACATAATTGATGTACAGACGACGAAGTTCTTCCGAGTCATATGTAAAATCCAATATATATAATTTGTTCGTCTCAAATTTCTATCTCTTCTACCTCATCTATAACCTGAGATCTACTGCCAGCTATCCACCTCTTTATTAACGATATCCAATCATTGGACTGACAACTCGAAGGTGCACAGTTACGTGTCTGACCATACTAGTACACTTATCCACACCCTGCAGCCACAAGGATATTCCTGCTCGCGCCCGTGAAGAATGACCTGCCGAGCTAGCTTCGGACCCGGGAATGCTGGATGTTCGGTGACGAAAGAATAAAAGGATATCCAGTGATTTGTTTCAGGATCTCGAAATTTGGAACAAGGTTTGCTTCATTTGCAGTCGAGGTTTACCGATATTGACAGTTTTCGTGCGTGCATGGTTGTGAGAAAATGGAGTGGACATGAAAAATGACTTTTTTTGACCCTCGGTAGACTTGGACTTTGGTTGTGCCATTGCTTCTCCCATTGAGGTTTGGGGAGTCACTGAAGGTGAGGTCATCATTAAAAGCAAGCCTATCTAAAAATTAGTTGACTATCTCTTGCAGCGCGGTGTTGGAGTCGCCATGTTTACGGAGTCCAACTTTTTTTGCATTTGCCAACTTGATGGTCCAAAGCCCATGGACATAAAACTAAGTACACAACTCAATCATTATAATTGATGAGCTGACTTGCTTCCGCTTATAGACTCTATTGGCAATATATGCTACAACGATATGTATGAAATGAGATCCGAATCGCCTTCAAGGAACGTGACGTTGAGATGCAAGGCATTACGCCTCCGGGTTCAAGGTTTTTCCTATCAGGAAAGAACCGAAGTACTTATCCACGCTTTCTAACGCCGTGGATGGTGCGACCATACCGACGTAACCGTCAGGCCGAACAACTACTAGCGTTATTTCTTTCTCATCGATACCGAATCTTGGATATGCGCCTCCACCCAAGCGGCCTGTCACATCCGTGTCATCGATCAAGACTCTGCATGATCACATGTTGGTATCCGTGAGACAGAAGAAAGTACGACAACTCACTGAGACCAGTGTGTCCTGAACGTTGGAGGAAGATCGAGGAAATTTACATCATCCTTGTGACCAGCAGCTATTGAAATAATGTCGAACATCGACTGTGCCTTGCCCTGGGCTTGGTAGTCGTACTTTTGTAGGAAACTTGTGGGGAGTTGCAATTCCTCAGCGAGCCCTCGAACCCTCGTGAGCTGCTCCGATGTCAAAAGGCCAACGAAGAACAGAAGCTTGAAGCGGGTGTCTGCGGGAAGCATGTCCTGGATCTCAACAGGACGAGCGTCCGCTGCACGAACAAACATTTGGGGCAGCATCCGCTGGCCAATAATGAGGTTTGGCGCGCAGCCTTGATGAATAGTTTCGACAATCGCTGAAGGCATGTAATGGACACCGATACCACTGCTGAAGCCGCCAGAAGCCTGGAAAGCCCTGAAAAGCGTAATCCAGACACTACTGTGAAACGCCATTGAGATAACTCACCTCAAGAATTCTTCATGGCTAACACCATCCTCGTTTTCCGACGTCCTCGGTTTGCCAGAAAATAGAGTGGAGAACTCGCGATCGAAATTTATGAGATCTTGGGCATATTTCTGGCGCTCAAGCTCGTACTGAGAGGTGGTAAGTCATTGACACGAACAAATGATACGCGAACGTACGGTCTTCAAAAGCGAAATATCCGCTCTACCCCGCAGGACTTGTGCCAGCTTCCACGCTGTTTGCAGACTAAGAAATCCACTTTATCTGAAATAGGAAAATCCCTACCAAGGTTATGGGTATCGTTCATGCTCGCATTCATGCCCTGCCCTGCAACACAATTAGACACGTTGATCTTCTTGGATCATCGCATCACTCACCTGCTTTCGGAGAATGCGTGTGGCAAGCGTCACCAGCGATGAAGACGCGCTCATGTTTAGAGAACTTAGAAGCTACACGTTGACCGACTGGAATGACAACTGTTCAACTTCACAATCCCAAAGATGGCAGTGTAATGCCCTTACTGATGTAAATTGAACACCAGTCCACTTTTTTTGGTTCGTTGATTATGTATGGGTAGAATGTTTTGCGAGCAGTCTGTTCAGAAAGGTATTAGTCGTCCTTTAAGGCAATCGAGTTGGTACATACGTTGATGAGGTTCTCAGCGGTCACCTTTTGCTTGTCGATTCTTCCCGTTTCAGGATCCATGACGTCCTTGTCCAGCATCTGCAGGTAGAACCGGACTTTGTCTCCTTCACGGGGTATAATCATACATGAGCCATTACTGGAGTGGATTGCGGAACGGTTGCGAATGTCTGGGAAGTTGGTGTCTGGAATAAAGTCGATCACACCCCATATGTAATCTGAAATGAGCATCGCATATTAGAATATCTCGTATCAAATGAACATCCAAATCGACCTGTTTGTTCTCCATCCATCGTAAAACCCAAGGTTTTCCGAACCCACGAGTGTGCACCTGAGCAGCGGGCACCATCAGTTCTACAAGAGCATTTCAAGATGTTGTATGTCTCACCATCCGCACCGAGAACGAACTTTGCATGGACGATTTCCTGTTCTGGAGTACTGTCTGAAGGGCCTATGTGGTCCAAGACCACCTGTGCCAATGTGTCAAAAGTAACGTCTTGTTGGAATTAGAATCTTGAGCACCTTCGCAGGGTATGAGGATGGATCCAGAAGTTCTTCGGGATCTTGTGAAATTTCTAGGGAAGAAGGTACGATCGGACGGTCGACTGATATTCCTTGGGACTTCAAGGACTCGAGGAACACTGCTTCAATTGATGCTTGCGAGATCGTGATCTGCCCGACAGTAGGAATCAGATCATGATTCATGAGCCGAATAATGCAACACACACCTTGAAGGGAAAACGGGCCGTTGGAGCTGTCACGTCTGGAGCCCGGCCAGTGCGCTACGGAGCATTTGTTTGAACAAATAGAGAACAGAGCGGTCAAGAAACATACTTCGATGCCGCCATTTGGGCCAGGGTTGTAAAAGGCCTACACAATTATTACTATGCAGAAATCGAGCCAGGTAGAAGTTCTGAGACTTACACAGAGATGCATCTGGGCACCTTCCTTCAACAAAGGCTCTGCTAAACCATAACTCTGGAAGAATTGGATATATCGCTCCTTTTACATTAAAGTTGGGGGACATACTTGAAGAACTTCGATCGTCCTAGGCTGTATGCCATCCGCTTGCCCGGCGGCCACGCCAACCGGCCTGGGTTGATGTGTGAGTCATCGCATCTCTACTCCTCCAGACTCTAAACAACGGACCTGTTGTCGATGATTCTAAAGTCCACTCCAGCACCGGCCAATGCATTGGCACACATAAGCCCCGAGGGACCCGCACCGATGATAAGCACATCAACTCGACTTTCCTTGACCATGACGATAGGGATATAGGAATGATTTGATATTCGTGCGTTGGGATGAAGGCTTTATATATATACTGTATTACGCGTGGTCCGTTAACGAAAGACCCGCCCAAATCTCATGGCTATTCGCTTCGAAAGCTGTGCCAGTGGCAGCTGTGAGATCTATGGTATTCGATACTTATAAATGGTACGATAACAACCAGACCCGAGCAAGATTATATGGCCTGACTCGAAGAGCCGTTTAAGTATAATTAAATAACCAGCTTCCTCCGGTCAAACTCCTGCGACACCATACTCAAAGTTGACTCAACAGACATCAGGTACTTGCAGTGAGATCAAAATCGAGGGGTGGGCAGAATGCAAACGCAACTGGCTAGCCACCATAGACTCGAAACTTCAAGGTCATGGTCACTGGTGACCCGAGATCAGCGGCTTGCCGGCCGTAGCATTATTGGCAGAATTGCAGGGTACCTGAGACTCGCATAGATGTAATATGACACAGTTTAAATTTGATAGAACAATGAAAACTGACTCATCTTTACATGAAGTAAGATGGTGAACGCGTAACTGTTCTAATCATCTCCGATCTCAATGTCTTTGCTGTGGCAATCCTCTCACTTGTGGGGGATGCAGGCGAAATAGAGCGCACATTATAGCACAACACAATCTGCACGACAGCCTGTGTTTGTCTCCCAGTTGACGCATTTGACAAAATCTTTGCAAACTGGCAGACCTTCGCGTAGAAACCTCTGCTCTCGACAGAGCTTCATGATGTAGATGATCTTGTTGCTGGTCCAGTCGCCTGACGTGAATTTAAGAGTTGAAGAGGACTGAAGATTGAAGTGCTTGAGGTAAATACTTCTGATTATGATGGGTTGAACAAGGAATGACTATTCTATAAGGTACAATGGCGAGGATGACGGAACATGTTAGGGTTTCGGTTGTAACGTGACCCCAAGCACCTTGAATGTTGCAAACTTTCCTTCCGTGGTTATCCTGCACCCGGTTCCGGATCTTATGTCAAGACACACGGCAACGTTGTCGCCGAATGTCCAAGGATAGCAATCAGGCTTCAGCCTGACCTGTCTAAAATCTGGATCCGCGACTGCTATCTCTCCGATTCTGCTTCAACTTGCTGCTAAAATATAGAGCATCATGAAAATGGGTTTATCGTGCCAGGTGCTGTACCAGCATTCACTAATGACTGCTGGCATTCATATCAAATCTGCGGATCAAAGGTTAGATCCGGTCGATTTGCACGAGGCCGATATCCAATCCTTGAATCCAGGACGATGGAACTTCTTCAGTCGATTACGGGCCCTATGGCTCATCGTATTGTCGCGACACATTAGCCTACGGCCTCGAAGAAAGGTTACCAAATGCACATGTGTTCAAAGTCAAACCGCTAGAGCGCGCAATGCTTGTCGCGGCCCGTTGTTAACGACGAAGTTCTACCACGAAGGTACATTCGCAGTAGCAGTTATCTTTACCAAAATCGACACTGCGTTTAATATCTCGTCCAACCGTGCTGGACGCACTCCAACAGCTCAATATCCTTTTGAGGTCCTGCTTAATCAAGGAGCTATCGAGCCAATTTCGCGGTCAGATCTCAGATACGGTTTCATAGTCGGTCACCCCATCGTATCTGCTTCAATTGAACTATCCAATAATACAGGACAACTTTGAACTTGCAGATCCGTTCATCTATCCAGTGAAGACAAGAAAACCTGAATAAAGCATTTGGTGACTTTAGATTTTCCAGATGCCCCAGACAGTGCGTGCTCACTGTGTCGTAGCCTCGGTAAGACATAGTCTTACACACGTGAAATTCATGCAAATAGGTAGGCTCCAGTATTTTTTTGTCAAAGCTGCAGACTTCGCTTATATGATATCGGTAACGGCGCTGGGCCATGCCAGTCCCCGGCACATTGGGTATTCGCCTTGTAAATTCATCGTACCCAAGATCAGCGACATTCTTGGCTAAATGGACAGAAATAAGCCAACTTCGCGCCATGGCGTCAGTAATGAACGAACGAAATGGAAGATGAATCATGAATGAAGGCACAATCAGTCCGATTCTCCTATCCCAACCTCTGAAATTAGATGGTGCTGAGGAATGCTGGGTAGTGTGTCGCAGTTGAACGGCGCATGAAAGGCTAGTAAGTTTTGGTTTGCCCGTCATCCTGCACACCAGGCGGGCGGGCGAGTCAGGTGAGGGCAGCTCTAACTTCAATGCTGCTGAAAAATCTCCGCATTGCAATGTGGGCAAAGGAGACTGTGAGTTTACTGGCCGGGGGGGTATCGAATTAGCATGGCAGATAGGGAGTGTAGATACTCAAGCATACAGGCGGTGGACAGCTGGGAGTCAATAGCCCGACGAGTGCATTCAACCGAGAAAACTCCGAGTCAAGCATACACGCGATGCCGTACCACTACGGATTATCGGAGGCGGTAACCGTCGGTACCCAATAAGGGAAGAAGATGTCGCACAAAAGTTTACCGACGGCTTTGCACACTTATTTTATACAGAACCCCCACTCACTAAAGTGGGTGTTGAGGGATCTCGGACCTCGGTGCAGATGCTCGTTGGTCTGCCGACGGCACCAAGAGCAAGCACTCGGAAAATTCCAGTGTTCGCTCTTGCCGACCGTCTCATGAATGGATATTGGATAATACTTATCCGCGTTCGGTTGCCACGGGTGCCCAGCAAGGACAACATGAGTTTCGTCGGCCGTGATTTAGCCTGCCGTTTAGATTCCACCTGTAGCTCAGGTTAATTATTCAAATTTTATTCTTAGTTATACTCAGGCTTTAATACCGTTCGACAAAGTTCTGAACGTCACAGGACAACACAGGCAGCCTACGAGGACATTGATATCAATTCAGGGAGATTTGATGGCGGCCCCCTCGAGGAGAAGCACTTCATCATCCCCCACTGTAAGGCATTCATTTGACTCTGATAGTGAGCTTTGTTTTGATGCTTCCTATTATGAAATGTTATTATTGCATACATAGGCGCAGGTGTTAATGTTTACAATGAAAACCGTAGGGATATCATGATGATACGGCAGGAAAAAATCGTGTGGGGGCAGCCACAAAAGACTATCAGTCATTCCTTCTGTCATCCTCGCCACCCCGGCAAAGGAGCGGCTTCAGCACTTCCAATTAATACCCTCCTCGCACCACCCTTTCCGGAAGGTAGTTTCGCTCCAGGCTTACTTGTAGCTAAGCTGCTGACCTTTAACTTTGGTTGAGGAGCAGGAGGCAACGAAGGAGATGGTTTTCGGGGAACCTTGTCGCGGTTTTCTTTCTCTGGCTTCAACTTTCCAGGCACGACAAGCTCCGCTTTGGCCTTTCCCTTTTCCTTCGTCGAAAAGCGCTTCGATCCGGGAGGTAGCACATTATTGAAGGGAGGTAAAGGAACAACATTTGACTCGGTCTTCTTCTCCCTCAGAGGACTATCATCTGACTCTGATTCGCTTGAGAATATCTTCGTAGCAACGGGCGGACGAACGACAGACGTCGGGGAGTCTTCACCCTCTTCTGATACCCCGTCCGGGCTGTCAGGAGAGTTCGCAAGCATGAGAATGCGAGATAGTGGACTCGGTTTTGCAGGCGAGTAAGCATGTGACATATGTGGCGCAAGTGGTTTCGCAAGTGGGAATGGACGGCGTGTATTCACAACAGGAGCAGGAGGTGTTTTGGGTGATGGGAGGACAATTTTCGGTATTGCGGCTTGTGTCTGAACAGGGGGCGACGTGCAATCTAACGAAGAAGTATCAGTGCTCGAAGCGACAGCTGACTCGGTGTCAGTGGGCGTGTACGATGTTCCTCCTGACGTCGCTTGATGCGCCATCATTACTGGAGGAAGGAATGCCTCTACAGGGGGTAAGGACGTCCGGGGTGAACGCGGAGGAAGCACAAACGCAGAGGGTAAGATAGACTGCGCCACGGTCGACTTTTTGCCCAACGCGTCGAAGGCTGCTGGTGGGATAACGATAGGAATTACCTCCGTCTCGTAAGCAGGCTCCACTTTATTTGGTGGTGTAATCGAGAATGATGAGGAGCGCCGAGACACTCGGGTTTTTCTGCTTGCCACCTTGCCGACGACCTTGGGTTTCATAGGTGACTTTCGTGGTGACTTGATCTTATGAGCCTGAAGCGGTCGAGGTGCAGGTTGGGAAGTTGTGGCAGGTGTTGGTGGGAGGTCGGAGAGCATCTGCTCGACTTGCCATGAACGTTTCTCCTCAAGGAAATGGGCACGTTCAGTCTGAGTCCAATCGTCAGTAATGCGCTAGACCCAAGTATTGGAATATTTTTTTACCTCCAGAGCGGCTTTCTCCTTGCCGAGTTTGACAGCAGCATCAGTAAACTTTCTCCGCTCATCATCAAGTTCGGTCTTCATTCGCTCAAGGCGCTCAGCGGCAAGGTCTCGCTCTGGCTGTGTCATGAGTTCAACGCTTTCGTCCCTTGGATTGCGTTCGGTAGATGATGTTTGGGACGCAATTTGCATTAAGAGGGTCTGAGTCTCTATAACATGCCTATCATGAAGTTTCTTAGCTTCATCTGTTCCCGAACACTTGTTAGTTATAGGCAAGGAAACCAGATGGTGTCTATAGACACACCAAGTTCTGAGCGCAACTTGTCGATGATTTCTTGTAATCGTTTATTTTCCAGAGCATCCGAGGTCTTGGTGCAATCTGGTGCTGGTGGTGCGGCAGATCGCTCTGACAGGCGTTGTGAAATGTCATCGAAGACACTGTGTGCTGAGGAGAAGAGAGTAGAAAGCTTGTCATTGGCAGCGTTGGGATATGCCAAAGGGAACAATACGCCGTGCGTCATTATTGCGGGCTACGGACAGGTTAGCGGGCTGGTTTGTGCTTAAAGCTGTAGTCACACCTCTTCGTCACAAGGTGAAACCAAGCATTGAAGTTCGTGCAGTACCGACTGCAGTCGATTTGCGACATTTACAACAAGCCGTTGTAATGCCAACGTTTCATCAGCTAGTGAAGCGCGAGCAGATTCGGCTTGCTCAAGAGCAATCTCAAGGTATCCCTTCCCCTTGCCAAGGGTTTCGGACCCGCTGACCACATCGGCATTGCCGCATCGAAAAGTCAATCCTGAGGACGTAGTCGTTAGCTTCGTCTGCATATCGGAAAGCTTTGACCATTTTTCGATGATGCGCTCGACGTCTTTCTCTTTCTTTTTAATTTCTGCTGAGTGAGTTGCCCGAAGAGCTATCAACGAGGAGCGCGTCCGCTGAAGCTCAGCCGAAGTTTGCCTATGGGCCGATTCCGAAGCTGCCAAGGTTTTGGATGCCGTTCTGCCACATAATTGAGATAAAATTTTTGAATAAAACCAACCAGTTGCTCACGCAATTCGTGACTTGTAAACGTTCATTTCGCGTTCTGCATTAGCTGCCTTCTCAGTGGCTGAGCGATGCATCCCCATAAGCCGCTCGTGGTCATAAGAAAGGGTGCGCAAACTTGTCGATAAATCTTCAGAACGAGACATATCATTCTAAAATTTCAAAGGAAAGTTTTGAATAAGACTGGTAACACTCGCGCTATCACACAACTGCGCCAACGCACCACTCTTTGGCTTAGCATAGCGAGCAAACATCTTGCCAGCTGATCTGCGTCAGAATTTGAGAGCCCCTCAAAGGAAAGCCCGGGTGAATGAGTGAATCCATGTGCTACAAGCTGAGAGTTAATGTATTCCAGACTGGATGTTGACGAGACGGAATCGGAGGATGTCGCTTCCGAGCATGGTGATCCAAAGCCAGAGATAGAGACATCGAGAGCCCAATGCACCAGCTTTCGCGGTGTGGTTGCCATCATTGGTCGTGGTGCTGAGTTGTTGATTGTTGTTGTCGTCGGCATCGTCGATGTTGAATTACTTCCAGCGACGCGACTCGGTCACGTGAATTCAATGTTAACGCGTGACAGAGTAAAATCTGTGACATAAATTCAGGTTGTTAACTTATTGTCAAATGACACTTCTGCACGCATAACAGTACTTGCTAGCTTTTCTCCTCAGTTCTGTGATGCACATTACGTTTCCTTCCTCATAAATAAATTGGTCCCAGACTGTCCCAGGTCACTAAGATCTGCCTCCTTTCGAATGCCCCCAATGGGCCACTGTAAGTACTTTTTCTGTTCTTTCTGAAATTAACATCCAACAGGATCCATTATTGATCGAGTTTTGGCCTCACTCATCCATCACTCGCCCACCAGTGAGTCAAGTCGAGGCCCAGTATTGCTGGATTTACCTGCTGTGATGAAATCTTTCTTTGAATACAAGATCAGATAATTTTTCTCCTGTAGGAAGACTCAGAAGTAGTTCAGTCATCATTCATTGAGCCCATGGTACGTGTTTCTGAATTTGCCCATTAGCAAAATATTTACTTGTTTGCGTCATCATCGTCAATGCTCATTTGCTATTACGACGCGTTTTTCAGCTTTATTGATCACTAGCTATCGCCACGCCTCTGAACAGCAGGCATACACTACGCAATGCGTGTGGTGGCTACCATGACTGGCGCACGATATATTGATGTAGTCTATCACGGCTCCGAGAGCAAAAGTCATTATCGATGTGAGAGTACAATGTAGACTAAGAAAATTCCATGGAAAGAAACAAATAGTAGGGATTGTCATGTCGACAGGCGAGCTACAGGGAATGACAGCAAGTATAGTGATATAAGTTTGATTCGACTCCAGGAGATATCCAAATAAGCATTTTAAATAATGATATGATCTATGATTCGATTCTCTTGTAGTACAACACGTATGCTGGACGTCCCTAAGAAAGTCGTCAGGGTCGAGTTTTACCAGAATATCAAAAGCTTACTACAATGTCCTTGGCGTCAGTCGGCGTGACCCGACTGTCATCACAATAAACCCATCCTCCACGAGAAGCAATAAAAGCGGTATCTAGACTCGTGAGTTGACAAAGGTAACATAGCAACAGAAAAGCTCACAATGTCCATTGCTTAAATTTCCAAAATGATTCGTCACGCCGTACAGATCGTATTTGTATGGTGGCGTCTGCACTCGCGGATCACCAATACCATTCGCTGAACCGTTGAGCATCCCAGGGGGTAAAGCTGGAGGCATGTAATTCGTCAGATCCAGACCCTTGAGAGGAAAGTCGACAACGGTCTCAATCTTGTCCGTGAATACCCCTTTGTGCGAGAAGCGCTTCAGGTGGATAAGCAGGATTGGAGGAAGGCGTGACAGCGAAAGCTGTTTGGTGGCATTACGCAAAGCTTTGCAATGCGGACAGTGCCTGGTGATGACATGAGAACAATGCCATAAAGTTGCGAGACACTATACCAAGCCTCCGTTCCCGAAAGCACTTCTTCTTTGACAAAGGCGTCTAGGCACGACTGCAGGGACGTCTTGGACAGGCCCTTTACAGCAGGCATGGGAAGGGAAAGATACATGAAGGAATTATACGTTGTTGATGTCTTCATGATGTTGCAGGCATTGTCAAGTGTTTGAAACATCTGGAACATTCCGAACCCACCTTGCGACATGTCAAGCACTCCAAGCGGTTCTTAAATTGTCCTTGAAAAAAATCTACAATAAGTGAATCATTCCGCATCCGGTAAATCTCCCATTCTTGTGCACTGGCAATCGACTGAGGAAGCCGCTCCAGTTCAGCCTCGCGTTCAGGTGTCGTTCCATTGGATGGTTTATGAAGGACACGGTTAAGGTCTTCATGGAGACCATCAAGCAAGAAGGTGAGAAATTCTTGCGAGTCATGTTGGTCAGACCCCGAGAATTGGGGAGCATGTGTGCATATTGATTTCTTGCCAACGAAGTCAGTTGCGTATTAATGAAAACAACAAACTTACCCTGAATGAAGCGGGGATCAGATGCGGAAGCTCGGAATGTGACATGTCGTAGAGAATGTGTGCGAACGCCGATGCGAGGTTCCCCTTCGTTCCCATGGGGTTGACCAAATTGACAGCCTTCCTCCACCGGCCTTCTATATCAGAGTCATCTTCCAATCAGTTAGGTGTGGATTTTGACATTCATACATACCAGTAAAGAATCTCGCGAATGGCACTGTGGCACTGAGACACTGAATTGTAGCATTCATGTAACATGTATTTCCCAAATTCTTGAGGCCAACCGTGACAATCTGCATGTCAGACCAATATGTCACGGGATAAGTAGACGCTATTGTAGGCGGTTTAGGAGGCTCCTTAAGTGTGCTAACGGAATAGGACTGCGAATGTGAATGATGCCGCTGGAACGAGGAGGAAGCAACCGGAGGGGGAGGGCGAATAACGTGAGAATGAGGTAGATCGGGGTAGTCGATGGGGAGGCGAGCACTAAACGACGCACTGCCAGTACCTTGTTCAACGTAGTCGCTTCGCCTCCGGACAAGCGGAGAGTGATTGATGCTCGCTTGTGGTGGAATCGCTGGGGGGTGAGGGTGAGAGATTAAGGACGCGGCCCCTGACCTCGAAACAGAGAGAGAACTTGTGGTTGAGAAGGAGGGGTATTGTATCGGTGTGAATGGCACTGCAGAGCCGTTTGCGAGGGAATGGGGTATTACGGGAGGTGTGCGGGGTGTCTGCGGGACAATGAGCAACGTGTAATCAAATCAGGGCAAGTGCCACGTACACTATCAGGACGACTATAGCTGTATGATATGGATGACGGGATATGCGTAAGAATGTTCGCGCGGCTTATGGAAGCGGGGGTGTCACTTAATGTATCTGAATCGTGGGACTTAAGCAGTAGGCTAGTACCGGAACATTAATACTGGGCGCAGGATGGAAAGGGTTTAGCTCACCCTGGGGACTCGTTCGGCACTTCCGGAAACCGGCGTTCAGGTGATGAGGGTATGTCAGACAGCGCGTCGTTTATCGAAAGTTTCCAGGGGCGTGAAACTGATTCGAAGGTTGACCTAGTACCAAAATATTAATACAGGACACAGACTGAAAAAATGAATACTTACCCTGAGGAGTCGATTGTCAATTCCGGATACCGGCGCTCAGGTGATGAGGGTATGCCAGACAGGCCGTCATCTATTGTAGGTTTCCGGGGGTGGGAAGCCGGGTCGAATGTTGATATACCTCCTAGATCTTGTATTGCACTTGGTTTCTCTGCTTCATTGAATGCAGCGACTCCACCAACAACTCGATCGAGGCCTGTGTCTGACGATTCAGTAGACGTCGGAGACGGCGGCCCCAATGACGACGGCAGGACAAATGCGTATGGTGAAGGTGCTGAAGAGTTTGATGCGGATGATGAGGTGCTGAGAACAGCAGTAGAGGACAATGAGGGAGACGTTCGATTAGAGCGAACTGAATCCGGCAGGTACACGGGAGGAGTCCCAGGGGGAATTTCCCGCGAATAGCGTTTCGTCGTGGGGTCGACAAGTCCATTTTGACCAAGCATCTTCATGCGATCTGCAAGCGACTTTATGTTGGATAATTCTTCCTGATGAGGTGAAATACTATAGAGGAAAGAAGAATCAATATATACGAAGGACAATCTGTCGGGCGCCGCGCTCACGTTGTGGTCGATCTCTCAACATCAAGTTCCGCCTCCAGGCTTTTGATACGGTTCAGAGATTCTCCATTTTCCTGTGTATGATGTCATTGGATAGTACTCTACACTAAAAACATAGTGCGAACCTGGAAGAACTGTAAGAACTCATTGTGAATTGGGCCCTTTTTAGCCCTGTCTGTGGCGTAATTGGAGTGGTTCATATAGGTCGTAATCAGGTTAGCTGCAACGTAGAGGGCATGCAGAGCTGCCTTTGTGTCCCGAGCAGCGTCTTTCGACTGAGCCAAATGCATCTGGGTACGGGCCGATCCAATGAGTGATTTGGCACTGAAACCTTTGCATTCCGCAGCAGTCCTCTTAGCATGTTCCTTGATCTCTAGGACAGATCCTAAAGATGAAAAGCCATTGTACATAGTTGGAGAATTCAAGGGAGGATCAATAAGTTGTCGAGACAGGTGTGCTCTGCTGTGAGTGTCTGGACCGAACCCTGCGAGTCTAGGTGATGGGGAAAGAACAACGACGCCAGGCATCCAAAATAACGAAAAGAGTAGCCTCGAGTAGAGTCAGTGATTCAGTGCGTGACAGGTATTGAGCCGCTCGGCGACGGAGCGAAATACAGAACACAACTTCAAGTTGGTCCTGGGACACATCGTGTGACAATCCCTGGACCGATTACGTAACTCACGACCACCTCAACTCAATCTCAACATCATGAATATTAATGTTCTTTCTTGAACGACAAGTGCACTAGCTACTAGTACTGTACAAAGTTCACGAATACGACGGGTATTCAAAAAGACCCGCGTCTAACCATCCATTGTGTCATCAAGAGGAGAAAGACTATCATCAGGAGAATGGCCAGCACCGACTCCGTTTCGATGCTCAAAGTGGCATTTGTGGCACCGCCAACGACCCGAGTAATGTTCACTCGGATAGAATGCGGGGGAATATTGTGTAGAGCACATATCGCATTGGGGCGCAGGCTCATCCGAAACGTCAGCCGAGGTGCCATCCGTGCGGATATTTAAGGTTTGGTCAAGTCTCTTGGCCTTCCGAAGTAGAGCATGCGCCTGAGTTACCGGCGCCTGTTTATACATCCGACAGTAAACTTGCAGAGCAGTCTGCTGTACCGCTTTAGTAATCCTAACAGGTGGAACATTTTGATCCTCACCTCTCCAGTCTCATCTGTTTCACATACATCATATAGTTCCCGTCTGCTGTTCTCATGTTCCTGGCAACATACAATAGGAACCATGTTGCCAGTCTCACCCTTGAAAGTGGTAATTATGTCATCCCGACGTGGATGACGCACCTGCAATAATTATCCTATGATGCACAACGACAAAAAACCAAAAAACTGTACCGGTTGAATCTCGAAGCCAAAATGGTGACCTTTCCTCCAAGCACAAGATGAGTGGTATTCCCGTACACAGTCACTGCATCGGATGACTGCACCACTGGTTTCGCCGCATAAAGTACATTTCTGGTGTATCGTGTCAACCAACCAGGATAAAGGAAATGTGTGTGTTCTTACAGATGCCCATCTCTGTTTGGGTATGGTGCTGATGCCCTCAACAAGCCGGAGTTGCGACACATCCGAGAAGCTAATCTCAGGAGTAAAGACAGCACACAGTACATGTGCCCACCCTTGCCCTTCTGTAGGCTTGGAAGCACGTAAGAACGAATCAGCATTGGGAAATTGGACTTTCTTCTTAGATTTGCGTCGTGGACACAGCAAACAGTCAGTGTGCTAGAGAATACAGTTATTATCATACGGTTAGAACAAATCTTTTTTATTTATTTACCATAGATGATTCCAGTGTCTCCTCGTTCTGGCAAATGTCGCACATCCAGGACTCAACGGCATTCTTGTCCACGTGAACGCCGCATGATGCTAGATATCCGTGCTATTGAGTGGGTGTATGACGGGATTAGATCGGCGACCTCACCTGCGTGCACTCGGAATTGGCACTGGTTACACTTCAGCACCTTACCCACTGGACCATTCTTCTGACATGCCAAGCAACGTAGCTGTGGGGCCATTGGAGCATTAGGGGGAGGTGTCGCATTTACAGAGGCCGATGTTGAGGTCTGAGATAATAAAAATAAATAATTGAAGTACCAGGATGCGTCTGTCATTACCTTCACTCGCTTCGTACTAGGTCCATTTAGGGGTGTTCCTTCACGTTTATCCGAGCCCTTCTTGCTAGGCGGTAGAGCGTCCTCACGGACTGTACGGAAATTAAGGTCTGCATATTTACGCCAGTTTGTCCCACAAGTATCGCAGAGGATATCAGTGGCAAGACCCTTGGGGGCCCTCCACCAATTCTCAGATTCACGAGTGCGGCATGCACCACAACTGTTGTTGTGTCTGGACAATCCAGGCATGACTGAACCTTCGTCGTCGGAGAATTGCTCGGTAACAGCCGCAGTGGCAGAGATTAACTCATCTTTGCCCTCGTCTTTGGCCTTGAGTCTCGCGGCTCTGATTCGTGTATTCTCTTCCTTTAGCCTCGAGCTGGACAGGAAAAAACGATAAGATGAAAATCAGAGAAGATAATCCACGCCTACTTTTTCCACTGCCCATAAAACCGCACGACCTCGGCCATGGAACGGGTACCAATTTCGTCATGTACAGCCCGAAGTTCAGCACCATAGAGGAAAATGCCGTCCTCAAAAGCAGTCACCTCATCTGCAGTCCACTCCCGGTCGGTATGCCTCGTTTCGCCCTTCTTCCACTATCGAACCAGTCAGATTTTCCCACTAAAAAAATCCATGTCTGGGACATTACCTTCTCTGGACGGGTGGGAATAACACTCATATCAACAGTGGACCAGCCACGATTCAGTAAATGTGCCTGAGTAAACCGTCTAAGGGCCTCGGTCAGCCAGTCGACACTGTGCAATTTTTCCGGTTTTCTGCTCAACACCACCTTCCATGCTTCCACTGAAATTTGTGATTTAGAAATCCGGTCCCCAAGATCATAAGGCACCTACTTTCAGCGACTGTAAAAAGTAATTAAAGTTGTTTACCTAAGCCTAGGGAAGGTTAAAAATACATACTTTCTTCATCTGTCAAGGTGCTGATCGCGCTCAGAACTTCGACGGTATAGTCTCCGCCCCGTTGTTCCGGATCTAAGTTGCCTTGAGCAATATCCCAGGTTAGAAGGAGAAAAAACCTACCTGAAGGTGAGGGCACATCAAGCGTAGTTGGAACAACAGCTTGATATTTGGGGCCAACGCGTGTAGCAGATCGAGGAAAGATAAGATCGTCAGGATCTATCGTCCAGATGTACTAAGCTTTACACATCCCGTATCAAACCCACACTTACCAAGCGTGTCTTCTGCCACGGTATATTGCCTTCATGGGAATGTGGGCGGTCAGCTTTCGCTCTTAGATATCGAGATAGGGAAGCAGTTAGACGCATAACTTACCCAAAGTACCGAAACGGCCACATTTTAAAATACTTGATCTCGACGTTTTCCTCCTTTTCTGCAAGGCTCCTGTCTTTACGCGGGCGTCCTCGGCCTCGTGGAGCAGGCGCATTAGACTTTGGTTTCGTAATGGGGGTGGGATGCCGAACATCATGTTTATCTACCTCCTCTTCATGACGCTTAGAGCAAGGGGCGCATGTCCAGCCGTAGCCACGTGACGGCTTTGCCAGAAGTGGTGGTTGTACGCAGCTCATGTGGAAGAAATTCTTGCATCTATCACACCCTACTGTGTCAGGACTGATATTATGATGTTAGTTAATGCACAAAATAAAATGGAAATATCTCCTCCATCGATAACGTACTTTGCACACCATTCACTGCAGGTCGCACACAACCGCAGAGTGTCGGTAAGGTCAGGAACCACGTCTTTCTCAGCTACCACATATTCGTATCTTGAAGTCAGAACCTGTCTAATGCGATCGGGCACTGCAGAAAAATGTTGACTCGAAACCGCGGAGGTAACGAGAAGTTGTACGTACAATTCCGAACGTCAGTCGATTGAATAACATCAAACTCCTTCTTGATATAAGGATCAAAAAGACGATTGAAATAAAATCTGTCGGGGCGCTTCTTCCATCCAGCTAGGTCCGTTATTTTATCTCGATGCAAAACGTGGCACCGAGAGCGAAGTTGGTTTATGTCGCAGATCTCTGAATATATGGCGGCGAGAAGGAGGCGAGAATCAGCGACGGGACGATCACTGACGTCGCTTGGACGATAATACCAAGCCAATCGAACCCGGGTATATATTTCCTTTCCCTTGCCTTTCCCTTTGCCTGCCCCTTCAGGTGGCAGGAATTCCATGATACGGGCTATGGAGTATGGGGTACCATCTCGAACAGACCATGGTGGAGAACAATATACATGGTCTTTGTAATTCAAATCAGAAGGATGTCAGAAGAAGATATAGAAAGGAGTTGGATTTTTACCGTTGACTTTGACCTTCTCCCCGCTTTTCAGGGTGACTTGGACTGTCATAAGCGCCTGCCGGAAAGATTGCAAGAAAAATCTGCAGGGGATCAAAACAAATCCTATGACCTTAATCAAGTTCAATACTGTAAAATTTGACTCACCTTTTGCAGTTTATTGTGTTGTTATGTGGATAGGATGAGCTGTACAATGAAGGAAACGAGGTGGAGAAGGTGTGATCCACGAAAGGCAGAAGCTGCGTGGTAATCAAACTCCGATGGGCGCGAATATTCCCGCCGGCTCACGAAACACCAATATTTACTTGCTTCCCGCTACCACACATGTTAATTTTCACCTTGTATTTTCTTGATCGTTTTTACGAGAATTCAAGTGAACCCAATGTCTGAGGTTGTTGCGACGCGGACATGTTTATAATGCGGCAGTTCTATGTCGGAGCTATTTGAGTTCACATGCCGTACTGGCCGTACTTGCTTCCGCTAGCCTGAGCCGTCGACATACATCCCGAGAATGTATGTAGTTCGAATTTGCAGCACATACGTACTATGGTTGACCATATTCCGGAAGAGCTAAACGATACATACGCAACGAATGATTATAGTCTATTCCCCACTGCGGCCGCAGCATTGTCAATGTTATCATACCACACGCGCGCTTGTCTACTGATACAATGCATACGTTGACTTTCCACGATGACACCAAAGAAGAAGAAGAAGGCTCATACCTATCCGAGCGGGCCTTGAATGGGGAGATAGTAAGCTCACGATGCAATTTCGTGTCCTCGGATATCTTACAGTTGCACTTTCCAAACCATTCGTCAGATAACCACGTTCGACCTCATATACACCCCTCCACATGCTGCTGGGCCATTTGCCTTGCAGCTATGTCCAAGTTTAACAGTGATTGTGTCCAACGTCGACTTGCTGAGGCAAAGATAGGCGATACGGCATCTACTCCCTTTACCCGTCAACCCGAGGACTTGACGGGCTTGCCACTTCCTGTTGCCCAGGCTAGTACTGCGGATTCAGGCCGCCAAAAAACTAAAAGAACGCGCATACGTCGTCTCCGCGTGTATTGGGAATGTTTCATGAAGCGCATGGGTACCGAGTCCCCGTCCTTATCCTCCGCGCTCGTGGACAGTGTTCGTGATAGCAGTCAAGTTCGGATAAGGACAGAAGATGGTACTGACGTTGATGAAGTTGACGAAATTGTCGTGGACCGAGATTGGACAGAGGATGTGAAGAACTCGCTAGACCACTCCGAATACGCTCCAGATAATTCAGGGGATAGCTATACAGCTCAAGTTGGTGCAAGGGCTGGTACAAGCGTCGGCCATGAAAGTACCGCGTTCCCAGATGATGGTAGTTTCTTCCGTCAATTTCTCGTTCTTCTCCGCTGGGAGGTTTGGCCAGTAGTGCATAATTTTTTTCATGTTCGTTTTAGTGATGAAAAGACGGAAGAACGATATCAGGGGGAGCGTTGGTGTATTAGAAAGGTGCTGTGCCTTCTGAACTTCCCTGCTACGTAATTGACTTTTTGCTTAGCTATTAGCAATTTGGTCGGCCATATTTTTCATCGCCAACTGGGTCATTGGAGCAGCAACCATTGACACGCCTACCACCATTCTTGATAAGTTATGGATATGGGGTGTGAGTACAAATTTAGTTTGCATATATTGGCAATGTTCATTTTATTTTGTAGTTTATACCTATGCATACCATTCCTCTCCTCATCTTGGTCGTATTCGATTTCCCACGCGACTGTCGAATACCCTACCAGTTGCTCTTAATGATATCAACATGGTCATGGTGAGCGTCATATATATAGCCTGCAAGGATAATAGTTTTGACTTCCCCCGAGGTGTTTGTATGAGATTGTGACAATGTAAGCCTTAATGGTATACCCTTTAGTAAGACTCTAATACTGGGTAAAGATATGTATGCGGGTATTATAGTGCAGATAATACATGCGGAACAAAGGATTTCTTAGGAACATTCTAGTGCGTGATTTCGGTCTTTGAGCTCAAACTATTCATCCTTGCTTCTAGTTATACATCTGCATTACAAACCATAGCACTATTCGGGATGAGGATGAATAGAATTGCCGCTACGGTGGGGGCACTGACTTTCCTGGTTATGTGAGATGTGCACGAGTCTATATATTGCGAGGCCTATACTGATTTCTCATAGCTCAAGTACTCTTATTTTGCCATATAAGCCAATGTGGACCAAGCGTGCGTTGAATGTTTCTAAACCTCCCCCGTTAGCTCACTAAAGGTTCCAGACATGCTTAATTTTCTTTTGTATCACACATTTCTCTTGTTTGTGCATTACATGCACGAGAATGTGGGTGCAACAAGTGTTCTATCGATTTGATTCTCACCCTCACAGTCCGAACGGCGTCTCTTTATCCTCCGAGAGCAACTCAAAACCCAGTTTAAGGCTACCCAGAAGGCTCAAATTAACGAGCGAAAAGAAGCGGACTCTAAGAGGAGGCTTACATCGTACGAATTATGTTCGCATGCCTGCATAGTTTGCTCACTGACTTGTTGTTAGATATGTCTTCCATGATAAGTACAGTATCTTCTTGCCCTTACCTGGCTCACCAGAAATTTACAGGTCCGAGTGCCCTTGAACACAGCTCGTAGGTGTTATCAGTTACAGGGTAACTAGTGCTGATCGAGCGTCTAGTCCTTGCCGTGCAGAATATGGAGGCATCGTGCGCTGTATCTAAAGCGCAAGAAATAGAATTCATGGCATTAGGGGGCAGCTTGGTAATGATGTCCAAGGGTGAGTCCATCTTCATTCATTTTCTGCAACTAATTAATTGCTCAGCAGTTCTCAATGACATGCTTGACTTGTTTAAGTAGCCCTCTCGCTCCTAGGAACCGTGTCTGACATCACTCCTAGCAATCGCATGGATAGTGGTCGGTTCGAGATCTTGTCTAAACCCTACAAATTCCATGCTGTTATGCGTTCGTTATTTATTCCACTGCGCATGGCAACAGACGCCCGCAACCTTGAACTCGTGACTTCTCTTGATGAGTCCGTCGATAAGGTTGCGCGACAAGCCGCTTTCGAGGCCGCAGGCGACGATTTGGCAGAATCTGAGAATTATCTGAATAACAATGAAGACGGTATCGTTCTTGGGGATGCTACTAGGCTGCGACAAATCATCAACAATCTCGCAAGGTCTGCAGCTATCTATACTCCATTAAGACTATCCTGAACATTTCATTTTAGCAACGCCTGTAAATTTACTCCTGCGGGAGGAAGAATAACGTGTTCAACACGCCTGATAACTCCTGTATATTCCGCGCCAGAACCTTCAGGTAATCCAAGACCAAAGATTGATATAGACGAAGGCACGATAGAGGAGGTACTCTGCGCCCCCGCTGATGATTTTGATCCACTATATGATCCGACGACGAGCGGGGGACAAGTCGTGGAATTTTCAACAAAGAAGGGCCCACTGAAGCAAATCGTTGTGCGGATTGAAGTCAGCGATACAGGACATGGAATTCCACCTAGGGAGGTGGCGCAGGGCAAGCTGTTTTGTGAGTGATCGTCTCGCGAATTCGTTGCGAGACGCTCACTTTTCTTTTTTAGCCGCATTCAATCAGACGGAGCAAGGTAGACAACAAGGCGGAAAGGGCACTGGTCTCGGCCTGGCCCTTGTCCGCCAGATCGTGAGGCTGAGCGGCGGTCGGCTAGGCCTGCGTTCTAAAGTCGGTCATGGGTCGACGTTTTGGGTCGAGCTGCGTAAGTCATCTAGGTTGTTCATCCCGAATTTCATTGTTTATGTACGTGTTTTGCAAAAGCGCTGGGTGTCGGAGTTAAAGTTGTCGATGAACCAGACGCGGAGTCAACTCTGCGCGAGAAACAGCGCACCTTTCAGCTAGCCGGGCCACTATCAGTGGATCTACTAACAAGCATTACCCCGACGCAGGCAGTCTCGACGAACATTATGCACACTATGATGGACGAAGGTCAGTATCATGCATACTCTGTGGTCATCGTGTAAAGTAAACATTCGACATTAGGGGGCTTGGTGCAGTTGAATTTACCAAATACAGTTAATAGCTCTGAGACTTACAGGTTTACTCGGAATATCAGCAAGCTCTCGTCGGACACCCAGCTTGGTCCACCACCACCCACTCCACCTGTCGATGTGTTTGACGAGAACCCCGGTAGCGCTATATTCTCTCGAATGGGGAAATACACAGTTAACAGTTCCCCTACAGTCGCGGATTCGCTAAAGAGGCTTGATGTTACCCCACTACCACCTATTTCATCTACTTCAACTCGCCTAGATCCACCAGTTCGAAAATCGTCACTAGTTTCGCAATTATCGGGGTCCCTACCGTTGCCCTTGAACCGCAAAGGGTCTATTGCTTGTTTCGATCCGCCTATAATTGTTTTAGTGGTTGACGATGACCGCCTTACTCGTACCGTCATGTCTCGAATGCTGACAAGATTAGGATGCAACGTTTCGACTGCTGAGAATGGTGAAATCGCATTGGAAATGATCATCGGCAATCCAGGGACTTCAAAGACCGAACATGGACCTAATCCCACGGTCTTCGATCATGACAGTGAAAAAGACCAGAATGGTAAAGAGACGGAGAGTGGTTATACATATGATGCCATCTTTCTTGACAACCAGATGCCCATTATGTCTGGTTTGGAGGTGGTCTCCAAACTTCGAGAAATGGGTAGGGCTGATTTCGTCGTTGGAATTACCGGTCAGTGCTGCAGTTGAATTGTGCCCTCAAGTATTCTGACACTGAAGCAGGTAATGCACTCATCGATGACCAAAAAGAATACTTCGACGCGGGCGCAGACCAGTATGTCACGGCTCCCCTAGTACACGACGTTCAAAATTCAACTTAATTTCCATCAGCATCTTGACAAAACCTGTCTTTGAATCTAGCCTGGTGAAAATGTTGACGATAGCAGACGAGCGGCGACAAAGATTATGAACTTTGACGACCTCAATGCCGATGGGCTTGTTTGTCGTCCTTGCTTATAACATTCTCATCTGCCCTGAACGACCTTTGTTCTCTTATGTTGGATTTTTGGTGTATAGGGTCGCACAATATTTATCATGTTAGATTTTGTTATCTGTATTTGTTGACTCCCGCATGAACGCTGAAATTTGGCTGCGAGGCAATGAGATTGGAAGTCTGAAAGCAATTTAAATGGAAAATGGTTGAATTGCTGATTGTACGGTAATAGTTATAGTTCTGAGTACATCGGAACTGTATTTAGAGACTGCACGACGAACAGCGAACCTGTCAGATGTTATGAAGGTGTTTACATATGTGCGGCCTTGTCCAAGGACAAAAATTTGCACGAGTTTGCATGGAGCTAGAGATGACTACATCTGGAACCTGAAAAGAGGTAAAGCCGTTACCCTTCGGATACATCGCAAGCTTCCGTCGAACCCATGCTTCAGTCCCATTTTACTATATACCGTCATTCTGTGCCCACTGGGACACATAGGTCTGAGGGGACTTCATAGAGCATTGCTCCAAATTCCTTCTTTCCTTCTCGTCAATTCCCGCGCTATAAGCCATCGGGAGGAAGTTTGGAGTAGTTTTCCAGGGTGTAAGACGAATCAACACCATATAGAAGGCAATAGAGATGATTGGCATGATCTTGATTGATGTTCAGTAAAATTGACCTCGTAACGGGCGTTGACGGTTATACTTACCATATCCAACATGATATACTGGGCGTTGTTCGCGCAGACGAAACATATTAGTATGGTCACTAGGGCTGCAGAGTACATGATAGCGGCATCTATAAGCACGTGCACGACAGGCATCATGGTGGCATTCGTGGCGCGATTTCGAGAAATCCTGCGTTCCATCGTCCAGATGCGATACACAAGTAATCCTGCATAAATTCAGATCGTTATGAGCTGTCGACATCACGTTCACGGGGAAACACGCTTTCCTGAACTTATCAGATTAGTTGAAAGTGTCAAGGCAAACAACGCCGTGACCCATTGTGCAGTCTGATTGGTGTAAACGTTTCCGCCAGTTGCCTGCGAAGCGTAGTAAGGCGCGATTAAAGCAGCCACTTCGACGGAAAATCAGCACAGACAATCTCCCACACGGTAGCGAACTGACCTGCGGAGCCGCACCACAGCATGCTTGGCAGGATGATTACCCAACCGGATTGCCAAACGACATAACAGCGATAAATCTTTTATGATACAAGGCACTTTTTAATCCCAGAGGGTTATGAACCGGCAAATAAAATAGAACCCACCACTACCCCATCGCCGATCATAGTTTGCAAGGCGTATATTAGGTTCTTTGTCACAAACGTTGGTTGGCTGATGTCTTGGAAAAACGCCACTGGTCCACCAGGAAAGTCGCGATACTTGACAAATCCATCTTGGAGACGAATAATATCTACGATCAAGTGCTGGGACGAATTCAGCAAGTGGCATCAGGTGTGAGAGGCGAGGGGCTCACTGCAGTACTGAATATCAACAGCAGGATTGCTGCCAAAGCGATCGGGCGATTTGCATCACGTTTGTAGCGGGTCGATGCCCACATGGTACCCATAAACATGAGAACTGAAAAGCCTGAAGAACCCTAGCTTAACGGGCATGTAATGGAACGAATGCTCATGGTGATACTCGCCATATAAGATGCCTTCCAGCGATGTTGAAATTATAGTAGCAGTATCTAGCGGAATGCCTGTTGAAGCCATGGCGAGAACAACCTGGAGGGCTTGGGAATGTACCAGGGCAATACGGGGGCCCTATTTTATAGAAGAATCATCATGATGACAACTAGCGTGCTTTACCAGAGGGTATTTTTGGAAAACGCTAACCTAAAGAAGAGAAAACATTTGTCTTGTTGTGAGATAGAGATAATTTGTGTATGGCGGATGCTTGAGAAACATCGTCACGAGTGAAGACTGCAAACAGAGAGGAAAGTTGACAAATAAACGGTGAACATTGATACATGAACGAACCATAATATATGGTGCACGATATCATAAAGGCGCACAAAGGACACTCCTATGCATAGTCACTGCCAAACGTACCTCTAGAAACAGACTCGCTTGGAAGCTAGCCAATGCGGGCTACCACTCTGGAATCTAAACTCCCTCAAGTAGATGCTCTTAATCACGGTTTCTCAGGCGATTATGACGGTATAAACCCTGAGGCTGCTTGCTAGACACCTCCGATGAGTTATTCTTGGTTGACTCCTTACCGAGGTGATGACTCGGAGTCAACTCGGAGTTGGCATGGAATTAAACGATAGCCGTGGGAAGTAATACCCAATTGTACGCGGGGGCCCTTTCCTGATCTAGATTCTACTGTTGACCCCTTCATTCCTGTCTTTCTCTAATTCCACATTCTGTCTCGCCCGTCTCTCTCGAAGTGTTACCGTCACATCCAGGCTGTTTCCGAAGTCATTCCACCTCTTAGAACGGGTACATGTCTCAATCATGATGTGATTTTTTCAGATCTAATCTATCGACGGCATTCAGCTATAGTCTCCAGATCTTTTCAGACGTCTTGGAGCTAATGTTGGAATTTTAAGAAAAGATGTACGATCAGGCTACGGTTCTTACATCTTATCTTCAAATTCCAACAAGTCTGGAACCTAGAGCATCGTTCCGCGAGCCAGTGATGACCATCGACTATACGCCAGTACTTTTCTTTATCTTTCTCGAGATGGTTGCTCTCGTAGGGTGGCTCGTATTCGTTCTTCCAGGTTCTTGTGTCATACATACTATGAGATGTAGGATTAGCCTACATTGTGAAGCTCGCTACGTTGACTGTATTCGTTCTTCTCTCGCTCTTTTTCCAGCCAAATCGCCACCATGACATCGGTTACTCCTATGATGTGCTCGAGGGCCCTTGTGATTGAAGCCGTCGTGTCGAGCAAAGACTGGCTCTATGGACAACGCGCATTCATCCAATTTAGCAGACGATCAATTTTGCTCTTAGCAAGATTGTATGTGCACTAAGTCGGTAGTTGACTTATTAGAATCGATTGACTAGAATTTATCCTCCCAATTGTACATACATGCGCTTGACTTTTCAGCGCCGCCTGTAGAAAGACACTAGTGGGACTATCCACTTTGCTCGTAAGCACTATTGTTCGGATTTGCCGTGCTATACCCAAATCATTGCGCACGCTCGTCGGTTCTAATATTCCAGCTTAATCTCCAGAGCATGCATATAAACCGCTCACGATGGCACATGTGATGCTATAATTACAATAATCAATGTTGCTCTATGTACAGTCATGATATATTCCAAGTTGTGCCTGCAGAGCTGGTGAGAGCACATTCGCCATGCGCATCAACAATCTACTTTTCTATGACTGGTATGGCTCTGGTATATCATCATGGTGTTACTTTCCATCGTCCAGTGAGCTGGTTAGCGCGGAGAACGAGCAGGTCCCTAAGCATTTGTAGCGAGTCCTTGACAACATTCAGTTTGCTCCCCGCCACCTCATGCCATTGTACGGAGACTTCTGCAACAGGTATACCCAGCTGCTTCGCAAGCAAGAGTAGCTCAACGTCGAATATCCAAGTGGCAAGATGCTGTGCAGGAAAAATCTTCTGTGCAGCGCAGCGCGAGAATAGTTTGAATCCGCACTGGGTGTCACGAATATGCCCCACACCCACTATACGTAGGATGGTGTGCAAGCCGTACATGAGAATGTTGCGGAGTACAGAGCGCTAACGAAGAGCGGTCTGAGAAGCCAGTCATGTCACGACTGAGAAAAGGCACACCTTGACCACAGCTTCGGTCTTGACGAGGTGCGCTCGACTGCCGACGACCACCGTCGGCTCATTCTTCGGCCCCAGTTCGTCCATCTTCCTCCACAGCAGCTCCAAGTCCTCAAAGCGACTCGCACCATCCGCATCCACCATCAACAACCTGTTTCCGCGTGCATGTAGCATTCCATGACGTACCGCACCACCCTTGCCAAGGTTCTTTTCGAGGGTGACAACCCGAATATCGCTGTTGAGGTGTTGCTGTGCCAATTTTAGCGCGAGGGCGGACGTGTCATCTTTTGAACCGTCGTCAATGATGATGAGCTCGTATGTGCGCGTGTGGCGGATGGAAGCAGAGTTTAGGTGATCAAGTGTCGTTTCGAGCATGGACGGAAGACGGGCTGTCTCGTTGTATGCGGGAATGATGACGCTGAGATCAATGGAGCCTGCATCGGCGAGAGATGGGAGGCTGAGAGGATCTTTGAGGGATTTTTGTGAGCGGTATGTCTTTTCTGAGGGTCGGGTTATTATTGGGGGAGGCGAAAGCAAGATGAGAGCTAGATAGAGCTAGTGATGATTAGCGAAAATGCTAGAGCGGATTGGCATGGAGAAGATAGTCAGGCAAGAGGGAAATGATTCCCTGACCCAGTATTTGTCGTCCTCGTCGTGGCGCAACGTCTCTCGAGACGGCCCATGGCTCGAAGAACAAGGATGAAGTGGGTGCTCATCATACAAAAACGAAAGACCAGACGTCGACGTTGAAATTATTACTCACACATGGTAACAATACGGCCAGAGCAGTGAATGAATAAACAAGGACGGATTGGTCCATTTTAGAGACCTATTGCCGGAATCATGGAAGTAAGACTTTGTCAATGAGAGGGCTGGCTCAGCGCTGAGCACTGAGAAATTTAGAATTGCTTGCACGGCTAGAATTCCCCAAGGTCGTGGTTTGTCACGCCAGCCATGTCACAAAACGTTAAATCGTGATGCTAAGGATTGTGATAGGACATCATTGATCATTAATCATTCATCGACGTCGCGTATTTCTTTCTCTCTGCGCTACCAGGTTGTTTGTCTCAATCGAAAATTCGTCTCAACATGTCAGGATGTGTACATTCGGAAGTCCTAGTCAGTACTTGTGCGTGCCTTATCCGATTGTACAAGCACGCTTCGTTCCTTCCATCATTTTTCATTCTTGTTTCATGCTCAAATACATTTGCAAAAATTCTCATAGTTTCTGTCGTTCATATTCCCCGGGACGACGAGTTATCGAGATAAACAGTTACGTTCTACGCGAGAACTTTGAGTTTCATGCAGTTTAGCGCAGTGTTTTATCGTTCCGATCAGTCTACCATCAGCTGGCGTCTTCTGTTGCGTTGATACTTCTGTGCATGTTCTGATGGAAAATTTTCTTTTTTTCCCAAAGAACTATTTTTGAGCTGCATGCCATTCCTTGGCGTCTCAGTCAGCGCAAAGATGATCTGCGTGATGTTTTGTGCGTGCATTCTTGATGCCGATCTCTGAAAGTTTCAAGTGTCTTTGGCTTTTTTCGCCTTTTGCAGGAAGATCATCTTCCACTATACAACACGATCGCCAGCGGTGTTCTCGGGCAGCCGCCAGTCATGCGAAGATCGCTGACACGATGACTAAAGATGCGTTCGCTTAGATGCATGGGTCTGACAATGATACAATGGCCTCCTTTCCGACTGTTGCGTCTTTCAAACAAAAGTGTGGGATCATCTGTGAGTGCAAAACACCATGAGTCCAGAACACCAAGTGCAAGGCGCCTGCGAGGGTTGTGCGTATAGTACACCACGAATACAGTTGTTGGAGGATCACGATTCTGTGCCTTTGCGTTTCTTCATATATAATGACTGTCTACCCGAGCATACTTTACTAGGGCTGCTCAATTCTTGGGCTCAGTTCGCGGGCTCAGCCCATCAGAGTTCGCCTGTCACCCGGATGACGAAAAAGAAAACACCCAAGCTGATACTTCACGTGTCGCTGTGGTTTGGTTCCAGTCGAAGTAAAAATTGGATTATCTGCTAGTTTTGCAACCAGCCTGTCGGACGTGTCTCGACCGACTCTGATTTAATTTGAAGTTCACGAAAAATCATCAATTCGCAAAACTACACTAGACACACCGAAAATAATGTCGAAATTCACGATCAGGACTTTGCGAGCAGCATGCAAAGAAGTCCTTGCACCGAGGAATCTGATTGTATGGCCGGCCTCGTGAACCATCACCAGTGATAGATGCTGCGAGAGATTGATATTCGAGAGTTGCCATGAGCAATGCATCAGAATCCGACAGATAATCATCATCAAGATCATCTTCGTTGGCGAGTTCATCGAGGTCATTATCGTTGTGGTGCCCTGTTAGCATTCCGAAGTAGATCGGCTTTCAAACAGGGTGGGGAATGCAGTCCGTGAAACGCATCAATTACATACCTGGGCAGGACTCCAGCCACTTGCCCGCGCAACGTAACGTTAATTAACAACTCTCCGCTGCTCGGAATTCTGCTTCGAAGCCCGGCAACATACACCAATTTGGCTTCCTCATGAGTCATCGTCCCACCACCCTCTCCCACAAAACTTGGGTGTGTAATGTAGCCTCCTTCACAGTATTTTGTTATTTACATACTATCGTTCAACGGGCCAGAGTTGCAAGATCTGACCACCACATTTTCATATCTCGTTTTTTGCTACACATTAAGACAAAATAATTATACGAACATGTAGTTATGTGTGTCATGGCAGAGCTCCAATTTACAAAAGAACAAAATGTGTTCAAATGATGCTGCCAGAGGGATGCCGACGCAAATGTTAGAGACAGTAGAGAGTTGCAAAATTCTCATGGGCGAGTTGGCACAGGTGTCACACCATGTCACAGCATCGGTTTTGCAAAACTGAACTCCGACACGGCAAACGGTGCATTGCAAGATTCGAATTTAGAAAATTGGGGCGCCTGAAAGTTTCGCAGGTGTACACTGCCGCACTCTGCCGCACTCAAAATTAGTTCTCCGTTCCAAGCTGTCGCGCTTGATCATTCTCTGACATCAATGCTTGCATCGTCGATAACAGCAGCAACTGTGCTTCGTTCTCACTGAAAAAATTCTCAGAAGGTGAGCATAGTTGTAAAGTGTATGTAGAAGAAAAAAATCATCTTTTGGTTGCGATTTTTGCTTTCACCTGACTGTTCTACGTGAAAAAAGGCAACTTTGAATGATAGATTTGAAGCCGTACACGTTCCTCATCTTTATTTTTATAAAACAAAAATACTGTGCTGTGATTATATGTTAGAAGGTCCTATGTCTAACAGTAGATGGCTTAATATGTGTTGTTGCGTGTGCTATGAGGCATTTTGCAACTCTAGCCCAATGATAGTAGGACAACAATAATTAGGACAATGAAGACGACAATACATAAAAAATATTCGTACCTTTCTCCAGCAAATTTTGCGGGGTCCAACCTTTACTAAATAACGTCAGTCGAATGTTAACATGGTTTTTGAAATATAGAGAGCCGATCTATTTCGGAATGAGCTAACAGGTTACACATCACTCCGTATATAGTGCACTCCGCAAAACGTTTCTGGCATCACGCACCAAATTCATTTCCGTCTAGAAAGTGGGGCCGGTAAGTGCGCGCGGCCGTATGCAGGGTCATTAATGCTGAGAGATGGTACCGTGAACCCTCAGGATTGTGACACAGCCAGTCTAAATATGTCACCTCCCCGTTTCCTGCGACTTGATGAATCTCGGAAATCACAGCATATATACTAAACCTAGCTGGCTCAAGGCTAGAAGTACACAGACATAGCATGTCAATAGTAAACCTTTCATAATTACAGAAGAAGCGGTGACCTTTCCTCACAGTTCCGAGAATAGTAATGGTCTCACTGAGTTGTCTCCCTTTATTCAGTTGGTGGTCTAGAGATTAGAGGTAGAGCGGGATAGAAACGATCTAACAGGTAAGAATAAGTCTCAGTTTCTGGAAAGAACTCTTATTGACGAAGCGTGTACCTAACAGGTAAGAATAACTACGCTGAGTCAGTTAGGTGTAACAATAACGATAAAGGTATAGACTCACGTCTCAGTTTCTGGAAAGAACTGAGACGCTCGTAACGTTTGGGCGCTGGTATTAATACGGTAAGCGCTCTGGATTATTTTGAAGGTGAAAATTTACTTTGGACCATTTCGGTCCCGACGTCAACAGGTACTCCCTGTTCCTTCTGTTCCCGACCTCCCTCGACCAATGACTTGCGCTCGTACCTGCTACTTGTCATTTCCTACTCGTCATCTTGTGCCTGTCCATCGGGTCTCTCGGTCTTCTTCGACTCTGGCGCTTCGGATGCCAACAGGTGGCGCACCAGCTGCCGCTTCCCTCTTTCATAAAAAAAAAGGTGATCGCAATGTGTGGCGCTCGGCCTGAAAGGCCACCTGAAGCTACCCCATAGGTCTGTCTGCTTCCTGAAAATCTCGTGCGACAAACACATGTCGCCGAATTCGAAGTTTCGAACTCTCGAAGTTTGTGAACCCGGAGAAATTGCAAAGTCACACCACGTGAGGGCCGTTTTGGGAGTTCCAGACGGACAGACCTTATAGGTAGCTTCAGGGGGCCTGTATCGTGAAACTGTTTGTAACAGCGGCTAGCCAGCACTTATGCATTGCTCCATGAGTGTAACCATTCTCCCGCACGAAGGATGAATCTGACTTTGGTTGACTGTTAGGCTCCGTGGCATGAAATTCATCAATATTAATTGATTTTGCTTATCAGTTTGCCATATGGAAATACACATGGATGATGATGATCAGTGTAATCGAGCCGTAACGTCAATATTTATCATTGAAAACAGATCAAAAGGCGCACTCCATCCTGATTGTACCACCACCCCTCCTCCCCCCTCATCTCTGCAATGACTACTTCCACTGAAGCATATTCACCTCGTGCTTCAACAGAGTTATATTTGCCTCTTGCCATCGTGCCACTGCAAGATGCCAATGCAACGCCAATCTCATTACCTGGTCATAATTCCATAACTAATGGCACTCCGCTACCAAGCGTCGAACAGTCATCCCAAAACCCACCAAACAACTGTATCATGATGATACAGAGCAATTATATTGCGGAAGGGGGAACCATCAATATATTTTCAAGTCACTGCAACGGTTCCAGTAAGTTCTTTGTATGTCTGAATGACAAGACTCACCTCACAACATAAACAGCCGTCACCAAGTTAGAACACGTTACCGCAACTGCAGAGCCCACGCCCTTGGAGCCTCCGTCAGCGATGCAGGCAGAACCTACACATGGTCATGAAAGTATAGTATTGAGCGGCAACACATTTGGCGAGTGCGTCATGATAAACATAGGATCGCCAAATTGTACTGGAGCTGGTAGGTCGTTTAGTTCGTATGAAAGAAACTCAACTTACAGTCGATTGGCATCAGTCAAACAAATCGCTCTTGCGTCTTGAACGTCTAGCGGAATGGAATAAGGGCTGATGTTGAATGTACTAGTCTTGTATTTTGCGCCCACCTGTATGCATATGTAGAAATATTGACGGTCAATTATTTCTTAAAAAAATCAGGATGTGCTGTGTGGCTTGGCGGTGCTCGTAATCGCCACCACCTTGATTTGAAACATGGCGTTCCATAGCGACTTGCAAAATAACTTCTTTTTCCATCCCATTCTTACCCTTCAGGTCCTTTTCTAACAGGCACTTCCGCATCAAACAGGCTACGCCACTGAATCTGTGAGTCAACATCAACACGTGAAGTACAGCAATAAGTTTAATTTGCATCTCTTCTTCTTTTGATTATTCGGTGGTGTATTTTGAAATAGGAATCCATTGCTTATCGTGTGATGGAAAAATATTGAGATGAGACTAATGACACGCGGAACTTGCACGGAACACTAACCTCCAAGTAGCTTCAATTGCAAATAACGCGAGGTCGATATGGTAGCAACAACGTATTCACAATGATTCAGCCTAGGTAATTTGTTCAAATAGCACCCACACTCGCGAATCCTTCAGCCCTGATGAAGACTCAGATTTGTTAGGCATCAACTTGAATGCTCACCATATTTTGTTCCATGTTCACTTAAATGTACTCCGACTCGGAGTCGTACGGTGCTTCTCATGAAATGCTCGCGTCCTGGCTTGATACAAACTTGAGGCATGGGAAAAGAGATCTGATAAGAGAGCTCCAAATTAATAAATTTTGCGGTGTTTCTATTGGAGACCAGCCACTGGCGTCTGCAGGGTCAAGGTGTGCGTGTACCCAACGGTTCTTGATCCGTAACGTGAACGTGAAGCGCGAGTCGGTACTGCGGCATTATAAATTATCGCTGAGTCCATGCATCCAAATGAGCAAGTATATAGCACTGTGATATAAGACGGCCGACTCAGCTACTTAGTACTAGAACAAAGGTACGGGCTGGAATCCTTTCTCCTAGAATACTGTTTGGTGCGAGTCCGACTTCAGGTGGGCGTGGGACGCCGGTGATATGCATAACGCATAACGCATAGGCCTCGGACTGGACAGCTTTATGCAAGAAGCCTTCTTGGGGGTCCTGAGGTCAAGTTCGGATCCTGCTATTACTAAGTAATTTGAACTTTGAACCTACCTACTAAAGGGCACACAGGTGTCAGGAATCGATCTTCTTTTCTTTGAAAAAATTCACACAGCCAGACCCACCTGTCGCGGGAGAAGCCAGCACCCGATTGAAAAAGGTTGCAAAGGCTAAAGATGCACCTGCCAGTGCGTGCTGCCTTAGCAAGACAAGTATTCGAAAAAATCACTCCCGTGTGCAGAAGAGCAAGTGAATCAGATCGGTATCGTGTTCTTATCGTTCCTTTATGGGCTCTGTATATGTGACATGCCACGATATGATACATAATGTACATATCCTTCGAATGGCAGTCGAGTCGAAATCCACTTTTCTTCCATAGGAAGCACGGAACATTCCGAGGGACCGACGATCATCGGCATCTAAAAGTTGGTGCTCTTCCTGTGAATAGTTACCTCTTTATTGCGAGCTCATTATTACCTTTGGGAAGGCAAATGAGTCGAAATGACCAGGAGCGCTAAGCTTAGGTGCGTACAGTTCGTCCTAACTTTTCTTTTAAAATCGCCAGTGAACTACATCTTGTCATACATGTATATACAGGTGAATACATTTCAAGAAAAATTGCAATAAACTCCCCCCTAACTGTTGCGGTCATCTCAGGACGCGAGAGCGGTTTGTTTAACTGACGCAATCAGTCTTCAGCTAAATTTCTTTCAGATGAACTCGAGAACCTACCAGCTCCAGTGCAATTTGGCGATCCTATATTTATCATGACGCACTCGCCGAACGTGTTACCGCTCAACACTATGCTTTCACAACCGTGCGCTGCTGGCTCTGGCTGAGTCACCAATGGAGGGTCCAAAGGTGTGGGCTCTGCAACCATTCCGACGTGTTCTAACTTGGTCGCGGCTTATTTACGAGGTGAGTACCCAGTAAGTTAGATGATCGAAGAACTTACTAGAACCGTTGCAGTGACTTGAAAGTATGTTGATGGTCCCCCCCTCCGCAATGTAGTTGTTCTGTATGATGATAACGCAACTTCTTGGGTTCGGTGGTTGTGCGAGACTTAGCAGCGGAGCACCATCAACATGAGTAGAGGGTGTCGCACTCGTATCTTGGAGTGGACTCAGTGGAGTAGCGATGAGAGGCAAACATGACTCGTTTGAAGCACAAGGTAGGTTTTCTGTGGTGGAATGCATTGCGGAGATGGGCTGCGAATATTATAGCGAGCCTTTTAAGGGTTTGGCACCCTCTAGCGAGATCAAAAAAAATCGAACTTACTATTTTCGGCATGAACGAGAGACGGCACTGGTATCGGGCCAATTCTCAATGTTCCTGGTTGATGCACTTAGCTAATAATACCAATCATACATAGCTTTGATCTTGTTCAAATCGCCCCACTTCGAAAGATAGTGCGATAGGTCTTCCTGGCTGAAGTGTGCCTTCAAGAAGAGATGTGAACACTACGAGTCAGACGTACTGTAGGTATTGTCTAACATAAGGCTTCGCCCCAACGGACAATAAACGTTAAACAATGACAAAAGAGAGAAAAAAAATAGAGACGTAAATTAAAGCTGATCCCTGGAGCGAGATTTAAATCACCACGCTTCAGCGTCACTTTCAAGGTTTGAATCAGAATCTAGGATTGAAAATGCTGTGGAAAGTCACACAAATTGAGCTGAAAGAAACCCCATGAATTCGGATACAAACAGATCCAAACCCGAGACCGTACCTAATGTAGAACGCATACAAGTAGTAAAATGGGTGGGAGAAAAGGGAGGGTGCGCAAAACTTGCTAGTGACATGACGAGTAATTCGAGTGAGAAGAGGCAAAGGATGCCAGTCTCGCTAGGCATAGACCGCTGGCTCCACTAAAGGAGGTGGCAACGAGAGTTGCACGAGGCATATTTGTCACATGCGATGCACCGGGCATCAGCCAAAGGAGGCAGAGGGACTGAACACAGGATGCGATGCACCGAGCATCAGCCCTAAACCCAGGATTCAGGAGGACGAGCACGCTCGTCCAATTACCCTGGTGTAAATAAAGTTAAACTCGATTAAGTACTACTAAAAGTAGTAATTGGTGACGCTCGGGCATCAGATGCCAGGCCTTGAGGGGTCCGATTATGGTTCGGGTGATGTTCAAGCTACTCAGCAAAGATCGCAGTTATCATAGATGCATTCGAGTGAATCGGATCTGATAGTATTATTCATTCCTTCGCGATGCTACTTCGCAGAAAGTTTGCGACTTCGAAATTCCGGTCTAGTCTACATCTGCCTGCGCGCGGGCGCGTTGGAACTTGTCATTTTTACGACTCGTTACCGTCTTGAATGCATCAAATTAGCCATCTTCCAATCCGTTCCCCTCCACACTCGAACTAGCGGGTGGGAAGGAGCCTGAGTGTCACCATGACTTTGGCGAGTCCACAAGTAATATTAATTCCAGGCCTAATAGTAAGCGCAACAAAATCCTCCAAGTATTATTATAAATACCATCTCCACCGCATTACTCTCACCCTCACATCCTCACCCTGTCCACACACAACGACATAATCTTGCTCAAACTTGAAATCCGTATCCTGGAGGTTGCTTCGGACGACCTTCGTACGACTGCTTTGAGGCACTGTCTTGTCTGAAGGCGGCAAAGCAGATATGGGATGAGGTGGAGGTGGATCTCGGACTGGGTCTGGTACTGGGGTTTTTTGGTCATCTTTTGGCGCATCGGAGGTGGTGGTCGTGTTTTCACCAGTACTCGAAGCGGAAGGTGTTATTTTTGGCGTAGACGCTGTTGTTACCGTGTTCTTATCGTTCGCAGGTTCCTCGACAACGTCCATAATCTTCCCGTCTGTGGAAGGTGTAGATAGGAGGATAGAGAGCACGAATCCTTCACTCGGGCTAGGCCCAGGAGCAACAAGGTATGTCTCTTTGTCACTCTCGAGAACCACTGCACGTCCTTCGTTACCAGCCTCTTCCCCGGCATCATCTATGTCCATTCGCACGTCGCCTGCCTCTGCAGGTGGGTCCTGTGCATGCGCGATCTTCCGCCGCTTTCGAGGTAAAGATGCACGTACAGCAGGATCTGCAAGATGGGGGAAGAGCGCACATGCAAGAAGAATTGGAGTGTATTTGAATCTAAAATGAACATTCAGTCAACACCCGCTCTGTGCCCAAAAAAGAATGGGAAAAAAAATAAAACTCACCCAGCACCCATCCCTGAGTCACCAAACATCAGCGTCCGCGCGTGCATCTTCTGGAGCTCTTCTAGATTCTCGGGGTCGACCTTCGTTTTCCCATTCACGTCGATATTGTCGAAGGCCAACCGGTGTCGTTTGCGGCCGTTCGTAACGTCAGCAAATAAGTGTGTACGTGGTGGTGGCGAGGCAGATGTTACAGGAGCAAGGGCCAAAGCCGCACGACGCGACGCATATTCTTGCAACCTTTGCGACCTGTTGCGTCGCCCCAGCCCAGGACCTCGCGCAGAGCCCTTCTGTAAGATAATCCTCATCAGTAATGTATACCAACAGAAGCAATAATACGAATGAAAAAAAAAAATTGTATAAAAGAGAAAGACGAAACGAAACGAAACAGAACACCCACCTCAACAACCTCAACATGTACAACCTCAATCGCGCTCCCATCATGCCCCCACCCCCAACCAGCACTAACAACCCCCCTCCCATCGTCCTCCGCTTCTTCTTCAAAACTCCTCTGTCTCGCATCCCCACTCGCAGTATCAGTCACACTCGCAGCACAATACCCCGCGCTCGGATGGCCATAAAACGCCTCCCCCCATCCACCCACGAACCGACTCGCCCAAACACCACCAGCATAACCCATACCATCAAGCGCCGTGGCTCCAGCAACACCACGAGTACCATTGCTCCCAGGTTGCGAAGCAGAAGACTGCGAGGTGCTAGGTGTGATTCCATTCGATGCTGATACAGCGGGTGTGACGCCGTTCGAGGGTGTACCATTTGCTGGTCCGATACCTCCAACTACAGGAGGATCTACGTGGTTTGCCTCGCTCCCAACGCTGCCTCCATAACTTGATACGGTAGGTACGACTCCAAGCACAACTTTGATGTCTTTGTTTTCTTGTTTTGCGCGGGAGACAGCACTCCATGTCAGAAGACCAGCGTGCACGGCGCATGCGAGAACGTTTGAGTCGTCAGTGTAGACACGTCGGCGGGGGGCGTGCATTGGATGGTAGGTAGGTGGTGCAGGGTTTGGTGCGGTCCTTGCGACAGATCCTGAGGGGTTGGGCGTAGCACTTGATCCAGATGGGCCAGAACCGTTTCCTGCTGCGTTACTCAAGTTCGTATGTACTGGCCAGAATTGTATTGGCGGAGGGGGCAATAATCCTCCACCCCATAACCGCAGCTTGTGTGGCCTGGAGGCAGGAAGGAAGGAAGACGGAATGAGGACAGTGAGGCGTACTTCCGGAGGGACAGCCAAGCCATCTTTTCCAATCTCCTGTGCATCATCTCCTTGCTTCATGCAAGGCATGTGCTCTCCAAAAAACCAGGGGAATGGCAATGCAGGGAGCACCCACGAGCCAAGGCTAATATGCGGGCGCTCCATGCGGGATTGCAGGAGCAGGGCAAGTTCCTGCGGGGTGGGAAGGCGTTCGAAGGCTTCACGTTCAGCGCGTTCGCGCTCTATTGCCTCAAGGTTTAAGCGCTCTGCACGCTCACGAGCTTCGATGTGTTCGCGCGAAATGAGTTCGTGTTCGCGTTCGCGAGCCTCAAAGCGCTCACGCTCAAGGGCGTCCAGATGCTGCTGTCGTTCCAAGCGTTCAAGGTGTTCGCGCTCCATCCTTTCCCGCTCGGCGATACTCATACTCATCCCTCGCTCATGTTCTCGTTCCATGTACTCGCGCTCAAGGTGCTCCCTCTCCAATCTCTCTCTCTCCATCCTCTCACGCTCAAAGTGCTCACGCTCGCGTTCCCGTTCTCGTTCCATCATCGCTCTCTCCCTCTCTTCAGCCATGGGAGACGGCATCCGCGAGTGCGCCTGAGTCGGAGCCTGCGAATGTGGATGCGTACGACGTCCAGCACGTCGATCAGGCTGTTCAACACCCCTCAGCTCCCTCTCTCGATCTGACAACACCTTCTGCTCATGTTCTCTCTCCCCCGTCCTCTCCCGCTCTCTCACAAATTCACCCCGCTGCTCCCTCCCCCCAACCCCAATACTCCCCCCAATACCAACGCCACTGTTCTCTCGATCCCTCACCAAAAGCGCTGGATCTCTTAACTGTAGGATCTCCCCAGGACCCGGACGTTCGCTCAACCGTTGATCAGGAGGTAAGCGTTCTCTTTGCTCTCTCTCCCTATCTCTGTCCCGGTGCCTTTCTCTCTCAGGACCAGGAAGCCTTAGATCTACGCGCTCCCTCTCCACTCTCTGGCCTTGTGCAAGCTCCCTATCCCACTCATGTGAATGCGGATGCGGAGGAGGCAACGCCTGGAACTGTCCTTGGCCAGGCAGCATCCGCCCGCGACCCTGCGTCTGGCTATGAGCATTATGTGGTGGTGGGATGTGCACATGCCCATGGCTCGGTGTGTGTCCGTGAGTATTATGTGCGTGAGGCGATGAGTGGGTGTGGGTGTTCGCTGGTACGTAGGGGGGGCGGGAGAGTGGAGATGCACGATGGCTGCTGGGTCCTGGCCCCGCTCCAGGGTTAGGATTAGGTCCCATCCTCTCTCGTTCACCAGTGCTGGGTTTATCTCGTTGCATGTCTCCTGTGCGTTCCCTTTCTCGGTCACGATCCCGTTGCTGCTGCTGCGAAAGCTCCCTCTCCCCTCTCTCACGCAACGCTTCTCGATCTCTGTGGATAGTCATCTCGCGCTCACGGTCCAGAGGGGGGACGACAGCATGAGAGCGTTCTCTTTCGCGTTCACGCTCTCTTTCCCTTTCCCTTTCACGATCTAGCTGCGGCGCATGCGTGTGCGGATGGGGATGGATAGGGCCGGGGTGGAGCTGCAGGACGCCAGGGCCTGCGGGGACGGGACCACGTTCGGAGGGCGGGCGAGGGCGGTCTAGGCGTTCCATGGGGTGGGCGTGCGAGTCGCGTCTATCTTTGGCGAGAGGTTCACGTCTGTCCATGGGTGGATCACGTCTGTCAATGAGTGGATCACGTCTGTCGATAGGTGGATCGCGTCTGTCCATAACTGGCTCACGCCTGTCCATAACGGGGTCACGTCTTTCCATAGCTGGGTCACGCCTTTCCATAGCTGGGTCACGTCTGTCCATGGGCGGGTCACGCCTTTCCATAGCTGGGTCCCGTCTATCCAAAACCAATGGCTCCCTCCTGTCCATGCCCATCTCTCGCCTCTCCATGTCATGTTCCCTCTCTCGAGCAACGGCACGTATCACATCCATATCTCTCTCCCGCTCATCTCGATAGCGTTGGAGAAGAGGGTCTCTTTCCCTCTCACGTGCAAGAGGTTCTCTGGCAAGTATGAGCGGCTCGCGCAGCAGAGGGTCTCGCTCGCGTGGGAAATGGGGATCTCTGTCTCGGGTGAGCAATGGGTCTCGTGGGTCTCTTTCTCTGGGGAGTAAAGGAGTGTCACGTTCTCTGGGGAGTAGAACGGCATCGCGCTGTAAACCTGACTCGCGTTCTCTAGGGCCATCACGTTCTCTTGGGAGGAGAGTGGGATCACGGATGTCCCTCTCACGCGGCAGCAGACTTGGATCTCTGGGAAGCAAGGCAGGATCGCGCTCTCTGGGTAATAAGGCAGGGTCTCTATCCCTTGGTAACAAGTCTCTATCCCTTGGTAACAATATAGGGTCACGAATGTGGAGACCTTGTTCACGGGCAAGGTCGCGGAGAGGGCCATCGCGGTCTCGCATAGTCTCGCGGTCACGAAAGTTGAGATTTGGGTTTAGATTTGGACTGGGATTGAGATTGGGGTTCAAGTTTGGAGGAGGACGTTTTTCGAGTGATTGTTTGGGGGGTTGAGATTGGTTTTGGGGTGAATGGGAGGGTGCTATTGGGGGGTTAGGGTTGTGATATGTGTGTGGAGAAAGACGAACCTGGAGCAGTAGATACGGGGTTGATTACGTTTTGTCGTTGAACTACTGGACTTCTTTCTATAGATTTCATTGAAGGAATGAAAATGAGTGTTTACATGAAGATGAAAAGAAAAGAAGAACAGACCAACGGGTAATGGCGCTCTGGTAGTCGCGGATAGAAGAGTGGAGGACCCCGAAGATGAACGAGGACCCCAGGAATTATGAGTGTGAGGGTGAGGGTGTTGTAGACTAGCCATCGGTTGTTCGGGGGGTTGCCTCGGTGTGATACGTTGTGGTACGAAAGGGGAAGGTGAATAGTAAGATGGCGGTGCAGGGTACTGGGCATTCGGATTTGGGGTTGGTGGAAGTGTAGGACGAGGTTGAGCTGCATTTGCTTGGGGTGAAACTGAATTCGACTTGACGATCTGTTGAGGTACAGGTGAAGAAGAGCTCGTGCTCGTACTTGTTGGACGTTTTCTATGCTGACTAGGTGAATCTTGAAGTAGATCAGAGACGTTCATTGTACTATGTCGTCGTTGTCGTTATCGTTGTCTTAATTGTCGTAGGAGTAGTCTTCGTCTTAGTCTTTGTCTTTGTCTTTGTCTTAGTCGCCGTGGACAAGGATGAAGCAAGTCGAGGATGTAGTGGGAGCAAAAAGAAAGCAACTTGGAGGCGAAGCGACACAAATGAATCACCCCGATCGTGATCTAATACACGTGCAGATCGGATCGGTCAGGTACGCTTCTCTCGGCAATTACCGCGGATACAAACGCGTGACTTTAATTTCGATAAGACCCAACAAGTATCCTCTCATGTGATTTGTTTTCAGCACTTGACCAGCCTTTTACATCCCCGCATCAGATACTCGGCCCCGATATCATTTACAGGTCATGTCAATAACATCGCCTGCATATTGACCTACTAGCACACGACATCTTACCTCTTGCAACAAACCCAGCCTAGACCGATCCGTACCTTCAGAACGTAATTTTACTGGCGTCAAAATGTAAGTTTCCTCGAGCACTGTGTCACTACCAATACCATCATAAATGTCATGACTTTTACGACGCAACTCAAATCTGCACCGCAAATCCACACAAGAACTTAGTAGCCAAACACTTAAGGCCGAGCACCTTCTAGACTGATGTGATTGCCACGCTGATGATCGGTACATATAAGTACCTGCGCTATGTAGTAAGTTCGTTCACTCCTTCCCCCCCTCCATCAAGTGCTTCGGGCGCCATTAGCTGAATTTTGAAATGCCTCTCTGAATCCGCAGCTTTCGCAGTCTTCCTACAGCATCTTGCCATCAAAGCCGGCCTCTGGCTTACCCAGCCGCAATCTGTCATACTCCTCTCGACTCCTCCGATCAAAACTCTCCCACATCTACAATATCCGACGCATAGAAGCTCTTCCGTAACGTCGCCGTATAGAACCCATGATGCACGCCGAGCCCCGGCGCACAGCCTCAACCGCCGAATACCCACCACTCCGGCCAAAAAGTCTTCTTCAAGTCTCCAGCTTCGACTGGCTTTAGAGACGGTGACACGATCTATTAGGTTGGGTTGGGCCGAGCGTTAGCTCGGGAAGGACGCAAGCAGGTGGAGCCGCTGGGAGGGCGGGACACCGTGACTGCTTACGAATTCGATCGTGTCAATCATTGACTCATGAGTATCTCTGGAACGGTAAAAATTGAATTGACAGATAAGATTGTAAGATGTGTGACTAATTAAAACGCTAGAAGACTACGGTGCGACGAATTAAAAGGGAGAGGCTGGTGGGTATAACGAAATTTGATCGAGCGAGTGAGGAATGTAATGGACGACGGACTCGGTGTCGTGGTGGAGAGGAAGAAAAATGAATAGAGGAAGCGAACAACGCGACCGCTCAGCTGGGCGCATGGTGCCGAGGTATTCCGACAGGCTTCATTACCCGGCACCTGGACATTTTCCTCGAATCTTCCTTCTCAGGGTGGCCTCCGGCAAGCCATAACTCCATTCAGTCTGGAACCAAACACCATCCGCGATTTCACGCAACTGATATCGACGCATCAGGCTTAGTACTTGTCCTCGAAGTCATCCTGGACACTTTAAAATTGCGAGATCATCCTTTCGACAATCTTTTGTATCGCTTGCAACGACATGCAATACCTTCAACGAGCCTGCGATCGATTTACCGTGGTCTAACATAAACGAGTTAGAACCATTGCTAGGCTATGTAACGAGGCCACATCCACTCGTGTTGTAAGGGCGCAGAGGTTAGTGCAGACTAATCACGATATTCAGTGCATCAACTCACCGAACATCTAATACAGCCCTACTGGTCTGAAGGCCTCGAACCATTATCTGAGCATGAAGCCCGTCAACTCCTGTGTTATACCGCCCGTCTCTGCTCAATCGATATATCATCTGACAGACACTCTTGCCTCCTCACAGTTTTCCTCACAGAGACGCGATGACAGGCCCATGCCCCCAATGACATATATCCGCACCTCTTCCTGTCCAATATGCTACATTTTGAAATCCATCGGTACACGTTGTGGAGGTCTTAGGATCGGCGATGCTGAGGATCTCACAGCGGACGAGTTATTCTTGCTGGCTGAATTATCCATTCATGCACGCAGCTGAGACATTTGGGTTATGATGGGAAACAAGGATCCACCTTTTCAACCTCCCCACGCTTCTCAAATTGAGATTGGCAGTGGCGAATCTCAAATTCGCACCTTTCTTCAATGCCACCATTGTGCAATTTCTATATACACATGATTTCATACACTATCATAGCCTTGCAACATGAAGAATTCTCCTCTCGAGATGCATGTCCAATGTGCCTTCGGCACAGCCTAAGCAGCTTTTTATGCACTTGATACCCTTGACTATATCATCTTGATTCAGACGATGACTCGGATGAAGAGCCCTCAGACAACTCTTTGACAGCAAACCATACAATTCCTAGCTGCGAACCTTTTGCCTGTATTTGAAATCACCCCATCTACCTTGACAACGACCCATGTGGAGTTGGCCGCGTATTCGCTACACGACCTTGGTAAATCACCAGTTCCGTCCACTACCATTTCATTCGACAGGCTTCGACCGTGTCCCCACTTGGGCTCCCTGCAATGACACACCGATGGTGCGATATCGATGCTGAAACCGAGTCACCCTCTCTACGTGGGCTTCTCTATCGTAGAACGAAGCTGTTGCTTCCATCATTTAAATCATCATCCTATCCGTGCTCCCTTGCCTCGAACAAGGTAGACTCGCAGACGAGAATGAGGGGGACAAGGTTAACCAGCACCTCAAATATCTGAAATCTCACGCGGTTCTTGGCCGTCATATCACCCCCTGGCCACTCGGGTTTATGCTGGGGCAATTGCCGCTTTCGTTCACGTTGCGACTGTTTTTCTCCCGTTTTTTCTGCACCATCATGTATACTTGATGATACGAACGAACGACTGTGGGGTATCTAGGGCTACGCCGCACGAACATACACAGTTGCATATGCCAAATTGACATGATATCTGACACTGAAATGAATTTCGACCGATTTCCCTATTCCATTGGATTTTCCAAGGAGGCACCATACCAGTGGGCAGGGTCAGGGCATACACGGATGCGACACAGTGTGATGTTTCGCCCATAACAAATACGATGAAAAACTCTTAGCTCAATGGAGAAGTACGATGATAGCAATTTCCGATCTCTGTCCCATGAAATCCAATAAGCATATAGAAAATATACCGAGGCAATAACCACGTCCAGCGTGCACCAATAGTGACCCAACAAGCATATAGAAGATGCGCTAAACAAGAACAGAGAGTTGACAAGAGGAAATATTCAAAAGGAATGTCGGTGATGAATTAAAACGAGTGTCGTTTAGCGTAGAGAGAAGTGTTTCAAGGAGACAACACTAGAAAAAGTCAGCAGCAGTGACAGCTACAGTGCAAAGGGGACGTACATATTTCTACCAGCAGGTTGCTTTCTGAGCAAGAACATACCCAAGAACCGACCTGATCATCTCTTGGCAACAGAAGCGGTACTCTCCATGCTCAGCGTAGGCCTGATAGCAAGCAATGATCTGTTCCCTTTCGAATGCCGAGCCAAAGAACCGATCCTCGAGCATAGCTTCTTGCAATAGGGGCATTTGTAAAACGTAGCAAAGTGGGCGCCTTCGATGTAACGGCCTAAATACATCATCGTCTCTGGGTCTGAGTAATCTTCGAATTGGCAGGGAGCGGCTTTCTTCATTTAAAACACCATGCCAATACCGCAGGTAGTCTTCGACGCGGGTCTTGTACACCTCTCTGAACAAACCACATGGCTGGTTGGTCTATCGCATGAGCGAATTAGGCGTCAGGGAATTTGGGGTGGGCTGATTTGCCCAGCTGATTTGCCTTGCTAATTTACCGTGAATGACAGGGTGAATTTCAGACCCTCCAAAACGGGGTGTCAATTTGTGTGAATTTGGGTCCTGGTTCAGTTCGGCTGGTTTCGGCTGGACCAGTGCAAAAAGCTTAATTTCTGAACACGCTGGCTCGTCATAGTCAAAATATATAAGTTGATTTGGTTGCCGATTCGGACGATCACCGAGAATCCGAAGAATTGTGAAGTTCGAGTCGCAGAAATATTGTAAATATTGTCCTCCCCATCGCAAAGCTAAATGCAACAACATCTCAAGGATCAACTAGCTGAACTACGACTCTGTCTTGCAGCATTGCCAGCAGACATACCTATTCCCAAGGAGTCGAAGTATAAATTCTCGAACTTCAGCCCAGATGCTGAATGGGCTGCGGACATTGGTGAGGCTGCTGCCATCAATCGAGAGCTAGAAGTCAGGTTGGGCAGTCGAGTTGATGGCCTGAAACTTGTTGAACGAGGCCCAGAGATGGAGGCCATAGTCCACGTTTTTGAAACATGGACAAAGAAATTTCCGGGTGATGTTATCCTGGAGAAATGGGTTGACGACACTCTCGAAGCTGCGAGAGGCCTCATTCTTGCCGCGGGAAAAGCTGTGAGTTAAATCTTATTTTTCCGTCCAATAAAATAGACTTACTGATGGCAAACTATAAAGTTGCCAGTCCTTGTCTCGGACTCGAGTTCTACAAAACAAAAGCCAATCAAAGTCAATCATACTCAGATACCCGGGAAACGAAAGCCCAAGGTTCAGAAGCTCGATAGCCATATATTGTCAACCTTCGATGATGACCGGTATATCAGTGCTGGCGTGGCGAGATATGTATGCAACCATCCACGGTAAGCCTGAGACACCACCTGTTGTCCCGCCACCTACTCGACCACCTATCGTGACCGCGGACATCATTTCGAGCTTGACCAACGAACATCAAGGTAGATGTTCAGACTCGGATGATGAAGACGGGGATTGGCGTGATAGCACGGACTATGTGGGTTTAGCTGGCATGAAAAGCACGGAGTTCAATGTGGGTAAAGACATTGACATATCATCCACGTACCTCCTCGATATTCTGTCAGACCACCCTGTACAGCCAACAGCTGCTCGTGGAGGTCCGTCGACGCCAAAGGTGATGGCCACGACTTCGTCCTCGACACCGATGGATGATGAGTGGGCGGAATGGAGATAAGCAGCTTCGTTGTATATTACGGTCAATTAGACCAAATTTACCTGCAAATTAGTGCAAATCAGCGTCAAAGAGCTATGGGTGAATTTGAGTGAATTTGCTGTCATTTACACTCGTCAATTAGGCCCTCACTGTGGGTCGTGCTAATTAGCCGGTCAACCAGAGCGGGATCCCTAATTCCCTGAACCCTAGAGCGAATGCAGGTCAACTCTGGTGAGAGGTCCTTCGCAACGTTGCCGGATCCATCAGGGTAGTAGTTTTCCAGCTCCATTAGCCCCAAATCACCTAGTTCGAAGGTGATTTCCGTAGTGATGATGGGTCGGATCCTGCGGCTACTGATATCAACCGACTTTGGGTCGTGAGCAGGCTTGGCTGTGACTGATGATTTTACGAGTCAACCATCAACACAACAGAAGGCACGCAGCCAGTGATAGACCCATTATGATGCAGGATGGGGGCGATATTCTCTGGTAGATTGTGCGTCAGTAGTGATACTGTGAGGAAAATATCGATATACATTCCATATCGGTGCGAGAGAACTATATCAACGATTCATGGTTATTGTAGCTTTTCAGAGGCATAGAACCGCATGCATCACGCGATGGTTGTGTTGAGGATAGGATTGGCCATAGCCCTCAGATGTGCCGGACCACACCAGAGAACAGCCTATTGAAGAGTTCAAAGTTTCAAACTTCAGAGGGTGAGCGTTGTTTTGGTCTGTTGTACAAAGGCTTCCAGGAGTTTCCACTTTGGGACATCCCTGCACTTTGCAGTGAAGTGGTGATAGACCTGCATGTATGGCTCTTTCCACCCATACTACTCCATCAGGTAATTTTGCAGTCTCCGACCATCGACAATGTTGCATGCTTCCGCAATACTGATATACTAACTAGGATTTCTGTTACCGTCGATCCACTCAGCACCCCCCTTCTTTACGTACGCATTCCGCCTCAAATCCTGATTGATATTCACACCTGCCAGACAGCGAGCAACCAAACCAAACCACTCACGCTCATCTCACCGATCAATGGATACGCCTTATCTTGACATACGCAAGACACAAGCGTCTATTCGTGCTGCGCGTTGAGGATGCAGAGGTTCCAGGCGGCGACTGGGATGAGATCCTTCGTAACGAGAGGATAAACCGTGCGTTTTGCTTTAACTATTGCTTTTATTTCTGCGAAGAATTGTTGTAACATATGTGTTTTAGGTCGAATCTTACCATCGTATCTCTCGTCGTTGATGGGTATCATGGTCGCAAAGAACCTCGCCGTCTACGAGCCGTCTAAGCAGACCCGTGCGGTGCTACTTTACTGGCGTCTTCCGGAAGAATGGGCTGATGTTCTCCATTCGTGGGTTAGTACATCTTTCAATCACAAGTTAAATGATTGATCGTCGCATATAGGCAACAGCGACTGGCCAGCTCAATACCATCCTCACATTTTATGAGATCTCAGACCCTCCCATCCCGTCACCTCTTTCTGGTATTCCTACACCACTCCTACGGCGGGCTATCACCATTCTCTCACGTTCCAATCGAGCACAGATCATCGGGGTTGCCGATGGCGAAGGCGTGAGATTCTTTGTAGGATAATTTTTAGAACAGAGAAATTGTAATCTGATGGTGTATGTCGTTGTACTACCTATTCGCAATATATGATAGTCTACCTCAAAGCAGGATATGAAACATTTAAAACAACAGTGATGATAGTACACGTTCGTCTACATCGCAGTCCGAGCGTCCTTGATGAACTCATGAATTCTTGTCAAATTTACGTCTTGACCCCAATACCGCAGTGCCCATCAAATGGCCCATCGCATCCAGCTTTATTGGAAAGTCAGCCTTCAACGATGCAGGGGCCCTTCTCAGCGGAGAACCTGACATCTGCATGGAGGATGACAGCAGTCTCGCATCACCTCTTTCTTCGATAGCCCTTCCCTTCCCCTTCGCCGTTCTGGTAGGTTGCAAGGGGACCTTCACCACCTTGGACGGTCGTGCTCCCATGATGGCGTCCTCTTGGTTCTTCCGCTTATTCGTTTGGGCTACTTTTTGCCCAACGTTGTTGCTTTTGAGGTTCCAATCGTAGCTGTAATTAATCAGAGGGAGTAATCGCGCCTCGTACGGGCGATCCTGCGGAAGCGGTCGTTCGCGGTCGTCCATGCTCTCCGTTGATCGCCTGCCCTGTAGCCATGCGACACCACTACTAGGCCATTCATCTTCATTCTCCTTGCTCGACTCGTTTCCATAATCGCTATCAATATCATCGAGATTGTCCCCCCGAACCTCACACACATCGTCCAACCAGTCCTGGTCAGCTGCACGCTCAAGTCTATCGGGGGCGTTTCTATCAACAACCAAGAGCGATTGTTCTTCTGGAATCTCTTCGATTTGTCGGATTTTTTGAAGGCGCGCATTCTCTTCCTTTAGAGCCTCGTATTTTCCTTTGTATTTGTCGTACTGCCAGTGCGAGTCAAATCAATAACACGGGATGGAGTGTATGCATGCTTACTGCCACTTTGTTTCTGTGCGCACGATGCTCAAACACCCTTGTCCTCTCCGCCAACTCTTTCATTCCTATGTCTAGTTCTTCTTTCTCCTTTCTTGCATCTCGCGCATCTTTTTGGGCAGTCTTGCATTTATCTCTCCACGTCTGCTCGGTGCTCTCAGCGACTTCGTACTTCTTTTGTAGCACAGCAAATGAGCGCTCCACTTTGCGGCGCTCATTCTCGTGAGTCGTGCATGTACTTTTGAGGTCTGCGTGCTGCGTCTGGAGAAGGGCGTACTCCCTTTGCAGCTCCTGATGCCGACCATCCAACTCATCGCGTTCCTTGTTCGCGCTCAACAACTTCCGTCGTAACTGTTCCTTCAAGCGTTTTAGTTCTGCCGTGTATTCACGCATTTTCTTGGGAGGGCTAGAGAGGCGCTCTGTGGTCGAATCCGGGTCGTCGGAAAGCGTGATATCAATATCGACATCCGAATCTCTACGAGGAGATTGTGTATTATGTTGTGTGAGCGATCTATGGGGATTTAAAAATATTTGAAACGCATCCTTGCGCTGAATACGTTTGCGACACGTAGGACATTTGAAAGGCGGAGGTCCAGCTTGAAAAAGGTTTTCTATACACGTGCTACAGAAGCCGTGTCCTGTATACAATCAAGAGTGATATAAGCGAGTTGGACATGATAAGGATCTGCATTGATGACGAACTAACTAACTCACCGCACTTGAATGATCGCACATCTTTCAGGGGAACACCATCGAGGTGGATAGAGCATTCCACGAACAGCTCATCCGGCATCTTCCCAAACTAAAAGGTGACCTTGAAATATTATGAGCGTGCACTTCCGCACACATATCAGAAGATCGACTACCAAACGGACGACCCCTGAACGGTTTGTACAATGTACTAAGCACAGGCAACAGTTTGACAATCGTCGGCTTGGTGTCAGTTGGCGAGGAGAAATGGTATTCAATTGTTTAGAGGTGGGGGTGAGCCTGCCAGTGGTATACGCATATGTTTGACTCCTAGAATCTAGAATTATTGGCAGCCTGAGTAGAACGCGTTCTATGTAGTTGCGGGTCAAAGGGCAGAAAGTGTCACGGTTACAATTAACGTGACTGTTACTTACGCGTTACGCGTGTTCTTTTCGAACTTCGCCAAGTACAGATCACAACCCAACCCGTCATGGTGCATAAACAACGTTACACTCTTCCGGGTACTTCTATTAATTCTGCTACGAGCTTCCATCTTGCCCCCGGTGAGCTCGAGTCAATAGCTAGTACCTCTACGATGTACCACCATGCTAATGGTTGAATGACAACACCACAAAACCAAATCACGAATCGACGATGCCAGCTTGCAGTGCTTCAGCCCCCTTTGGTTACGCTAAACAGATATCATTTTTCTTTCAAGTGATGGTGTTGATTTTTGAGTATTCACGCTCTTCCTCTCCCTTACCTCTCCGTTCTACAAGTCATTGTTCTCCGTTCCTTAGGGCCCACATGGTCCAAGGACCAAGAAAAGCTTATCAGTTATCACAATGTCCGAGGACAGCAAAACTTCAATGCTACTCATCGACACTCACAGATTATCCTCTTCTTGACAAGCTGATGGACGCTACCTGTGATCGCAATTGCGTGGAAATCTGTGCTATACCTAGTCGAGGTCGAGAAATCATGCCAAGCTCTTATGACTTTAACATTTCTCCAGACAGAGCCAGTTCGCTACTTCGCGATCGCCAGGCAAGCATAGCTCAAATCTGACAACTATCATCGCTGCCAGAAGCACCTCACAAAGGTCCTTAATTCTCGTGTGGTTTGCAGAAATCAATCTATCAGCGCATCCAACCTTCTTGCCCTTCTGACATACCACAAATCCCGCAGTATTGTCGTATAATCATTGTTGCACTCTTGATATGGATGAACAGGCATTGTGACCATTACAACAGTCTCAGCGACGTAATTGGTCATTTAGTTGGATGCATCAAGTTTATGGTCTCTGGAGGTAGTGTAGTTGCGGAACGAGCAAGGCAGATACAGTGCTATAGCAAAACCACGGTATCGTGTCCATCAGCAGGAGAGTGAGTACTAGCACTCCGCTACCCCTTGTCTCTAGTATTGACTCAGTCCAGACTATTGAAAATTCGAATACTTGGGGAATCAGCCAGCTAGATATATTGATATCACACCCTTTTCTCTTGCTTCATAAACATGGATTTCTGATAGTGATACTGGTCGTAACATCATCTATCGTTGGCAAGGCCTACCACCCATTTCCTTAACTTTCTGTTTCTCGTCATCTACCTTTTGTCATTATGAATCCATGTTTTTGGTGCACGAGTCTCGGCTGTCGCAATCTAGCTTGAAACCCAGAGCCCAGTATTTATGGCCTCGGAACATTCTGTAAGATCTACATTGACACCGACTTCACAAACTAACGCGTTTCTATGTTCATGATTTTTTGTTTCCAGGTTCAGAATTGAAAAAGACATTTGACTTCCGAGGTCTGGTTACGGCCTGGGGAGACCAGGTTTAGCGCTTACATCGGAAGAACGTGCGACACGCCGACAACTTCGATTTTCTCTTCAAGTCATTGAGTGATTAAGTCACAGAGTCACTTCATCATTAAGGCAGAAAGCCACCTTGATACTAAATTGACCCAGCCTAAGCCTGACGGCGGTGAAAGAATGTTCTCGCAGGTAAGTCCTCTGTTGAAATCTGAGGATGCCGATCGAACGCAGAAATAATAGCCAATAGTACTAGATGCTCATACCATGGAGAAGCATTGAGCTATAGCGACAACTTGAAAGTGGCGTTGCACTATGTAGACACTGGTTGGATTGCCACAGCCCTAGTTTCAATATCATCACATGCCAGTGGTTTTTCTTCCTGTATATCTCCTTATTCACTATCACGTAAAATCTTGCTTTGCAGATTCGCAGGTTGATCTGAACATCGACGTACAAAAGGCCACGAGGTCAAAGAAGACACTATGAATTTCGAATGCAGTGGTATGCGCCCTAGTAACAGGCAACCTGGCCAGTTCGATTCTCTTAGTTTTTTCAGAGCCTCTTCATCACCCCACAACCACATCCAAGTTTCAACTGGTGAGTTCAACTCATTAGATATGATCGGTTTGTATTGATGACAATACAAAGATCATAATCGCCAATGGAATCGCCAATGGAAACTTGTGCTTCAGCCCCGTTCGATCACGCTAAAGCAGACGTTATTTTACGATCAGCTGATGGCGTAGAGTTTCGAGTTTTCATGCTCTTCCTCTCTCTTGCCTCTCCGTTCTTCGAAACGTTGTTCGACCTCCCTCAGGCATCCGATGAGGCATCCGATCAAGAGATGAAGGATGGCCTAGCGGTCATCACAGTGTCCGAGGACAGCAAAACTCTAGATTCGTTTCTTAGGTTTTGCTATCCATCAACGATGGCGGAAGATCCTTGCCTTGAAGACCTCACAGAGGTTCTCCCTGTGCTCGCAGCTGCAAGAAAGTATTCACTAGACCTGATCGAGAGAAAAGTATGCCAGGCTCTGGCCAATCCCAAGGTTCTTGAGACAGAGCCCCTTCGCTGCTTCGCCATTGCAAGGAATGCACGGCTCAAGCATGAAACTATCACCGCTGCCAGGCACAACTTACGGAAACCCTTGATTCCTGCGTTATTTCCAGAGATCAACCTGATCTCCGCATCCGACTTTCTTGCCCTACTAACATACCACAAAAAATGCATCGTCGCTGTACAAGCCCTACTGAAGGACCTTAGATGGATGACAAGTAATTATGGCAGTTTAGATGGCTGCGGTTGGCTGTTCAATCGTCCATCCCCCTCCCCCTCTCCCTCCCGCCACTCTTACTCCCACCATGAACGTGACCAGTACTGCTGTGGACAGGGTACAGACGCACGATTCTTTCCTTGGAATACCGCTCCACTCGCATGGTGGACAACATATATGCAGGAGGTATACGAGCTGTTACAGGATAGGCCGTCTGGCGATACTGTGAGGGCGGCAGCGGACAGGACAATCCAAAAGGTCAGAAGTGCGGACTGTGCTGCTTGCTCTGGCCGCGTAAAAGAATGCATGACGGAGTTCAGCAACTTGTTTGCTCTGAAAGTCGACGAGGCTGTCGCTCCGGTACGTACCTTGCTATACAACATGAACCGTTCTTGACATATTCCAACAGATCGAGCTGGAGATGGAGTTTTGATCGTGGTGATTCTCATATCTATACAATACTGTGGCAAAACCCTTTCTCGACGTGATCTGGCAGATCAAATCTATGAACCTATGCCAGTACCGCCCCAGTGTCCAGTAATCATGAATCGGTCAGATATAGAAATTGAACGTTGAACTTGACAGTCAAGAAGGGAACTGCAATAGTACTAAGGGTTATTTAGGGGAGGCCTGACCGTGTAGAAATACGTCACAGAAATTACGAATATCGCCTTCTCCATAGCGGCGTCCAGTAACCTTCTTGATCAATTCTAGTATGACGAATGTACTGTGAATATAATAATTCAATATATGTGATGAACATTCTGGACGATATCTTCATTCACGCTGCCCTTTTGTTATTCTTCCAGAATCCATCAATTGTTGTTGTGTTCTCTCCATAGTCAAAGGTAAGTTCAACTTATCGTTCAGAAATACTTCACCGGCTTGACTATAATACTATTCATACAAAAGAAACTTCTCATGCATACGATAGCCCCACCATTTCTGCATGCCAAAGCAGATATCATCCTTCGATCATCCGATGGCGTTGATTTTCGCGTGATCACGCTCTTCCTGAATCTCGCCTCATCATCTTTTGACTCCATCATCGAGCAAGCGGCACAATCAAACCAGATCGAAGGTGACCTGCCCGTCGTGTCCGTAGAAGAAAACCACAGAGTCCTCGACATCTTGCTCAGATTCTGCTACCCTTCAACTCTTGCAGAGGATCCTCCTCTACATGAGTTTGAAGATATCATACCTGTCCTTGAGGCAGCCAGGAAATATTCCTTGAAACCGCTTGAGCACAGAGTTCGCCAAGCGCTTAAAAGCCGTATGGAGAAAGAGCCTCTAAGATGCTTTGCGGTTGCAATGCGTGTCCAGCTAAACATTGAAGCCACGCTAGCCGCAGGATATACTCTCCGCGAACCTCTCATTCCCGCGAGTTTTCCGGAAATCAACCTCATCACAGCAAAGGAGCTGCTCGCGCTACTTACCTATCACCAGAGGTGCAGCATATCGGTGCAATCCTTGGGGAAGGATCTATCCTGGATTATCAGCAGTTACCAGAGCTCGGATGTAACAGGATACCAGTGGATCATTGGCGGTTCCTGCGATTGCGAGTCCGGCAGTCAATTCTTGCTCAATGGTCAACGACCATTAAAATGGTGGAGTGATTACATGGAAAAAAGTCTGATATCCTTGTACGACAAGCCATCCGGCCACACGGTCCTTGCAGGGGTTGGTGACACAATCCGGGGCGTTCGAGCTCGTGGTTGCTCGCGGTGCTGTTCAAATATCCTGGTAAATATGACGGGATTTGCCGAGTTGTTCAGCGGGAATGTCGATAAGTTGACGGGCAAGGTAACTTGATGATTTTGTCGCAGCACATCAGGCTCATAATATTGTACTTGAAAAGGTTGATCTCGACATGGAGTTCCTTAAACCCTTCGTTCCAGTTACCCTATCAACAATGACTCGGGGTTCACGGGGTGGCGGGAGGAGGGGAGGTGCACGCCGTGGTACATAAACACCTCTTTGAGACGAGGAAAATTGTGTCACAAAGTGAGCCAGGCGCTCACCACATGCCAGTGCTAGCACAGAGTTGATTATAATCCTAGAAGAACATTGGAGGTGTGAGGAAGGGGCCTATCGACTCAGAAGACCGCACATGAGAATTTGAGATGATGGTGACTCACATGAATGTCTCCGTCTTATATCACAGTTCATATTTTGATAACCAAGATGTTGAAAGAGCGAACCAATATTAAAAAATGTCGCAATGTCGCATTTGGTGCTGACACTGCTGAGTGACTCGAGCTCGTTAGTCGTGTCGGTGCAGTGAACGTTGAACTTCTAAATTCCTTATTGGGCCAAACAGAACGAACCGACCAGGGGGACCGAAATAGGAAATTCAACAATTGAATTGATACAAGAATCAAGATGTAAGATGAACGTCGCCGAGGCTCGACTTGATCAACAGATACTTTACACTGATTCAAAGACTATCAACAAAGACAACCCAAATGAAAACGAGGATTTTATGAAGAAACGTGGTTGATGACCGCGAGCGAAACCCGAATCTCTGAGATACCAAACATGCATAGCGACTGTAAACGTAGATCGATGAGATGACGGTATGAGTGAACGAGAAAAAATCGTACCATTTCGAAACGTTCAAAGCGATCCAAGCCAAGACCAATCCCCAAACACGTTCGAGGAATCCTTCACCCAGCCCTCTATGAACGTACTCTTTCCACGTTCTCGACTCTTCTTCTCCAGCCGCACGATCTTTTTGGTAGTGTCCGCCCCGTGTTCCTCACAGAGTTGCTTCAGGATGATGTTCCGACTCAATCCGGGATATCCGCTCATGAGTTTGAGCATATACTCTCCCATAGCATCAAGACCGGTGTCACCAGTCTGCGTCATAATTGTGCCGCGATTGATCCGGAAGATCATCTTAGCTCCTGGATCGTCGATCACAAAGCGAACTGTTTCACCGCTTGCAGTGAAGAGGAAGTAATCAGCATCTCTGTCATCTTCAAGCATCTGGGCTTGACGCTCCGCAGCAGGAGAATGTTTACCCTTGCAGGGATTTACGCCGATGTCTCTGAGGCTGGTGAGACTCCGACCTTCCTTCTTGCCGCAATTGCGGATTAGTTCGACGGCGGGATTGGACTCGCCGAATGCCCAAAGGGAGTCCCCCTTGGTTCCGCTTAGACCCTTCGACACTGGCTTCTTGCCACAAGCCCGTTTGTGCAGAGACCAGTCTTGTTTCTGGCAGAACCTAGCGAAGGCAGTGTCATGAGGACATTATGAAAACGGGATTAAAGAACTACTACCCACTTAGAACAATAATGTATCTCGAAGTTGAGTTTCGTTTTGCAAACACTGCACACCATGAAGCGAGCACCCTGTCCGATATCTTCTGGCGTCTTCGTGCAGTTTTCGCAGCGGATGAGAGGCTTATCCCTGAAACTCGTTTTGACCTGTGCTAAAGCTCGAGCGACATATCCCTCTGTATTCTCCATGAGATGTAGGACTCCTTTCATCCCCTCGCCACGATTGGCAATATCACCTATGATCGACAACGCTGAGGACAGAACAAAATGCGCTGTTAATTGAATATTAGACTCGCATAATGTTTTATGCGCGGGAAATACTCACCGATAAATTTATTCCTATTGATAGTCGCAACTTCGAACAGAAGCTTTGTGCTTTGGGATATCTCTCTTTGAGGTAAAACATCCGGGGCCTGTTCCCACCATGGATTTGGCAGGTTCGACGCCTGTTCCCACCACGAGTTTGGCAGGAATGCTGGTTTAATGGATGACTCGGATACCTCCAAGACACGAGTGAGAAAGTCGACCAAGCCCTTCCCGCCCTGCGTCAGAAAGTTCGAGGTTGTAACTTCCGGGCAAAGAGCACGACAATCTGGCCCCCAGAACGTAGGTGCTTCAGATGCCCCCTTCAAGCCCTCGAGGATGTGTCTCCTCTTCTCAGAGACATCCAACAACAACCAGATGGTATCGAAGTGACCTTCGTTGAACAGGTTACGCAGGACTTCAGCTACCTTATTTTGGACGCTGCGAAGGTCCTCGTGAAAGAAGTCGATGTCACTAGGAGTAAAGAAAGAGTCGTCTAGAAAACGAGATATCTCCTTGAGGACGTCCGCTGCGGTTGACGATGCGATGGCCGCCTCCCACTCCTTATTCCACTTGAGCGCGTCTTGCTTAACATCAGTAATGTTAAATTTCTTGGACAAGAGTGGAGGAAAATCTTTAGTTGTCTCTACAGCATTGTCGTCGTCGATTTTCGATGCCATTGTTAAGATGATGAGTGACTTGTTTGTCGTTTGGAGGGTATGGAAGATCAGAACATTGAACAGACGCGTTTTAAATCCAATGCCCCATGATGATAATCGGATGCCATCATATCGACGGTGGAGTGAAGAATAGTTCCATAATCGATGATGAATCACAATAGTCTATAAAGGAAAGAGCCATCATATCTTCTAGACGTAAAACTCGCGCTCCGTATGATGTAAAATACTTACCTATCACCGAGTATATGTCACTTGAGCGCGTCTCGCTTAAGATCAGTGATGTTGAATTGCTTGGAAAAAGATAGTCAGGTTTCTCTAGCAGCGTAGCTCTCGGTTGCTGATGGCCACCACTAGAGTTGTTTTTCCGGGCAGAGCATGAGATCAGGGATCTAGACCAAACACGTTGAAAGCGCTCTGGAATATCGAGACAATCAGATACCGTTAGTCAAATTGCGAGCACGGGCAGTTCATGATCAATGATGTTAGTCCATAAAGAGAAGGTCAGACGTAAAAGCCTGCGCTCTATAACAATCCTATTTAGGTAAGTGCTCTCGAAGAGAAGACCACCAATTCGAAGCCTGACAGCAGAAAACTTGCCTATTTTGGCAATCCAATCGAGAAGACCGCCAATTCGAAGCCTTGACAGCAGAAAACTTGCCTATTTTGGCAATCCAATCAAGGAGAAGGTCAGCAATTCGAAACTTACGCCCTGTGTGTATGAGAGTAAAGAACTTACTTATCACCACCACGAGGCCGCATGACTCACGAACTTTCCCCTGAATGTTGATACAGCGGCCTTGTCACAACACGAACCGGACATCCTGAATTCTACATGTGCGTAACATCACAGCATGTATTCCTCGCTAGATTGGGACACCACGGCAGAGCTGACGATTGCAATGGGTTCTTGCACCCACGGCAACACCGGAAATGAGTAAAACAGAAAAACATCAATACAAAGTTTGATCAACATATTAACGACACCGAGAAAGAAAAACTCGACCACATGGTAGAAGACAGGAAAGAATAACGCAAGGATGGTTACATGCAACTGCTTGTTGAATAGTGGAGCCATCGACAGTCAACAGGCGCGCACTTCAAGCGCTGCTGAAGTTGTGTTGATGGTCAAATGGGAGGAAAGGCCAATTAAAGACCACATGTGGACGTGACCACAAGGGAAACGAGAGTACTGTTGCGACAACATGCGGAGGGCTGGGTATGGACATGGTGTGTTTCGGAGTACTGAGAGCATGGAGATCAGCACAAGAGCCAACTAACTGATATGATAACGACCCACATTGACGTGCTCTTGCGTGTCGTCAAAAAAACCCTGTGATTCATAGGCATCCTCGAGCTGTCCTGTAGCATCAGCCTGGAATGTCAAGTTACTCAAGTTACGGGCATCGAAGTGTTGGCAAACGTCACATATCTCCATAAAACGACTCGTCAGCCACGTCCTATGGATTGGAGATTGGTGCGCTCTATCATTAAAGAGTCATCAGGTAATGCACATTTTTTCCCTCTCAAGATGAACGCCATCCATATTAGAGCGGGCGACGTATTCAGACTCACATTAAACAATAGGTCATCGTCATCGAGACCAATTTCTCTTAGGATGACATGGATGTCCCACATGTACGGATTGTGGTCATGATTGCAATCCGCTAGTGCTAGCAGCTATCCATCAGCGGAAAGAGCTGGCTGAACAATATCAATTTCGTAGCGGAGGGAGTTAACAGATATATTTGTGTCGAAATTTTACAAATGCAATGTTCGATTGCATCTGGATTGCATACTATACGACTCGGATGTGCTAGAGACGGTCATCGTGAGAGGCGGCGAGCCGCGATGCCATAACTCAACCATGACCGTCCTGTGACTGAAGTGACTTGAACGTAATTGAGCCAACGTCTTGATCCTAAACTTCTTTCTCCAATACTGTGACTGTTCGGTTATAGAGAGCTGTCGGACCTGCCATGTTGGCGTCCCAGAATTGCACTGGATTCTTCTTGTATACACCGGTCATAAGCTGTTTGGAGTCGGGCAAGTAACTCACAGCTTATACATTCGGACTCGGATTGGACCAAACATGGTAGTTTTGCCACTCTCAGCTGCAGACCCTGGCAGTTCCCTCATCTGATCCACTCCAACTCACGGACCACATACTGTGTGCCCCGTCCATTTTCCGGTGATTTCCCAGATCGTGGCGTTCTCACTGCTACCGCTTGCAACAATGTCGCCTCTGTGAGACAATGCCATGGCGATCACCCTCACTCAATCTTCTTGATCTTGCCAGTCGTCGACGATTTGTAAACAACTCTCCAAATCTTACCGTCGGAGCGAGCCGCCATTTGATCATGTAATGACCCGTTGTTCACCAAGAAGGTGCACAACATCTCGAGTCTCGCAGTGTCTGGCAAGACATTATCCTCGGAACCTACTGCATCTCACTGATGAGGGAAGAGTTTGTTATTGCTGATCCCTCTCCCCTTTCGATTATGGGGCGGAGGGCTCAACCTCTCACGTCTCTAGCGTCTCACTGATGGGGGAAGAAGGCATTATTACCGACGCCTCTTGCATCTGAATTGTAGTGGAAGAAAGATACAGTGCCGGTGGTTCTAATCCCGTGTCAACCCTTAACAATAGAAGCGCAATAGAAAACGTTCTTGAGAAGCTCATTTAGAGACATTCGAACCTGACCTACAGGAGCAGGGGTTGCTTGGCGAGGTCTCATCTTCATCTTTCACAAGAACGTGTCGAATCAAGTATCGTTGAATCATTGAGAGGGAAGCTGGGCAAGGGTTCATTTGAGCACTGGCAGGTGACTACCAATGGCCATGGCACGTTTGGTGCGTTATCCTCATGTCACTCTACCGCTTGATCATGATGTGTAGGTGATGCGATCAGAACAGGCGCTACTCGCATCTTCCGAATCCTATGTTTATCATATCTGTGACCTGCTGTAATGATCGTCGTGACTGACAGATGAGAGGTGCCGCACTTCCATTTCTCAATCCTTGAACTTCTTTGCAGGACAGTGCCAAGAGGCATGCCCCAACTACACATGCTGACTCGAATCCTTACCTGATCGACTCGAACATCAAGATTCTGGTAAGCCTTGATGCATTATCAGTGGGCAAGGAAGTCCAATCCAGGCTACCCGCTGCCCTGCAGCATGCAAGGAACTGTCGAGGAATCAATTACAATGGTATATAGGTGGGTACCCATTCGTCTCAAAGTCACCAAAACACTCGCACCTAGAGTTGACTTGAAGCTCTTGAAGAATCCGTGTCAAATTTCTGGCGATGGAACAAATACTTCCGCAGCAGCCTTCGACGATTATACTCCCCTGCACATGCGCATCATCGCCCTTTGACCACCCAAAAGCTGACATTATCCTGCGGTCCTCAGATAGGGTCAATTTCCGTGTCTTCAAGCTTTTCCTCGCCCTCGCCTCCCCGCTCTTCGAGACTATGTTTGAACTTCCCCAACCAGCAGTTGAGACGAATGACAATACGAAGGATGGTCTCCCTGTCATTTCCATGCAGGAAAATAGAAAAACACTAGACACTTTCCTCAGATTCTGCTACCCCTCCACACTGGCAGAAGATCCCTCGCTTGAGAGCCTGACAGACATCAAAGCTATTCTCGGGGTTGCGAGGAAGTATTCGCTGGACCTGATAGAGAAAAGGGTCTGTCAGGCTCTAGCTAATCCCAAGGTCCTCGAGGCAGAGCCTCTTCGCTGCTTCGCAATCGCCCGTAACGCACGGCTCAAGCATGAAACTATCACTGCTGCCAGATACACCCTACGACAGCCCTTGATCCCCGCATGGTTCCCAGAGATCGAAATGATCACCTCGTCTGACCTTCTCACTTTGCTCACGTACCACAAGAAGTGTAGCATCGCAGTAGCATCATTGTCGCTCAACTTGGATTGGGTAAAGAACCATTATGGCAATTTAAATGGCGGTGATTGGTCAGGACCTGACTGCAAATGCGCACGAAAATCCCAACTCACTGGCACCATATTTGGGCCACACACTCCGCTTCCTTCAAAGACTACCTACATGAAGGAAATATTTGACTTATTGAAGGACACTCCTTCTGGCGCGATCGTGAAATTGGAGGCAGGAAAGACGATACAGAAAGTCAGGAGTGAGGGCTGTGATACTTGCTCTGCTAGGGTTAAGACGTGCATGGACGAGTTTAGCGACTTGCTCGCCCTCAACGTCGACAAGGCAACGGCTTCGGTACGTGGTATCTCTGTATAGACATGACAGCACTTCTAAACGTCTTCGATGACAGATTAACCTAGATATTGACCGTGACTTCAGACTGCCAGTGTTGCCTGTCATGGGTACCGGCAACCGCGCGCCCACAAAACCAACTCAACCTTTTACGTTCAAGTAGGTACTATCACTCCGGGTAATCTGCAACATTTTCAGCAAATATTTTGTAGCTCATCAACCACTTCATATTATCTTCCACGAATTTAGAGTGTTGTAGATTCATACCGCCTCTATATAGATCTCATTTTTCCTCATTTTTAGGACGTTGTGGTGTGGTGTCGGATGAAAGCCGAGAAAATTCAGGGTCTGACTGCTAATCTGCAAAATATGGTCACGTCGAGTCACACCTCGGCATAGCACCGGCACAGTCAACTTTGACTCTCCGCACTGCGCAAGTGCTCTCGATCTGTTGGCGTTGAGTACTGAGTCGTCGAACTGGAAGCTTGGTCTGGAATACAGCAATATATTGTCATCAACCATTATGCATCATGATCCATGTAATTATTATTGTGAGTGTACTGCCATTGATATGGTCCTGAATAAGGTTGACTCCTGCCATCATACATCTGTACCTCAGCACCAACTCGAAATTCCCCTCTGTTACCAGCTGCCGGCACAAATTGGGGAATGGGTGGAGGCACATACCTGCCGAGTGAGGGAAGATCTATGTGTGACATCGAGGGTTGAGGGATAGGCTGTGGTTGATAGGTGCCAAATGGTGCGTGCATCGAATTTTGATGAATCGGCGTGTCTTGCGGTACTGACTCAGTAGTGTTATTGCCGATTTCAACATGCCGCCTGCGAGAACGAGAGGGATTAAATAAACCCTCATACCGCTGGTTTTTCTTGAGTTCTGGTTGGCCGTCGAAGAACTGCACGATTCGCTGGAGCAACTCTGCCTTAAGTCCAGTCTCTGGTAATCGCAAGGCCGCAGCTATATCGCATAACTCGTCCAATTTTTTGGTCTTGATTGCGCCTGTAAATGCGACTTGGGACCGCTCCTGCTCTGCTTGCCGATCATGTTTTCCCTGCTCCTCTGCGGCCTTCTTCTGCTTGCTCGCCTCCTCTTGACGTTCACGCTCAGCCTGTTCGGCCTCCAGTTCCTTACTTCCTGCCCTTCAGTAAGTAATTGGAGGTTTTTGTGGGCTTTTGAATGAGGTTTAGTGAGGTTCTGTGCCCGTCGACGAAGAGTATGGTATGAGACTTTAAACTCTGCAGCTGCTGTTCGGAGGTTCTTGGTCTTTTTCTCTCTGATAGCCTGAATAGCAGCAGTGAAGTTGGCTTCGCGAATCTCTTCTTCAGCTTTCTTCTGCCTGGTAGTAGGTCTGCAGTTTGGTGCCATTGTAATGATGCAAGAGATGACAATGCAAGACTTCGTGCACTTGCCGAGTGTGCCGTAGAGGAGATTGAATTTGTTACACACTCTCCTATCTGGCTGTCACGTTTTCAGACATGTCGTCAATTCTTCCTCTATAGCATCTTAAAATGACAAGATGAGCTTTATCGAAATTGTGCACTGTAATCCTGACAAGGTGATCATGTTATGCTCCAGGTATAACTTCGTGAATATACCTGCAGGATCTATGGGATCTGGGTGATTTATGTTCTTGCATGCTTACAAATTACCACTTTTTCATCTCTCGCAGCTGCAACACTCAAGAAATTTTCATTTTACTTGGACAGTATATCATATATAAGTAGTCTACATATGCATGAATTTTTTTGAAGTGAGTTGAGCAGTGCTTTGTGGTGTTTTGAACATTTTGCATATTACATGCATGTTGCAGATTACCCGGAATGATAGTAAACAAAAGCTGTGGGGTTCAAGCAATACTCGGGGGATAATTAGTGCTGTACGCTCTCGCTAAGTACGTAATCGTAGTGCAACTGTTGATTGCCCGCGCACGAACCGAGACAATGGGGAAAAACTACCTTCACAATTTAGACCGACTTCACTACTTGCACTAGCGAACGCAATGAATAAAGACGACAAAGTGTATCACTGAACAGATAGAAAAGGCAACCACAGAGGTTTGATCAGATAGAGCAAATACACGGAAGTTCCAAGCAAAGAAATCAAACTTGCTGCCTCAGGCGGGCTTACTCTAGCCTTCGCCTTTCTTCGCAGGCGAAACTTGTCCTGTCAGGACAGTCGGCCTTGCGCTCCCAAACGCAATGAACGAAAATGAAGAGGTGTACCATCAGACAGAAAGGCAACACACGAGTATTTCCAAGCAAGGGATAAAAACGTGCTGCCTCAGGCGGCCTTACTCGGAGTAAGTTACCCTGACCTGCTCCACTCTTCGCATGCGATGGATGTGCTGCCGGTCCGTTGTCCCTTCGCTTCCTCTTGAGCTCCATCTCCATCGCCCTGTGGTGGCGGGTTTCATAAAGAAGCCCTTGGCAGCTCCGGCCAACAGCAGATGCCTCATGGACCTCAATCTCGAGAGCTAGCTGCACTGGTCTGGTGCGTGGTTCGGTATAGGGTCTGGGTCAGAAAGGAAGTAATCATACAGTCGGTGCAGACCAGCCACAACTGCCATAAAAGGGAGATAACGAGCAAACAAGACTTAGGTGCAGCGCCCAACTCAGCATGTAGTACAAAACATGAAGTCAGTGCGAATTTATATGAAATTCAAGAGATATCAAGGAGATGTAAAAAGTAAACCATCAAATTATTCGTCGTCACTCTGGTCCTCCAAAAAGGCTAGAATGCTCGCACCCGCAGTTTTCTAAGGAACATCGTGATCTCAAAGACAAGAACATAGAAAATCATGCACGAACCTTCCTTTTGATTGGTGGATCCTCGTCCTCATCGTCACTTCCTGATCCAGACTGTTCATCCTGCGATGCCCCCTTTTCTTTCCTCTTTTCTCGCCGGCGTTCCGCTTCTGCGAAATCTTGCACATCCCCTAGTACACAACTATAAGCTTGGTTTTCAACGTGAGTCGTTTCAAGTACATACTAAGTTCCTGTGCGAATTCTCTTTCTGCTTTAATAGTCTTTGCTTTCTCCAAGGTGAGACGACCCGTCATCCCTAAGTCCTTGAGAATTTCTTTCAGTCGTTTAATTTGCCCTGACGGTGTGTCCAAATCTGCGAATTCTTTCTTCCACATCTTGCGTACGCCGCAAGCAACCACTATAGCCTAAATGAAAATCAAACAGTGTTTCGCATGTTAAGTAGAGACACTTCTACCTTGAGTTTAGAGACAGTCTCATCATCCTTAGATGACCCTCCTGCGTTGCTCTTCTGTGGCTTCTTACGTTCTTTCGAGGCTTTCTTGTTTGAATCCTATACATTGTCAAAAGCAGCATAGAACGCCGATGGGCGAGCCAAAAAACCTTTTCTTGTTTCTTCCTTCTTTTCTTTGGGGGTTCATCGACGACCACTGACATATCGGTGTCATTCTCCTAATTGCATATTGATTTTGTAAAACGTAGGTGATGAAGATGGAACATACAGGTTCGCTGTGGGGACGTGCATGTTTCAGAACGACGAGTTCCTGAGGCTTTGAGGTGGAAGAACTCGCTCCGTGCTCGAACTCATCGTCTACGTCATGTTTCGCATTTTCCCTGGTGGATGACTAGTAAAGATAATAATTATACCGAATACAGAAGTGAGAGAAATATGTTTAACCTTGGCTTTGGACAGAGGCCTCTCCTTCTTAGGAGATTTCTTAGGCGACAGCGTTTCCTTCTTAGGAGACGTCACAATGGATTCGGATGGACGCTTAGCATCAGCCTCGTCCGCAGAAGACTCGACTATAGACTGTACGCAGTAAACAAAAAAGACTAGTCACAAGATAATAATTTCAACTCACAGCTGATTTATGTTCCTTCACAGCAGTGCTGCTGGTTAACTTCTTGTTTTTTGATGCCTTTTGAGTGCGCTGTATGCCATTAGTGATGTAGTAATTTTGGAGGAATCGGGCATACTTTAGAACTGGAGGGTTTCGCTTCATGCTTGTCGTCATGCTCGACCTTACTCCTCGGAGCTTTGGCCTGTTTCTTCCTAGCTGGAACTTCATCTTCAGACATTTCAGACGCTTCAGAGTCCACTATAGTCTGGAGGTAACAGAAGGGGGTTAGAGTGGCTGGACAGAAATGGATGCCACAAAAGCTCACAGAAGACTTGGGCGCCTGCTTCCCTTTCTTGCTCTTCCCGGGCGACGGCTTGGGCTTGGAGGCACCCTTGCGAGGTTTGACAGGCTCTTCGTCGGCCCCTCCCTTGCGTTTCTTTGGGGGTTTCGGCTGGCTCTCTTCATCGTCTGCCTCATTCGGTGGTGTTGAAACATTGTCCTTCAGAAAGGTAGCGTTAGCATTAGGAAAGCAGGTCAATGCCTGGCTGCCTTACCAGAAAGTCGACGACTATCTTCTTGATAGACGTCTTGTACTCTTTTGCATCCAAAGTCCCGGGTAGGAGTTCAAGGCTTTCCTCCAGCCTCTCACGCACAATGCGTACAGTGAGCTTGCTACAGTGGGCAATGCGCATGAGTCGCAAACAAAGTTATAGGGCACGGAACCAATGGTATAACATGCCTCAATTTCCCCTCGGCACGAGCTTCTTCTAGTAGCTTCGTAGCGACTTGCTGTATTCTTTCATTGCTAGGTGTGGCCATGAGCGTTTTCAGTTCGCACTGCGCAGGAGGGATGCTTTCAATGGATGAATGACATCGATTGTGTACATACAACGAATCACGTGATGACAACGGGCACCGATCGCTTGTGATCCGGGGACCGGAGTATTAATCGCGCATAAATCCCCAAGCCTCAAGACAAAGAAAAGTCATGGGCGCCTGAGTAGAGATACAATCTAAGAAAACCTATGAACTATAGCTTGGCTTTAATAGACACTAGTGAAGCGCCGTGCTGCAGTATCTTCGCTGCATCTGACACCATCTCATCCACAATCTGCCGAGCAGGTAGCACATCATTGATGAGCGCTGCCACTCTTCCTATTAAGAACGTTCTAGCCTCCAGCGACTTCTCTGGGTGTTGTTCAATGTCCCAAGTCGCAGGAATGATACCCTTGGATGTGAGTTCCTTAATCTCCGCCTGCCGATTGTTATTCCTGAAGGACACGTTGAAACAAAGAAGCCAAACAGTAACAAGGTGGAAACATACCAGTCCTCGACGTAGGACGTTCTCCTGACTCGGAGGGGACGACCGGTAAAAATCAGAGTGGTGATGGCGTCCTCGAATCCTGCGGTTACGAGCGCATCTTTGTGTGCCTTTGGCGCACCTGCTTCCGTGGATGCAACGAATCTGGTGCCTACCCAGACCGCTTGCGCTCCCCACGCCAAATTTGCGGCAAGTCCGCGCCCGTCGTACACAGCACCAGCACCAATAACGTACACCGGCTTCTTTGTCAGCGGAGAGATATGTCCACGACATGCGTCGACGACCGCAGGAATGAGAACCGATGCCGGGACGTCGCCTGTATGACCGCCCCCTTCTCCGGCCTGAGCGCAGATTAAATCGACTCCCATTGCGAGCGCTTTTGCGACATGTTTGGGATGTCCGACCATCTAGGGCATAATGAGCACGCTGCCTTCATAATATAAGAAGAAACTCACGTTCATGACGGGTATTCCAGCGGAATGTAGCTTATCGACTACTTGCTGTGGTGGCACACCGACAGCGCACACAAAAAGGGACGCTTTCTCCTCAATGATGATATCAACAAGCTCGTTTAGTTTCCCGTTCTGGTAATCATACTGTAGAGGATTCAGCGCAGGAGAACTGACATGTAGTACAATACACACGTTTGTTTTCCTTGCATTCCCGCCGACCTGAGGGATGAGCAGGTCAACCCCAAATGGTCCATTTGGATCCTTCAAGTCCTTCTTGATAGCTTGAATCTGACGTAGCGGCGTTGCATTTGAATGACCATGTGAGCTCAACTCGCAGCGATACGCACCTGCTGCCTGAGTATCTTTGGGGTATAACCGTGCCCACCAATGACACCTAGTCCGCCTGCATTAGTCACTGCAGCTGCCAGTTCCGGACCAGCCGCCACATTCATGCCTACAAAGTCATAAAAATCCCTGAAAGGTAACACTAGAGTCATGACACGGACCTGCCAGTAATATGGGATGTTTGATTCCAAAAAGCTCAGTGACTGGTGTAGATATGATTACAGACATCGTTTCAGATGGTGGGGGAGAGAGTCAGAAAGAGGATGAATTTCGGAGGGATTTCAGAGGGAGATGATGTGAAACTCGTTTGAATCAATTGAACAAGGGCCGGCCACTATATTCGATACAGTAATCATGTGCATGTAAGTCGGAGACGTTATGCTCCGGTTATGAGTAACCGAGTAACTCCCACCACTTACAGGCACTGCCGCACAGTAGAGTAAAAATCATGCGCCATGTACAAATCATCTCAAGTTGTCCTGGTAGGTATATGACAGCAAGGCTAGAGGGTGGTGTAAGATATGCAATATGTAAATGAACGTGTGCGTGATATACATAAGATGGATGTCCATGTCAGCGAATAAGGCCCTTAGAACAGTTGCAATAGAGACATCTAGATCAGGGAGGATTTTCGGTGGAAGGTGGAGGGGACTTGGCACCGGACTGCATTAAGCGGCGAAGACGAGCCAGCTCACTCGCCAAAGCTCTGTTTAAACAAACATCGTAAGGCCAGGATGTGGGGCAAAAAAACACTGCGTACCTCGCAGTCTCTACTGCCTCATCACTTTGATGAGATTGAAGTTCAGCCTGTGTCTTCAGTTTGATAATCTCCTCACGGAACTCCTCTTCGACTTCTTTCCTGATTTTCTGGTCTTCATTTTTGAGATCTTTCACAGAAGCTTGCTGACGTTGCGCCTCCTTCATCTCATCTGCGAGAAGCTTATACTTCTTGCCAATCGATTCGGCTTCTTTTTTCAGCTTGTCCTCGCGCTTCCGCATCTCTTCACGAAGTCTATCAGTATCATGTTTCCAACTCTCGGTCATGCTTTTGATGCTATCGCGTAATGTAATGTACTCGCGTTCAGCCTTCTGGGAAAGGGCTGTCGATTCCATGAGAGCAGATTCCATCTCGCGAAGGGACTTTTTAGAGGTTGTAGTCTCCGTTTTCAGCTGAGATTTCAAGGTTGCTGCCTCGGCTTCAGCTTTTCGGGCCCGTTCAAGAACCTGTAATTGGTCAGTAGAGAAATTAAAATAAGGCTGACTAACCTCTTGCAACAACCGCTCCTTTCTCGCTACAACATTGTTGAGACCTTCATTTTCCAGTCTGAGGCGTTCTCGACCTTCTTTCAAATCCTCAGTCTGTCGTGTCAACTGCGCAACAGTCCGCTGTGAGAGACGAAGCTGAGACTTGGTATTCTCCAAGGCGTTGCGAGCATTTATAACACCGGCCTGAAGATCTGCCAAAACTTTAGTTGTCCCCCCAGGTGTAAGAGAGATACGCCTATTAGGAGACGATGGGGCTTGCAGCCCAGAAGTGGAAGCATTCACATTATCTGAGTTATTGCCAGCGTGGGGGTCAATCGGTAAGATTGCTGGCGGAGAGTTAAGAGCTGGAGAGAGACCATTGTCGGCTAACGCACGGGCATTCCCTAATAGCATTAAGTCACCACGTTCACAATGAGGGAGATCCTGGTCGCAGGGAAGGGAAAGAAAGACTGACCTACGGAAGCTACAGGTATCCCTAAAACAAGAAGTGATTAGTATAATGGGGCAACAAAGGCGCGAGTGACATACGACTCAGTGTGCGCGTTGGACTAGACATCCGCTTGGTGTTCATGGAAGGTCCAGGGCTAAAATCCAAAGGTATACCTTCGCGGATTCCATCGCGTTTCAATATTGGTGTCGCACTTTCTCTCCTCGGGAGCGGAAGATTTGACTCGCGACCAGCGAGGCCTTGCAAAACATCAAAACTGGAGCGACGTTGCATTTTTGGAGTTGAAAAGCTCGTAGTGTATGACACAGGACAAGGACTTATATCCAAGACATCCTCCGACGAGGGTTGTGGAGAATGAGAGGGTGCCATAAAGCCAGGTGGTAGCGGACGTGATCCACGTAAGATGATATTCTCCAAGCTGTGCAACTGTGCCTGTTGATGTCGGATGGAATGCTTCAAGGTCGACATCTGGTTACGAACAATCACTATGAAATAGAACGAACCGAGATGGTTGAATGAAATCTGAATGGACAGGTGAAGGAGTAATACCTGTATCGTTTTGGGGTATTGACGGGCTCGAAGCGCGTACAGAAAGCAAGGAGCCACGTGAAGAAGACCTTGACTCGGAGAGCGGACGGGAAGGAGAGTGCAAAGAATTAGACATGCACAGGCAATATGAATATCAAAATGATCGTGATGGAGCCCTGTCCACAATAAACGAGCAGAATTTTGGTTATTTCGATAATCTAAGGCGCTGCCTTTGAAACAGCGGGTCCAGGAAGACCCCGTTGAGGCTCTTGAGATTCAGCCAGAACTGTTGCAGGCTGTGGTTAGCGCTAGCAGTTGGGCCGAGATTGGAGTTCTAGTCCTTGTTTATCTTTGTTGTGATGTGCCAAGAAAGACGCGGTCACGTGGCAGCGGACGCGTTTGTCCAGTTTCTACTTTGGAGCTTGTTTCATGGACAATGAATCTCTCTCAATACTACTAACATCTGACAGACTGCTCTAACATGGCTGAATGTGGAATCTGCTTGGAGGATATTAAGAAGCCTGTCTGCGTTCCGTGTGGTAAGTACTACTCCGACTCAGACTCCTGCATGTGATGACCTGTTCGCGCTATCTAATAGGTCACGTTCACTGTGAAAAATGCCTACGCGCCCATATAAGTTCCGGAAATGATGCTATGAAATCTTCGTGCCCATCATGCCGAAGCATATTCTATATTGGTATGTCTCATGTTCCCTAAGTACTTCTCTGCTCAGACTGTCTTGCAGCTATGCCTGATTTATCTTTTGTTCCCAAAAAATACCATGACTTTATGGTACCCAGCGTGCGCAAGTTATACTTGGACATTGCTTCTCCTGCTCCGCTGGTTGCTGAGATTGAGCAACTCAAAACACGCGTCGCTGCTTTGAGTAGAGATCGGGACGCTCTGATGGAGAGATGCGAGGCACACATGGCGGCTTCTCGTCAGTATGCCACAAATGAGAAAGACGCTCGTTTGGAAGCCAAAGCTGCACGTGAAGCCACCAACCGGCTGCAGGTGAAGTACGATGCTTTGGAAAGAGAATTCTTGGACCGGTGCGTCTTTTACTCATGAACTTACATCTTGTCGCTGACTCGCACTAGTTCAACCCTGTCTCAGACATCTTCCGACGGCCGAAAACGAAAAGGCAGGGAGAGCGTTGATAATTCGCGCATTTCCTTCCGCCAAGAAGAACTTCCTTCCTTTGCCCTCAAATCAGACGTAAAGCTCGAAGAGCTCCCTGATGCACTTGACTTCGCGCCTTCACGCCTGAAGCGTGCACTTCCCAGATCAAGTGTGACTTCATCCTCACAACACGAACAATCCCACGATCCGCCACCTCGGTTCATCAAGCGTCAGCGGCGCGCAAGGCATTCAGACATTGGCCCGAGATTGCAGACTCAAATACCTGAACAGTGCGAAGGCTGTGGGGAGTGTCAGGCAATCTACAATCAATAAAGTCATCTAGACAAGACCACATGCACCATACGTCCTCTCACGTCTCTGTACAATGTAAATACTAATGCATATGTATTGATATTTTTTGCAATTATAATATCTGCTTGCCATTTGATTGGGCCATCCCACACGATGGTACACTATGTCATGATTGGGTGGACAAGGATTTGATACTGCACAGCCTACCAGACCATATCGAGTCATCCGTGGTTATTATAAGCCAGGCTTTGACCAGGCTGATCTAGATTTTATGTGAACTATAAAGCTTGGTACTTCAAAACTCTAAGTGATATCGATAAGGTCGTGCGTGAAGTTGAACGTTCCATGTGCTGAACCTGTATTAATACAAAGAGAAGTTGATACATACAATTATCACCGTGACTAGTACTGTAGTAGGCATGCATGCACTTGCTCTTGGCAACCTTTTTTTGTCCATTGGGTGACTGGATATATGGATACATACCTCATCACCGCATCCCTGGCACTAGTGTGAACCCCACTATACCCATTGATGGTCCGCCGTTCCTGCTGCTATTAGTGACTTTAATGAAGAAACGCCTTAGTTCGTTGGAACCACAGCCCATATTCGCTTGTTCCTCGGCTGAGATAAGCTTATCAGATTAAAAGAAAGAAGAACCCTCGTGCCGTCCTGAGACTTGACCCCGGAAATGTGGGCGTATTCCCGCGACCTAGTACGTACTGGCCAGCGAGTGCAAAGTAAGTATTTGATATATATGATCGTGGCCCTATACTATGATGCGGGAACTCTGCCATTCTGCCACATGGCTGGATAGAACTGGCAGTTGCCACCTGCTGGCTATATAAACAGTAAGCAATCTGGCAACCTTCAAGCATATTCAAATTTATCATTCAGTACACGTACCAATCATTGTCTTGGCAAGTGTTGACTCGGGAGGCAGCTAGCCGCGGGGTGCTTCTCCTCGGATCAGGCCTCTTGTGGCTACTAGATCAGAAATCACATGTCCTATTTACGCAGGAGGACGCGAGTACGTAGGTTTTACCACCTCCCGTCTTGGGGAAAATAATAAAAGATACTCTCGGATAAGTTATGAATAGCCATGATAGAAATGAAGTAATAATGAAGGTTCAAAACCTGCAGGGTCATTGGAAGCGAATCGGGCAAGGTCCGTGAAGCGAGTTGGGAGCACCGCATAGGGCCTTACCAAATTCACCCGTTCACTTCTGCTCGCGTCAAATTACTTATAAGATGCCGAATTGCACCTTGGTCGCGTTCCTCCTGCCAGCTAACTAGTCCTCACAATGCCCAGCGAAGCCAAAGCGCCATTCAATAATGCAAAGGCAGACATCATCTTGTGTTCTTCAGACAATGTCTACTTCCGTGTCTTCCGCTGCATGCTCGCATTTGCCTCTCCATTCTTCGAGGCCATGTTCGATCTTCCTCAACCAAGAAGGAACCACTTTAACGACCAGATGTTCGGCGATCTAGACATAATTCAGGTGTCAGAAAACAGCAAGACACTCGACATGCTGTTGAGATTTTGTTATCCTGCAGCGGTAAAAGGTCCTGGTTTGGAGGACATTAATGATGTCGAGCAAGTCCTAGAGGCTGCGATGAAATACGGAATGGAAGATGTTGAAGAGAGGGTGAGGAAGGCTATGGTTGCTCCGTCCCTCTTAGAGAGCAACCCCGTGCGCATCCTTGCGGTTGCATGTCGCTTTGGTCTTAGAACGGAAGCTAGCATCGCAGCGAGATATTCGCTTCTTCACACAGCCCCAACACACGATTCCCTTGCCGCAGAACACCTTCCTAGTGACGTCATTCAGGGCCTTGTCGCATATCGCTCTAGATGCGGCCAAGCCGCTAGAACACTTTGCGACAATCTGGACTGGCTGAAAAGATCACAGACGTACAGTTTCTACGAGTGGTGGACAAACTGTTGCCCATGTGACTCAAAAGCAGACGTCAGGTACCTGGCACATGGAACTTATCCGCGGGAGTGGTGGGCGGATTACATGGACAGAACAGCTGTTGCCTTGGAAGAGTCTCCTTGTGGTGCAACGTTGATGAGAAACTTGGCAGAAGCCGTCGAAAGGGCAAAAAGTTGTCCCTCATGTCGACGGTGTGCGCAAGACCAGATGGTTCAGTTCACCAAGACTTTTGCTCAGGAATTAGAACGAGTCATTGCCGAGGTGCGCGAAGTGAAACTGCGGTTGTCGTAAGAATCTAAACTTGCCTCTGCAGATCACTTTAGATATTGTCATTTGATGCAGGGTCGACACGATTACCTGCGCTGTCATCGTGCATTGGCACATCAAAAAATCAGTGAGAACCGCTAGGTCCAGCTGTTTGGTTCGATCCGTCACGGTAGAACCAGCTTAGAATCACCCTGTTATCAAGAACTTACTAGTAGAGCCAGTATCTGCAGGTCAGATAGCGCACAAGTACTAGTACTCCTGGTGAGTCAGGCATATGATAGATATTTAGACTGTAGTTGAGTTAATCTAATGAGAGAACAAATAATCACTTACTTGGCATCGTGATCATCGTACGACTTTTGCGCTTTCCCTAGAAAAAATTGTGCCCCACGTCAATCTATAATCTAGAAGCAAGTCCCTGACGCCATCGAATGGTGAGAGCAGTGGATTATTTTTGATAGTTAGATAGCAAATCAAAATTAAAGTTAAAAATTAAAATATCCCGAAGCCATCCCAAAGAGGAACTTCAAGTTTGTTCGTTCACATGTTTGTCCTGGACTCCTTCCACGCTGCGGATAGGCTGGAGATGGGCTTGTCGCAGGAGTTCCTGCAGGGCTGTGACTTAGCTTTCACTTGAATCCACAATGGATACATGTACGACTTCGTGCAATTACACCAGCATCGATGACGAACCACAGCGCATACCAGTCGACGCCGGAGCCCCTTTTGACAGAGGGGATATCATATTACGCAGTGCGGATGATGTTGATTTCCACTTCCACAAGCTACTGCTCTCCCTAGCATCATCTTTCTTTTCGAACATGTTCTCTTTACCTCAGCCAGGCTCTCTCGATGATGCTGCAGACCGGACAAAACACGGTCTCCCTATCATACCAGTGACGGAGAATAGCGTCGTTTTGCGGAAGTTGTTGAGCTTCTGCTCTCCAGTATATGACACGGATGTGCCTGCTCTCGAGAACTTGGACATTGTCATGTCCGTCCTCGATGCGGCCGATAAATACGACATGAAACGAGTCGGCATATTCATCGTTAGAATGATAACGGCTCCGAGGTTTCTAGAAAAAGAATCCATGCGAGTCTTTGCTATCGCATGTCGTTACCGCTCAGAGGCAGAGACTCTGGTGGCGGCGAGATACATGCTGCGTTTTGCGGTGTGGGAGCCTGCATATGTGTCTGAATTGGACTTCATTACTGGTTCAGACTTCCAGCGGTTGGTCAAGTACCACACAAGTTGCGGTCAAGCTATGACCCAGCTTACCCGTCTTTGGTCTACGTATCCCCTGCCATCACTTGACTGCAAGTTCTGTCGCAAGAAGGGAGTTTCTCGCTTGTCCCTCAAAGAATACCAAGATAGTGTCATAGAAGCACTCCGCATGCGGCCATCTGTGGAAAGCCTCCTTAATCCCGAGTGGATTGACAGTATGGTGAAGAGGGCGGGAAGTTGTATTGGCTGTAAAGAGAGAGTGCCGAGAGTGCTTGCTGAATACGCAAAGGAACTTGCCTTCCCGGTAATGGCGATTATCCTGGAGGTGAGTTCTCTCCCAAATGACCGACTGGCTGAATGTGAACTCCTCTCAGATTCCCCTGGACATTGATTTTCGCTGATGGTACCTATCTCACCATATACTAGAGTCAGGTCACAAATGGTTTCATGCTTGTTGCACCTTCCTTTTCAGATTTACCTTGCATGCATGACGATTTGGGAATATATCGGATTGACGGAACTGAGATTTGTCAAAGCAGCCGTGAGCCAGTGTCTTTACCTTTTATTCTGTTTTGTCATTCATATTATGCACTTTCCCGATTCTAAACAGTATACACTGATATGCACCCTGCGGGGCCCAGCAGGTGCCCACCGCCGAGCCTGAATCGATCAGCGCGTCCCCGATTAGTTGCTTGAGGATGCCCCTCATGTAATGAAATATATACTATCTCTGTCGTGCGCCCGAATCATATCACCTGCACAATTGACTATCGGACAACTGCACTGCGATAACAATGGGACATCATACTGCAAGAGGACTGATAACAACCATTTCTGTACTCCTGCAAATTTTTGTCACATGCAAGTCCTTGTCAGGAGTAGATCCGGTTTCCCTGTCCCTAAGGCATGGGTACAACGCACTTATTCCGAAAATGGTGGTCTTCCTCAAGTAACAAAGTAACATACACTAGACTGTGATTCATCTCTTGTGAGAAAGAAATGGTAGGTTGTTCCGAACGTTAATTCCACGTACCCGTTGACAACAAATTCAAACCTCGTTTGATGAATGCCACCGCTGAAAATATTTCTGTCTTGTGTTTGGATACTGCCTCGTGTCTAGGGTATAGCACGGTCATGGGCCACACCGCAGGTATGGGGGTCACGGGTATGGCGGGTACGGGTACGGTGTCGAGATGTGGTACCCGTGGTCATACCGTACCCGTTAGCACGGTATACGGGTATGGTCACAGGTATGTAGCCGCACTATCTCCAAACTTCTCCGCAGTGTTATATATTGGACATAATGACTTTGATTCACTGACTACTAGCCTTATTTTTTGGAGGTCGTTGACTGCAACAGCTCCCCGTGACCCGCTGCTTCGATCATCTCTTGCTGCTTGAACAATTCGGTGATTCAACAGCATAAAGTGAGGACAGATTCTAGTACATTTCTCAATACTCCATTCACTCCATCATTGTGGTTAATCAGTCTACTGCCAATGACACGGCCTCGCTCGCTGAGTCTATCCTATAGACTATCACATTTAGAAACCATCGTCTCTGCAGTCCATTGGCATATCTAGTAGATGATCTTGAGGACTATTTGCGGCAACCTGTGGAGAATATCAAAGTCACACTGCAATGGTAGGTCCATAATCAAAAGACGTATCCAAATTTGCACCGGATGGCACTTGTATTCCTAGTAGGTCATGCACCATTGCTCTCGCTAGCATCACAACTTATGTGTTACACACCATAGCTACCTCGTCGAACATTTCACAAGGCTGGCACCTTCTATGCTTTACTCGAAACCGCTTGTCTCCATCATCAACCCGTGCATTCCTTTGTCTTGGCTCATGGCTCCACTGTGGTCTGGTAGCACCCGAGGACCTTACTAAGATCTCTGAGGAAGAGAAAACGAGCGTTGGGTGAGGTTATCCTACATAGTGTTACAATTTCTTGCTTGTGTACCCGCGTGTTATACCCTACTCGTGTCTCCCTTTAACGAATTACCCCAACTAAACAATCACTTTGCGCTCATTTAAGAGTGTTTCTGTGCCGGTCCTGCCCTATAAATAAGATCAAATTTTCCACGTCTTCGATTAACTTCTAGTTAGTGGTACCCACTAGCTAGGCTGCAGTTTTGATTAGATGGTTCTGAGCTACTAACGCGTGATTCATAAACGCGGTCACGTGGTCTTTGGCCACCCTGAATCAATCTGTAACAACATCAACTTCGGTGGGTCGTTATCGCGTACATGAGACCGACGAAATTCTAAGCATCTAGAGGATTCGCAACATTATTCGAGATGACAACGCTTGAGACACCGTCTCGAATATGGCGCAGAATACAAGCTGCAGACGAAGGAGAGCCACCTTCTCTTCCGTCATTACCTGCTTTCGATGATTCTGGTGCACAAGACTCAGACTCAGACGATGACCAACATTCAACAGACGATGACCCTGTTATCCTGCCGGTGCATTCGACACCCGCTGCTGTCTCAGCGCACACGGTGACATCAACCATCAGGCTACAATCAAGTACTTCCAGCACAGCACGCTTTGCAAGCTCTCTCGCATCACGCTCTGTTTCAGCAAAATCTTCCTCTGCCTCTAGAACATACCCATATCCTCGGAGCCCCGTACAAAGTTTCGAAGTGAGCGCCATAACCTCTCTTCCCTATGAGAGCGACGAGAATACAGGTCCGGAAGACTCGCCTCTCGCACATAGTAGGCACAGTATTCCAGAGTCTCATTTGCCGCCAGAAGATAATGAAGCGGATGACATGTCTTTGGAGGACGCACTACAGTCGGTCAGTCGCTCTAGCTCCCCATTTTCTCCCGAAATCCCTCTGGAAAATCCTACGCCGAGGAAGAAATACGATTACTCGATGTCATTACGTTCTGAACCTCAGGTGAATGCTTTTCTGCTCGCCTTTTACTCTAATTGAGCTCAACGTATCCCAGCGATCGCCATTCGACAAATACCGTAATGTCGCACTACGAAAACCGCTCGTGCGGATGAGAACGCCGTCACTTTCCCGGACGACGCCCTCTCCTGTCTCATCACCTCCAAACTCAACACCTCGCAGCAACAGATCTATTCCACTACCTGTAGAAACACCGTCACCGCTTCCTGGTGTTTACATTCCCTTACCTCGCTCGAGAACCGCCTCTCCGGCTGTTACTCCACTCCCAAGCGTCGTGATACAGCCTCCAGAGGATGAGAGCAATGATGAACAAGAGCTTTCCTCGGCCCATTCCCAGGATCCACCACAGGAAAGTGACTCCGAACCAGGGCAGGAGGACTCTGCCATGCAATCGGACCGCGAGCCCACATTCTCCTCAGCATCGTCTGATCCAAGTAATCAAATTAACAATGACAGAACCATAGGTGCGCATTCAACAGCGTTTATATCACCTGCCAGATCAGTGTTGGATTTTACACCCGTTCCGCGGCTTCGTACGCAGTTCAACATCCCACCTGCATACAATGGACTAGGGACAGACGCAACAGAAGAGTCCCTCACACCTCATGCCCGCAGACGATCATTTCTTCTTTCAGTCATCAACTCCACTGCCCGTCCACGCATAAAGTTTACTCCTCACCCCCATAACCGGCTCGGTGCCCTCCCTGTGACTCAGTCCTCAAGCGGGAGCAGCGAAAGCGCATCCGGTATCGGCGCAACGCCTGCGGGTCCCATGCGCACTGCATTTGCTGGTATCACTCCTCGGCCTGGACGGGGGCGGGGACGCACGTCGCACCCTCTTGCGCAGGCACATATTCCAGACAGTGCATCATCTACAGGCGATAGTGAGCATCTCGCGTCCCCCTCTGACATCGAGCTCCGCGGCGCATCGGCCTCCTTCCTTTCTACTGCGTCCTCACATGATCTCACCACACACCCGCGCGCCAACACCTCGTACGACCCTGCGCTGGGCACAGGTCAACGTGGCGTGGCGCGCTTTGACGCGCCGAAGCTGAATAATTACCTTCACACATTGAACTCAAAGCTACAGGAAGAGAACAAGGAACTCGTCGACCGGTTGAGGAAGTACGAGGAAGTGAAGGATGCGGATCAGAGACGGCTCAGTTTAGAGAGTATGGGCTCTGCAAAGGCGAGAAGGGTCAGTGCAGGGAATGAACTTGGCGATGTGGAGGAGGCGGGAGAAGAAGGGTGGGCAGAAGAGAAGAAAGAGTTGGAGGAGCTGGTCGAGAGTTTGGAGGCTCAGCTCGACAAGCTTGCAGAGGCGAAGGAAAGTGTGGATCAGGACCTCGAGACTGAACGGCATGAGCGTGCGCGAGATAAGGAACGTTGGCGGGAGCGCATGCATGAGGTTGAGAGTGGTGTTGCAGAGATCGTGGGTGACTTGGAGCAGAAAGTCGCAGAGAGCGAGCGAGCGCTGGAAGAGATGACAAAGGAGGCGGAGCGTATTCGTGAACGACTCGAAAGCGAGCGTGACCTTGCGCTGGAGAGGGCTGGACAGGCGGAGACGGCAATGGAGAACGGGAAGGAGCTCGGAGGTGCATTGAAGGAGGCGAACACGCGGATCAGCGTCCTCACAGCCGACCTGCAGAGTGCGACCGCGCAGATCAAGGATCTGGAGGATGAAATTATGACAAGCGACCGCCGCGTTGACGAGCTCGAGAAGGAGCTCAAGAAGGAGCGGCTCTCCGCCAAGCTGGCTAATGATGATCTCCACAGCCAGTTAAGCGAGATGGGGGCTGAGATCATGCGCTCTAGTTCTCGGGCATCTGAACTCGAAAAGGACCTCAAAGCTCAAGAAGCCGCTGCCAGACGTCTACAGCATGAGCTGGAAGCAAAGGCAGAAGAGCTCGAAGAAGCACAGCAACTTATTGCACGTTCTGGCAATGATGTCAACGAGGAAGTTCGCGAACTGAAGACCTATACCGCCGAGCTCGAAGAGGCCGTTACAGCGACAACTGAACGCATTCAAGACCTCGAAGAGCAGCTCACTTCCGCTCAAAATCACTTTAACCAGTTGGAGGCCGATGAACAGGAGGCCAATGATCGTGCTGAAGCGCTAGAGAAGGAAAAGGAGAGTGCATCGTTGTTGGTCAACCAAATGGAGGAGGCTCTTGAAGCCGCGGAGCAGAAGATGCGCACCGACCAAGAAGTTGTCGCAGATCTCAAGGCCAGGATTTCTACCCTCGAAAGAGAACGAGAGCGCGAGAGGGAGATGTCTCGGCTTCTGAAAGGACAGCATTCAGACGAGAGCGATGCTGAGCTTGAGAATGCACTCGAGGCAGAGCTAGAACAGGCGCACAAAGAGATCGCGAGACTCACTGAGCTCCTTCAACACTCTCCTGCACGGAAAGCTATTGACGCTGCCCGGGATCAGAGGATCGAGATTTTGGAGAAGGACAAGGAGGAGCTCCAGGCGCGTATCAAGGCCCTCCGATCGACTAGCTTCGAGACCGCAACTCCAAACAAGGTGGTCAACCTCAGTGGAATATCACCCATTCATCGACATGTATTGTCAATGTCTGTTAGGGCTCCGAAGACACCTGGAGGTCCTCTGAAAGATGTAAGGCGATATCATAATATCCGAACATTCCTTGTTGATGGAAACTTAATAGCTTTCCTGGCTAAACAACACCACCGGCGATGCCTCAGTGTCCCCGCTACTAAGCGAAATTGCTCGTCTTCAAACCGAACTCGACCGTGCCAACGATAGCATCGACCAAAAGCTCGATGAGCTGGAAGATGCTGGGCTGGGAGTTGTGTCCCTTACGAGAGACCTTGAACTTGCCCGATCCAAGATATCTCAAATGGAAAACGAGATGGGAAGGTTACAGAGACGCGAGGAGCGTCGACTTCATCGGCTCCAAAGGCTCCGTTGTCAGAAATGTATGGTCAAGGTGGACACATCAACATTGCAACGATTTTACGACGCCGATGAAAGGTGCGATTCATAGAGCGTCCTTAGCGTGATATCCTGACACAACATTTCTAAGCTTTTTGGATGTATCGCATAGTAGTCTCCCCTCCAACCCTCCGACACCTCCGACGAAGACCAGCGAAGCTCTTCGATTGGACCTTCATGCAGTCAATAAGAAACTGGATACGATGAAACAGCGATGGGAGGAAGAAAAACGCCACCTTCTAGGGGAGAAGGCAGTCCTTCAAGATGCTGCGAACCGGATGAACATGGAGGTACGAAACGCAAAGGATGAAGCGAAGAGAGCGACTGAAGCTAGCCGACGATCGAGAGCTGATACTCGGGAGGTCGAGAAAGCGAAGGCCGTCATTGCTGACCTCGAGGCTGAGCTGCAGGCTGAGAGGACGCGCCTCAGACAGATGTCCGTGGAACAGGAGTGCGTCCAGCGTGAGAAGAGTGTTGTTGCTCGTCAACTACAACGAACTGAGACGGTACGTCCCTTGACTATCGTCATAAGCATATTAACCTGAAAGCTATCAGGATATCGATGATGTCAAGAGACAGCTACAGAGAGTCAAGCGCGAAAATAGTGAACTAGAGACCGAGTTGCGAAGTGCGTACCGTGCCATCTCTAAATCATCACTCCTAATTAACAGATACAGCCAATGCAACCATCGAACAGCAAGCTCGTCTCCTCGAAGGCAAAGTCAAAGAAAACGCAGAGACAATCAATCAGCTGCGGCAAGAGCGGTCTCTTCTTGCCAAGGACCACAAGGAACTTCAGCGACAGTTCACTGAAGTATCAGAAGTGAGTGTCTCTTCCTATCACAATGTTGGATTGCGCCGACACTTGAGCAGCGAGTCAACAAGCTTCGCAATGACCATGCAAAATCACAGTTATCGCACGACAACCGCCGTCATCAACTCGACTCGCATCTCGCTGAAATTGATGACCTCAGGCGTGCGCTCTCCAATCAAGCCGATGAACTACAACGTAGCGAAGAGGAGAAAAACCGTATGGCGATTGAGAAGACCGATGTTGCACGTACTGTTGCAGCCCTTGAATCCGACCTCAGACGTGTCAAGCGAGATGCCGAGGCGTTTGGACGTGATCTTAAAACTCTGCGAACAGAGAAAGAGAAGCAGCAGGAGAAATACAGGAATGAATTGACGAAAGCTGAGCGAGCCAGAAAGCAGGCCCAAACTCAGATACGTCTCCTGAACGAGCAGCTCAGCGGCCAGCATACGAAGTTAAAGATGGCTCAAGAGAAGCTCAAGATCAAGGATTATGGATTTGCTACGTGGGTCATGACATACTTTCATGCTGTATCTCGATGCTGAACCAAAAACCAAAAATAGTGATGGCTACCAGCTCGTCGAGCTGAAAAAACAGCACAAGGAAGAGTGCAAGGGCCTTGTCGTCCAGATTCGGTACCTCAAGGCAAAGTTTACCCGCGAGTCTACCTTGCGAGATGATCTTGTATACCAGAAACATTATCTTCTTGTTCTCCTCTCGAACTTTGAGGCAAGGTACGAACACTTTCTGCATCATTATGCTGTAATTTATCTTGTTCGGCAGTGAGAAACGCATACTGGCCTGCATATCCCGGATAGGATACCCCAAATCGAAAAATCCACCAGCAATTTTGAAGAAGCCACGCTCGATAAAGAGCGTTGTACTGAGTGTTATATTTATACGGCGTGTGAGGTAGGTGCCCATGGTCGCTGATCCCCAGTTTCGATCTTGATTGATTGATATCTTTTCAGGCAAGTTAGTGAGGCTTGGCGAGAAGCAAGCTCAAACAAACAAGCGATTTCTAGTGCACTACAAGAAGTCCGTCGTCGAAGAATCGCAACCACCTCGTAGATCCTCACTTCGCAATGTCTTCTCGTTTGGCTAGATTATCATATATGTTGTATCATTAGTTCGCTATCCTAAATCAAGATCTTGTACACCCTGCACCAGGCCTCGGTAGTGCGGAAGCCTGAATCGCGTGTTATGAAGGTGGAAGCTTCTTGCGTGTCTCCGATACTATTCGCACAGCATCCTTGGAAAACACGTAGGACAACCCACTCCAGACCGTTGTCACGGCCACCAAAATTCTGAGCATGTCAGGGTAAGAAAAGACGCGAATATATGACTGGCTTACTGCATTTCAGGTACAAACAGGTGATATTGTGCAGGCAGGATGGGGGTGACAGTTGTAGCGCACATTAACGCGAGTTGAGCAAAGGTATTGTACTGCGAATCAAAGCTCAGCAGATCACAAAATGAAGTGCAAACAATCCTACCTTGCTGATTGTAGTGGGGCGTACTTCAGCGGATGGTATAGAGAAATCCCAATATCGAGAGAAGGTTTTCTAGACAGATTGGTGAACGTATACTAACAAAATTCGCCTGACACGTACTGGTGCGGGGAGTGAGGTATAACGAATGTAAAAGGCGGAAAGACTCAGCAATACATCGCGCCCGATGATTATTGAGGCCAGCGAGACTGGAGAGGAGCGGGGCATCATTCAAACACAAAAAAATGGGGCCACTATTGAGTTTGCTTACTAGGAAGCAATCCCTTCATAGCCAATGTCACCGTGAGAGTGGTCATCAGAGTTTTATCCGCAGCAGGGTCAAGAATTGTCCCGAGAACTGAATGCATGTTGAAGCGTCTTGCCAGGTAGCCATCGGCCTTTAGTCAGAGCTTAACTTTTGATCGACTCGACTATTCGTGGGGTACCCACCAAGTCTGAAAACCCAGCATAAACCAATAATCCGGTCGCAAGGAAGAAATCGTCGTGCAGTATGGACCAACCGAGGACAGGGCACGAAAGTATCCGAGAGACTGTCAAGAAATTTGGTATGGTGTATATGTTCTCGCGCAAAGGCGGTGTTGTAGCAGAATCTTTGATGTCGTCGGTCTTCTCGTTAGACCACCTGACGCAGGAGGTAGAAAGGGTTCTGGTGATTGCGACGAAGACATTTCTGTGTGCGACTTTGAGCTTGAATGTACTAGTGTGTAAAGAAGATTGGGATTTGGGACGACATGAGGCGAAAGTAAGACTGCGAAGAGGACGCGCAAGAAAGTTGTAGTGCAAAGTTGAGTACATCAGTTTGGAGAAGGCAAAATTGGGGAGAGACCAAAATGGAAATTGCGGTTCGACAGGGGCAGATCACGAGCCTACTAATATCACTTGAAGAAAGTAGGTGCTATCGAGCTTTTGGCTTAACACACGCAGTAATATATATATCGGTCGATACACCGTGTCGCTGGATCCATTCTGAGCCCATGGCCAACTTACTATAGTACAGTATCCAACACAACGCCAGCTCTGATGGTATACAGCGCTTTAGAGCAGCAAGACAGCGATTACTTTAATCAGCATCAGCCTCCAAAATCACCTATATTCAGGTGAGCTTTGAATCAGTGATGAACCAAGGAGTAGCAGGAAAAGCCTGACTTACAGTTGCGATCACCTTTTTAACTTGTGCGATATATAAAGCGCGGAATTTGTGCATGTCCTCGAGGACATGGGTTCGGCAAGAGCTGCACTCAACCGCTTTGATAATAGCGCGATTGTAATGCGAAAGCTCCAATAGCAAGGTTGACTCGCAAGGTCTTGCCAACAACTCTCTCCCACTGGAAACCAGATATTCCTGGAACCAGGGGGCAACAGAGTCCTTTTTTACTGTCATGATCGGCGTGCTATTTCTGCATCTGCTGCACTCTTTCCACATTTGCATAGATTTAAATGAAGACTCTAGCCAGGAAAGAGAATTCCCGACTGCTTGAGTGGCGATGCCACATTTATAATGGTATTCCAGGAGCCTGTGGAAATCCAAAGCAGTGATGTCCCGCAAACCATTAAACATATGGCTAGGTCGTCCTAGATCCTTGATCTCAAGGGCCCGAGTAGCGGCTGTCCGCGCATGATGCGGCCACCCGAATTGACAAGAGAGAGCGTATAACTCAAGACAGTGATTTGGTAAAAACTGGGCCATCACGAGGTCTCCCGCACGGCTGAGGGCTGCTTGCATGTCATACTTGCTAGCTGCTTTTATCACAGCCTTTGCATCATCTAAGCTGCCGAGGTTGGGGTGGCGGCAGGATAGCAAAGTAGAAGAAGGGGTTCGAGAGTGGTGCTGCTTTCAGTCACGGTGATGACAGGTACGGATGATGGCGATTCGCTTTGCGGTATCGCGAACATATCTTTGAATACGGGTGACATGAGTGAAAGAATGAGCTTAAAGACATGGAAATCGACACCATTGGCTGAACGGAGGATGATATCACCATTACTAAGATCATCGAATGGTGCTTGAGCTTGGGAGATGGTGATTTCCTCTGTGTCTGCCATGACAGAAAAGGCGCGTACGTGATAGCAGCAGCGGCTTTGTATTTAAAATAGCCCACGATTAGCCTGAGAAAGAGAACCAGCTTCATCGTAGTATAAATTGAACACATCGGCACATCTAGCTGGCCAGATGCCCTGCGGTGGAACAACTCTGCAAGGCCAAGTTACCCGGGTCGACTTATGTCAAGAACTAGTAGAGTAGTGAGTATAAGTTAAAAGATCCGATCAGGCTCGGCTCAGGCCGAGTATATTGGTCTGTGCGCGAACTAGAGCTACCTCGCTTGGAAGTTTGGCTTATACTTCAAGAAGATGGCTGCGTTCGTATGATTTTCAGGTGTTCCATGTATCATCCTAGTGCCCATTCCTGGAAAGTCGATTCAATTTGAAGACAGATTCAAAATATGAATTGCTATTTGGATAGGGGCTAATGCTCAGTACGTACTGCGCAAGTTGTTTATGTACAATTCCACCTACAGAAACCAGGTGAGTTTTGAATCAATGATGAACCATATGACACATCTAGAGGGCTCTGGTGACTGCGGTAAAGACATTTCTGAGTCTGACTTTGGATTGGATTGGACCGGTATACAGAGAAGATCGAGGAGAAAGCAGGGCTGCGAAGAGAACGCGCGAGTAAGTTGCAAAGTTGAGTACGACACTAGCTGGAAAATAAAAAATTGGGGAGAGATCAAAATGGAAATTGGCGACAGTTCGTTCGGGACAGGAGCTGGCCACAGTATGTACCATCAGAGCTGACATCGTACATGTGCCAGTTGGTACTGTACTGTAGTAAGTTGGCCGTGGCTTCATGGGATTGGACAAAATGTGTATATGACCCAACGACACTATGCGTATTGAGAAACAAGACCGATGAATATAGTACTGCGCGTGTTAGGCTTAGTAAACTCGGAACAGCGAGTACTTCAATGATCATACGCCTTCAATCTACATTCAGATGAGCGTTGAATCAGTGATAAACTAAAGAGTAGCAGGAAGAGCCTGACTCACAGCCGCAATCACCTTCTTAACTCGTGAGATATATAAGGCGCGGAAGTTGTGCATATCCTCGACAACAGTGCTTCGGCAGCTGCTGCACTCAGTCGCGTCTGTAATAACGCGATTGTAATGTGACAACTCCGATAGCAAGGTCGACTCGCAAGGTCTTGCCAACAACTTCTTCCCGCTGAAAACCAAATATTCATGGAACAAGGAGGTGACATAGACATTTCCGAAGTTCTTTTGTAGTTTCACACCCACATCAGGTTTGCATGTGCAATCTTTCCACATTTGCATAGGTTTATGTGAAGGTTCTAGCCACGAAAGAGAACTCCCGACTGCTTGAGCAGCGATGCCACATTTATAATGGTAATCGAGGAGCCTGTGGAGATCCAAAGCGCTGATGTCCCGAATACCATTAAACATATGGCTGGGTCGTCCTAGATCCTTGATCTCTAGGGACCGAGTAGCAGCTGTTCGCGCATGATGCGGCCACCCGAATTGACAAGAGACAGCGTACAAATCGAGACAGCGATGTGATAAAAACTGGGCCATCACGAGATCTCCTGCACGGCCGAGGGCCGTTTGCATGTCGTACTTGCTAGCTGCTTCCATCACAGCCTTTGCATCATTGAAGCTGCCGAAGGTTGGGGTGGCGGCAGGATAGCAGAGTAGAAGAAGGGAATCGAGAGTGGTGCTGCTCTCAGTCACAGTGATGACAGGTACAGACGATATATTTGACTGCGATTCCCCCTGCGGTAGCGCGAACATGTCTTTGAATACAGGCGACACGAGTGAAAGAATGAGCTTGAAGACATGGAAATCGACACCATTTGCCGAACGGAGGATGATGTCACAGTTATGATCATCGAATGGTGCTTGAGCGATGGCGATTTTCTTAGTGTCTGCCATGACTGTCTTAGAAAGGGGACGTATGTGGCTTGTACTCCTATGTGCCCGATTATATACAGCGGGTTTTTATTTCAAATAGCCTTGCTCCCTAACGAGACATTTCGGAGATCGATGAAATTATCTGGTCGACATGCAAGGGAGTTAGCCAGACGCGGCGGGGCAAGCTCAAGGTCGAGCAGTGCATGAAGCTGAAGACAGACTAAAATAATTTATTTGGATAGGGGTCCATGTCCCCGATTGCGACTTGAAGCTTTAAGCTTTGAAGGCTCGGTGACTATGCATGCACATCAAATATACACACCAGTTAACTAGTTTCCAACACAGCCTATGTTCCAATAGTCACTCAGCGCTCAGCAATTATACAGAATCTGCCACTCACTCTATATTCTGAATAACAGCACGACAGCATTGCAGCGAGTTGTTTAAGAAGTTGCTAAGTCCACCTACAGAAGCGAGATGAGCTTTGAATCGGCGACGAACCAGTTAGCAAAGAAAGCTCACAGTTGCAACAACCTTTTTAACTTGTGCGATATACAAAGCGCGGAATCTATCCATATCTTCGATGACCTTGCTTCGGCAATCATCGCACTTTGCCGCTTCGATCACAGCGCGATTGTAATATTTCGACTCCATTATGGTCGACTCGCAAGGCCTCGCCAACAACTCCTTCCCACTCGAAACCAAATACTCTTCGAACCACGAGACGATTTTCAACTCGCTGACATGACCAATCTGGAGCTTCTAAGCATCGCCCACGAGTCTGCATTTGCATTTCCACATTTGCATTTTTGTGGATGACGGCGGTAGCCAGGAAAGAGAATCTCCGACTTCTTGAGCTACGACGCCGCATCGATAATGGTATACGAGGAGTTCGTGGTAATCTGCACCGGTGATGTCTTGCAAACCATGAAACCCATTGCTGGGTCGTCCTAGATCCTTGATCTCAAGGGCGCGGGTAGCAGCGGTCTGAGCATGATTCTGCCATCTGAATTGACAAGAAAGAGCGTATAGGTCGAGGATGTGATCTGGTAGGAATTGGGCCATGATGAGGTCCCCTGCGCGGCTGAGGGCTGCTTGCATATCATACTGCTTGGCCGCTTTTAGGACAGCCTTTGCATCATCCAAACTGTCAAATGTTGGGGTTGCGGCAGGGTAGCAAAGGAGAAGTAGGGATCTAAGCGGCGTGCTGCTCTGGGCAACAGTTATGATAGATTTATCCGAATGTGCTTCGCTCTGTGGTGACGTGATCTTGAATTTGTCTTTGAATACGGGTGACATGAGTGAAAGAACAAGCTTGTAAACATGAAAGTTTACACCATTTGTTGATTTTATGATGATATCGCAGTTTTGGTCATCGAAAGGTGCTTCAGCAGTGATGATTTCTTCAGCGTCTGACATGGCTGATGACGGAAAAAAGGTCTTGCACTTGGGGGGGCTAGATAGACAGAAGTCAGTCGTTTCGACTATATTTAAGCGCTGCAAAGAAGTCGATTAGTCAACACGAATAAGTAGGCTTCGGGGTATGATTGATGATCCCTGGACAGATAGCATTCTGAAACAATTCGAATACAGCGCAGTGGTCTCTACTTCAAATTTTTTTTAGCTAGAACGGAATATCAAGCTCCACCTTAAGACAGCCAGAATCAGCACACACGAGAATCGCGAGTTTCAAAATACTTACAGTATCAATCGCCCTCTCAATCTCCAAAGTGAAGTGTTCCCCGATAAACACGCTGAGATCTAGGAAAGCAGCCGGTCGACATGTAAGGCAGCCAGATGCTGCTTCCAGGCATTCCGCAATCAAGAATGGATCTGAAACGACCTTGCTACAAGGGAGTTCACGAAGAGCATTCCTGGAGCGCTCCATAAACTCGATGAACCATGCATTTACTTCATATATCTTCCCATCACAAAGAGGCCAGGATAGGGGGTGATGAACGCAGTCATCACATTGGAACCATACCCAGCGTGATGCGAAGCCGGGAAACCAGGAGAAGTCGGCTGTCAATGAGCATGCAGCGACACTGCACTTTCGGTGGTACTGGAGGAGGCGATGATAGACAGAGGCAGGGATGTGTTCCAGCTCTTCGACGTAGGGAGTGAAGAAGGGTTGGCGGACTGTATACTTCGCAGCAATGCGAGCTTCATCCTCCAAACCATAACGGTATGCGATAGCGAATACGCGAAGTGGTTGATCGTCTAGAAATGCTTGTTGTACAAGCGATCCCTTGACTCTATTCATCAACCCCCTCATTCCGAACTTTCTCATCATCTCCAAGACGGCCTGTACATCGTTCAGGCTGCTAAATACGGGATTGGAAAAGGGGTAGCAATATTGCAGCACCCTCTCAGTTGTCTGAGCGTCTTCTTCGAGTTTGATAATAGTGTGATCGCCGTCGCACTTGAGGACGAGCCCTTCAAACGGCGGACATGGAGAGGACGACCCCGACAACAGAAAACGTTTCAAAAGCGGAGACGCAACGGCAAGGAAGATCTTATGGACAGCAAACTTTGCGTCGTCTGAGGTATGGATGATCAAATCTGCATCTATGGCATCAAAAGGAGCGCGGAACGGGGAAACTTTGACAGAAAGAGGCGCAGCCCCCAGGAATTGAGACATGGAGAAGTTTCTGGAATAGAGCGATAAAAGGTGAATGTAGATATTAAATCAGACGGGACAAGATATACCCTTCGTGTTGTGACTCGCGGATATGGCATGCAGTTGGCACGCCTGATCTTCATGGAGAATCTATTGAAAGTGCACTGCTTCACATTATTGACATAAGTACCTTGAGCGAATCACATCTCGTGAGGTCCTCCAGGCCTGGACGTTGCACTGACCAATGATCAAAAGGCACGCTGCCGCATGTCGTGGAGCTTTGTTGGGAGCGTGGTAACCGATGCAAGCATATTAGGTAGCAGTCAACGTGTAGGTTTGGTTAAAGTTCGATTGATTCAGTATTGTTGGGTCGAGCTGATAAGGTTTTTGCTTTTGAGCAGATCTGCAGGGCCTCTGGGAGACTTCAAGTTGGCGCCATAAAGTAGTTACGTAAGTACACCTTTTCGTTGTTGCAACGTTGATGCCCTTGATTTGAATGCACTGCAGCACACTAGAATTCTTCGATCAATCCACGTTCGACTCTCTACGAAGACAAATAAGAAATCGAGATCACCGAATTTTCCTGGGATACTGTTCGCCCAAGCTCTTCGCGACGCGATCCTGATCTGCCTGTCACCCACATTCTGGTTATGAGTCGCTCAGAAGTTCGTATCTGTGAAGTCATGCAGAGCACCCGTGTACAAGATATCAGTGGAGATTTTTGGGAAGCTTGCAGGAGCCGCATTCCTGTTCGACTTTCTCGCACTGGCAGCCAACTAAGGGCAATCTTAGGCGGTAATTTGAACTGGCAGACGGGCACCTACAAGGATGAATTTTATCAATGATCGACACAGTGATTCCTGTGACTGGCTTCAGCTCACACTCGAGCTAACGAGCAAATTGCAGTACTAGGGAATGGAAATGTACGAGTCATACAACCGTACCCTCTCCAAATTTCACAGATCTCGAAACTTCTTGGTCCTTGATGAAGACTCGGACAGGGATGCAGACATAGCAGTGGCACAACTACGGCAGTATCCCCGTGAATATCTACTACATACTCTTCTGTTCGTGGCTTTGTTTCCAATGCCTCAAACTACAGCTTCTCTTCATGTTTCGACGAAAAATTTTTAGGCAAGTTGCCGAGCGATTTTCGTAAGTATCGCAAACGGATATCGATCACACAGTCCACTCATGAAAGAATCTTATTTTAGTTAGTTCAGACCAGATAGCCATGACAATGAGGTTGAAATTTTTGAATGAGAGTGAGTTTTGAAAGATAAAACTTGCCAAGCGTTTCAGAACACGACGTCAGATGAAAGGGATTTCGAGCGGAGCCCACACATGGCGTTGACGCTGCGGGATCAAATGTTCAGTTCTTACAATATGTAGATATAAGTCGCAGATGGCGCTATTTATGTATGTACTGATATATCCACCAGATCCCAAAGTGACATTAAACACAATCTGTCATCGAAGAACCGACAGAAGGGGTATCCTTGTATCTTAGAAATGAGACCGCATGTCCTATATAGCTAGTGCTTCACTAAAGTGCATATCACTATGATCGATATATCATGGGACGCGCCATAGGTATACCCTTGTCCGAGAACTCGAGAATATGGGGATGTAGTCATGACGCAGATTCAGATTCAAAAGCACGGGTTCCCCGATGCTCTGAATACTGCGGCGGAAGTTCAATTAAACAATTGTGGTCTGGCACAATATCACCAGCATCGGTATGCACAATAATTTGACCAGGATGTCGGTAGGCTCTTTGCGTGCTAGTCGACGCCATGAATTGATTGCCATGTATAGTTGAGCTGTCTGTGTCAGGGCTCTGACGGATATTCTGTGTTTGATTGAAGGCTATGGGAGGATTCCTAACTGCGACGTTGCCGGAAGAGGTAGAGGTAGAAATTGATTGGGATCCGGGTTCAAGAGAAGGAGCAAGGTAGACAGGGAATATCTTCCGTGGCAATGGTGGTGCTGGTCGAGACCCAACAGCCATACGCTCGACGGGTGTTATATCCGACATCTGAATGTCTTCATAGGTAGCAGATTCTGTGTTGATAGTGCTCGGTTGGGATCCAGGTCGAATGGATGGACCAAGGTAGCTAACAGGATATGGTGATACCAATGGTGGACTGTCACTGTAAAGGCCAATTTCGTCTGTGTTCTGCACTCGAAAATAGCTTTTTGTAGGAGGCAGAAAGCGGGATGCTCTCCGTTTACGCCACAAGCATACGCCGAAGATGAACAATGCAGTAAGAACCGCTACACAACCGACCACCACGCCTGCTATAAGAGCAACATTGCTGCTTGATGGACTACTTGATGAACTGCTTGAAGGAGATGACGTGGTCGTGGCTGTGGCCAATATGCCTACAGTGGATGACGGCGAGACGGCGCTTATACACGAGAAATTACTCGACCCTATCACCCCATAGGACTCGGAGGTCCCACCTTGTTTACCCGTGGAGTCGGTGACAAAATACATGAGTTGCGTTTCTCCCTTGACATCTACAACCGAGGTAAAAGTTTCGTTATTGGAATAGAATACAGCTGGTTGTCCGCCGGGAATAAGTTGCTGTAGCAAGATGAGTAGATTGTTTCAATAAAATTCGCGATGATCTGACCACGATAGTAATAGGCAGGACTGCAGTGCCATTGACCGTAATGGTGAATTGACTACAATAGCAGTAGGTCAGTGCCACAAAAAGTAGACAAAGCAAACTTACCCGCATTGCGTCATCGGACTTGGAGTTGGATCTACGTCGAACGTGAAAGTAGGTGACAGATTTTGAATGATGCAATCGTTATTTCCAGAATTCCCAACAGTGAGTTCAATTGTCGTCCCACCCGAACCAAATCCGGTGGCGTCAGACATAGTGAGTAGAAACACTGTTCCTGCCGACAACGCTAATTGTGGTATTGAATAAGAGCCTACGCCATTGCTGAAGGTCGATGCTGGTACAGATACATTCTGATACGGTTTCAAAGACTGGAAGCACAAAAGGTTAGCACGCGATTGAAGGGCTTGAGACGATAGCGCCGACGGACGGGAGTTAAAAGTATTTGGAATGGTGCTTGCCCACCTGGCAATCCCGATAAACTTCAGCAGGAGCGCAAAGATTTACTAGATATGCGCCTACCAGTCCATGAGATGTTGAGAGGACCGCATTGAGTAGGAGTCCCAACAGTCACATTGAAAGCACGAGAAATAGAAAGACAGGAAGCAATACACGCAAAGAAGCAAACGAAGCGCATACTTCAGAAACGGGACAGGTAATAGGAAGACGGTAAGAAGAGATGCAGGTAAAGAGGGTTAGGGCACTCGAGGCGAGGGGAAATCGTGTCCTGGATAACGCTGCATATAGCCGAATACTATTTGACAGTGACCTGAACCTGGCGCAAGGCTGTTCGTGCTCATTAATACCACGCTGTCTTCGTATTTCTCTACTCATAAGTTTCCTTGAGCTCCCCCAAGAAAACTTCCGATGTTCGAAACACGGAAGCAAGAATGAGGGCTCGAGTCTTGCCCTTTGAAGTAGAACAGAAGTTACAGAATAGAAAGAGGTAAATGGGTGACCGTGACCTACTTGTAAACCCGTACTTAATGCCGTAATGAATGTCACTGATATGATGGTTTTGATGGACGCGACACCAAACCCTCGGGTCTGACATTCTACATTCCGGTAGGCCGTCTCTACGCCGGACAGCCAAGCGAAGCCAAGAGTGACCCAAGCAAAGACCAAGCAATATTTTCGAACCGGATAGAGTTGGTATTATGAAACCAAGGAGAAAATATGAAGAACGAACAAAAACCATTGAAGCTCTGATGAGCCAAAAATCAGACAAGATGGTGGTGGCAGACTTCCCCATACCGCAACCTTTGAAAACTCCTCGCATCCACCTCCATATACGAACTCTTCGCCTTCATCAATGCAACTCGGGGCGCCAAGGACCGCAGAATTGCTTCCGAGAAGGAGCTCGTCGTACCCAGAACGTCCTTCTCATTCTCATTGAGGCCCGCGAGCTCCGGTGACGAGGGAGGAGTAGTATGTGACGTGATGTACGAGTATTCACAGAAATCGCAAAATTGGGGAGTCGACATAGTGCTTTCTTGGACGAAAGGAGATGTAGATGAATCGATGGCCGTCTGTGGTGACTGGCAAGACCAGTAGATCGACTGATTACTAGAAGATGATCTCGTCGGAGCGGGTGTACGAGGATTCTCCTCGATATTGGCAGACTATGCATATGGAGTGAACACAATTCGTACGACTCACTAAAGGTGTACCAACCTTGAGCGCCTCTGCAACTGTGAGTCCCCCACGCCGGCCAATAGCTCGTGGAGACGGGTGTTGAGGGTTCTTGGAAGACACGGGGATAACTGCAACTTGCTTTGGCCAGCGGTCATGAAGTACCTGGAGTAGCCGTGGAACAACAAAATACTGTGGCTTGCAGAGAAAGGGATTGCCCTGGTTAGGTCGTTTGAGATAACCGCGGATGTACAGTTCTTCTTTGACAACTTCACTTGCTAAGGGGGCGAGATCGGAGACGTGGATGCTATGTAAACGTGTATGAGCATATGAAAACACCAAACAGAGAGATACAGACAGCTCATCCGCGGTAACGAAGGTATCGTCTGCATCTGCATCTGTCGTTGCCAACGAACTGAGAGAGTGGATAGTTATAGTAGCCTCCAAGACGTCAGACAGAAAGTTGTGTGATGGTCGGACACAGTTCGTAGAGAGAGGTCCAGGCTTCCCGAACAAAATCGTGCAGATCCTTGTGAGGTATCGGTATCGCATCGCAGTCTCGCCAGGTCGGTGGTTCGAATTCATAGCTTCCTCCTGCTTGCGCTGGCGGGCCACTTGGGGTAAGGTAAAAACCTCAGTTGTTCCAAGAGTTGAGTCGTACAGCGAAATACAAGCTAGCGAGGAACCGTTCGCAGGGAGGGATCCGTGCTTCCCAAACGAAATAGTGCAGAGTGATCTGATCTTTGCGAGGAATCGCATAGCATTGGTGCCAGGTTGGTGGTTCGAGTTTACAGCTTCCTCCTGGTGGGCCGCCCGGCGTGAGTTTGAAAGCTCCATTGTCACAAGAGTCGGGTCAGATGGCGAAATGCAAAGCTGATTGTGAATGATCGGAGGGTAGTTAATATTGATAATACCGCCATGTGGATAGTAAGTATCTGAAGGCATTATCGTGGGTAAGATAAACGAATGACGGGCAAGCGCGGTCGTAGAAGAACGCTTCATGGCGGCGGACATGGTGAACATGTGATTTTAACCTGAGTACTGAAGAGGTGAGTAGCATTACCGTTGGCTGACTTGATTGACCTCGGACATGGAGGCTGACTGGATATGTGCACCACAGATTCTCCAAAAAATACACAGTGGTGTATTGGTCGGTAAGGGCTCGGTCGCAAGCTACCGAGAAAGTAGCAGAAAGTTGCCATGGATCGACGTTAGTGGCCCAAGGGTAGGTAGTGGGGCGATTGGGTAATTCCGTTTCATGAGCTGAAGAGGCACAAACATGAATCAGACCACCATGAGAATCTTGATATGGTTAGCACAACGATTCATATCACGTCATGTTGACATATGACCTCTGCTCATGAGACATGTCTACATCCTGTCTAGTTTATATTCTCCAATGGATAAGGTGAAGGCGACCCTCATTTACCATACGCAAAAGTGGGACTCGTCTTGATAACACAAGGACTCAGATCATCAGTGATTGAGATGAGAGCAGGGAGCACAGTCAGTGGGTTTTCGAGGTATGAGAGCCGGGGAGGCGATGATATATGCGATGATAATATCATGGTACCGTGGACCGGGTGGGCGCTCGGCAATGCATGATATCGCACAGCCTTCGTAACAAGGGAGCTCGGCAATCCATGACTTTGTTAATCGCAAGAGTCCTGTACGTATGTAACGTGCTCATCCGAGTTGCTTCCCGGTCTGATTGCAAAACACAGCAAAGCACGAGAGTGTCGTATCATTACTTTTGTGAAAATTGTTATACGTTATAGAAGAATTATAGCAAGTCTCACCATATGATACTCGTCTGCGACGATTCTGCGACAACCGTGGTATGAATCACCTTGCAAGAGCACTCCTCACAACATTACTACAAAGTGCCAGCTCGACTTATCTCCGACAGCGCTTGAAAAGACTCGGCTAGCAGAAGAGGAAGGTGATAAATTCACCGCCAGCAGTTTTTTTTTGTGAAACACGCCATAAAGTGAATCGTACCATAAAATTTCCAAAGAAGATCAATTGCACGTTATATCATTTCGGGTCATCATGCTATATAACCTCTTACCTTTGCCTTCATATCCACACTCCATTCCTTGTCCTTCCATTCCAACACTACACAAATGGCCATTCCTCCCGTCTCCCTAGTCTCTTCTGAGCACGAAATTCCTCGTCCAAAGGATGTCGGTATCCTTGCAATGGAGGTCTACTTCCCCCAAAGGGTAATGTTTCTGCTATCAGTTCTATGTCGTACACATCCTCATCTTACGTCATTTCAGTGCATATCTGAGGCTGACCTCGAGGTCTTTGATGGTGTCCCAGCGGGAAAGTACACCATTGGTCTCGGCCAGGAATACATGGCTTGCTGCGATGACCGGGAAGACATCAACTCCTTTGCTCTCAATGGTATGTTTTACCCTCTCATTACATACACCCTTCTACATTCATATCTTGCTCCTTCCAGCTGTTTCCGGCCTTCTTGAGCGTTACGACATTGACCCCAAGTCCATTGGTCGCATCGACGTCGGAACTGAAACTATCATCGACAAATCAAAGTCTGTGAAGACCACCCTCATGGACCTCTTCTCTGAATCTGGTAACTTCGACATCGAAGGTATCGATTCCAAGAATGCATGCTATGGTTCCACTGCTGCGCTCTTCAACGCAGTCAACTGGGTTGAATCCACCTCGTGGGACGGCCGTAATGCTATTGTTGTTGGTGGTGACATTGCTATTTACGCTGAAGGTGCTGCACGTCCAGCCGGTGGTGCAGGTGCTGTTGCCCTTCTCATTGGTCCCAACGCACCTGTTGTCGTTGAACGTACGTTCATTCTATTTTACTTCGGACGTTATGGCTCGTTTCCATGATGCTCCTGGAGTGATGGTCATAGATCTGATATTCTATGTCGAAACTTACAGCGATACACGGTAATCACATGACAAACACATACGATTTCTACAAGCCCCGATTGGACTCGGAGTACCCCGAAGTCGACGGGCCTGTCTCAGTTACCACCTACACTTCAGCACTAGATGCTGCATACTCGCGCTTCCGTGAAAAGACTGCCAGAGCTAAGAAGGCTCACTTCAATGGTCATTCGAATGGCAAGGAATCGCTGACATCCTTCTCAATCGATGACATCGACTACGCTGTCTTCCACAGCCCATATGGCAAGCAAGTTCAAAAGGGTCTCGGTCGTCTTTTCTACAACGACTTCCTCGCAAATCCCTCCTCACCCTACTTCGTCAATGTCCCTAACCCTGAATCCGTCCTCGCAACCTCATACACCGCTTCCCTCACTGACAAGAACCTCGAGAAAACCTTCATTGGTGTATCAAAAGCAACATATGCCAAGAAAGTGGAGCCTGGAATGGCCTGCTCGAAACGGTTGGGCAACATGTACACGGGTTCCCTTTACGGCTGCCTTGCCTCTGTTCTGTCTTCCGTCACACCTTCCGAGCTTCTAGGCAAGCGTTTGAGCATGTTCGCATTCGGTTCTGGTTGTGCCGCCAGTTTCTTCACTCTCCATGTCAAGGGTGACACGTCAGAGATCCGGGGGAAGATGGACTTGCTCGCTCGCTTGGCAAGCATGAAGCTCGTGCCTTGCCAGGAGTACGTTGATGCCCTCACAGTAAGTCCAGCATTTGTTCGTTTTGATGCGAGTTAACTGATGTTTTCTCAAAGCTTCGCGAGAAAAACCACAACGCTGTGAACTACACACCAGAGGGTTCCATTGAGAACATTTGGCCTGGCACTTTCTACCTTGAGAGCGTGGACAGCAAGTTCCGTCGCAAATACGCACGTGCACCAAAGGCATGAGTGACTGCGTGCTTGGCGTCATCGGATATCCTTGCTTGATGATATCTGTTTCATGATATCTTTCAATTGGCTTGTTTGCATTGCATTTAGACGTATATACCCGACGCAGTAGTGTGATAGTATGTATACTTGTAGAGAAAGATGTTGAATTACTGCGGCGATAATACAATTCACGAGCATAAGATTCTTGGGAATGACTCTGTATCCGACCTGTGTCTGTCAGTTGTCGAACTTACTACTGAATCAATCTACGCTTAGGTGGAAGGTCATGGGTTTTTTACTAGGGCAAGCGGAGTCCCCCATTACAAATGACACATCAACAAACACCTGGTGCTTAGCCTACTCGCTACCTACCACAAACTTATAAACAGCATCATGTCAAGCGACATTCCGCAAAAACTATCGGTATCATTGCTCCAGAAATCCGAGTCGATTTAGAAACTATCCTCTACTCCATAGTTTGGGGTCCTTGAGGCTGAACTCAATTATGAGCCCCAAGTTGAGGGGTCAGCGGGACATGCTCCCCTATGACGGTATGAGGCACAAGAGGCGATGAGTTTGACTGACGACAAATTTCGAGCGTGTCCTGTTAGTGCCTTGACCTGACTATGTGCAGTATATTGAATACCATGCCAGCGGCAGGCCATCATGATAGCACGCATCTCTGCGGCCGAATATCTCGATTTACCAGCACGATTCGCGCATAAGATCAAACTGTCCTTTATTACCTACCCGAGTTTGGTGAGATATACTTGTTCTTCTATTCAGAGGAATCTATACTCTTAACGCGCCTCAAGTCAGCTGCAGATTAAACATTCGTTTTTTTTTCCAATAATTCGAAAATGTGTGGCCTATACAAGATATGATCGATCGATTTCTTCGGCACAACAGTGCTTATTCCAAGTATCGTCCTATCATCCTGACGTGAGGTAGAGGTGACGGCGATGATTTGACTGACATTGATGACAGCGGAGATGGAGATGACAAAGAACAGGGTGAACTTGGGAAGATGAAGAAAATGATGGTCGCCGCAATGAAGTAAGTTACAGCTATTCTGGCTATGCAATACAGTGTATTAACCTTATATTTTAGTATGATAGGATGATTCAGGTCAACTCGCCGAATGTCCTCACGAGCCTAGCAATCAATTAATCACCCCTCAGCCACTAAGAATGGCACTCAGGGAAGCTTCCTTTTTTTTTTTTTTCGCATTGTCACTCGGCTACATACTTACGTGTGTTGACAGAGCCAAAAACAGTCTTGACACTGCCAGTATAATCCCACAGCATGTCAACAATAGAAAACACCTCGCTGTTTACTTTCCGTCGGTACCCAACCTGATCTCTTTCCGGTTGAAGATCCGGTCGAAGTGTCTAGATTTGCGCTGTCCAAGAAACGTCTTATCGAGGTACGTCTCGCTTCTGACCACAGAATGCTGACGAGCCCATGGTGTCGATCTCACGGTATATCTCACTATAAAACTAGCTAGTTAGAGTTATTGAAAGGACAAGGGTCGCACGTCGGCTTCAGGAACAAGGCAGATTCGTATCAGTTACGCATACTCAACTATTGCGACCCCCGACTGTCTTGCAGAAGCACACGATACCAGCGAACGCACGAGCCTCGAGGAAACTGATGTGACAACTTCAAACGAGAACACGGATTCCGTTGCGCGGACGCTAACCTTGTGCGGGACACTTGCACAGACTCGAATGTAAATGTAAATGATTGTTTTTTGTATCTATCAAGAAAGAATATGTAGGACCCTCTCGCATCTCTGGATCTCCGGAGTCATGAGTGAGCCGTACCCGAGAAATGATCACTATACATTCAGAACAGTTGCAATGGTATTCAGAAGTATAAAATATGTCCAGTCGTCCTATCAGTGAACCTCTTCCGCAGTTGATGTATAAAAATTCTGTAGAGGTGTCTGTTGCTATCGAAGGCAGCATAATGTCACTGAACATTGAACATCCGTAAATACACAGTACACCCACTGAAGCAGTACATATATGCATAGATACAAACATCGGCCCTCTACTACTTCACCCCATATGTTTTCCTTCACTCTGGCCAGAATCATGCGTAGTCCATTTCGTGCTGCTCGTGTGTCGTGGGCCATGTCCAACACATGCAATCTTCGAACACTGTACTGTTATATGTACACTCTTCACTGGCATGTGTGTCCCAAATGCTGATAATCAGACGGGGTGCAATAATAAATGGTGCGCTATTGATGAACCCCTCCGAGAGGCTCATCACTGCCGGCTGTTGGAGTACTCATTAGGACTGATCTTTATAGAATAACGACATCATCATACCGGAATGTTGGCCCATAACACCACCATTAAGACTTGGTTTGTCAAATTCCTAGCGGGATTTTATGAATAACGGGGAACCAATTAGACGAAGGCAAACTTACAGGAAGAAGTATATGATGTGACATCGAACGATCAGAATTACATATGTGTTAGGCTCCACTTGTATCCCTCTTCGTTCTCTAAGGTGTCTCACAAGGTTGAGAACGGCGAGAACAACCAGGAATATATCGAAGCATACGACCGGGATGGAAGCATAGATCGCAGGCATAGGCCCTATGTTGAAGGAAGCTGTGCAGTAATTGACATTCGGAGTTACTATTTGTTTCACTATATAACGAGACGTCAGCTTGTGCACAAATCGATTCAAGTAAAACTTCACCAGAGAATGCTTTGGGTCGACTATATAAGTATATGTCGATCCCTATCGAGAGCGCGGCGATAAGGAGGAACATCCCAACCAGCAAATATAGTATGAACTTGGATCGGTTATATAAAGCGTAAAGACGCCAGATGAGAATGACTGCAGATGGAAAATTGGTACGTACGATGAGATACAAGAATGTATGACTTACTCTCTGCCAACAAAAAATAAATTGTAAAGCCCCATTCCAATAGAACAGCAAGAATGTAGCCTGTTTCGCCTGCTAAGCAAATGCAAGTTCAAGTTGAAGGCAGTATACTTGCAACTAAATAAGACGTCAGTCCCCAGGCTCAGCAGTTGAATGAACTTCTAACGTACGGCTGAATCTAGATCAACCCAGAATCCTTTAGAAAAAGAAAGCATAGATACACTCACCCGTTCGGGAATGTACATTAGCCCTCCCCCTAGTGCTAGTCAGATAATGATAGCTCAATTGCTACAGCATCACATACAGCAGGCGCAAAGCCTAGGGCCAGTGTCAACCTACAATGTAGCAACTGAAAGACACAAACGCCGCGACATACATTGCAAGGAAAAGACCAAGATATCGAACCTGGCATAACCACAAAATAAAAAATCACGAAGCACTTTGACAAGGCGGAACTCACAGCGAGGTAAAGGTACGTCATCGGTGACCATTTTCTTGTCTGTATATATAAATGATTCAGTTTCCGGAACTTGATATCACCGGGAACTGAACGCCTACCCAAACAAATTTGACCTATGACAATTTGAGCATAAGGACTTGATCTAGAAAACAAGCGTATCGTTACCTCTTTCTCGAAGTGAAGCACTAGATAATAAGTTGTGCTTAGTCGCAGTGCAACATGAATGTTTGTTAAAGCTACGGACCGTACTCGTAGGATACCAATCCAAAGATCATTACTGGAAAACGATGAAGTTCAGCATGATGCTTCGTCCACGAACGAGTTGACGAACTTGCTATGTTGTTGTTCCATCGCAGAGCATAGGCAACTTCTTCGTCCGACATGAGATTTGTGCAGATCTGTTAGCGAATTTCAGGGTGAGCGCGATGTTCTGTCGATGGTCTAGACACTTATAAACCACAGAGTTTCGTTATCTCGCCAGGGTTAGTGGTTGAATGGAAACTGTACAACATGTTACGAATTTGTGTCGCCACACTTTTTGTCGGTATCACGACATTCTCAACACTTAGCTACATGTCAACAGGAGAGTCAAAGGATATCGATACTCACACGACTGACAATGGTTAGATCTCAGATCGGTACATATTTTGCTCATGTTCAGGTGCTTATCTGGCCCTACATAGACAGGAAAACATGAGATGAAGTCCCACCTATCATCTGAAGCTTTGCATGTGCCAGTGGACCATAAACTGAGCGCTTGCAGGCTGATACCATTTTGCCGCCGTATGGCAAACCAATCCCTTGGATATGATGTCCTCGAGTGTGTGTGAACCTGCGTAAACTGGGAGGACATCGGCCATCAGCGAAAATATCTATCTTAGTGTTATGGGAAAATAACCACCTCGGCTGTATGTGGGGTGCGAGTGAGGACCTAGGCCTTCGGGGCACAAACGGAAGGCAGATACGACAGGTCACAGGAGTGATACTCAGGCCCGAGAGAGTGTAGGGCCTTGAGCCTTGAGTGAATTGTGCACTTGTGCAGGTGGGCTAACCTCTAACACACTAGGTCAGTCATTGATGTGTGCACCGGCCGGGCAGAGGGTATTCGTTCAAGTGATAATGTACCCGACCAGTGTACCCGACCAGTTGATCGTTTCTCGTGCTACACTCCACCGTGTACGTGCTCCAATCATAGCAGCCCCTTCGTCGGAGTTAGCCACGAGCTTAGCGGTAGGTCGAGCGCCGAGAATGAGGCGTAGCTCGAGTGCAATCTGAATGAACAAGGAAATTTGGAAGGTGACATGGGATTTTGGTTCCCACAAAAGTTATGTTCTGCAGAAATGATGAGTGATCAGATGCAGACTCATCAATCACAGGTGTGGTCGATCCTGTACTTAGACTCGGATGATCGTCGCAGTTCATGGAAGTATTTTATGGCGATCCAAACATGGCAAAACTTCCCACGCAGTGGCTTCCAAAACTGGTCACAGACTGTCGGCAATTTGTTCCCAAATTGACATCGACGTGGTGATGCAGCAAGGTTGCAAGTGGTTGTATTGAACCAACAAGCAGGTCAGGAATCTCACCCATCCGATACGTAGAAATACGGTTGTTCGGACTGGAATAGTCGCCAGTCACCGAGATCCCTGCCTGCTGCCAGTTGGCAAAAATAAAACACGTTACTCGTATGAAGGCATTAATTGTAACAGACTCGAGGCAAACTCGAGGGACCAAAGTTGCCTCTGCTCGAAATCACTTGTTGTCCTCGTGATATGGGGTTCCACTCACCAAACCTGTTCAAGCCATAAATCATTAATCATTCTTAGTAAGAGGAACGACGGGAAATTTTGTCTCAAGCAATGGGAAAAAGCGCTGAGTCACAAGTATGTCCCACTCGGCGGCGCCCAGAGATTTCTTGTCTGCTCTCATGATACCGCTCATATAAGAACACATGCCATATGCGCATGGTGGCTTGTGTACACATGGCGTTGTTGCAGGGTTACGGATGTCTTATACTATGGTTCAGGGGGTCAATATATAATCATGGCCAAAGTTTGTAGTGAACTTAACGACGACTGAACTGGGTGTGACAACCACGAGGGACAAAATGTAAGACAAACTCAACATCACCAAGATTCAGCTCGACCAATAGATACCGTACATTTCTTCAAAGATAACCGCGAAAGACAAAACCAAAAGACGTAGCTAGGAAATAAAGTGCAGTTTTGAAAACGGTTAGTGACCATGAACAAAAGCCTAATGGCATCTCTAACGTACAAAACATGCGCATGGACTGTGAACGCAGATCAATGTCAATGAAATCGCACATAATTCAACAACAAAGGAATGCGTACCACGTCGACATGTTCACACCATTAAGTTGAGCCAAGAGAAACTCCCGAACACGCTCGAGCAATCCTTCAACCAACTTTCTATGAACGTGCCGGCTCCCCTTTTTCCAGAATCCTGTTCTAACTTCACAATCTCTCCGGCGACGTCGTCTCCATATTCTGCACAGAGTTGCTTTAGGATGATGTCCCGACTTAATCCAGGATATTTGCTCATGAGCTTGAGCATATACTCCCCTAGAGCATTAACGCCCACAGTATTAGTTGGCTGCGTCAGGACTACACCGCGATTGATTCGGAAGATCATTTTCGCGCCTAGATCGTCGATCACAAAGCGAACTCGTTCGCCACTCGCAGTAAAAAGGAAGTACTCGGCATCTTTGTCGGCCTCGAGCATCTCGGCTTGACGCTCCGCAGCAGGAGAACGTTTGCCCTTGCACGGATTCACTCCGATGTTTCTGAGAGTGATCCCATCCTTTGGGAGGTTACGTATCAGGTTGGCGACGGGATCCGAGTCGCTAAATGCCCAAAGGGAGTCTCCCTTTGTCCCGCTCAGACCCTGTGTCACTCTCTTTTTACCACAAGCCTTTTTGTGAACGGACCAGTGTTCTTTCTGGCAGGATCTAGCGTATGCAACATCGTGAGGGAATTATGAAGAAGACGGAATTATAGGATTACTACGCACTGAGAACAATAGTGTACCTCGAATTTGAGTTTTGATTTGCAAAGACTGCATACCATGAAGCGAACACCTTCTCCGATGTCTTCTGGCATTTTCGTGCAGTTTTCGCAGCGGATAACGGGTTTATCCCTTAAAGTCGTTTTGACCTGTGCAATAGATCGAGCGACATATCCCTTTGAATTCTCCATTAGGTGCAGGACATTTTTCATCCCCTCACCACGACCGGTAATGTCCTTTAGGATCGACGACGTTGAAAACAGAGCAAAATGCCCTGTTCATTGAATGTTAGACTCGCATGATGTTCTATGAGCGGGAAACACTCACCGATAAACTTATTCCTATTGATAGTCGCGACTTCGAACATAATCTTTGTGCTTCGGGATCGCTGTCTTGGAGGTGGTGAAACATCCGAGGCTTGTCCCCACCATGGGTTTGGCAGGTCCGAAGCCTGTTCCCACCACGAGTTTGGTAGGAATGCTGGTATATTGGACGACTTGGATGTCTCCAGGACACGAGTGAGAAAATCGATGAAGCCCTTCCCGCCTTGCGATAGGAGGTTCGAAACCGTAACCTCTGGGCAAAGAGCACGACAATCTTGCCCCCAGAGCGTAAGTGCGTTAGATGCTCCCTTCAGACCTTCAAGGAGATGTCTCCTCTGTTCAACGGCATTCAACAATAACCAGATGGTGTCAAAGTGGCCGTCGTTTAACAGCTTGTCCAGGATGTCAGTTGCGACTTTTTGGAAGTCGCGGAGAATTTTGTGGAGGTACTCGACGTGATCAGGAGTAAAGACAGAATCGTCTAGAAAACAAGACATTTCCTTGAGGACGTCTGCTGCAGTGGAAGATGCAATCGCCGCCTCCCACTCCTTATCCCACTTGAACGCGTCCTGCTTAACATCAGTTATGTTAAATTTCTTGGACAAGAGTGGAGGAAGAAATTCTATAGGTTTCTCTATAGCGTTGTCGTCCTTGATTTCTGATGCCATCGCTAGATGATGATTGACGGGTATGAAAGATCAGGGATATCGACCAGACGCATTTTAAAGCTAACGCCCCAGATGATAATCGGATACCATCATATCGATAATCGAATTGCAAGCCTGAGGAATGGTGCATGATCAACGATGATTGTCTATAAAGAGAAGGTCATCATCTTGCAGACGTAAAGTCTGCGCAGACTATGCTCTGTATGAGGGTAAAGTACTTACCTACAACATGCACGAGGCGCGTGATCGTCTATAAAGAGCAGGTCGCCATCTTCCAGACTTCAAGTCTGCCTCTGTATGAGGTAAAGTACTCACTTATGACCCATATCATGCACGAGGTGCGTTCAAGTTCTATTCATTAGTATGTATGCGGTAACACCGTGGCCTCATGACTGGCGTCAGACGCAAGGGAAATTCAAACTCCTCCGAGTCAACTCCAATTACAATTACATAAACGGCCCCAAATTTCTGATTGTCTAGAATTTCATTGCTACATAGTATCGTGCGTAGATGAAACAATGGATATAACGCGACCAGAATACAGACGTAATATAGCGTCATGTCATGATCTTATCTCGTTTTGAACTTTCTTTGTTGCCAGCTCCTTTTCAAGCCAGGCAGAGACTTCTCTGGCCGCCTCCCAAGGCCTGCTCTTCTGCGACATTAAATAACCTTGCAGAGCAGCCATAGACACCTCACGTTCCGGAATAGCTGACGCAAACTGTGCAGCAAGCGCAGAAAGCTGTTCGCTCGAAAGTTGTGGTGCATGTCCATGATGGCGCGTGCCTTTGTACGTCGGAGCCACGCGCTCAGATTTTTCAGAACAGGAAGAGGAAGGGGAGTCGGTAGTGTCGGGGACATCAAGATCAATTAGGTTAGAGGAACCTCCGTCACATGTAGAGCGATTGGGATGGGACTGAGCAGGATTTGAATTTGGTTCTTGAACGTTATCTGCGGGGGTCTTGGGCGAGGAAGAAAGGTAAAAACGCTTGAACAGCTCGTCTGCCTGATATCTGCTCGCAAGCTTAAATTCAATGTGGAGGTCCATACGACCCGGACGACACAGAGCAGGGTCAAGAGAGGAATACTTGTTCGTGGTAGCAAACAGTATCCGCCCCTCTTGTGCGCCAATGCCGTCTAATGCGTTAAGTAGACCGCTAAGCGAAACCTTGCTAGTAGTGTGTGTGGGCAGAGAGCTGTGGATGGGCTCGGCGGTTTGCTTTGGTGGTGTGGGAGCATCCTCCCGCGAAAGACTATTATGGAGAGCGGCGTCGATGTCTTCCATGAGCGCGATACATCTCTCAGGCAAATCTGAAATGAGTTCAGAAAGTCCAGTGTCGTCAAGGCCGCTGCGGGAGAGGGAGATGATGTAGACATCAAGTTCCAGTTCGCCCGCGATACTATGAATCAGTGATGTTTTTCCTGAGCCAGGTGCACCATACTGCAATGGAAATTAGATGAGCTTCATAAAAGAACTTTTCAGATGAAAGCATCCTACCAGCAGGTAACCACGGCGGAACGGAATTCCTAGAAGCAGGTTCAGTTGAATATTGACAACTTGACTCCAAGTCCAAACTTTCAAAGCAACGTACCTCGTTCAGCATACCACCTCTTACTATCAAGGAAATCTTGCGCGTCCTCAACAACAAGTTCCCGAATTCCAGGATCTAGGATAATAGAATCTAGAGGCCGCTTGCGTCTTGTAGCAAGTTCTCTCCAGCAATTCGTGCTGAAACGCGTCAAAAAGGAAGGACATCAAAATTTTGGTGGGACTCACGAATCAGAAACATAGACAGTAATAGAGCTACCCTGCGCATCCAGATAAGCCTTTTTGGCTTCTTGTAGGATATCATTTAGAATATTATGGTTGCGCGTGAAGATGCTGTTTAGCAGTAGATAAAACAGACGATTAAACCAATGTTTGAGAAAAGTTTACCTAATATTCAACGAGTCCCTTTGGTTGGGGCCCCAGCCAGGTATTTGCTCTGAAACACGGGTAATCCGCATCCATGTGTATTTGTACCATAAAGTATAAGACCCGGAGACTGCTGGCAGGAAAGAGACTTTGGGCAATCCGGATCGATCAGGCTCCTCTTCGGAAAGAGATGCATTCCCCGAATACCTTTGGGTGGTACTAATATTTACGTTACGCACATTCTCTGTGGACCAAGAGAAATTATTCAAAATAACATGGAAATGGTTGATCAAAGGGCTTACTCCAGGATGGTTGCTTCGATAGCCAGATCATCATCCATTCTGTCAAAATGACAACCGCTTGTTATTGTTTACCATGTAATCGACCAAATGTCACTCACTGTAACTGTCATCGTAATCCTCAAATGTTGCGGTGATAAAGAAAGAATCGATCGTGGACGACCAGAGTGTGGCAAGGAGGCGTCGACATGTCTCGAAAAAGCTACCAATGATCAAAAGCTTCGCCCAGTCTCTCAGAGCAGAAATTGAAAGAATGAACGAGATCAATGGGCCGAATCCATCCAAAGCAGCAGGTGCCGTCATATGCGGCGAGGTGGCATCGGTAGTCGTTGTAGCGTTTGGACTTGAAGTATTCGAGGCTGCAAACTGTAGAAGCTGCTCGACGAGGTCTGGGATGGACGCCAGCTTGGACTAAAAAAAATTGGGAATAAAGGGATATGATGCTTAGAATACTGTACACAGCTCCATAGACCATTTTATATCAACCGCGGCTGCCGGACCCTCAGGCTGTTTTGACAGAGGAATCAAGATGACTCGAGCGTGACTCAAAGCGCTGAATAGCGTGTAATAAGTAGCGCTCGCTGACATGGATTTAGATTACCAAGGCTACAGCTAGCTGAACACGTTTTTGATGCGATGGATATTATTTGAAAAGAAAGAATAGAGGCAGAAAAGTCACGATAGTCACGGACTCGGAGTTAATTTTAGCGTGTTGATCCGCTACAGCAAGTCGGACAATTCAAGTCTCCGCTATTGACCACTCACAGTCAGCTGATCAAATTCTTTGGCTTCTCGGTATCTTCGCTAGGCTTTACACCACTATCATGACAGATATAGCCGCCCAACGCGTTTCCTTGGACCTGACACATGTACTCTGTGCGTTAAAAACAGCCCACGTTCCTCGACCCTTGCCAACTTACAGGTCCAGATGATCCTTCTTCAGACACTTCCTTGGTGCTTGCACTGCTGACGCTGAGTCCAATCCTTTTGATGGTGAGAGCTCAATCATACGCCGCAGCTTCAAGCTCGCGAGCGCTGATACGCCACGACAGCCTGCCTATGCAGTACTCGCAGTATATACCCGTGAATTGACCATCATCAACATGTGGGCAGGACAATTCCTTTCAGAGGGTTTGAATCTGGTGCTAAAGCGCATTATCAAGGAGGAGCGTCCAGCTGGTATGTGTTCGTTTCCTAAACCATTCCCACGTAAAGCTGTGTCTCAGTCCAAGATGGTCCTTGAAATATTTATGATCAGATAGCCAGCTTCACCTCAATGGTTACGGCTTTCCCTCGTCGCACAGCCAGTATATGGGATATTTTTCTGCATTTCTGATCTGTCACGTATATTTTCGACACCGGTTTGCATCCACAGGATTCACCGTGCTCGATCAGCTTTGCCGAATAGTCGTCTACCTTGGACTAGTTACGTGGTGTGCCATCGTTGCCTATTCAAGGTGAGATTCTAGCGGGAATCGTTGACACAGTGGCTTGGGCGCTCAACGTCTTGTCAGACTCATCTTGCTATATCATACGCCGCATCAGGTTAAATGGGGCCTAGGGATTGGCATAGCAATGGGTATTTTACATTATGCGTGTACCGAACTACTCCCAGCTAAATTCCCCGACTCTATGTTTGGACGATTTCGATCTGCCATCGTAGATCACCCGATAAGCGTGTGGCTACAGCTAAGGGATGGTTGGGGCGTCTGGCCGGATGGTGGGAGAGAAGCTGAGTGGAAACAATGGAGAACTGAATGGCTGAAGCGGCATTCATGTCGAGCAGGGAAGAAGATGGCATAAGTTTTACCCTATCTTTCATCCATCAGATACATGATCACGCACCATAGCTTGGATTTTACCTGCCCCAGTTCATATCAATTTTTAGTATGGACGCCACAACCTGTCCGAGGCGAATGATTCCTCATGAGCAAAAGAACTTTTCCTCGTGAAGCCTAAACTGAGCACTGAAACAACTTGTTTGGTCTGTCTACGAGACTAGCCATCTCGGGTAGTTTGTTATCACCCTAGACTTGACTTCACACACCTTCCACATGACTCAAACATACGCTTTGTGACTCCTTTCACTAATAGTTTGCAAAGACTTCTAGTTGCATCGGCAGATCTTCTGCACCAATTCCAAGGATGTTATGCCAACTTCACCCCCTCGAGATTAACCCCAAAACTGGGGAACCATTCCTCCGGCTTGGAGCACCATACCAGAATATCATTCTCACCCCACCTCGACAGGGAGATCAGTCCGTACTCATACAGCATATGAACGATCCGGCTATTTACAGATGGTTAGAGAGACCCCCAGTGCCATATCTACCGGAACATGCGGACACTTGGTTTCAGATTGTAAAAAAGGAATCGGATGCTACTTTGGAATTTCTACGAAAGAGCACGCAAGATTTCCCTGATGGTCCGCTTCAGTTCGTAGATACATGCCCTGTGCGGTATCTGAGGGAAGTCAAAGAGGACGGGACGGACGTCATCCTGGGAGATGTGAGTTTTAGAAGAAGTCCATTCGAGGAGATACTAGACGAAGTAGAACGGAAGCAAATGCAGGAAGATAATGCGAAAAAGCAAGCAGGCGACCCAACGATTCAGTATGCTATTGGAGGTATGTTGGTTCTCGGGACCTATGACGGGAGTTGATCATATTTTCGTTTGAGATAGACTGGCTTGCTGCGAGCCACCACGGAAGGGGTATCATGACTGCAGCGATCGGTCTCTTGATGGCCGCTTGGGCAATTCCTAGGATGGGAGTCCGCCATGTTGTAGCGCATACTTTTGCTGGGAACATTGGTAGCAACCGAGTTTTTGAGAAGAACGGGTTCGTGAACAGAGGGTTGTTCGACAATGGGAAGATAGCTAGAGGCGAGAGGAAGGTAATGACCCTTCTTGAGTGGAAAAATAAGGAGGAGACGTGACGGTATTTCTTGTTTATTAGTGATCACGTGCAATCAGACTCGGTTAGATAAGATCTGAAAATTCGATGGTTTTTCTACGATGATGATCACAAGTGGACAAGCTTGAGCACAAGCATACCATACATTACCTTACCATGCTCATTCGTGACAATCGAGCCATGAGCCCATGCAATTTATACATCCTCCCTCTCTGTTGCCCGGATGGAGGAGAATGCACCTCAGACTAATCAGCAATAAGCTGTATGGGCTTCAGGTTCACAGTTGCTTCTTCATCTGTCACTGTGTGCTCAGACAAAGGAATGCCATGTAGAGTCAGTTTTTTTGTTAATCTATACTATTCTCACTCATTTCAGTATTGGGCATAAAGGGTTGAGTTGGCTGCGAGACATTCCAAATAATTCCAGCTTGCCATTTGGATTGGTATACATAAACTTCAATCTAAATATGCTTCAAAACACCATATGTTCAATAAATACTACAACGTATCCTCAGCCAAATTTCTCCTCCCTGCAGACCACTCGCTATGTATGTCCCTACACAGTACTGCTAGTCGTTACATGTACATGCTCCTGGAAGACAATCGAATTCATGCTAGTTTCTGTGTCAGAGTTGACCACAAGTTTGGCATGATATTCTTGAACACTAAGGATCAGGCGTGGTCCCAGCATAAACATCTGCACACCCAATAAAATTCCAAGAGCACCGTAGAGTGTCATAGCTCCAGTAGAATGTGAATTCTTCAGAAACAGTGAGAAATGTTTATATGCAGATGTCGGCGGTAGGTCAACGCACAGAGATCTTTGGAGAGATATAAACAAGCTGGAGGCAAGAAACACAAACAAAGCTAGCACGTGGGACTTTAGCAGAAAACTGATCACAATAACATGGCAAGCTCACCTTGCAAAATCAAGCATGTGAGATTGTATCAGCACTTTAGAACAGTCTCTGATGGTCGTTCCTGTCAATTGGCCGAGTCTTCGCAGCTCATGGAAGTGTTTCACAGCAACCCAGGCTGAAAGACACAGTGTGAGGACCTCCCAAACAGTGTTGAGCATCCTAACCATTGAAGCAAAAAGCTGGAGGTGCGCAACATATAAATAATTGCACATATATGTGCCAGAGAGTATTAGCTCCTCTGGCATTCATCCAAATGAGCTGTGTCCTTCAAGTTGACAAGTAAGCTCACCTGCTACACTATCCTTGAGTAGGGATCTGCATGGGTATGGGTAACCCGCGCAGGTCACGGGTACGGGTACCTCCGGGGTATGGGTACGGGTCTGGGGTCATGGTACCCATGACCCGGAGGTACCCCTGCCACAGGTTTTCGATGAAAATGGGTGCCATGCGAGCAATATATTTCAACTACCTAAACAAGGAACTGTATAGTTGGTGAACTGTCAAACTCTAAAGACTATAGTAATCCTACACATTTGCAAACCTTCACCTACTAGTACTGCCCATCATGCAGCTCATGTTCGTACTGACTAAATCTTAGAGTGACAACATTTTTGACAACCTCCCAGCACTCGCAGCCCCCAAACCTACTGACTTGGGCTCAGAACTCGACCGTTATCTTAGTACGGACGTGGAACGTGTCACCAACCCTATCGGTTGGTGGAATGAATGTCGCAAATTGTTCCCCCGGCTGTCATGCATGGCAATTGACTATCTAACCATCCCTGGTATGTAGCGTTTTTCTTTAATACATTGTAAGCTCACACGTCAGAAATCATTTATCGGCGCAGTCAACTCATGTGCTGCTTTGTGTCGGTTTATGGAGCGAGTTGGGCCTGGTCAAAGATGAGGATATCATTCATGTTTCTAAGCTCCCAGATGTTGTTGGCAAAGAGGAAGCAATGGATGAGGGCTGGGACAGAATTAATATCCAGGTAGAATAATCACATTTGTTTTCGTTATCTCATGCTATTGATTATTTTGTGCGTGTTCATCATCTCTTTGTTTTGTGCGTGTTCTTTCTCGTGACCCGCGGGTATACCCCTTGAGGGTAATACCCCAGGTCCGTTATGTTGATACCTGCACAAAAACCTGCACCCGCACGACGGGTATGGGTATATCTCCGGGTACGGGTATGACTGCCCGTACCCGTGGGTTTACCCGTGCAGTTCCCTATCCTTGAGTACTATTGCCACCAAGACCCCACAGGCGATGTTTATGGCCAGGAACATGATAACAAGGAAGAGAAGCATCATTCTTGATCCCTGATACATGGCATGTAACCGGGCAATCATGATGACTTGCATCATGTTTCAGTTGAGTCAATATCACAGAGGTATTGAGCTAGGTAACCCACCACACAACATGGCAGTTATGACCATGTTTATGCCATTCACTGCATAGTATGATATATTGCCTGAAACACCCAATTAGTGATTGGCCTCAGTTATTAGTATCAAACACCAACTCACACCTGTGTAGTCATTATGTTGAGTCAGGTTCAATGTTCAGAATCTTGACTCACCCCTACAAATGCCACTGAGACCGATGGCATACTTACTGTGTGCCACTGGCTAGAAGAATCGAACAGAGCACATATGATACATACTTAGAATTTTGGCACTGATTGTCAGAGATGAGCATTAGAATGGTGCCAAGTTGTTGGCCTCGACACATACACAACATATGATATTCCAATATAACATATCTGGCACATTTGGAGTCAGCACGACTTGCCAGCCACACTATAGCACAACATGAGGTACAAACAAGCAAATACAACACAGTCATGAAAAACCATCATTGCCTCTGTCGCGAATTTGTTGTATTATCTTCTTTGCTGCTGATACGTGTTACAAGAACATCTAGACGCTTGGGCCCCTACTATTTTTCTCCTAATCCTCCTCGTATCAGCCCTCGCATCATACCCTTACCCCGACCTTACCCTTGTCATCCTCGTCATCCTCACATTCCCTTTCGCCCTCTACCTGTCGCTTCAGCAAAGCCAGTACATTTGGCCGGATCCTTTCGCTGACGAAGCATACCCATGCTCCGTTTCACCACCTGACTGATCCTGCGGACAGTCCCCTTTGCCCTTACTGTCTGGACGGTAACCTATGACATGATGCACGACGCATCCCCTTTGCCCCGTTTCCTTTCTTGATCTCTGACTCGGTGCGCAGTCGCACATGCGACTTATACTTAGATCCGCAGCTGCACAATCGTGCCCCTGCGCGTTTCACTTCTTAGTCCGATCTTTGACTCACTTTCTTATCTAGCACGTTCTACCTAGACCGAACGTGCCTTCCTTTTATGGTCTTACCCTCTATCAATTGCCTCTCCCGGTAGTACGAGTATCATCCACTCATACGTCTCCTGTCCTCTATATAAACTCGCTACCATGTACTATATTCCCTAACTTGAATCTACTTGGTTCTTGACCTCCTACTCTCACCAGAGTGATCCTTCTGCCTCGCCAGCAGTCTATATTCTATCTTCTTATCTGCTCTTCGCGGATAAGCCTATAGTCTCGACCTTTACTCATCGACTTCGTCGACGAGCAAAGCCCCTGTTAACTAGTCGGACTTCTGTCCTTCTAATTAACGACGATCCTTACGATTAACCTTCGGGTGTCGTAAGCCTAGGCCGATATAGCTTATCGTCTCGCACCCGCGTGACATAAGCTACCCGATTTGGACATAGGCATCAAATCGTACTTGCCGAAGACACGCCAAGTACGACCCCTAACCTTGGGCTAGCCCAAGGACGTCCTCGACCGTTGACGACACACGCTCTGTTTGAGCGTCGCCAACAGATACCATCCAAGTCGTAACAATACGGGACTCTCGTCACTTACCCAGATAAGTTCAATCTATGACACCATTCTTAGCGAGTTGGCTGCTCTGGCAATAATATTGACCTACCTCTTGTTCAATTGTTAGTGCTAGAAATATTATGAGAAGGTCAGCAGTTTTTGAACACTGTCCTGCTCACCCCAATCATATACCACCACTATGGCAGCGGCAACTGCAAAACAGGATGTTAATGTTAGATCAAGACATCTTGACATGACAAACCTGTCCAATAGCTGAAATCAGTGTTCAAGCTGATTATTGGCCACAAACTGAGATCATTTATGACTACAGTCATATTCGAGGATGAGTATGGGCGAATGGGGAATGTTGGCGGTGAACAACAATAGCATTGATGTTAGATATACCCTCGTCCAGCCCTTCCACTGCCAAAATTTGCATGATGGAGATGGATCCTTGATCAAGTATTGCGGTGAGGAATTGTACAAAAGGAAGCCCTCAACACAGGTCCCAGGTGTGATGTGATTGAAACGAGCACCAGAGAGGTCAGAGTGACACAGAATGGGTCGAATATGTCTTGCCTTATGTGTCGCCTCATACAGCTATCATGATTATATATGAAGACAACAAACAAAGAGATGGTAAGCATGATAGAGCCAATCTGATGCAAAACAGCCAGATACATACATCCTTATTTGTGATTGATATTTGTTGAATACTTATGTAGCGCCATCTCAAAGTCACAAGGTAAATTGCATATGGGAGAGAAGAAGCCTACATCATGGGCCAAATAAGTATTGCAGTACTTGCGAAAGCAAGCAAGAGAGGAAGCCTGCCCTTGTTAATCAAATTAGAATGTGATTTGTAAATCAGTATCTATGCATGTGCCAACTAGTCGGACACTCACATGCTTGAGGCGGAAAGTTCCAGTTGTTGGCGATGTTGGTGACTCATTTCCAACAACAGTGTCACAGGACCTTTATCATGCTCAGGAATGTCATGAGCATGCTCTGAAAGCTGCACCGTAATCTGATTGCTCCACATTGCACATGCATAGTACCTACATCAACAAATTGAGATATTGTGGTGGTGATATTGGCACTTTTCTGCCATGTTCTCACAGTCTGTTAGACTTAGGATGAAACCTACTGTTGAGATCTGCCTCTCATGGCAAGGGCCTCCCCATCACGTCAAGTGGTACAATGTATCCTCGCAAACCACCTCAGGGACTCGTCGAGACTCCCAGATGCTCAGTCCCTGAAAATTCCTACTCCAAGATATATAGTTGGATGCATATAAATCAAGTCTGAGGAACAAAAACCTCACCACTGCACACAAAAACCACCAAAACTTTAACACATGTCAGTGAGTCAGAAAAGATCGCATATTAGTAGCCGCAGCTTATGGCTGTCAGTCACCCGTGGGCCCTCCATAATCACCTTTGACCTTCATGATAGGCTTTCAAATTCAAGATGAGAATTGACACTGAATCTGTGCTGGAAGCCTGATCATATTGTCCTGCCATCGTTCATGTCTCTGTGTTGTTGTCCATCTCATCTTTTACTGATGTGTATTGAATATGATGACCATTCAATGATTGGTATATGTATGCATCATCTTTGTTATTGTGAAAACTTCCAATTTGTCATGGTCTAGCGTATCCATTCCAAGCATCATTCAATTCCGAAGTTTTGATCCATTTAGTGCAAGGCTGGACCTTGTTTGCCGCACATATATTAAGAAGGAACCCCTTTTTTTCTTTCTACACATTGTCTCAGACTGTCCATAGATGACAACCGCCATCATCAGAATCACCAATATCATAGCTTCTCTTGGAACTTTACTTTCCTCATGATTGTCATGCATAAGTGCTTGATTCTTCTGATTGTTACAAGAACATCTAGACGCTTGGGCCCCTACCATTTTTCTCCTGATCCTCCTCGTATCCGCCCTTGCATCTTACCCTCACCCCGACCTTACCCTGGTCATCCTTGTCATTCTCGCATTTCCTTTCGCTCTCTACCTGTCGCTTCAGCAGAGCCAGTACATCTGGCCGGATCCTTTCGCTGACGAAGCATACCCATGCTCCGTTCCACCACCTGACTGATCCTGTGGACAGTCCCCTTACCCTTACCGTCTGGACGGTAACCTATGATATGATGCACGACGCATCCCCTTTGCCCTGTTTCCTTTCCTGATCTCTGACTCGATGCGCAGTCGCACATGCGACTTATACTTAGCTCCGCAGCTGCACGATCGTGCCCCTGCGTGTTTCATTTCTTATTCCGATCTTTGACTCACTATTCTTATCTGCACGTTCAGAGCTCACCTGTGTCTCACCTCGAACGTGCCTTCCTTTTATGGTCATACCCTTTCCCGTTTACTTCTCTTGGTAGTACGAGTTATCATCCACTAATATGCTTCCTGTCCTCTATATAAACTCGCTACCATGTAAACTATTCCTTAACTTGAATCTACTTGGTTCTTGACCTCCTACTCTCACCAGAGTGATCCCTTCTGCCTAGCCAGCAGTCTATATTCTATCTTCTTATCTGCTCTTTGCGGATAAGCCTATAGTCTCGATCTTTGCTCATCGACTTCGTCGACAAGCAAAGCCCCTGTTAACTAGTCGGACTTCTGTCCTTCTAATTAATGACGATCTTACGATTAACCTTCGGGTGTCGTAAGCCTTGGCAGATACAGCTCATCGTCTAGCATCCGCTTGACGTAAGCTACCCGATTCAGACATAGGCGTCAAATCTTACTTGCCGACGTGTCGCCAAGTAAGACCCCTAACCTTGGGCTAGCCCAAGGACGTCCTCGACCGTTGACGACACACGCTCTGTTTGAGCGTCGCCAACAGATACCATCCAAGTCGTAACACTGATATATCACATATCACTGGTCATCAACAATTGCATTCCTTGATGGTCACCCCAACGGCCTAAGACATGGTACCCTCTGGTGTTCCTGAAATATCTTTGAGTGTGTCCCATCTTTACCCTTTGCCTTCAACTCCACTTCTGCATTATGGGCACGGTGACAGTACTAACTGCAATTGTATTAGAACTCTATTTACTCACAAATTCAAGTTCCTACAGAATTGCTGATGTTTCATATACAGCCATGCTGATCTGCGATACCAATCTTATACATATGGGAGTCTGCACCCCAAGAACTTTGGCCCTCATGTTTGACATATTTATACTCCAGCTGAGGGCAATCAGCCCATCAATCAATGAATCACCTATTCTGACGTTCAAGGGTAGGCTTTTTTCCATAAATTTTGTCCAGGATAAGCTCTAACTTGTAAGACCTTGACAGGCCATACATACCCAACACACGATTCTACAATCATTGTAATTATTGTTTCCTTTTAATTCTTCATGCTTCGTGCTCAGACATATGATAATCCGAGACAGTGCTTAATATGTGGAATTATCAACTATCTAAACTTGGACACGCCATTTCTACATTCACTGGTCCCTACGATCCGAGCAGCCTAGACACATTCAATATTTGGTGTCTGTCATAGTCATCAATTCATCCCGGATGTACACCAGGTTCTAACCCTTTCTGGGAACCGAAATTACAATTGCGTGATGGTACAAACAAAGACTTGACCGCCTTATGACTCCGGAGCCGAGCTTCGACCAACTCGGCTTTTTTGGTGCAGTTCATATCAATTTTTAGTATGGACACCACAACCAGTCCGAGGTAAATGATTTCTCATGAACAAAAGCACTTTTCCTCATGCAAGCCTAAACTCGATTGATCTAAGCACTAAACGACTTGTTCGGTCTGAGTTTGCAAAGATTTATAGTCGCACCAGCAGATCTTCTGCACCCATTCCAAGGATGTTATGCCAACTTCACCCCCTCGAGATTAACCCCAAAACTGGGGAACCATTCCTCCGGCTTGGAGCACCATACCAGAATATCATTCTCACCCCACCTCGACAGGGAGATCAGTCCGCACTCATACAGCATATGAACGATCCGGCTATTTACAGATGGTTAAATAAACCTCCAGTGCCATTTCTCCTGGAACACGCGGACGCTCGGCTTCAGTTTGTAAAAGGGGAATCGGATGCTACTTTGGAATTTCTACGAAAGAGCGCGCAGGATTTCCCTGATGGCCCGCTTCAGTTCGTGGATGCATGCCCTGTGCGGTATCTTAGGGAAGTCAAAGAGGACGGGACGGACGTCCTTCTAGGAGATGTGGGTTTCAGAAGATGGAAGCAAACGCAGGAAGATGATGCGAAAAAGCAAGCAGGCGACCCAACGATTCAGTATGCTATTGGAGGTACGTTGGTTCACAGGACCTATGACGGGAGTTGATCATGGTTCGTTCGAGATAGATTGGCTTGCTGTGAGCCACCACGGAAAGGGTATCATGACTGCAGCGATCGGTCTCTTGATGACCGCTTGGGCAATTCCTAGGATGGGAGTCCGCTATGTTGTAGCGCACACTCTTGCTGGGAATATTGGTAGTGACAGAGTTTTGGAGAAGAACGGGTTCGTGAACATAGGGGTGTTCTACAACAAGAAGATAGCTGGAGGAGAGGGGAAGTTTCTGACCTTTCTTGAGTGGAGACACGAGGAGGTTAGTATAAACGAGACGTGACGGACACTGTTCAATTTAGTGATCACGTGCAATCAAACTCGGTTTGATAAGATCTGAAAAAGTGGTTTTTCTGCGATCACAACTGGACAAGCTCAAGCACAACGCATGCGGCGCAGGATACGTATCGAGCAATATTATGAATATACAGCTGAATGTATCACACCGGCGGAAATATTGGAGAGAAAATGTAGTTATAATGAGAGTAAAACGTGGAATCGTTGGCAAATTTCTGCGTGATATTGTGATATGTTTTCACACTTGAACTCACATTTTAACTGATTTGCGCGTTTGTGCTGTGGCTGCATCACCTGGCCTTCAAGGAGTATGTACTTGTGGCGCTCTGTCACCAGAGCACTTCATCGATCAATGTCAACCTCCTCCCTTCCACCATCACCTATCCCTCTTCTAACGTCGGTCGCATCGTACAGACAATGGCGGCAAAGAGCCTTCGACGAAGGGAAATCTGTGGGCTTCGTGCCGACCATGGGAGCTCTTCACGACGGACATCTGTCTCTTGGTGAGCACATCCCACACGCTTCTGTTGTTTGAAGTCTATAAATACTTTCTTACTAATCTCATTCAATTCAGTTCAGAGGTCACTGGCCGAAAATGAGCTGACAGTTCTTTCCATCTTTGTGAACCCAGCCCAGTTCGCCCCGCATGAAGACCTTGCTACGTACCCTCGCACCTTACCAGGGGACCTGGAGCTCCTTACAGCACAACAGGTTACTGTGGGCGGGACCGTGAGGAAAGCCTCTGCTGTATTTTTACCTTCGGTCCAGGACATGTATCCATCTGGTATAAGCCAAGATGTTTCGACACAAAAGGGAGCATTCGTCGAGATGAAGGGATACGGACATCAGATGGAAGGTGCAAGCAGGCCAACATTTTTCCGAGGTGTGGCGACAGTTGTAACCAAACTATTTAATGTAGTCCAGGTGAGATGGTCTCCACAAGATGCACCTTAGTTTGACGACGACTGCAGCCTACAAATGCGTATTTCGGCCAGAAAGATATCCAGCAAGCCTTACTTCTTCGGAGACTCTGCAAGGATATGCTTTTTCCACACCCCGAAGGTGACCACGTCCACATCGTCCCCACGACCCGTGACCCGAATGACAAGCTGGCTTTGTCGTCTAGAAACGCATATCTCTCTGCAAATGAGCGGAAATTTGCACCTACGATTTACAAGGCCCTTCAATACGCCGAGTCCGCGTGGTCGAACGGCGAATCCAAGGACCAATGCATTTTAAAAGCTGTTGCTCTCATCGACGAAGTAAAAGCACAGGCTGCCATGGACGGAGTGGATGTGCGGCTGGATTATATAGAGATGAATGATTCAGAGACGTTCGACGTTTTGGACGCGACTTCGAACCATCAGTTGACAGGAGATATACCTGTGATTCTGAGCGGTGCGTTATGGGTTGGGAAGACCAGGTTGATCGACAATATCGTAGTTGGTGAACTCAAACGCATAATTAGATAGCTTGCAAATAGATGTGGATATGGAAAGAAAGTTATTAAATACTGAAGCGCATTCAGAGTCGGACTACTGTTCAATGCATTAGAAATTGGAGAGCTACATCTTCTTCACCTCCAACTACCATCAACCACCGTGACGATGGCGCATTCAAGAGTAATGCTAACGAATGGCACTTTGCCATCCACCCAACTCAACCGATTTTGTGCAGCACACCCTTTCACTCAGCAGGTATACTATTGTCTTTGTACTTTTTGAAAAGCTTGACGCTTATACTTCATCAGCTTGACATCTTGTTCCCTGCTTCTGATGAGCTCGAGAAGGCGCTTACATCCCTAAAGCCCACGTACTGCAAAAGACGTTGTACGCTATCAGAGTTGTTTGATTTTGCGTCCAAAAGTCCGGGCGGGTAAGGAGAGTCTAGATCATGCCTTGAAGAAACACTGAAATGGTTCTGTTTTATGTCAAACAGGAATATAACTGCATCGCCATCCACTTCCGAATGTGTTGATACGTGGTGCATCGAACCTAGAGGCGTCCTCACCCTCTGCGTCTCAAAGTCACTGTATGAGCAACTCGGTTTGATCGGGAAGAGATTACCCTTCAAAGGGTGCCCAGAGCAGTACGGTATGTCACTCAGGATTCCGGTTCATGCACGAAAAAGAAGTGATCGGGGCCTAGCACAGTGATACGCATACCGGTTAGGCAAGAGACCGAATCTGTCGCTGTACGTGCGAAGCAAAAGGCAGCTCTGAAATTTTGGGACGAGCTCAGGGAAAACGGACCTGGGAAATGGGAAGTTTTTTATTCTCAAGTAGGTATGTGTAAAGGTGGAAAATGTGTGTTCTCAACCAGCTCATTCTGCATTCTGGTGTTCTCTAAGACGTGCAGCCTGGAACCTCCGAGTTGCACGAGACGGTGACCGTTCGGCCTCAAATTTGTCGTTCCACCGACATACTTGTCCCAATCCCAGCACTTGCTCCTTTTCCCGAGGAAAGCATGGAGGATTGGGATGAACATATCGGTGAACTTTTTGAATGGGTGGGCATGGCTTGCTTAGGAGCTCAAAGGTCCGTGTCTAAGCTTTTTCTCAAACCTGTCCTCAACAAACGAACGATAGACTCAAGGCAAATGACCGCGTCAACCCTTACGTCGCTGTCTACGAAGCTCCCTCACCTTCATATATTGGTGACGTGACACGGATAACATGGGCGGCTTTCTTGGACCAATGGTTCATAAAAGACGCTCTAGACACGGTGATGTCAGACAATTTGAAGCTCGACAGTGTTAGAGTACTGATGGTTTACTGCATAGATCATATCTGGCATCTGCAACCGATAGCCACGCGTTTGTTACAATGATGAGACATGGTTGTCGCACATCACCCGTTGGCGCCATCTCTCCTGATACTTTCGATACGGCCCGAGATCCACCTCTTCGAGTACCAGAAACCGATGCGGAAGACACCAGCTGTTTCATCCTTGGCCCGGGTCAAAATGGGAACTTTTTGCTTGCAGAGAGTATCGGACAATGGGATGCGAGATGGGGCTGATTTCATTTTACACTGTAGGTAGTCAAATTCATACAAACGTTCCGATCGCAAACTGCGCAATGCAAGAGACAAACAATGTCGAAAGCGGATGAATTCAGATCACTAAGTCTAATCCATACTTCCGCTACACAACGTCTATAAAAGCACAGTATAGTACAGCAAATGACGCAGGTCATTTATGGCCATTGTAATAGTGCAATAAGTAACGGATTAGTTGAGTGTATGAAGCAGGATAAAGATCACGTGGATTGTGCATGCTGGAATGTTTTGATAGCCCAGTCAAAATGAAGGAAAGGAAGACGTTATGTATCAAATAATTCGGATGTTAAGCCATGACGTCACGGACACGGACGAGTGCGGGGGAAATATGAGCATGAGACATGCGTGCATTATTGTTAGGAAGAGGGCTTGTGGCGGCTGGCGAATATGTCTGGCGACGAGGCGCCCAGGTGTAGATACGCGGTGAGACCGTGGGAGGCGGTGATGGAGAAAAATGAGACAATGATGTGTGACGTGGAGGTGGTGTCGATGATAGTTGGTGGTGGTAGAATGAGGAGAAAGATAAACCCTCAGCAGATGAAGAGTGCTGGGAGTTTCTACTGGGAACAGGAATAGGTGCGCTGGGGATTGGAAGGGGGAGTTCATCCCGAGGTTCATGATGAACGTGATTAAAGATATTGTGTAGCTGCGCGGCAGGTATTGGCTGTGGAGGTGTGTCTGATGGTGCCATCAAATCCCGCGAAGAATTGATCCCTGTTGATTCGCGCGATACTGGTGCGTCACTCTGGACTTCGCCAGAAGTACCATGGGATGCAAGACGAACCCGAACGGGTGTTTCCACCTCTGGAGCCTGCCTTCGGTAGGCCTGACCAATGTACTGGGCCAGGCTATCGCCGCCAACAGCCATTGGGCTGTCACGGTCTAGAAGACTACCCTCACCGGTGAGGTCTAGTCGGATAACTACGGCTTCTCTGTCTTCTTCCATCTCTTCATCTTCAGAGTGCTCTATAGGCAAGTGGTCAACGAAGGCCTCGTAAACTGCCTGGTCGTTTTCAAAAAACTCGTCCGAGTCTGGATCAAAAGCGTTGATATGCGACCATTTTTGGTATGGACAAGGAGCCTCTGGCTCTCTGATGATAGGCTCTGTCTGGAAAGCTTTAGAGTAAAGAGGGCGACCCATTTTTTATAATAAAACAAGTAAGGATAAAAAGTTTGAGGGAAAGAGGGTATACACGGAGGACGATCGCCAAGTTGAAGAAGACGCGTAAAGACGCGCTGAATATTTTTTGTGCTTTAGTTATAGGTTCGTGATTTCATGTAGGAGTTTAGGGCAGGTGCGGTAACTATGTATTGCTGACAAAGCTTGTCTTGGCATCGGAATGTTTCCAATCCGCGGCCGCATTTCTTCAAGAAATTCTGATTACCCTTCAATCAGTTATAGTATCACTCTCCTTTTTGTGAATAGCTCCATACATCATGCCTCTTATACTTTCGGCACACCGCAATCAAGTTGGGTCATGCCGACACCCATACGCGCTTCACATGACCCCGGGGCCTCCGAACAGTGAGCCTCGGTGCTTGGCAGGTGATAGCATTTGGCCTTCAGACTATAATTACTGTGAGCGTCGTGGGTAAATTCGAGCTTTCTGATCGTATTTCAGCAGCTTCTCGAACTGTAGAAATCTCTCCCCGGGACTCAAGCGCTTCCGAGTCGAGGCTGTGAGTATGTAAGTCTTCAAAAATCATCATCCGTTGTCAGATAGACTATAATTAATGTTTGCCGCATCTCCGACTCGGACGAATCAATCATAGATGCTTGAGATGCATGTTCGCTCGGTGTTACTGACAAACTATTGGAGCATGAAACACGTCGGTTTTGCTCGGTAGGATTGGCGTCGATGGGTAGGAACGTTTTTCATCTTTCTATTCGGTTTGCCTGTCAGGGGCGACTAACTTCTATTCCTCGAGTGGCTGATCACGAGGCTGTAACAATATTGATGGCACTAGTACTGTGGCACTCGGTATACTATCCTACCGGTATAATCGGCACCCACAGACGTCGGCCGTTGCTGTATTCCTAGTTACTTGAGGCTTGTGCCCAATGATGCTAGATATTTTCATCAGCCAATTATGTGAAGTGTATTGCAACAGAATGAGATACTTAAAATCGGTGAAGCAATCCGATGTGAGTAGAGGGCTTCTATGCGCCATGTACCACTTGATACTTGATGAACAATCCCTTTCCTCCTACCTGGGATTTTATTTAATTTCTCGCGAACCACCGCATGTATAGTTCAAGCGCCCACGTCGTCATGTCGGAGGCGCCTGAACGTAGTCGTGGGCGCTCAAAAGGAACAAAGAATAAGCCTGGAAGCTGGAATTTGTGCGTACGTTGTTTGCAGGCACCAGTGGACCACTGAGGACGAACATCGGATAGATCATGGATGGTCATCCAGTCCAGTGATCAAGTATCTATACTGCTAAGTAAAATAGTCGCAGACAGTCGGATATATGGCGGCAGAGGTTAGTACACAGCCAGTCATATCATGATTGAAACCCATGCAGCTATACTACTGAAGATTGTACTGGAACGAGCTAGTTTTCTAGGATATACAAATGGGGGCACCATGGACAGTGATGCATACACATTTTACGCCAAATAACTTGCGAATCACTCATCCCTATCTTGTATTTTATCTGGCAATTGTGACCCTAGCCACCTCAGTACACCAGCCAGCACAATAAAGACAACATAGACTGCGTTTCCGTTGAGAATATTGTGTTCCTTTGAGAATGCAAAAAGCGAGGTTGCAAATGCAGGCCCAACGACACGAGCCATGGACACGGAGGTTTGACCAAGACCATTGACAGCGCCAAGAACATTCTTTGTAGGGGCAGAGGCCGTGATAAACATGAATACAGTCCCTATAATTAGTGGGTCTTAGTTTCAATGACAGGATGTGTTTCATCGTAACACGCACCGTATGCCATATCCCACATAGCCGTCAGCGCTAATTGGCTAATAAATATAAATGTGATTGCATGATCAACCACTCCTCTGGTGTGTATCAGCCACGACATGATCGGAAACATGAGCATGATTGGCATGAAGCACGACACGGACACACAAAAGAGACGCTTTGGACCAATCCAGTCGACAATCTTGGCAAAGAATAGTGCCTGGAAAATACCATCCGCCATAGCATATATCGCCATCCACAGACCAATACGAGAAGGAGTAAAACCAAGACCACCGAGATAGGCAGGCGTAGAAAGAAACAGCGGCAAAAGAGCCATGAGAGCAATGTCAAGCAAGGCGAGCATGGCGTAGTTTGCAATCGGAATGATAACGGTAGGTGTGAGCAGAGATCGCATGGGCATGTTAGATGTTTGTGAAAGGTCCTCTCGATTCTCACTGTCGGCACCATTTGAAACGCCTAGAGTAGTTGTCAACTTTCGTCGACGCTTGCTTGATAGTGTCTGGTGATCATGGGTAACGTGCAACGATACAGGTGGTATGTGAAACTCACTTCTTCTAAGAAAAATAACACGACGAAAAAACCCAGTAAAAAACCACAAGCAGACACCGCACAAGGTAGAAAATAGGGGTATTTGTTCCAAAATGGATGAGCGAACAATCTGGGCCAGTTATCTTGTGGACGCGCGAGCGTTCCACCTATTAAAGGACTGGTGTGCGGATTTAATTTTGGGCATTCAAATAGTCAATAATTACACGCACCCAAGAAAGCCTCCAATGCACCACATTATTGGAAGCAAGGCAAAACCCTGAGCCATATTCGTAGAGTCCGTCAATTCGCCCAACATAGTCTTCATGACGGAAACATTGCCGTTCAGTAAACCGCACATGCAGCGGCTAAAGACGATGTAAGGATTGTATTTCATTTCTTCAGCTGAAGCCATACCTAATGACAAGGCCCCAGAACGTCGTCGAGAGACCGAAACATAACATCGAGATGCAAGTTCCTGATAGCCCCACTAGTAACACTGGCTTGCGTCCAATGCGGTCAGACAACCGACTCCATCTCAGCACTGTCAGTGTCTGTACGACGAAAAACAGTGATTCCTGCCAATCATATCCGATAGCATTAGAAAATTATGATTCTCGCAACTCATAATCTCGGTGCCTACAATTATTCCAGCATAATATCCTACAGCCGCATAATCACCTCCAGTGATGCCAAGTTCTCTGATAAGCTGAGAATAAAAATAAGAAGAATGGACGCAAAACAATCTGATGAGCCCATTGTGGAATTATCGTACCTGATTGATGTATGGAAATATGGACATCGAAGCGATAGGTTCGACAAGTCGCAATGTCATAAGTATGCCTATCTGGAGTTTTGGAAGAGGCGTTTTAGGCTTTTTTGAGGTCCCTGCTGGGACCAGAGGCGATGTTTCGCTTGGTATAGGAGGAGGATTTGACTCGGAGGTGTCCATTCTGCTAGTCAGCCTTGCGAGTCCAAAGAGAAGATGGAGCGAGCTGCATTCAAGACATGGGCGTGAACTGTATTTATGGCCTGCCGTGATCAGCTTGTGGGCTTTGCATTACTATCATGCTACCCCTTCTGGTGCATTGACAACAGGCACCCCACAGCTTCATGAGATCAGCCAAAGGCCGACGTTCTTCGCTTGCCAGAAAGAAGTCTGATGCTTACGGTGACCTTCCAGCGGCATTGATGGGGCAATGCGATTGGTGGAACGTAGTAAAATGTAAAACCAAGACTGCGTAGCGCTATGCAACGTTTACCTCCAGCGTCTCTGTACGTAAAGAGACGCCACTGTATTCGGTTCGGAAACGGCCGAAAAGGTTCCCTCGTCGGCTGAAGCTTTGAAGCTTGATGCAGTACCACGAGACTTGGGGGGCCCCAGCTTCAGACCCCAAGCTTGGGCCTGAAGCAGAGACAGCGGGGAAACTGATATTTTACCACCTTGCGCCGCCAGTGAAATTACATTCGAAAGGTATTCTAGAGTGCTCTGGAACGCTCTGGCTACTAGTAGGTCCAGCTTGATCTGCTTCTGACTGAAATCTTGCAGGAGCCCAACGTGTGAAGCCTCACACCCCCACTAGCCCTCCCCGGACCATAAACTACCCCGCCAGTGGGTCATGGTTACTGGATGTAGCTGGCAGGTCACACTGGAGGCGGTTGCAGTCATGCGACGGAACCTTTGCTCCCACTACATAGGTGTAGAAGCTTGACAAGTAGTACAGGATGAGAAGGTCGGCACGCGGGAGGCCCTGACAAGAGCTTTCGTTGTTCGGAGGTTCGAAATCAAGCTTCAGGCTATGATCCATCCCATGGCCATCCAAGCGTTCCTCTTGCCCTAGCTAACAGTCCTCTATCCTAGGAGACGCGACGCTCTGGCTTGGGCTTCGCTTATCCAAGCCAGTTGTTAAATACCCTCCAGCAGAGCTACATCAAATGTGGTTTGTCCCAAAACTGAAACCTATAGCTACTTGTACGTGACCGCGTGAGCCTAGAAAAAAGTCCGTCTGTCAAACTATGTGCTACCAGACCGGGCAAATATATTAATCCCAGCCTTTCTTATCATGACTGGGGGCAATGCCATTATTTTTTGGAAGGCCAAGCGCAAAACCCACATGGTACTCATTAGGATGACAAAACATACTAAAGTCACAAACTGCTAGACATTAATGTAATGTTACATCCAGTCGTAAATAGCATCCTAAGTTACATTGAGGACAGGGAAAAGAAACCCGTACTGTTCGCATCGTACCACAGCTTTCATAGAGTGTATCTATATCCACTCCATTCGTCTCCTTTCTCTCTCTTGGCATCTTCAACGCTCGCGAAGCGACCGTTGGCTTCAAAGCCTCCCTCTTGTCCCTCGATGATTTCATCTCGCTCCCCGCGGTCCCGACGAGCGTTCTCCCGTTTCAAGAGGAACCTGAAAATGACCGTAGCGATGAGACCAGTTCCGATGTACATCAGCACAAGTCCGTGGCCTAATGGGTACCAAGGCGTCTGGTTTGCACGATAGACGTTGGAACTAACAGCGCCTTGCAAGTTACCCCTGATTTCGTGTTAGTTGTAGATCACACGATCTCTAAAAAAACTCACCAGCTGATGACCATCGCAAGAGCGACACTACGCTTGTATGTTCCCTCTGAGTTGTTAGACATCCAGGCACTGTTTCCGATCGATCAGAAGGGAACAAATTGTTAGTGGATCACACTTACACCGTGTTTGCTGCGGAATCAGGAGTGATCAGCTTTAATGTTACAGAAACCATAAAAAAGTGCCACTTACGAATGCAAGGGTAAATGCCGCTACATTGTAGCATCATCAGGCATAAATCTATTTTGTTCGTAGAACTGACTTACCAAGCAGATAAAAATACTGCAAAGTATGACAATGCGGCGTTGCGGGAGGAGATCAAGATGATGTATCCAACAGCAGCTATAAATATCACAGATAGCGTGAGCGATATTATTACCATGAGACCGCATCATGCAGGCTTACCGGTGGAAAGCAGAATGCTAAGAACAAAAACGTGGCGGTAAGTAATAGACCCACAGTGGAGCGAATGGTAAACGCACAGGTTATACATGCCACGGTTACCGTACCGGTCGGCGAGGAAACCGACGAGGCAAGTAGATATGCAAGCGAGCGCATAAACAGGGACGGTCAGCAGATTTGCTCTAGTCGCAGAATATCCTGGGGACAATCAGTCGGTGAAATGAATGTCATATATTAGAGTGTAAGAGCATACCGAGCTGTTTCACGAAAGTTAGGACATGCGATTCACAAAGACGGAACGTAAAACCATGGACTTACCTGGCTAATGATACTCGGCAAGAACAGTGCAAATGCATACAAAGGCATATCAATTCCGGCGTAGACGATCACTAAGACAGTTTATTAGCGGACGTAAGTTGTGGATCAGGTGGACTTGCTGGCAAGGTAGGTCTTCCACTCGGTCAGTGCCTTTCTGATGTGTCGCCACTCCATCTTCTCTCCAGCAGCACTGAACTGGGCATCACCCTGCAGGCGGCGAATAACGACAGTCCGCTCGGCCTCGTTAAGGAATGTTGCGTTATCCGGGAAGTCGACGATGATCCAGTACGAGACAGCACCTGCCACAATGGTAATAAGGCCCTCGATGATAAAGATCCATGCCCAGGCAGGCTTTCCACCGATCCCATTCATCTTGGCTATGCCGACCTACATGATATGAAATAAATTAGAAGAACTGCGGTTTGTGATCGGCACATACAGCGAGAAGGCCACCGAATGCGCCGGAGATAGTCGCAGCCGAGAAGAATATGGCGGCGCGGATACCAAATTCTGAACGCTTATACCAGCTGCACAGACATCATGATACAGATCAGAAAAATGTTTCGCACACAGAATAGCTAGTCGCACGTACCATGAGAGATAGTAGGTGACTCCGGGAAAAAGACCAGCCTCAAAGGCGCCAAGCATCCATCTCATTACTATTTTGAGTAAGTGATTCAGTGACATCCGACAATCACTAGGCGATGTACAAACCCAGTAGGCCGCTGTAGTTGTGAACTAGGCCTTGCACCGTCTGTAGAGGACACATGATTAGTGACCGTATCTAGAGAATAGTGTCGAGAATGCACACCATCATAACACCCCAAAGACACATGAGCAGCGAAAGCCATACGGATGGTTTTAGACGTTTCAAGACGACATTTGAGGGTACCTGGTGCAAGTTCAACTCGCGTACATTAATTCCAAGTTCACACTCACCTCGAATAGTGCGTAGGATATAAAGAAAATAGTCAGGCACACCAAATACTGGGTGTCAGTTATTCCTAATTCTGCCTCCATTTTGTACAACTACGAAGGGATCAGGTCTCGTGAGCGTGAATGCTACAGTGGATGCAATGTATGCTCACCTTTGCATTTCCAATACTGGTTCTGTCGAGGAAGCAAAGTAAATAGAGGAAAGACAACCATGGTATAGTTCGCATGTCAACTTTTCGCATTAAAGCGCGCTCGTCGACACCCGAAACGTCGACATGAGGGTTATAAAGCCCTTCGACAGCAACTTTTCCGTCCTCGACATGGACCACATCATCTTTTTCCGAGATGCTGGGTGATGAAGAAGAGAGCGGCATGGTATATGGTGTAATTTGTATTCAGTCGATGGGTGAGGTGGTAGCAGGAAAAAAGGGCCTCGAGTTTGAAATGAACGGAGATGCAGCCTATATAAGCGTCTACCAGTCCACATGTTTTCTTCGTGATGACAGACCTACTACAAGCGACCTTACCCCACGGTCTCTCTTGGTTTCCCGGTTCTCTGAAAGTTCTGTCAGGTCAGGCTCCAGGAACATATCGAGTTATCCAATCTGGTAAAGTCTTGAGTGATCAGTGATCTAATAGTACGCGGGTTGCGGTCCATATCCGTTATTAGACCAATCACGGGGCTTGTTTCAGTACGATCATCCTGGACAATCATAACTGGGGTAAACGATTGCAACCGTTGTCATTGGCTTGCATATTTTTTGTCGAGGGCTCTAAAGGTAATCGAGGCGTGTGACAACCGGGCGTATCGCGTGTGACTTACCGAAAAGCTGTTCTTAGTCGTTTATACTAGTACATCGTTCTCCCTCGCGCTCCGTAGATTCAAAAACGACGTGCTGATCAACGTCTCAGGTGTGCATCGATCTGGAGATTATCTCACTGCAAGCTAAGTCGACTGATTTGCAATGTCGAGTACGACAGCTCAAGAGATGACTCAGACATCAATATTGGCGTGTGATCGAGTCGCCGACATCTAATTTTTTCGATGGGGATGAAGTTCTCAGCTTGCACAGGTGATTTGAAATTTTGGATCCTGTTGAAACGCCCCATACCCACCCACGATGAGATCACTATAGATAGACGCGCAAGGAGACCAAGAATCCTGGGATGTTCAGCTGAGGATGACAGAAAAAGCCAGTTGTAGGTTCCTGTGCCTGTACCCGGATCAGAGAATTGTAAATCCCAAAAGAGATCATGCAAGGAATTTCGTGGAATCGTAGACTCACAGTTACAAATCCCAACCTTGGCGCGTAAATTCTGTCGTCGAATATTTGACGCTGAGACATACTAGCACACATCGTATTGATATAGCCGGACCTGATCATTTTCGATGGAAAGGGGAGGCACCACCGTGAAATCCATTTTACTCTGGCATAATCGTACTATCAATTCTCCTGGAGGGTATAATAATGGCTCCCCCAAGCGATGATCGATAAGGGGTATTCACAAAGCACGTGCAAAACTTGGAAACCGATGTGAAACGTCAAATAAGCAGAAAACATATTAGAAAAGATACCTGCGTAACATGTCACGAACGTGAAGGTGCCAAGCTTTCTTCATTGCTGTCAACAGTCTTTTGGCGAGCTATGGCAGCTATGGCTTGGCTTTGAGCAACGCCAAGCTTGGTACAGACTCGAGGGACGGAATGGAGCTCCGTGCCCCGTAACAACCTGCCAGCTGTCTCCATGCTAGGAGCCCATGTGATGTCAAAGCTTCGACGGATGAAACAGAACTCGTATACTGCTCACCAGCACTGAAACATAACACCCCCAACGAGTGTCTGTAAAGTCTGACTTGTGGAGACTAAAATTTTGGTTCGAATATCAAGAGTCAGGCCCTTCGATCGAGTCTTAGCTATGAGAAACAGCTGTCGACAGCCAATCTCAACCACGGGAAGGAAGTCAAGCGCGCGAATGAGATTACAAGATGAATAAAATCATCATTGGAAATAAGATAAATCGCATATACAAGCGCACATTAGAACGCCCAAGCCTTTCAAACGATGATGCTCAAGAAAGAGAATAGACATCGATGACAGATGCACCGTCACAGTAGTGTGAGCTGTGTTAGCCCACATTTCTCTGACAGTCATCTCGAAGCGAGATATTAATGTCGCACGAATCGATCACTAATTGCGGGGAAACGCTCTTGATATATGTTTTCCCGCGTTGTAGAATCCAATCGCAAGTCACATTCCTCTCGTCTAGTTCCTGGTTCGGAAGTTTTGTGTGACAACTTTGTCAACGACAAACTTTCAAAGTCCCCGTTCATCACGGCTCATCTTCTGAGGCTGTTCACGATCCTCCAGCCATATCCAAGAGCCCTTCTATGCTCTTGCCCAAATCCCCTCCGTTGGCCTCCAGTACCCAGTCGCGTACTTCTGCATCCACTCCTGGGAAGATCTGGGCCAGAGTCGCACGAGCAGCAGCGCTCGCTTGTGCATGCGCACGATCGATTTCTGCTTCAACAGCAGTAAGGTCGAGTGAGGGGGTGGGCGTACGAGATATCTGTTGGCCTACAGAAAGTGTTTGAAGGTGCTGTGGAATAGCATTCGGGGGAGGTAATGATTGGGCAGGACCAAGTCCTTGGTGTACATATGGCCCTCTAGAGCCAGGTCTACTTGAGGTTTCGTCGGCTCCGTACGGGTACCCCGGGTGCATGAGTGGAGTTGGGACGGGTGATGTACGACGCACGCGGGGCTTGTAAGGTGTTTGCATGGGCGCCTGAAGTCCCTCATTGCCTGCCGTCGCGTGCGAAGGACCACCAGCGAACTGTGCGACCTGCTCTGGATGTGACCAATGTCTTTCCCTCTCTTCTCTACCAAGCTCAAAAGGTGCGAATGGTCCGGGAAGGTAGCCCATCTTCTCATCTAGTGCCTCGCTAAATATACGACTAATAGCACCGAGAGGTTTTGATACCACATCCCCAGTTTTCTGCAATAGTTTTCGAGCATCCTCGCCAATCGTGAGATTCTGGGCTGATGATGGAACAGTGAGAGCGAGCGGTTGTGCAGATTCTTCTCCTGCGTGTGGAGATGGACGCAGAGGTTGATTCGGGGTTTGTGAGCCTTGGGTTATGATTGGTGAAGAAGGAAGTAACGGAGGGAGTGTTTGGATTGCCGCTTCTACATTTCTGTCAAGAGTAGTGAGCATGAATCACGAACTGAATGCAGATTATAAAAACCTTTCAAACTCTTCCTGTGATATACAAGAAAGGGAGGTATGATCCATACTTTCAACAAATTGTACAGCACCCATCTGAGAAGTAAACATTAGCACGAGTGATCAACAAATCAGTCATAGACTAACGAGGCTTGAAAGATAGTAACCCGCCTCGCTCTGGAGCTTCGCAGGATTTCGAAAGCGATTTATAAACCTTTGGGAGAATTTGTTAACTTCTCTGGACTTGCACGATGGAAAAACCTATACATACTCGACATTCGAAAGCAAATTCTCAGGGTTCGCTCTCAATACCACGTAAATTAGTATCGGCACAAAAGAGTCTGCACCTTCGTCCTTGCGCAAATGTCTTATTAAACCTGGATGACATCCGAGAGATGTGAGAATGCCGCTGAGATGATAAGTGAAAAACACGAACCAAAGATAATCTTGCAGCAATTCAGAATGCATATGAGTTTATCCCGTGGTGCCTTGTAATGATTCACTTTGCAAAGTTCTGCCACCATTTACCATTTAGAATTTGACGAACTGGCAAGAACGATGAACACGACATACCCTGTTGAGCAAATTCTAGAAATCCAGTGTTTCCATTTCCATCGTTATCGTCGGATTCGAGTTCAGGTATATCGAGATGTCGGGGTCGTACCCAGCTAAACAGCGCAATCCGTTGAGACAACACACGATCACGTTCGAGGTCATCAGCAGTGACTGGTCGGGGTGGAGTAAGAAGAGGAAGACAAGGCGTGTACGTGTATTCATAAAGCCGGTTCATCACTAGTTTCTCCATTCCTTCCATCGCGTTGTCAAATTCTTCCTCCGTTGCATTTCTCCAAATGTCAGTTTCCCGCATTTTCGTGGCAATGAACTGATAAGACTTTAACGGCTTGATTGCGAATATATGATGAATTCAGGTACGTACACTCAAGAAATCATTGATTATCTTGACCTGGTCGTTGACGGTAAACGTCCGTTTCGTAAAGTTGCTGAGAAACCTGTGGAGCAAAAGAAAGCGAAATGAGCTCCTATAACGTACACAATGTCACCAAACGCACGATCGCACATATTTTCCAAGTGGTTCCGCACCCCTAGACTTCATCTGGTCGAGGAATTTCTGGAAGTTAAAAGAAGGGTCTTTATCTTTATCCTTGCGTGGAGACTCTGAGCCAGACGGTGATGCAATAGCTGGAGTCGCGGACCGGGTGTCCGGTGCGCTTTGGGTACTCAAGGCAGTGTGGTCAGGCGGAAGAGGGATCTGCTTGGAGAGGGGTGATGGCGCAGTAGACTGGGACTGTTGCTGCGCAAATGAGGACATGGTTGCAGGCGAGGGGGTGGCAATGGGTTTGGCCGCATCCATTGACAAGGGCCGAGGGCGCGTTCTATTTGTCACGTTAGGGATAGAGAAAGTCCGAGCTATTGCAGCGAGCGAGGGAAAGGCAGATGAGGCGGAAGAAGTCGATGGTTGTGGTGCGGGTGAGCCAGATCGGGAAGAAGGCCCATCGCGTTGGATGTCCTTCGAGGCAGACCTGGAGTGTGCTCTACTACTGGGGCGCGATGGGATTCGGGCAGGTGGTGGATGCCCTTCTGAGCTGGCCCATGCCTGGTGCGCATTCAGCTCGTCCTCGTTTGTAAAAGGATCGAACTGAGTCAGAACATCCTTGCTAACACGCGCTTGGTGATCGAGAGTGTTGATCAAGTCTGCTGGTGAAGCAAAGACAGATGATGAAGCGGCGTTAATCACTGTTGGATCTGGGGTATGCGCGGGCTTCAGTTCGAGCTTCAATTGCTCTTCTGACCATGGATTCTGGGCCTCAGTAACAGATGCGATGGCATGAGTCCGTAAGCCAGGAGGAGGGCGTGAATCAAGAGATATGTGAAGGGAATCAAGGTCAGACGTTAATGTTGAGTTTTCCTGGGCGTCAAGCATATCGTGTTGCTGGATGACTTGCCTTGCCGAAACGACGTTGGAGTTGAAGGTAGAAGCCCGTAAGTACAGATATTACCCGGAACCAGTGCACCACTATCCATAAAGGTACAAAATTTAAAGTACCGCAGCCGAGTGTCTAGACAGACTCAAGCTTGCAGTCACTAGCATTCCACGAAGCTGGTGTACAACGACTAAGAATTCAAGCTTTCAAGCGCCGGCATGTACGGTACTTACTAGCCCTGGACCTCACATATTCTCTTGCTAAGCCACATCTGCCTCCCAGGCTCATAGTAGTAAGGGTACAAAACGCTGCTTGTGGGCAACAAAGCCCTGGGTGCGGTGGATCTCGGATCTCGGTGGGCACCTCTTCAATCAGATTCGGCATGTGTTCCCTGCGGCGCGGACGAGACATTCATACCTGTTCGACTTGCGCTCTACAGTAGCCACGAGATTTCTTGAGGCAGCGACCACGGGTTGGTCAGTCTGGGTTTCTCTTCGGGATAGTGGTGGGCTTCGAAGAAACTCGCTCTACCATTCCGCAATGACATCTAGAGGCTGAGCACGTTTTCACATAACTTGCAGTACTAGTCTTGCACTGATGGTAAGCTCCTGTTCCACGCAACTTCGAGTCGTTTAGTCTCACTTCGGACCGTGAACACTTGACAGTTCAGAAGCACTTCACTCATGGCAGCCATTTGCTAGTTTCAACTCGCTAGTCCGTCCGCGAATTAAACAGTCACCTCGCTGGCGCGGCGACACAACAACCCTAACTTCCACGTGTCAATCTCATATTCAAATCAGTGGACTTGCTAGGACAACAGTCCACCAGAGATTGACTGATCGACTTAACAATATTCTAGTGTACATGGAAGTCCTAATACACTCGATTCCGCGGATTTGAGATATGGGTTTATGGTAACTTTAACGGTCCCGATAGCTGGTATAGTTTTTCATTGATGCCCTCACACATCCTTCTTTGCCTTTCCTTCTCTTGCGGCCTTGGTCCCGATCAGAATCTCATCTACATCATCCACGCATCATTCTGTCTGTTTCCTTCCCTGTCCATACACCGCTCCGAACCATCACAGTTGTTCATCGATTTCTTCACATACTATTCCTTATATTTCCTTCCCCAGACAACCCCAGTCCCGATCATCACAGTCTTTGTCGATTGCTCCACATATTATTCTCGTGAATTTCCTTCCCCATGCAACCCCAGACCCAATCAATACAGTTTTCCCCCGACTCTTGCGCACACATCCTTCTTGTTCACATTCCTCACAACGCCCCAGTCGTGATCATCACAGTCTTTTGCCGATTTCTTCCGAATGTTCTTCCATTCCCCACACTGCTTCGGTCCCGTTCATTTCTTCGCTGACGTCCTCCAGCATTCTCCACATGTCCGTCCTCCCCTTTCCTCCCCCATATGGGCTTAACCCCTAACTCCGCACCTAACCTCCACTTCGCTGATCGCCGACGATGCCACGACAACACCAACACTCACTACTAACTATTTGTGAGCGCCTGAATGTGCAGTCGGTCTCGACTTTCAAGAGTGCTGACTGATCGGAAGTTGGGACAACAAACCAGAGTTTCCTGATTGGGCGTGGCATATCTTTCTACTTGCCGTAATCTGAGAACACAACTGTTGGACAAGTGACATATCTCCATGGCCATGTGGGGCTTTTATACCTTTTGCACTCATGTATGAAAATGCATTTGTAAGACTTCTCTTCGATAGCATGCTGTACGAAAGTTTAATTATTTCCAGCACTCAAGGAGAATGTTTACTTGTTACAATGACGCTGATAAGCAACAGACCGCGGAAGACCCTGCAGGCACGCAGGACGATATCCAAAATCAAGAACGCACAATAGGGTCCTACTGCCTGGTTCTGGTTCTTGGTTCTAGTTCTGTATATCTGTCGCAAACAAGCGAAAGACACGCATGTTATGGCCATGACGGTCGATCATTGGTAGCGGAATTGTTCTTGAAATTTTTACTGGGGTTTGACCCAAATCGATGGGGCGGCGAAAAGCAGCTGTATGAGTACCAGATTGACCTTTGTACCCTATGATCGCGTTAGAGTTATCCGACTTTGCTGTTAGCGCGGAACAAGAGAGGCAGGTCCTAGCCGCGGGCCGGAAAGGCACTGACCGGATCCGCAAGTTAGAATAACCGTCAAAGTGAAAGTGCGTTGGTTCCTATTGGTTCCCAACGTCAACGATTGTAGTTTGAAATGTCTATGACGAGATCCGAGGGCGGTGATGCGAAAATGCCTAACATGAGTTGGTTGCCGTATGTGCTCCAAGCCCAATGGCCACGGGATGATGGTAAGAACTTGACAGGTATGCAGCGTGGCAGAAGGATAGCCCAAGTTTGACTTGAACACTGGTCAATTGTTGGGAAATGCCGGGTATCAGGCGCTCATGAGCTATATTTGTCTTTGTCTGGCTAAAAGACAACATCAATCAGTGCTTACGCCACCTGGCAGGTCGGGGTCGTAAGAGTCATATGATACATGGCACCAGCGGGGCTCCAACCAGCAGATTTAATTATGTAGGGATGCGGAGAAGTTTCCGGACCACAAAGATGAAGTAAACTTCCTGATTTGCATGCTGGCAATGTTCCGATAACATGCCCACGATCAGCGGGCATAACGACGGTCAAAGTTTGCATGCGAATGCGGGCGGATCATTGTACACAGCGCAGTCCTTCATATACTGCTCCCGTAAGCCGTTGGCGCTGCGGAGGCGATTATGAGGACTGGCAATTGAAAGTCGGAAGCGGGTAATGGAAAACTAAGCCAGAGAAAGGATAGCGGGTATATGGCAATGATGTACCGGCGCGTTAATGTACAGACGCCGTGCCAGCAGAGGACAAGAAATGATGGGAATATAGGACCAAAACTCTGAAAAGGAATATTAATGTGGGGTAATGCGGGGAGGCCCATCATGTAATATTATTTCTTTGAATATTTATTATATTATTATTGAAGCGGACCGAGCCGTGTGAAAAGAATCGGGTAAATCGGAACGAGAGACCCCGAAAAGTGATACGGAAAAAATTGAATTAAGGCCTAAAAAAAGTGTTTTGTCGTGTGGCATTTCGTCTGCATGGCTGCCAGATCTTTCTTTTGCCCTCCATCCATGCAATTTCAAGAAATGACAGTCCTTCATCTTTAAAGAAGGCACAAGCTGCCAACTTTGCAGCTCTCTAGCATTTAGCCGGCTAACCAAGTTTGAACCAAGTCCTAACAATTCCCAGCAGCTCCTTCCCCCCCTCTCGTTCGTTCTTAATCTAAATTCCCGTCATCTCGAATCCGAACTCGGCTCGTCGTCGTCAAGCTTGTTCTTAACCAACTTCTTGCTTCTCAATTGTAAGTCGTAACCTTGGGGTCGTTCACTCATCTTTCAACCGACCAACCCAACATCCCATCCTGACCCTATTCGTCAGTGTACACGAAAGGTTTGCCATATCATGGCTAACTATATGACTGTCTTGCCCGGCTCTGTAACCACCGTACCTGATGACACTGCTGTATCGAACCTTCCCCGTGGTCAAGTCGATTATCTTTCCCATGAATGGCGAGAAGAAGATGTATGGCGCTCATGGCGGAGCATGACTCGCTTAAAGAACGAAATTACAAATGGAATGAGGTTGGAGAACGCTTCCTGGCGCACGTGGTGGAAACAACGCAACAAGCTTAGCACTGTTAGCCCCGAGACCCTCAACTGGTGAGTTCGCTGTCCACTGTTTTGAGTACTATACCCCCTCCCTTTCTTGCTCGCATGGTTCAATTCGACCAGTCCCTTTTTTCATTTATGATCGTCGAGCACGAACCCCGCGATTTTGTGGAGCCCTGCATAGCCATGTGTCCATTTGTTTTCCAAACCCTTTTGGTACACTTTAACCCAACGTCATCCCGTTTACTTCATTTCGAACACACCCTAACCAATTTTACAGGTTGAAAGATTCTGATGTTACGTGGCTATACGGACCTCTTCACACGGCAGATTACCCCGCCCCCACCCCCACCCCCAAACCTTCGCCGAACACTGCCGCTGCTCTCGATCTCCCCATACTCTCGTCATCCCCGCCTACGACCAAGCCAATTTTAAAGCACCGTTCTATCATGGAACTTCTAACTTCGGATTTGCCTTCTTCACCGATATTTAGTCCTCCTGAATCGGAAGAGGATGAAATACTTCATATGCATTCTGATTGTGAAGTCCCGAAACATTTGTCGGGACTTGTTGTTGAAGGAATGATGAAGCGGCCACCTCTCACGCACACTAAGAGCGATACGCATATTTCCCGCTGGGGTGACTGTAGGCGGGATTCACCTCCGCGGATCATTGCATCTGGAACTCCTGAGGTCCCCCCCGCCTCCAGGCAGGGGTCGTCTCCAGATGCTGTGATCGTGCCTGGCCAAAAGCGGAAACATATCAGCTTCAACACATTTGTGGAACAATGTATCGCGATCGAGAAGCCAAAGAAGAAGCGCACAACTTGGAATGTTGAATATACTAATTCCAAGACAGTGGGTTCAGACGATGATGGGTCAGTCTTTGCTTATTTCCTTATCGGTATACACTTATGGTTTTCCCGATCATCAAGATATGATGAGGACTCCGAAGATGGCATCCTCGATGAAACTGATGAGCTTCTTTTTGGTGACGAAGACGAACGCCCTTGTCCTCGGTCTTCCCCACCACCCCAGAACACTTCTCCCTTCTCCTCTTCAACCTCGGAGGAGGAAGATGAAGATGAAGTCCTCGAGATGCGCGTTAGGCATGCTAACCCCAGTACCATCCTACCTCCTCGATCCTCCTCCCATTCTTCCTCGTCCACCTCCTCCTCTTCCTCACGGTCACGCCCACCCAAACACCGCTCCGCATCTTACTCAATCCATCATAGACGAACCACTGCCAGCCCTCTCATGCGCACACCCAGTTCAGAGAAGGAGCTGGTCACTATCGCCCTCATTGCACCAACTATCTTGAAGACTAGAGCGGAAGAGGACGAGCACTACCCATACGCCCGCTCCCATGCTTATCCTCATCCACCATCAAGTGGCAAGTGGTATGCCTACGGCTCCCAGGAATCACCCGTGGAGCTTGTCTATGTACCCCCAAGCTATATTTGTGCAGACATTGACAATGTAAATGGCGACGGGGTGGTCGACGACATGTTGGCCGAGCCATATCATAAAAGCTTAAAGCCAACACAGTTTTTCGATGGCCCTATCATCGCGTCTCCCACTCCAGACGAGGATGTGCCAATGAAGGAGGTTGATACTCGCGCATACTTTGAGCAGCATGAACGAGTTGAGCCTGAGCTTGAAGGTCCAGAGAGAGGGTTCCGCTCCTCCAACGGTGGCGCACGCAACGTTACTACTGCGCGGAACTTTGGGCGACCTGAAGTCGTCGTGAGCTCTGAGGATACCTCTGGAGAACGCTCATCGCGTTCCGACTCAAGATCTCGTTCTAGATCAAGGTCTCGTTCCAGGTCTCGGACACCATCACCTTCGTTGGCATCCATACAGATGCCGCCACAAAGTACAGCAGTCCCTGTACCCAGGTCTAGCTCGTTTTCGTCCCCATCTGGATTACTTCAGCCACCTGAAGCTCCTCGTGGCCGCTCTGCGTCATCATCGACATTGTCTTCACAGGCCGAGGGGCAGCAGACACGAGGACGGAGTATCACACGGACATCTTCATTCTCAGATCGTGACAGTGAGAGTACGGAAAGCTTCGGGAGCCTCAGCCCTGACGGTGGATTTGGACTGGCAATCGGAATTGGCAGTTCTTACGCAGGTGGCCGAGATCGGGACGCGCGCAGCGATCGCCAAAGGGAGGGAATCGTACGCATTGCGGAGCGAGGTCGGGATCGTGTTGGGCGTCGAACAAATTCGAATTCAGGGTCAGGTTCAAGTTTGAGCCCAGAGGATCCACGACCTACTGTGATTACAGCACCACCACCAGAATCACCGAAGAAGAAGTTCACGTCTGCGTCATCCTCGTCTTCTGATTCTTCAACGGTATCAGGTGTTTCAGTGTCAACTATGCGCCCGCCACCTCGGCTTATGTTGGACACGGAACCTAGTACGCAGACTGATCTAATGCAAGCTGTTCCTGCCTCTGCCTCCTCTGTATCATCCTCGTCTACGGTCATACCCTTTGCACCTAATCAAACGCAGACAATCCAGGAAGAGCAGGAGTGCATTTCGCGACAACCTACGCCTGCCAACTCACCTACACTGAGTATGCGCCCGGCCTTTCCCTCCTCGAAATCCTATTCCACTGCGAGCTCGTCACGGCATGATCGTAAGCCGTCGGCTGGTACGTCGAGAAGTCCTACAAGAGCCGACGATCGACAACAGGGTGGTACACTCGTTGGGCGCGCTGTTGAGATCATGTCAAACGCAGGTGCCTTCCTAAATTTGTTCTGGCATAGTGGAACACAAGCGAGTGTTGCCACACCGTGATCCTCATTTCGAAGACTGGAGGTGCCGCGGACTTTGATGCACCACCTAGCGCAAGCACAACATGTCATGATAACACTATGGCAATTAATCCCCTCCATCTCCCCAACTTTGACGCCTAATTGCACGATTTACTTATAACCGCTATTTTGGAACTATTTCATCTTCGCTGGGTCTCATCGTGCATCGTCCATGGTCTTCCGCGTCTTTCCTTCTAGCTTGGCTCTCTCTTGTGTCCTTCACCAGTACATATTATATATCATCCCTTGGACTTAGACTCCAACAATATCACGCGTTTTTCTTTTCTTTTCTCTGCATATTACCAGTACCCCCTCCGTCTATAAGATTAATGGCTAGCTAGCAACTCGTTGCACTTACTCGTACTAACTACTTTTGGCTTGTACATAGGATGTATCGTTGACACGCCGTGGTCGCGTCCTTGCAGATGCTTTGTCTATTACATGCGTCGTTGTGGTTGTATGTATGATGTGTATTAGATCATCGATCAGTGTTGTGCTTAATGATGAATGCAGTCAGCATGCGCGTTCCCACAAATTGTTTCTCTTTCTGCTACGATTCCAACCATGCCCGTGCCACATAGTATAATCCAACAGATCAAGCAGATCATTCCTCCTCTGAACGGCACTTTGCATAAAGGACAATCAGGTAACGACTATTTCCCCATTCAGTAGCGAATGTACATGACCCTACTCAGGCAGAGTCGGCGTGCTCGGAGGAGCTTTGGAGTGAGCATTATCAGGATGATAAGCAGTCGTGGGGGTTGACTGTATTACAGTTACACCGGTGCACCATTCTTCGCAGCAATATCTGCATTACGACTGGTATACATTCTAGTGTATAAACGTTGTCACCAGCGTAAACTAAGCTCTTATACACAGGGAGCAGATCTTTCGCATGTCATCTGCTCGCCCACAGCTTCTCAAGCCATCAAGTCCTACTCCCCAGACCTAATCGTACATCCCATTCTCCGTGAAGATGCGTGAGTCCCGCTCATGTACCTGACAGTTTCATCTGACCCATCCCAGATCATTTGAGAAAGTGAAGGGTGAACTCGAGTCTCTGCTTTCTCGATTGCATGTCCTCGTCATGGGACCGGGACTAGGCCGCGAGGAATACATGCAGTCTTATGCTCGTCTGGCGCTGTCTATCGCTCGCGAACGGGCTATGTTTGTCGTCCTCGATGCTGATGCTCTGTTCATGGTCGGGAAGGAACTTTCCCTCGTCAAGGGATACCGCCGTGCGGTGCTGACTCCTAATGTGGTCGAGTTCAAACGTCTGAGTGAGTCGGCGGGCGTTTCACCGGATGTACCGACAAAGGAACGTGCTGGCGAGGTTTCTAGACTACTTGGAGGTATCGTGGTGCTGGAGAAAGGTCCGGTTGATTTGATCGCGAGCGATACTACGGGTGAAGCTGCTAGTCTTAAGGTGAGTAAACTGGATGAGGGAGATGAGGAGCGGCAACGCGTGAGGGAGGTGGTTGAGGTGGACGTGGAAGGCGGGTTGAAGCGGTGTGGCGGGCAGGGCGATGTTCTTAGCGGAACGGTTGGAGCGATGCTTGCGTGGGGGAAATGCTACGAGGACGGTGCCTTTGGGTGAGTCTTGGTTTGGCGATGGGATTTGACTGATGCCTATTGGTGGATAGCGATGGGAGTATTCCTGCTTCTCGTCTCCCACTTCTGGCAGCGGTAGGTGGAAGTATGGTCACCCGAACCAGTAGTCGAATGGCGTTTCGGCTGCAGGGAAGAGGTCTTGTCACGCAAGATATGCTCCCGCATCTTGGCAAATCTTTCTCAGAGGTCTTTGGAGAAGACCTGTGGGCTGGAAATACAGGCAGGGTCTAGGTTTAAGGCAAGGGAGAATAGAAGATCTTCATCTGCATGTGCAATAGAAGAATTTCTACTCTGGTTTGGGAAGAGGAACAGCTGTGACGTGATTATATGTTTTCCCAAGATCGGACCGGACCTGGGCCTGCAGGGGCAGCCTCGGAGGGAGGGAAGAGTCCAACTCCGAGGCACGAAAAGACATGACTAAGTAACTCATCACGAAGAATAACAGACGATTATAGAAAAACGGGAGGCATTTAACGCAGACCTCTAGAGTCTAGATTCTAGAAACAACAATTGAACCTCAATAAAAAGTTTTTCGGTACATCTATCGTCGTGGTCCACGTTCCGCTGATATTAGATTCCCCGAAACCCCTCTCCGAGTCGTTCCTTGATATTCATGAATTATTACGTGGCTTTCAGGGTTTGAATGCTGTGCACGTGATGAAAATCACATATCATCGCGCGAATACTAAAAGAAGACAAATACGTCAGTTTTGAGGTTACTCTCCACCTACATCAATGAGCTATCCAGTCAAGGAGATTTCAACAAAGCCGTTCGATGGGCAGAAGCCTGGTACATCAGGACTTAGAAAGAGGTATCTACTAGGCCGATCACGCTGATAGACCATACTAAGGTGCATTCCCAAGGGTGAAAGTGTTCCAGCAGGAGGTACGTGCGATAATCCTGAGAAGATGATGGATTTTTATTTCCCTTGTTTCATCAGCATTACACAGAGAACTTCATCCAAGCTATACTCGATTCTATCAAGGCGGAAGGTGCAACGCTTGTCATTGGAGGCGATGGTCGTTACTTCTCCCCCGAGACCGTTCAGACTATCCTGAAGATCGGGTCTGCAAACGGGGTGAAGAAGTTGATCATCGGGAAAGATTCTATTCTTTCTACACCTGCTGCATCGAATGTAATCCGCAAATATAAGGCGGATGGTGGGATCTTGCTCACCGCGAGCCACAACCCCGGAGGCCCCAACAACGATTTCGGAATCAAATACAACGTCTCTAATGGTGGACCTGCACCTGAAAATGTAACGAACAAGATATATGAGATCACCAAGACTATCCAAAGGTACAAGGTTATCGAAGCTGATCCCGTACGTTTGATATTTACCCGTTCATTGGAATGACCTTCATCGGCAATCAGGTCGACCTCTCCGTGATAGGCAAAACGAAATATGGACCAACTGAAGTCGAGATCATCGACTCGGTAGTGGATTATGTCGAACTCCTTCAAGAGATCTTCGACTTCCAGCTCATCAAGGACTTCCTTCAGAACAACGCTGCATCCTTCCGTATCCTGTTCGATGGATTGCATGGTGTTACAGGCCCTTACGCACGCGCGATATTAGTGAACACCCTAGGTCTCCCTGAAGCCTCTATTCAGAACTGTGTCGCACTGCCGGACTTTGGCGGTGGACACCCCGATCCCAACCTCACCTACGCACACTCGCTTGTTGAAGTCGTCGAGGCGAAAAACATTCACTTCGGCGCAGCAAGCGACGGTGACGGCGACAGAAACATGATCTACGGCAAGGGCGCGTTTGTCACTCCCAGTGATTCAGTTGCCATTATCGCAGACTGGGCGCATGTTATTCCATACTTCAAGAAAGGAGGCGTAAAGGGCCTTGCGAGGAGTATGCCGACTAGCAAAGCGATCGACCTGGTTGCACAGAAGAAGGGCCTGGAATATTTCGAGGTTCCAACCGGTAAGTCGATAGTGCTTACATAGCGCTATACGGTGCTCACAGCCATTAAATAAAGGATGGAAATTCTTCGGTAACCTCATGGATGCTGGCCGTCTTTCCATCTGTGGTGAAGAGTCTTTCGGAACGGGCTCAGACCATATTCGTGAGAAGGATGGCATCTGGGCAATCATGGGTCAGTCTCGGTGTCACCCACATTTACAAATACTCACCGTCAGCCAGCATGGCTGAATATTATTGCTGCTGCCAATAAGGAGTCGCCAAATGAGCTTATTGGAATCAAGGAACTGCTGAAGAAACATTACGCTGTTTACGGACGATCATTCTTCAGTCGATATGACTACGAAGAGGTTTCCTCCGAGGGTGCCAACAAGCTTGTTGCACTGCTGGATGGCGCGATCACTTCATCGTCGCTCGCAAATAAGACTTACAAGTCAAAGAGCACCAATCAGGACTTTACCATTGCATCTGTCACGAACTTCAGCTACACAGACCCGATTGATGGAAGTGTGAGCAAGAACCAGGGACAAGTTGTGTTATTCGATGACGGGTCACGGGTGGTGTTCAGGCTGAGTGGTACCGGCAGTGCTGGTGCGACTGTTAGACTGTATGTGGAGAGGTATGTTGGACCGGAAGCCGGCGAGAAAGTGTTGGCGGGTGACACTGCCGAGGGCTTGAAGGGCCTCATCGAGGTTGCTTTGGAAATCAGCAACTTGAAGGAGTTCCTTGGCAGGGACGAGCCCACTGTCATTACAGTGAGTATGTCTGCCCATGGTGGTTTTTAGCCGCTGACGACCTGATCTGCAGTAATAAATTAAATATGGCATCTTTGTGAACGCAAATAAGTTGATGCTTGTGGATATCTTGTACCACCAGTGTATATCAATAGAATTTCTTCTACTGGATTAGAAGTCGCTTGTATACCTGCATACCAATAAGTATTCGAGAGAGAGACAGAAAATGTCCTCATGGACAGACGCCCGATGAGAGAATGAATCCCAGATATCCGAACTGACCGATGCCATATGATAGTGATATGTCCCGTAGCAGGGGCACGTCCCTCATTTGCGGCTTAATGTTCGTGCCAATGAATGAATGCCAGCTAAACGCATCATGCGTGACACTGACGGACTTAAGTTGCATTATTCACCACACAGATCTGACCTGCGTGACTCATTTGATGATGCCTTCCAAAATCAAGTTCACAGTTACCCTGCGTCCAAAGACCCCAACAAGTTTGGTTATTTTTGTTACAGTTTGGCAAGCATCGACCAAGACTTCGTCACGGGAACGAAGGCGAAACGTTGTTGCAGCACGATTCACTGGTACAGCTCAACTGCCGTTATTATACACGGAAATTATTCTCGTCATCTGTGACGGATAATATTTTGTGCTTGATCCCCATCTGATTCTCGATTCTGGAACCTGGGCATTTAACTTATTCTGGTCATCAGGCAATGCCCAGGGCGGAAAATAGAGGGTCGCGGGCATCAGGAAAAAACAAATATTGGTGTAGTCCCAGTGACAGCTACATATTGCTACATAGTCACTGTAGTGATATGTAGTTAAATACGGGGCTATGTAGAGCTACGGGAGGCGCTGGGAGTAGTTGTATTCACTGTAGTAGCCAATAGTCATATTCTAAATCAATCTAAGTACTCGTAGTGGACATACAAAAAGTCTCGAGGTCAATGAATGGATTTAAGTAAAATTCACTCGCCAACTCATACACATTCGCGCTCGTCCACGTAGGATTGACCAATTGACCCATCTTGGGTATGAGGTGACATGGACGAATAATCTCGTCAACATGAATCACGGCCGAATTCCGTCGCAAGTGACGAGTTGAACGAGATATTAGACGCAGACCAGACGACTCGTCTGGCTCTCTGAACGGGGTAAACCATTCAACGTATGCAAGGGGTCGCAGGTACACGCCAAATTGACGAGGCAGCCTGAACAACACACGGACCTGCGCAACTCGGACAGCGGCTATAATTTAGATATTGTCATTGTAATACTTTGTAAAATGGAAGCCATTGACATACCATTCAGCGTGAGTAGTGCCTTCGATGCTTGGACACCATCACTGCTAACCAGTGCCATGTCGAATCGATTGGGGGAACCTGGCTTCCGTCCAGAAGACGAAGGAAGCACTTCAGGCGTTGCCCTGACCCGTAGGCACTTGGGCAACTCGGACACACGAGGGTCGGGGGGAAGGATGACGACTACTTGACGGAAAGTGTCAAAACGATCTTGGGGACCAGGCACAATGCTATGATTGTGCGGCAAATGCTTCTGTAAAAATAATGTGAGAGCGGGCAGGAAATCGACGGCGCCATGCATGGTTTCGAGATGTTGAACAGATCGACGAGGATGTGGCAGTCTTCGCCAGAACATGAATGATATCCTGCAAAACAACAGGCACCACATCAAAGCCCTCGTTTTCAGCATCAGAGTTGGAATCATACTCAGATTCCCGTTCTGTCTGGCGAGCGGCACGCTCAGCCACCCATTCGAGGTAAGTGGTTCGGCAGAAGACTGCCTCCTGGCGTTGAAGCCATAACACCATCTGTTCCTCATAGTCGCGCTTGTTACTTGCATGGTAAGCCTCTTTAGCGAAGTCGATGTGGAGGCGCTCGGGAAGTTCGGTGTTGAATCCATCTGCAGCTCCGAATAGTTTGATTGATTGTACATAGTGAGACAATTGATGTAGCTTTGGGATGTTGAAGTGTTCACAGTACTGCGAGCTCCTGTAACACATCCTTGTGAGTGTGAAAAATGGCGAGGGCATTCTCCAGACCGTCCAGAGATTCGCTCGTATGTGTATGAAGTCGTGCGTAATAGCAAAAATCCATTAAGGCCCGTGTGACAATGACAACTTGACTGTGAATCAAAGCAGCTCAATTCGTCAAAACCGAGCAAAAAGGCAGAATATCATAGTAAGTACCTTGGGACTGCACCAGTAATTAGTGCCATGAAAACATGCTGCATCTCCTTGTGCTCAGTTCCAGTCCATTGCTTGACGCTCGATATACCTTTTTTAAAATGACGGAGACCAGGATAGTCTGGAATGGCCTTGAAGGGAGCATCAATTTCGGTTTCTCCCACAATGTCGAGGCACCATTTGACAAGATGGTCTTTGAAGACCCCTTTGTGGAGTTGGTGGAGGAGATCTGGCAGTGAATGCCAAAAAAATGTTGGTGTGTGGTAAGTTGGCCCAGAAAGGTTTATACACCGGCCTCAGTCCATACTCATCAAATTCTACCGGGTGCTGACCACTCCTCTGTCTCTCTAGTATCTCCTTTGTCAGCTCCGGGTCTCGGATCAGTGAATTTAGTGGATCACCACGCTCATCGGCTGCCACCAAGCACTTAGGGCATCGGTTTTCTTTGCAGCAAGCAACGAGACACTGCTCGGGAAAATCCGCAACGTAGGCCGCAAGTATGGGATACACTCGTCGAATGAACGAGTCAGCGCAAACCATGTCTACACCATCCTGACCGGCTGCAATGAGCGGCTCCAGCAGCAGCGACAGACAGTGGTGGAACAATTGGTATCCAGCGAGGGATCGCGCATCAGACGTGAAACAATTGAGTTTCGTCGCAGGTAAGTACCTGATGAGGATGGTTGCGCGTGCGGATGTTTGACGTCGTTTCTCTTTGGCAATGTTGCCAATTGACAGATAAACAGGCCAAGCGGACTTATCACCTCGAAACTGTGATAGCATTGTCTTGTCGGAGGCGAGGATTATTGGAGCTATGGTTGTGCCCTCAGGCAGTTCTTTCTGATGTGAAGGTAAGCACCTTTGTCTCGTATCAAATTGATGTGCTACTCACCTGCTTGTCCCACCACCAATCAGCTGTCCACATATCATCAATGATCCGTTTGGTGCCCGCTTCGTCCTCGTATGCTCGTGATGGTGTGTACACCATATATTCCTTGAATAAAGGATTTCTGATAAGTTCCTTGATGCATTCCACAGGGTCACGGGTCCAAAGTTCAAGGTCCTCATGCAGCGACTGTCTGTTCTCATCCGTCCGATTTCCTTTGACACTAACCTTCTTGCAATTCCAGCCTGGTCCATGTGGCAGCGCATCGACTCTCTGTAGGAATGACCGATTGTTGTGGAACGAAGGTTTGGTGTGGTTTAGCGTCTATCACTATGGTGAGTACACTGTGTCTTCATTCATTGATATGAAGCTCACTATTGGTAACTTCAGAAATTCATCTGTTTTAGTCTGCCCAAGGCTTTTGACCAACCATTCAGCAAGTCCCCATTCTTCCCTGCCAGAACTAACATTAATTTTCTTTGCAGATACGAGAAACGCGACTCATACTCATTACCAAAGGGTGCCCACTTATCTTCACCTTCACTCTCCTTATATTGCTGATGCCTTTCAAAACTAGTTTGGCCCTCTCGCAACGTCCAACCAGCTTCAGGATATGGTTCGAAATACCGCCTGCCGTCTTCTTCGTCCGTCACATCTTCAACAGTGACTCGTCAACTTTTAGATGCTATAGGGTTGTCTTCCTCAAAATTGATGGAGCATGAGCGGCGAAGTGGGGAAAATGAGTCGTTGTAAGCTGGTGCGCCGTCTTCGTCATCTGTATCTCTAACCATAGACTCCCATTTTCTTTGACATGCGGGGTGGGTAGCTATATGCTTCTTCACACTCCCACTTGAATGGAAAGGCTTGTCACAGTAACTGCAGTTGTGCAGCATGGTTGGTAATGGTTGGTAAGTTGATTGATTTTTTTTCAGGTTCATTTTGATGCATAACATAATTTGACAGGTGCACGGCCCCAGATTGCAGTCCGTTATAGAGACTAGTTTGAGGGCGCCACCAGGTACGTCCATTTCTTCAGTCTGAGATTGCAGTCTGTTATGGAGACTAGCTTATGGTTTCAACTGAAATTTTTTAGGTTTCGGTCTCAGTGATTATGGCACGGCACGGCTCTACACCAGTCTAGTAATACCATGAGCGGCAAGAAGTAACTCTAAAAGTTGTGCCCGCTTCGCCTCCTCACAACGTTTTGCTTCAGCATCCCAGCGCTCTGCAACAAGTCTTTGCAAGCTCGCTTGTATGATGGTGAGCCTCCCTTGGCCTAGTCCCATTTCGAATTGACGCAATTTCTTTGCTTTCTCGCAGTAACGAATTTCGGCATCCCAACGCTCTATGATCAGTCTTCGTATGTATGACTGAGACACTGAGATGGGACCAGGCATTTGATGGAAGGGGGGGAGCGGATACATGGCCTCTTCAATAGGCACTTTGCGCTCGCCTGCATGAGGCTCCTCGTTATCCTCAACCTTCGGCCTGAAAAATAGTGAGTGTTTGGTATTGGTGAGGAGGTGTAGATTACCTTTTGATGCCGCTAGGGCGTTGATAGCAAGCCTCCGAGTCTGTGTCAGTGGACGCCACTGACATTAATCTGTAATATCTGTCAGAGTGGATGAGTGTTCGAAAGTATGCTCCGCACCGTTTCTTGGCTGAAGTGGAGGTATCCATGGCAGTGAAAATTATTGCGACAGTATGTCCCTACCTTTTATCCATTCTATTTAACACAGCTTTCAGCATGGTGTTATGCTCAATCAACAAACCCTGGAATCAACAAAGACAAGGTTCTAATTGTAAGTGTTTATGTCTCGCGCAACATTATAAAAGCTACTGAACCTACAGGTTGTTGACTCGTTCGCACCTTGTGTTTTGAGGATGAATAATCATGCCGCCCCCTCGCAAAGCCACCTCCAAGCCCCAAAAGACAAGTGTTCTGTTGTCACCGCAGGGTAATCAACCGCTTGCACACACCTCAAGAGGCCGAACACGCTGACCAACAGAAAAAGAAAACTATTGAGGCGAGTTTCCACAACTATGATATGATGCTTTCACTCACTTTCTCTACAGTATCTGAAACACAGAGCACAGTCCGTCATCAGGCCACAAAGGAGAAAAAGGCAGAAAAACAGAAAAAACGGGCACTCAAGGCGACCTATCAAGAGAACCCTGACGACTTCGAGAATGAACCCTCGGAGCTACACAGTGACACTGACCGTGATGAAGATACTATGGTTTGCTCATCTGTCTCGTTTCGCACCACTTGAATAGTAGCTGATTTTTTTTGTTTTAAGTTCTTGGACCATGCTCTGCAGACAAAGCTGTCGTCCAACACAAAGGTCTTGGCATTCAGTATGGGGAAAATGCCCCCGGTATCACACATCACTAGCGGCAATGCACGTCAGTTGAAGGGTAAGTAATTTTGCTCATCAATTTATGGTACGCTAATACACTTCTGTTTGACCTGTAGTACCAACACTTGATTCCGACAACACTAATGATGATGAGGAGTCTTCTGGTGACGACTCAGACAAGAACAACTATCCTCAATCCGATGCTGGCACTAGCCAGACTGATGAAGAGGATGGTAACACTATCGAGGAGCAAATGCCTCCTACTCGGGTGAGCAAACGACTGCTCGACACTGAAGAGGCTGCCACGGTAGTGATGAAGATGAAGAAACTTTCGGATGGCTCCCGCTATCCGAGTTGTGTAAAAGTCACCGATTTTGATGATGTCTCCAAAGACATCCTTGTAACTGCAATTTCTCTCTTCCGCTGTCTAATTGTCACAAAGGCGCCGTTTCCAGATTCCATTGCTGACGAGACGATGCTGGGAAAAGATGCCTGGCGTGAGGCTTGCCAATTGAAAGATGTCAACATTAAATTGACACCTTTAGCAATTAAGATGGTAAGCCGTCTGTTATCTATGCATTCTTGGACTGACTTATATTATATCTTACCTTTGGAAAGCTCTTGAAACGCACATCACATGTGTGTGGTGAACTCAAAACGAAGATGCGGTCGCTTACTCGAACTTTTTTTGGCTTTCGGTCGAGTGAATCGAGGGACATTATAAGGCAAAACCGTGATCTAGCAGAAGCCTTGAAAGATGGTTCATCGTTCGTTTTCAAGGTATGTAGTGCAATGGTCTACTTTCATGTACTGACAGTGCTATTAGGACTGGACAGCGAAGACGGGGATATACAAGACTGAGCTACTCCAAGACAGTATCAATGTCATGTGGTTTGCAAACCGAAGCGACGAGGGCATCATCTACAACCAGTTTTTCAACCCCATGCCTATCAAGCTTATTGCGCTCATGCTTACAACTGTAAGTCATCTCTCGCGTTCATATTATCATTGACATGCCTACTAATTGTTGTTAGATCGAATGCTGTATTGACGAGTGGATGCAGGGCGTGAAGGAAGACATCAGGTTCACAGCCATCGCATATGGATCTGTCTACCACAATCATTTGAACTCGCTGCAGCGTTTTGACAAGTGCACGGCACCTTACAAGCTCTTTGAAAGGATTTGTGACAATTTGTATGACGTGGCTCGGTGAGTTTCACTCAAATTTTGCAAGTGCCAGTCTAATTTGCGAAGTTTCCATGCAGGTGTAGTAGATACACCCACTACATTCTCAGACGCATCCAGAATCAGTGATGAGGCAATCGAAGATGCCATTCGAGAACACCAGCTTCAGGAGGAGAGTGGGCGGCGAGGCTAGTGAGAGCGGGAGCTGAGGGTCGTAGCAGTACCGCCGTTAGTATCAACTGATCTGAATTTATTGATTTGTTGCTATTTCATGTGCTATAATCTGAGTCACTACTATGGTGCGCTATGGTGCACTATATAGTTGCTTGGAGTCCCACTCCTATGAACTACAATCTACTACTGATTTACTACAGTTGCACCATGTGGTGCTACATAGTCACTTCAGTTGCTATGTAGAAGGCATGTAGCAACCGAGCTACATTGACTATACGGACTACATAGTACTATGTAGTCAGGTGGTTTTTTCCTGATGGGGTCAGGAGATCCAAAAATAGCTTGGAGTCAAGCATGCGATACCACCGAGGGTCATGAAGAGCTCCTATGAGTCGTGGAAGATGACGAAAGAGAGAGCTTCCAGAAGCCCAGACCAGCCCTTCTGAATCATGGAACGGACAGAAAGAAAGAGGAAAATTGCAGGACCACCTTAAAGAAGTGATCAAGAACAAAAGCCTTGGGTAAGGATGGCTGGCTCGCACGGAGTCGTTGAGCTATGGTCAAGTGGTGTAGAGAGACCTGTACAGAATATCATATCATGAAACAGATGATCAAACTCTGAAGAATAATTACAACAAATTTTGGCTCATCTCTGACTGTAAAAACAATTCGTATGCATGTGCGCTGCACGCAAGTAGTGCAGATTTATGAAAAGCGGACAAGAATCCGAGTCTGAACATTTCCATGTCTAAGCTTTGTATTACAGCAGCCCCATCGCGCAGCAGCCTATGACTTGTCGTGAGTCCAAGAAGGCTAGCAGAAGGGCTGCTATTGGTCACAAGCTCAGGCTGTCCCGCTGGTTGAACCACCATTAGAGTCAGTCACGGTAAATACCGCTCGGAAGTTTGCAGCGTACTACAAGGTTGTTCATCCTCGTTCATCCTCATTGTAGAAGTCCATGTACAACAAGCACCTCACTGAGGATGGGATTCCAGTGTTTCGAGCACTGCGCACATTGTTTTTGCATTGTTTACCGAAAAGTGTAATACTTTCTACTACACAAACCAAGATGAGCGGCACAACGGAAAGAATTTCATCTCTACTACGGAAATCTAGCATTAGATCAGTGCAAGGTAAGATGCTGGTCCCTATGCACTGGCTTATTGATGGACCTATTCACGCCAGATATATGAAACCAAGGCTACTCTATTGGTGTGTGACTTTTTTTTGTTTGTTGACATTGTTCTAACTGTTTGCTCGTGGCAGGTTGCAGGGTCCACTCTGGGGGCTTGTCAGCTGCTCAGCATGATTCAGTCGGAGTTTGGTGTCTTTGTTTCCTGTCCTCACTGTCACAAGGCTCTACATGTACACACAACTGGTGAGGTGGAGCCTGCTTTTCTCAAGGCTTTCTCCATGTTTTTTTTGGCGAGTGCCCCCCAACCCCTTGGCCTGCTCAGACCCCCCCCCCCCCCCCCCACTCCCTCACCCCCAGGCTGGGCCTTGAGGCACCACTTCCCTCTCCACCCCACCCCTCTTTTTTTTTCTCCTTCCCCCTCTGCCACTTCACCCCCAGCCTGGTTTGGCCATCCGCCCCAGGCTGGGCCTTGAGGCACCACCTCCCTCTCCACCACACCTCCCCACCCCTCTTTTTTTTTCTCCTTCCCCCTCTGCCACCCGGCCCCCCTCCTGCATGCCTCTATTCTTTTTGCTGGCCGTGGGTGACTTCACAGCGCCTGCGGGCACAGAGACAACGCAGGCATGCTGCTGCAGGCAGGCCTCCTGTGCATGGGCGTTAGCAATCAAGCATGGCAGCTGTTGATTTTTTTTGCTGGCACCTTGTTTTTTTTTGGTGAGCCCCCCCACCTTCAGCCCACTCAAAGCCCCCTCCTCACCCAGCCTGGTTTGGCCGTCCACCCCAGGCTGGGCCTTGGTGCACCACTTCCCTCTCCGCCACACCCCCCACCCCTCTTTTTTTTTTCTTTCTTGCTGACCAACCATGGTTTTTTTAGTGCCCCCCCGGTTCTCAGGGTAGGGGTCGCCCGTCCGAGTAGCCTCCTCCAGCCACTCCCTCAGCTGACTCGTCCACAGCCTTACTTCGCATGGTGTCTGTGGCCCAGCTTTGAGCCTTCTACTGCCCCACCTGTGATGAGTTTGTGCACGTCATCACAGATCACACCACGGTGGCCTGGGTGCAAGTGGAGCCTGTCATTGAGCAGGTTGTGACTTCATCATTGAAGCACCGCACGGTGATCTATGTACTTCCCGTATGTTTCTGGACAAAATCATGTGACTACAACCTGTATACAACACTCTCAGTTGGCATAGACGCTGGGCTTGTAGCGCATCTTCTGATTCTTTTTTAAGATGAACAACTTCAGTGCTTTGACTTGTTGACTGATAGTATGCTACAGTAGAATCCAGAAGACATGCAAATTTAGAACATTGTCAGACCAAAGGTAGAAATTACAAATGCGCAGATGGTGACAGGGAGGACTGATGCAAAGGTGGGGATAAAAATGGAATGAATGTCTCTGAGTGTGAATGGTTGTGGGGCAAAATAAACAGTCTATCAACTTCCAAGTCAATGATGAGCTTAGTGCCACCTGGGTTTTCCAGATCTGAGTTGCCTCCCAGGATTTTGGTCGCGAGGATGTGAGTCAACTCCATGTTCATCTTTCATCCTCTTGTACAGCTTTCTATGGAAGGTCTGGAGGCACTCCAAAGCTTCCTTTGCCAGGCCAAGATCCTTCAGCTCTGAAACAAAGTAATAGAGTTGAGTGGTCTTGGTCAGTCAATCATGAGCTTTGCTCCTGCGGTCTTCCTTCAGTGTACCCCAGTGGGTCCATGTAGCCACTAGATCTTGTCTGCTGACCGTGCAAAATGGGCTGAGGGCCTGCCAGATTATATCTGGTAGGGCCTCAGGCCCAAGTGTTACAGGCCTGGGTGGCCAAGCCTTTCCTAACCCACCAAATGTGACATCCACAAGTGTGCCAGCACCTAATCAACAACCACTCACCAGTATATATATTTTTCCATGCCATGCAGACACTGGACTCAAGTTCAGACTGCTGTACACCCAGGTGATGGAGGTCTGAGTTGACACCAGGTGGAGTTTGTACAGCCGGACTAGGGTGTGCAAACTCTGCTGTGCTCACATGAGGGAGATCTGAGTCAATGGCATGGAGTATCTGTAAAGTGGGACCAGGGTTTTGGTCCTGCAGAAGCACCACTATTCAGCAACCAACCAATAAGAGGTCAGGTGGGGTATCACCTCTGGTAAAACACTGTCTACACACATCCTGTAGTAGGAAGCTCTCATCAAACCAGGCTGGTTTGGAATCCATCTGGAGACATTTTGATGTGCAATCCAATCAATTGTGTTCACCATGGCAACACCACATGAACTAACATCCAGTTGTTGTGGACAATCTGAGTATTGAAAAATCCACCCTGAGCCCTTCTTCACCGGTTTGCCCAGTCTATCAAGGACCAGCTCCATGTCCTTTTCTATGCGGCCATGATCACAGGCATTGTGAAGTGAATCATATACCATGCAGCTTCTTTCCTCCATATTGGCATCCACAGCTAGCCAGTGTCTGTTCCTGTAACAGAAAGGAAGGAGGATGTGGTAGATGTGGCAATCAACTAACTCCTGCCACACTCTCTCCTGAATTGATGTAGCTCCCATCAAGGAGCAGGTTATAATCTCCACACCAGGAGTGGCAGACTGTTGGTAATTTCTCAAGGATTCTAGGATAAAGTCAACATGACAGTGTAAAGAGTTGATCTCTGCTGGGCTCAGCAGAAATTGTACCACCTAGTCAACAATGTTTAGGTAGATCTTAGCACAACCTATGCTGCTATACTTGCAGAGCAAGTGCATTCGATCCTAAAGGGATTGCTAATTGGTTTTAGTAGTAAAATGTGTCAGTAATGCAAATAACAAAATGTCCGATGGTGCAAAACAATGTCCGAATGTAATCCAATGATGTCCGAAGGTACTTATCCAATGTCTGAAGCCGAAGTGCGATGTCCAAGATTTCGGACTTTCAGACTTCACAATAATAGGTCGGAAACTTTATAATGAGTGTCGGATTGCGAGCGGTATGCGCGAGTATAACGAGTGACAGAGTATGACGGTGAATGAATGGTAATATTTTGCAATGCAACTAAGAACTACGAGAATATTCTGGGTGATCCGCAGAGTCGGGAAACAGGCTCCTAACTACTGGATGATGATTGCTACAGGTCACTACAGAGTATTTAAGTAAGTACGTAGAAATTCAGAAAACTACAGGCAAAGATAGTAGCGATATATTTCGGGTCCGATATCCTATGTAATAAGACATGAGGTGCTGCGGACATGTAATAATGTGGTCCGAATGTCAGAAAACGTGCATGGGAATAACTACGCACCTAGTGGGGCTAGTTCGGATGGATAGGACACGGGATGGACAAGTGCGCGTGAAGTGTGATCGGCCGATGCGATGTCCGAAGGTCAGATCCGCCGGATCCGATACGGAGTGGCTCAGACATGTGCGAAAGTGCATCGGACATGTGCGCATATATTTTGGGTGTTGACGTGAGTATGAAATACGTGGTTTCAAGCCCAACACCGCGACCATCGCTACAACAGTCATCCAGGTACTGATCGGATAACATGTGAGCTAGAATTGTGGTTCGAAGATTGGTGTGACCTTGGCCAGGGATATATCCTGAGTGGAGCGATTTGCAATATGCCGAAGGAGCTCCCCCGAAAAAAACATTGGTCCACTCCTCCCTCTTTGACCTGTCTTCAAGCCATGCAATTATCTCCTGGTCTGGAGCGTTGGCAGGGTTTAAGGCTGAGGGCTGCATGGGAGAATCCATTTCTTCTGATCTGTAGTGTAGAAGTTTGTAAGGTTACTGCTGCTATGAGAAAACTATTTTTGTTTAGCTCACTGGGGGAGCCCCTGCTCGGACAGGTCTGTCTAGGACATACTGATGTCTGGTAGTGCTTGGTTGTAACCCACTTCATTTTCCCAGAGCGGGCTGTTCATGTACAAAGGGCTGTGCCGCTCCATGTCTTCTGGGTGACAGTCCACTGTGTGGCTTGGACTCGTTAAGGGTGCAAACTGCTCTGTGACCCTAAGTTAAGGAATATGGAACTATGCCTGACAGTGGGATCTGTCCAAGTCAACAGTCAACCTGAAAGGCAACTTACTAGGGCATACAATTCAGGGACTCCCTGCATGAACAATCCAGGGGGTCCATCTTAGATATCTTTCAATGCATAATGGCACAGCATGAATGGGCATGCTATACATGCCAGGGTAGAGGTGGGGCCCAAAAGGCTCTGAGTAACGACCTAGTTTGACTTCTTTGTCAATCTGAGACTTGATAAACTCTTTTTTGGCAGCAAATTGAGAGGACCAAAGGAATTGTCATGAGTCAGAGGCTGATCACCGAAATGTGTGTCAGTGAATGGCCAGAAACCTCCATGGAGACCAATGCAAACTGAATGGACGAAAGCAGGTTTAGGATGATCTGAGAGCAGAGATTCAAACTCGTCTATATTAATACAAGTAGAGACGCAAAAAAGATGAGGATTGTTTGAAATGGTACAAAGAGCTGAAGAATTCTGAAAGGGGTAGGATCTACTAATAGATATTAACTTCTCATCGATGACGATATTGCGGATGAGATGGGCGAGTTTGTGTATGCCAGCCTTGATTAGGTTCCCGTTGAAGATGGGGATGATGATGCACCATCGGAGACGATGATCTTGGGACAGGAGACAGCGAAGGACGAGGGCTGGGTTGTGACGAGGTTGAGTGTAGGATCGCACAATCCCAAATTTGGTCACCGACGAGGTGAGGAGAGGTTGAGAGATACACCGCAACCAAGTGACCAAGGCAGCCAAATGACTGGCAAGTAGTGGAATTAACTAGAAGGACGGTGAGAGACGAATAACACAAAAAGAGAGACAAGTTTTAGCAGGCTGCAGCGCAAACAAAGTTCCATTCAGGTATAACAAGTATAGAGTAGTGACAGCGTTTAAACGCAGAGCAAGCGCGACTACGATCAGAAGGGTATAGCGACCTATTCACTGGCGAGAGGTGGTGATAACTAGAAGAAGATAAACACAAATGGGAAGCAGCAGTTGTATGGAAAACTCACTGGAACCCAGAGATTCCACCAAGGAGATAAACCTCTGCCACACGCAATGCAGACACGGGCCTTGCACTGCTGATAGCAGAGTTGCCGGATCAGAGAGTCCAAGGCCAGGCGTGCCAAACCTGAATACGAGACCGTGGTATGACTGCTGGGGTTGATGTGTCCGTGAACGGAAGATGAGGTCACCAGCATAGTTGGAGTGATGTGCGAACCCCTTGAAATGGCTCGACGCAAACATCTTGTGGTCCGAAAATGTGGAATGTGAGTCCCTAACGCCAACATCGGAGGTGAAGTCGTTTGGAAAGGAACTAGGAAAGAGGTCAGAGCAATCGATGATGCCGTGGTTGAGGTTATGAAAGGAAAATGGAGATGACGGTGCAGGAGACAACCCATCAGCAAATGATGACCTGCTACTGGAGAAAGCAGACATATCGAGCTGGGGGTTGGCAGAAAACCAGTCCTGCGGACCCCAAGATGACTTTCCAATAGTGTTCAAGCGACAATCAAAGACCGAGTGGCTAAGCAGATAATCAGAAGTGATATGTGATGATGTCGGAGAAGTAGTGGTCACGGACCACATTGCGCATTTGAGAGGTGTCTCTGTGCTGGACCAAGTCTGCGACTGAGAGGAGTCCGTGAGCTCTGAGAGCTCAAAGATAGAGCGCCCATCTGGGAGGGTTGACTGAATTTTACTGGAGAGATGTGTCTTCGCATTGGGGCAGTGCTCCTCGTACGTGTCAGGAAAGTAAGTGCGAAATCTAGTAGAGGCCAGGTATGAAAATTAACAAACGGAAATTGGGGAGTACCAACCGGTCCTTAAGGTCCACAGGTGAGCGGGTTGTCAAAAGTCAGCTTCGGATCTTTTGATATGGCCTTCCAATTGCTGACACCCCACAGAGGAAACAGAATTGATATTGTGAGACATTATTTGAAAGTCGTATGTACCGTGTTGCAGCCCTCAACGAGCATTTAGGTTTCTTCTTTGGACCATTTCTTGCGCGGTTTCTTCTGCTGAATTATAAAAGCGCCAACTGATTTGTGGTAGTCGCCATTACCAGCCATCTTGCGCATCTTTCCCTTACATTCCGGCATTGGTGCAGAAATTTCTGCAACGTGCAATACAAGGCCAGCGTCGTCACGAAAATTCCACGCTGGTACGAGCCTGGGGAAAGACGGAAGTACAAGCGACGCATGTCTTTGCTTTAGTGTGGAAGAGGTCGATGATGTTGATGAAATGGAGGAGGATGCTGCAGGAAAGGGGGCTGTAAAAGAAAAAGTGACAGTAGTTGGAGGTTTTGCAAGACAGGTCCGCTGATTCTGACATTGTAGATGTTCAACAGAGACAAGACCTGAATGAAAAATGATAATCTTTTGAAGTATTATAATGAAAACCGGGAGAAGTAGAATCAGATATGAATTGCGGGGGGCGGACCTCA